GAGCGATATTAAAGCTCTCACTTGTGGGTTACCACAAGGCTTACCAGCCTCTCCAATCCTTTACATGCTATATACAGAACTAATTTGTGCCCGACTTAGTATGAAAAAGAGACGCTTTGGATATACAGACGACCTAGCGACTCTCTGTATTGGAAAGAACCTTAAGGAAATAGCTACAAAGGCTTCTAAAAATCTTTATTTGCTTAGTTAATAAGGACATAATAATACTATTAGAATTTGACCCTGATAAAACTGAGATCATGCACTTCTTAAGGAAAAAAAACTCAGATAACCCTCCAGTCCGCCACGGGACAATGAACAAAATAGCAAAGGACTCCATGCGATGGCTGGGTGTCTTCCTGGATAGAAAACTAAACTTCAAAAATCACGTTTCTTACTGGGCCAAGAAAGCTAATAAGGTAGCAAATCACCTTCGAGGACTATGCAACACAGTCAAAGGACTTCCAGTAAAGTCAACCAAGAGGACTATGAAAGCTTATATTATTCCTATTCATACACACGGCCTGGAGGCCTGGTACCCAGGAATCGAGAAAGTTGGGAGCTTAGGTGGGACATCAGCATGTCGCATTAAGGGGCTTCTTAGAACATTAGATACCGTACTACAAACAGCGATCAGGGCTATCTTGCCAGTTTGGAAAACACACCCTGGACATATCCTATACTTTGAATCGCAGATTCCCCCAGCAGGAGTTCTTGCAGAGTCAATAAGACAATATCACGGCCTCCGACTAGGACGAATAGACCAGAGACACCCTCTTATTGGCAGGTTCCAAATACAAGCTCGCAAGAATCCAATAAGGCTATAAAGGAGCTTCCAGCTAGTCCCTGACTTCCAGAGACCAATACTTACCAGGCCATCATAGAAGAAGCCCCCAATCCGTAAAGACAAAGACAAAGAAACAGAGCTCGTTAAGCAATGGCTACAGGAGAGAAACGTGGACACTGACCTTGTCATCTATTCAGATGGATCACAGTTGGACGACCAAGGCACAACCCGCACTGGATGGGGTTATACCATCAGGAAAGGCGGCACTACACAAGAAGTATACCAGGGAAAGGGCAGACTTCTCTAAGCAAAAGTAATAGATGCTGAAGTCCATGGTACTCTCTAAGGTCTTGCAGCAGCTAGGACAATTGGACACGGAAAACAGCTATATGTCTGCCTGGACAACACGTCAGTGGTAGACGGGCTTAATGGGACTCCACCCGAGACATCACAGAACATTTTTCTATGATTTCAAGAACTTGCCACAGCACACACTCCTGGAGTGACCGTCAAGTGGATTCCTGGACACAGAGCTATTGATGGCAACAAAGCTGCCGACACACTAGCAAAAGAGGATACCATGCTAGAAACAGACATAATAAACCTTCCTACAATCTCTTGGGTCAAGAGAGATCTCAAAAAAAAGGGCAAGAAAGAGTTCAACCAATAATAGAAAGACCAATCAGAACCTAAATATCAAGAAGTATACTCACATATAGTAACTAAAAGAGACCTTATATCTTTTAAAATAAGTACTTTACACAGACTTCTAGCGGCCAGATCTGGACATGGCGACTTTGCCAGATACCATGAACGCTTTGGGCATACAGACTCGAATGATCACTGCAACTATGGTAAGAAAAAAACACCACAACACATTTTCTTTTGTAAGAGACTGGGGAAAAACTGGCTGCTGTTTAGGTACTCGCTTAGGACAACTTGTTTACAATACTTAAGGGAGAGGAGCACAGAATGGGCAAAATTCGTGGAGAAGAGCAAGTTCTTTTCAACAATCTGCCCCCAATAGATAGCTTTTCTTGAAGGACCAGATGGATAACCCCAAAGTGATACAGCCGCAATAACGGGGATGGGCTCGTGAGCGGGACTGACTGTACTTATTATCTTGATACCTCCATTACCCTGTGATGCAGAGGCTCTGGGAGGCGTGGTTTGCACTACTGAGGAGCGATCCCCCACGTTAAATACAATCAATCAATCAATCAATCCTAAATACGTTTGGTGGTGGCCAGTGCGATGTTGTTAAGGACACAATCGAGGATGTTGCGCTTATCGCGGTCGAGAATGGCCATGAGTCGCTTGCTTGTCAACGCGAGAGCCACGACGGATGGGAAATCAGTCATTGACTTGGAGGTCATCACCCAGAGCTCGGGTGGCAAGTACACCTCCATGGGCGTGATCTGGAAATCCGTTGGTATCGTGCTGATGGTGTACGCGAAGAAGCCTATGCTGGGAGGCACTCGTCTGGAGCGAGGAGTGGTAATGATTGAGTTGTGTCGGGCGTTGAATGCAAGTAAGTGTGTAGTTTGAACAAAATCCGTCGCGAACAGTTTGTGGGAGAATCAGCCCAGCGATGGGCTTCACGGCACGTTGGGTGGCTTGGAATGATAACAACGAAATTAAACCTTGGCTTAGTGGCGTGGAGTGCAAGACGAGGCTGATAGATATACTTTAAGGCTTCTAAGCCATAAGACGGAAGGGGAAACAGAGGTGGCTTGCTTTAGCTGAATCGAGACTCCCTAGTGTCCTCAAGTGACCGAGTGAGCACGTTTATTAGCTCAGGAAGTAGATTTGTATGGCACATGCCAAAGGTAACTTCTCACTTTGCTACCTACTGAGAACACGTTGGAGGGTCGGTCGAGAAGACGCGACTCGGCACCCTAAATGCAGTTCCGTCCATGCATGTCACCTGGAGAGAGAAAACACCTCTCAGAACCGCGATATTGAGGAACACGGTGTTCAACAGGTCTCTCGGCGGGTACCCACGTCTGGATCTAAGGTTGTGTGACAGAAGCCCCCATTTGATCTGAACTTTGATACTACCTGTCTCCGTTCGCTGGGATGGGACAGGGAATATTGTACAAGTCCGACTTCCCAATTCCCTCCAATCCTCTGAACTGTCTCTCACTCCCTCATCGATCATTACCACCCCTCACTCCAGACATTCTGCCAAAACTTCACACATACTTACATCCAACACCCAACACCCAACACAAGATCTCTCTCTGAATCGCCCAAGATGTCCTTCGACATGCAGGACCACGTATGTACATTTTCGAGTTTCTTATTGTCCCATATGGCCATGTCCCGGGCGCGAATCCCTCTTCTAGACCGTGTCAAGAGCTTTACTCCTAAGACTTACATCACAACCCTTGTTTTTCCATGAAACATCTAAAAGGAGTAATTACTGACTTTAATTTGCTAACAGGCGACTCCGAAGAAGCCCTCCGGGTTGATCGCTCCCTCGGGCGTTCCGTCGTCTGACGATTCAACGCCGACCGTCAGTACCCAAACGGACTGCAACCCCATGGGTCGCATTCCAGCAGAGATCAAGGCTACCGTATTCTGCGCCCTGACCGATGCGCGAAGCGCACACAACCTGGCTTTGGCCTCGCGGACTATGTATGCCGTGTACCGAGCAAACCGACGCAACATCACATACCACGTGGCCGACAACATGGTTTGCAAGGCTCTCGGCTTCACATCGCCGTATATCCTGAAGCTCCTCATCATGGAACACGAGGCCAGATATCGAGTCCACGACCAAAAAGGCTTCGACGAGTTCATCGCGAAATTTGCAAAGCCGGGTCCGGTGGCACATGGCTGCGTCACCGATTCGACGCTGGCCATGCTCCCCAGACTGCTATACCATGTCAATTATTTCCTGACTTTCTCTCGAGCCGTGGCCGCGTGCCCTTTCCGAGACGGCCAATACCTGTTCACGGGCACAGAGCTGGCCCGAGCCACGAGGATCCTCCTAGCAGTAGAGACGGGATTGTGTCTGTGCGTCCTCTGCCTAAAAACAGACCGCGTTCCCTTCGAAAAGCTAAAGTCCTACTGGGCACTCTTTTCGCCCACAGAAGCCCTCCAGGTCTGCGAGCTCTTCTTAATATTATATATGCATCCTGCCTGGAAAGACAACAAATTCATCTCCTGGTGCAAGGCGAAATTTCTCCTGAATTCCAATCCTTTTGTGGTTAGCATTCTCTCCGTCCACGACTTCGCGAAAGGACCGCGAAATGGTATCTCATTTGCACCGGACGCGGAGGGCGCCCTAGCCGAGGCCTGGAATACACTTGTTGCGCAGATGGAGACCTCCTTTCAACCGCGGTTTATATATACGACAAATCTAGGCCTTGCACTCATCATCATGGATCTGGACCGGTACCATCGACTACTAAAAGACGGGCCAGCGTGGGAAAGAGCCGCATGGGAAGATCCGGCATCGGGAAGTGGGGATGGGTCAGATGCAAGAGTGCCAAAAGGATTCCTCTGTCACGATGACAGGCTCCTCGAGCATATGCTGCCAAGAATTGACCTCGGGGTAGCCGTGGCCAGTTACACTCAGTTTCATAACGTCACAGCGTTTCTCGACAGATTGGCTGGGAACAGGCCAGCTCAACTCAGGACTTTGACGCTACACTGAACCCTCATAAGTCTCTGCACACGCACGACCCTTCCCGCAAACAACGGTATATTCATCAAATCAGAAATACGGAATAAGCACAGCGGAATAAGCATTGTCGGTGGCATATCGAACCAGAGCTGCTTATTCCTGCCTGCTTATGCCGTTATTTCTAAATATCTACGTGTGATCTGGAAACCTTCCAGCATGGTGCGTACGGAGACTTACGAGGGCTGAGTATATATGGACATCACCGACAATCTGACTAGCGCTAGAAGCAATAGGTACCGTTCAGACCAGCCACGTATTCCAGTATATGTATGCATGGATGATAGTCTCTGAGCGCGTTCTGGACCAGTGACTGACTGATGCAGGACATCCGCCCAGTGGTGTCACGGCGATAAGGGGCTATAGCCGATGCTTACGAGGTAACTGAGGTATATATAAGAGGGTCTCGCTCCCTAGAGGGCTAGAAGGCCAGGTTTCAACCGTATATAATGACCTCTTTTGGAATGTATGCCCTGTCCTGTCACGCTGCCACGCCCTTATTTTGTTCGTCAAGCCACGCTCTTACTTGACTTCGTGTTCCCAACCCAGCAGATTGAGCGCCCTTACTTGATTTAACACCTGGCAGGACCTGCAGTTGTTGAGGTGAGCATCATCACCCTCGATGGGCATCACCCTGCCTTCTGGCGTCCTGACAACATCAACGGTCTCTTCCCATACCGGCCCTTCCTTCACGAGCTGCTGGTAGCGTTCCTCGTCCAGCATGACCCCCATGAAGTGGATATCGAAGTGGTTGACATGGTGAGGACGAAAGCGTTGATTTATCCGAGTAGAGATTGTCGTCAGAGTCTCGGGACGCAAGGCAGCCGATGGGTCATGGACAAAAGCAGGACGAGCATCCGTAAAATCGAAAGGCCCGCGCGCTCTGATCAAGCTGAGCCAAAAATCCAGGGAAGAAGGTGGGTTCCACCACAGGTACGAGATGAGATTGCTGCCGCTGAAGAAGGCCCATTTCCGAAAACCTATGGTCTCGAGTATCAGCTGACCGATTTGTTCTTGCAGCGGCCCCTAGTACGATGCATCATACCTCTGGTGATATCATATTCACCATTGGTGAATATGATATCCCACTCGATAATTCGGACTACTTCGATCTTCGAGAAAATCTGCCAATAGGCGTCGATCAGGGAGGTCTCTCGCCTGGAAAGTAGGTTGTAGCCAATCTCTAGCGCAAGAAACGACCTCGCGATTCGGGCCACCTCAGTCAGTGTGAGCTTGCAGGGCTCGAGTTTGCAGGTCTGGGGGAATGGCGAGACGAATGATTGTTCGGTGCGACGCAGGATCCTTAGGATTTTGCTCGGGAAGTTGGGAAATGCTGCAAGGGTCGGCAATTCAGGCTCCGCCGCAACCTTGAGCAAATTGACGAATTTTTGTTATTATTTGTGGCTCATGGCTGAACTCTATTAATCTTCTCCCTCAACTTCGACGCCAACATGGCTCCAGCGAAACCTTCGTCTGCTCCAGCACCGTTTTAGTCTGTCACAGCCACGCACTCACATGCTCTCACAAGATATTGTGCGGTGCGGTGATTGAATCATCACATTGAAGTCGCTTGGAGGGAAGAGGGGGTACCCGTAAGTTTCCAACAATCAACCAAAACATTGAAGTATCGCGTGCAATGTTGCTAAACCGAACCTCCAGAGGCTTCCGTACACCCCTCGTTCACCAAGCGAGCGGTATATGTAGTATACCTGGACTAATCAGCCCGTATGAGCATCGAATATAGCTTATTAAATTAAACATGCTTATCCCAGGGTTCTTACTCCATAAACACGAATATAGTATCAATTTTTAAAAGCCAACAGAAGCATGACGGACGGAGACTTATGAGGAGTGACTGTAGCTAATAGAGGCAAGTTTGGCTGGGATACGGGCAGAAAGGCAGCAGAAACTAGAAAATCCAGTTGAAAGAATGATAATGTGGCTTGCTGATCAGGTAGTAGGATATACCCAACCAAGACCTCGCCATATGTAGTACATCCTCAGCGGCGACGCCAAGCCCATCCCAGCACGGCCTTGGAGATTACCTCGAGCAAGCTCCTCGCTACCCCTTTGACCTCTCCGCCGCGCCATCAAGTCAGACCATCATGTCGGCGCCAGCGCCATACCCATCAGCACCGCGACTTGCGAAAGAATCCACAGCCCGGCGGTTTTGAACAAGGTCCTGTTCCTGTATTTCGGTCCATTTCCGTCGTTCCGCCTCGACGCCAAGTCTGTATGCTTTGCTCCACAGCCAGTAACTGAGTGCCAGAAAGAAGATGGGTGACGGCGACCAATCGCTGTAGTACGCTCTGTTGCTTCCATGGTCGCTGTCTTGGTTTGCCGCATGGTCGCTGTCTTGTTTTATTGTATGGTCGAGGCCGATGGTGCGGGCCGATGATGGGTTGGTCGCAGTAGTTAGGTCCTCCAATGAAGACTTGTCCCGCGTGTCCGTTTCAACTCCTGCTTTCCCATCTACCAAGAGTTCAATATTGTCATTGGACAAGTCGGAATCGAGGCCATGGTCGGCGTTATCCACCGTGCGCTGCGGTGGAGCCAATACACTGTCTTGCTCGTCGCGTACGCCCAAGGCCGTGACGGAGTCGGAGGGGGTCGTGTATCTCGCACAACCACGTTTAGGGATGGTGATCGTTTCGGTGACTGTCAGGGTTGACGTTGGCTGACTTGGTGGAACCAGAGGACCGACGGTCAGTTGTTGGTTTGCGGTTCCAAGAGTTGCTCCTAGAGCCACGACTACTACAATGGGTAAAATCATGGTAAAGGCTGCGAATCGGTCGAGTAGGGGAGAATGTTGGATGTTTGGTGGAGAATGTTGTGTGAGTACGAGAAGAGGAAGAATGCCCGAGAGAGACTGACGGCCGTAAAATACTAAGAGACTTGCAGGTCTCATTTCCTGGATTGTAACTTTGAGTGGCTTCGCCCTACTGGCGGCACCTTGAGGGCATTTTCGACATTAAAAATCGGAGCTCTAATCCAAAGCTGTACACTCTCAAGTGACAATGTTCTCCAAGCGAGCAATACACCATAATCCGAGCCGCCAAGCGGCGGAGCATCTCATATCTTGCTCGACTTCTCCACCTCGGACACATCTAGCACCGCCGGCGGCTCCCTCACCCAATCCAAGATGCGCCGCCACACCATGTCGCCATCATGTTCCATCTCGATCATCTGCTCGAGCCGCGCCCAGGCCTTCTCGTCGACGGCGTCGAAGCCGAACCACCGCATCGAGTCGTGCATCCGCAGCCGCGCCGTCTCGGCGTCCTTCTCCGGGTGCCCCTGGAACGTCAGGATCGTGTTGCTCGCGTTCAGGAGACACTGGTTGCCCCGGGCGAGGTGCGCGAATCCCGGCGGCGCGGCGGCGACCTCGCGCCGGTGATGCTGATGCAGCTTGAAGCAGCCGGGGACGGCGGCTTCGTGGAAGAACTGCCGCCCTTGCTCTGTCAGGCCCACCGTGGCGACGCCCATCTACCTTCTTCGTCAGTCCCCAAATACACTGGCTGGCCAGACGGATTCGAGGGAAATCAGACTTACCTCTGGCACAGCCGCATCAACCACCACGCCCCCAAAGACCCGGCAGATCGTCTGGTGGCCCCAGCAGATCCCCAGTATCTTCCTCTGGGGCCACCGCCTGACCACTCCCCTCAGGAACTCATGGACCTCCAGGATCCAGGGGTGCGACTTGCGGGGATTGACGTTGGACCCGCCAACGACGATGAGGTCGAAGCGCGCCGGGTCTGGGAAGTCGCCCTGCCTGTTGGCGGGCTCGAAGAAGACGGACTCCGTGCCCGCCGGGCAGACGCCGCCGAGGGTGCGCTCGTAGGAGTTGCGGATGGCCGGCAGGAAGCGTGAGCGGTACGAATTGAGCAGGATGGCGATCCGCAGGGGTTGTGCTGCCGCACCTGGGCCTGATTCGGGGGCTCCCTCGAAGGCGGCCGAAGGGAGGGGCGAGGGCATGACGCTGTGAGATAGATAGGTAAATGTATATGGGTATGTTACCAGATGTGATTAGGTAATTTGGGTATGGAGTGTATAACAAGGCGCACTACGCGATGGCGAACCGCAAGGCTTCTATGAGATACGGTATGCTGACAATGACGGAAGGACGCAATATATAAACACGAAGAGAGCTTTCTCCGATGAGTGATTCTTTAAACCTAATATAAGCATGTCTGTTGAAGACAGCCGATGTGGTGTAAGTGTTGAAGAGACTGATCCTAGTCTCCGGCCCTTTGTCCTTCGATGAGTTAGAGGGGGCAACCAGTCACACAAAAGACGGTCACGAGCAACGACCACGACGATGTTGGTAGTGGAGAATGTCGGGCAGACGTTCGCAGCTGCCCCGGTGGTCAGTGCACCTACAGCCCTGGAGAGGTAACCGTAAGAAGCACCTGACCAATCGGGGAGTTTGGCAGCCGTTCCACAGCAGATTCCCAGCCCTGCCTGTCACCTGGCCGCCCGGCTCCTGGAGAGGCGCTGGAGCCTGGGCAAGAGGCACACGGGGCACCATCCCCTAGGTAGCGTCCGTAGCGGCGCGTTAAGGTTGGTACGCTGAGATGAGCAGCGGAATCGATGCCGCGAGCTAAGGCGTCTCCCGCCCGATTAGGACATTGGAGCAACATCAAAGCCGTCTTGTTCTTAGTGATCGCATGGGATGTGAGGGAGTTTCACGATCGAGGATATTTGATTCCAGAGGCGTTTGAAAGTAGCTCTCGAGGTTCAGGTAGAGGTAGACTGTTGGCACAGTGAAGAACACTGGTAGGCAGCCAGCTCCCAACGGGCTCGTCCCCGGAAATAGGTAGGTACAGAAGACATAGTCGGGCAGACCAGACATACACGTTGAGGGCAACTGAAGCCGAAAGGACGGTGCAGAGTGAGGTAGTAGAGAGAAAGCATACAATAAAATGACATCTTCCTCAACAATCCATTGTGGCCTGACGTTTTTGTGACAAATGCCACAAGAGGGTGTCAACCCTCCCGCCCCTATTATGTCAGGCGCGGCTCGACACGAAGCGGCTGTCGAGTTAGCAGCCAGCCTGGAGATGGTGCTCATTGACAAGTTGGGAAGGACAGGGGTCCGCTGGGCCGGTCGAAGATCATAAGAAATGACAGAAGCAGACGCGTCTACAACTAGAACAGCCTGGATTGGGACGTCGGTCTGTCGAACAGCCTGGATGCTGGGTTACACGGCGCCACCCAAAGTCTCTGATTGCAGCTGGTGCCCCAACGTGTCTCATTGCTCAAACAGTGAGCAGACGCAGGGCAGAGTACGGTACATCTCATCGGGCTGGCTGGCTGGCTCGCCGACAGCGGGGAGGCGAGCCCGGCATCCATTACCGCGAGAAGCAGAAGCAGTTCGTCGCTGGTCTCTTCTTGTCTTACCAGGATCTGGCTCCTCCTAGAGCGGGCCCTGCTAGTTCTGCATGTCATCATCTGCATGGCCAGCGATGACGGTGATAGATAACGGCCATGCACGCCGGTCTTGCCGCTCCATGCCACGCTGGCAGCTGTCAGTCTGGCCTTCACGCAGAGTGAAGTCGTGCGTGCGTGAGTGAACCAGCCAGCCTGATGTTTGAGTTATGGTTAGGTAGATGTACCTACCAGTAGCCCGGTCCACGGTACTACAGCCTCGCCTGTCTCTGATATCAACTTTGGTACTCGAGGACGACTCAGCCGAAGGAGCCGAGATTGGTTACGGGGAGGCTGGCGTCGACGGCTGGAGAAACCTCATCTCGGGTGACTCCGACAGAGCCATGTCAATCAACTGCCCTGGACGTAAAAAGTGTTTGTCGAATGCATGTTGAGCGCAGCAGCTGAACAGTGAACACTCGCTTAGGGACTGGAGAACCTCCCACACCCAGAGAATAGGTAGCGACCCCCCCTGCTGTAGAACAGGACCAATCCGTGATGGCGTGCATGCAGGAATCTTCATGCGGCCACAACGTTGCGGGGGCCATTCCGGGCTCCTGGGATCAGGGCTGTTACCATCTACACAGTATTGTGACAGTTGACTGATCGACTGTCAGAATACGAACAGCCCTCGACACTGCGTGGCAGTGTGAGGAGAAGGCCGTGTCATCGCCGCAGCAGGGTCATGGTGCGGGAATTCGGGAAGCTCGCCGGACTCGGGGATGTCTCTGCCCCGAAGTGCTGTATCTACCACATGGTGTCTCGGCTGGCCGTCCGGAGGGTACATTCGACGATTTAGCCCCCCACACATACGTCCAAGATCGTACCAGATCTATCTTATCGTCGCAGCCGGCTATCGATCGAATTGCGGACATTTAGGATCGGACAGGGGCCTGAAATCTGGGTCAGACAGCAGCTTACTCACCGGCAAACCGTTGGGCGTGGAGTGAGGGACGAAGGTTGCCATATGCGGAAACCCGTTCGCTGGCCAGCAACAACCACACACGCGCCAGTTCCAACTTTGACATCGTCTGGAAATATGGGTAGCGTTCTCGGCGTATCGACCTAGCAACGGGATTGCGTGGCACGGGTATACCATATGGCGTCCGGCGTGATTGGAGCATAGTGTCTGGCATGCAGAGGCAGAGGTAGAAAGCTGTCAGTGAGTAGGAACCCGACCTCAGCAGCAGCAGCAGCAGCAGCAGCAGCCTGACTGGGTACCACTGCGCCCCTGTTGCAACTCTGCGTCGCTTTGCATATCGGAATCTGCCACGCATCCCCTAGTCGCATATGAAAGACGAATAGCACGCCCATGATATAGCAGTTTGTCCGCCCCTTCACATCATCCTGCTGCAGATGGCATCGCCCAATCATGTATGAACAGGTAGAGCCTCAAGACATACAAGAGCAGGGAGTGCCCTTGTATAGGGCTGGCCACCTTCCACAGTGTCGTTGGAGTTTATGTCCCGTGAGGCGATGTCAGCTTGAGTGAGATGAGGATACGGCACTGGTCATCCCCTTTAGGAAATAAGAATATCGGTTTGAGAGACTTGCTTCCCGAACCTCCACTTCACTCCCTCGAGATCCACTCAAGCCCATAAGCCCATCGGCATCTCGACGAGTCCAAGGCCAGACTGGAGAAGAAAAGAAGAAAATGGGATCAAGACGTAGGCAAGGGTGCCGCACGAACAATATTAGTTGCCGCGTATTCCCCTCGAAGAGCCATCATGGTTTGTCTCATCATCTTTCTGTTTTCCTCCTCCTCATTGCGTTCCGGACAGATCCATGCCATTGGCTCCCTGTGTTTTCTCACAAACCAGAGAGTAGAACCTGCCGCTACGTACCTTGCCCGGAGGCTGGTACTGTTTACCTCGTCTTGTACTGAAGCTCAGACACCATTATAGGGGCCTGGCAGAGGACGTCCAACGCCAGAAATCTTCAGACCTTGACAGGAGTCGTCCACCGAAACTCTGACGATTTCCCCTCTTCACTTGTCACCGTTCCCAAACCAGTTCCTGCGGGCTGGCTGCAAGAACAGCATCGACAGCGGTTCCTGACTCAACGCTCGGGAGGCCGCACAAAACCTGCATCGCTACCAAGAACACTGGTTCCCTGACCGCTAGGTTCCTCTGCACGAATACCCAACATACTCCCCAGCACAGCTTGAAGCGGGGTGTCGACGACTTTCACTGGCCCCAGGCTCGCGCATCAGCCCGTTGCAAGCGGCGGTCAACATCGACGAGGAGAGGGGTTGTGACGACGGAAGAGAGAGAGGCAAGACAGGAGCATAAGACAGATGCCCAAGATGATTAAGAGAGAGGCACAACCCCAGTATTTCTTGGGCCGTCATCCACAGAGCGAGTCTCACTCTCGCAGAAACCGTCTGAGAGGCATCCCAACGCATCACCCCTACCGACGGGCCAACTTCAACCATAGACCTTATCCATTCTGTAACGGGGCGCTGTCTCAGCAACGGTCAGAACTGACAATGGATGAGCAATCGTTCTACCCCAATGGCCTTCGCAGCGGCGACGATGCCTTCTATGAGGTATGGCCCCGTCCAATCTTCTGTTCCAGCAGGCGTTAATGACTCCTGCCACAGGTCAACGATGACGACTTTTACGGTGACCAGATTCACGGCATCCACATGAGCACGCCAAACAGCAGTGCCCAAACGCTTGCCGCGGCTGTCTCAGCTGCAAATGGCGGGAGGGACGCAGCTGGTCCGAGTCATCTCCAACCCAGCAACAAAAGTCAACAACTGGGAAATGAGCAGATCGGTTGGCAAGGCCACCCCGCCAGCGCAAACGCCTTCCTTCAGGGCGTCCCGCTGTACGTCAACAACCAGGTCTCATACCAGGGCTACAACGCCGCAGGCTTTGGTCAGCCTGGCAACTACATGCCCTTCCCTGATGGCATGCCTGCCAACGCTTCGTTCTCCGACCCCAACATGTCCTTCGAGACTCTCGAGTACAACCCATTCAGCCCAATCTCGACCAACCTCAGCTTCTCGTCGTCCTCGGACGGGTCGCCGGTCGCATCTGAACAGCTGGCTATTGAATCGATGACCCTCGGTTCTGCGTCCGCACAGGAGAGAAACCCTCCCGTCATGGCAAGGAGTGGCCATCACACGCCAGTTGCAGAGGGTTCTGGGCAGGGCCAGGCCTGGGGAGGGAGCTGCCCGGCGACGATTTCCCCCAAGATGCTGAGAATGAACCCATCGCCAACCCCTACCTCGTCAACCAACTCGGTACACACTGGTCTCATGCTTGGGGGCGAGTCCGACCTCGGCTCTACGGCATTCGACCAGCAGCACCATGTCTGTAACCCATTGGGCTCGAAACGGTCGGGCCACAAGCAACGCAAAGAACTTCCGAGCAAGTCCAGCAAGCCACGACCACCGCCGTCCTCGTCGTGCGGCTCATCATCCTCGAAGGGCAAAGCTCCAGTGCATGCCCACGCCCACCACCACCACAGCGTCCAACAACCAGTCCCAACTCACCACCTGGTCCCCCTGAAACCGATGCCCGACTTCGGGAACCAAGATGCTGCAACGCTGATACCTGTCAACGTAGCCGACGCTGAACGGGCGGAGAGAGACAGATTCCTGGTCGAGTCGAAGGACGGGGGCATGACGTACAAAGAGATCCGCCGTCTGGGCAAGTTCACCGAGGCCGAGTCCACATTGCGAGGCCGATACCGAATGTTGACGAAAAACAAGGAGGAGCGTGTGAGGAAGCCCGTGTGGCATGACAACGACGTAAGAATCACTGTTGCTTCCCGTCTTCTTCCCCTCCTCGTCTGTATTCATCTGCCCACGTACCCACCCGATAGTCTACACACTGCTGATCTCTTGCCCTTCACAGATATATCTGCTCAAGAAGGCCGTCCGCAAGCTCGCCCCAGATGGGGCCAAAGTGCCCTGGAAGCAGGTCTCTGACTACATCACCCACCACGGGGGCTCGTACCATTTCGGCAATTCTACGTGCCGGAAGAAGTATGACGACCTGGTCGCCCAGGGCAGAGCTGCCGAACTGGCGTGAAGCGGGTTTCAACAGGGACGATCTGCGAGAATGTACGATATTGAACTGGAATAGAAGACATGTGTTAATGGAGGTCACGTCGAGGAGGGTGGGGGACAGTGCGTAAGGTACTTACATTGAGGAGGTCTGCATTTGGTGTTGTTCAAACAGACAGCTGAAAAAAGTATGACCTCGCGGTCCAGCAATTGAATTTCGTCGAGTTTCAGTCTGCATTCAGATACGTACTCCTCAAAGATTGCCTTGCAACTCGTCCGTCGGCGGTACCCCGATCTTTCTGAGAACGCTCAAGAGCATGTCAGGATTCTCCCTGAGAGCGTCCCACTCCGCTTGATTCTTGACTAGAGCGGTACCAGCCAGTACCGTGCCATTCAGAGCCACACTACCGGCTTCTTCGTCACTGCGGTTCTGGATGGAGGCGCCTTCCGCTGTCCGCGGGCACAGAGCCATGGAGGTGCTCGTCATGGCAAAGTTGTAGCTGATCTTCGCTTCACCTTTATCGGGCACTTCTTCGCTGGCTATTGTGGCCTTGACGGCACGTTTGTACAGCGCCAAGTACGCATCATGTCTCTCCTCGCCACTCATTTCTGCATCGATAGCAGCTGTGAAGATGGAGAACGGCAGTGCCTTCTTCCGCCCACGAATCCTGTCTGCGAGTACGTCCCACTCGCCTCCGCGGTCGGCGTCTTCCAGACCGTCTTTCATGCGCTCTACGGGCAGAAGCTGCAGATGTCGGTGCGGTTGGCTGGCACCCGAGTGCTCTCCCGAATTGAAGAAGGTGAATAGCTCCTGTCCCGCGGTATGGTAGGCTCGTATACAGGCATAGGCTGCGTCTATGTCATCTTTCTCGAGAACATGCGTCTGGGGCTTGGCCTCTTTCGTAGCCAGTATGAAGTGTTCCGGCACGATGGCGAACTTGTTCAGGACCAGGTTGTGCGACGGCGGGAGCTCGGCGATCAGCATAGCTGCGGAGGGGTTCTCGAAGGGATTGAATGGTTTCGCGTTCGGCTCTTTGGGCTTGGGGGCTTTTGGCTTCGATGCGAGCGAGGGGGAGAAACGGAGCTGGAACTGGCGCCGGGCAGGTCAGTCATTTGCGGTGCGATGTTTGAGAACTGGAGCGAAACTTACTGCAAGAGAGCCCGGCGTCAACATGGCGGCCTGCGTGGGATAGTACGTCAGGTCGCCATTGGCTCTCGCCTTCGTAAACGCTGCTTTCACGAGTCCTGGCAGATTCGAAGGTGCAGTTGGGCGTGCCATCTCTTCCATGGTGGCTATTGGGGTGGCTCAATTGGTTGTTACGGTGGGTGCGAGAGTATTGTCATTGTCTCAATTGAGGTTGTCAGTTGTCGCATCGCGACCAATGCCGTCAGCTAGCAGCTGCTGCCAATCCCTTGGCAGCTGCAATCAGTAGCTTGTTACAATCCCCTATCATCCCAACGGTCTCCAACCTTGCGGCACCGTCACATTCATTCGCCTCTATCAACATTCGCCTCTATCAACATTCGCCTCTATCAACATTCGCCTCTATCAACCTTCGGCACCGGAAGGAAAGTTCTTGAATCGGACTGTGCGCTGCAGATTTCGAGAAGGAGAGTCTTCAGAGCCTCTCAGCTACATTGAACCCTCCTGTTGACCTTGAGCATGAAAATATAGGGGCATTCTGTGCCTGGGTAATAAGCACTCCGAACGACCCAATATTGATGGCTTGATTGGTTACACCTGCTTAGATCAGGGCACTTATTCCAAATAATATATGTCTACAGTTTGGAATCTGAGCAAGGTGCGCAGGAAGTATGGCTCTCCTTGGCTCAGCAGCTCAGCCCGACGGACACTTCGAAGTTCTCGATGCCGTAAAAGATTCTGATCTCGCAAGCAGGGGACAGTCCCTCATATAGGCTCCTCAACCAGTTCGCAGTACCATTGTTATATTGTTCTATCACTTTGAGAGGCAAAACTGGATCATACTTCTACTATGCTTTCTCCTGGACAGCCCGATGCTTCGCTCGTTTCGAGTGGCCTGCCTTACTGACACTACGTTGGTAATCTGAGTCTTTGACCTTGTGTCTTCGATTGAGGAGATCTCCGGAGAGACGGTGTCTCTTGCGCGGGCAGAAATGTACATCTTGGAGGTGTCCTTTACCGTATCAAGAATTCACTCGATTTCTGGGCTCGTGGTCCATCCGATCGAGCTTACAAAGACTTTGCACACTAGAGAGGTTTTGACCATCGTATGTCAAATGAAGTATCGAAGCTAACATGGTAATCCTAGGACGAAGAACAACCCAAGTGCCTGTGATTATCTTCGGGCAAACCATCGATCCGCGGCTATGCAGACTGTCCTGGGATTTCGTTGGATATAAGCGTACTGTGTGGGATGCCATGACCTCAATTCCTTCCAGCTGAGCCTAAATGGAGGCAGATGTGCGAGATATCACACACAGCCTGCGGCCTTAGTACCACAACTATCGCGAGGACAATAGCATCTCAGCCAACACCGGCCACAGTTAGCAGCGATATGCCTATACTCGACACGTAATTCACAAGTAGGACTATAACTGTGTGCTCGCAAGTAAATGGCAACCGAGACTGAGGCTCGAGTGAATAGTCAGCTGACATTGGAGCTCAACTTATCATCCCAGCCAGAAGTCGACAGCCAAGACGAGACACCTGTACATGCGTCGTGGGACGCTGGACCGGCTAGCAGCTCTCTACGAGAGCCACCGCCGATTTTTGCAATGACCTACGTTCCATACAGTTCAGATGCTTGGCCTGACGAGTGAGCATCAATCACACTCATGTCTATTTCGACCGCAAACCCTGACTCAATTAGATTGATACCCGCCCATGAGCGATGTTTCCCCTTGTCAGATGCAGGGAGGGAAGCAGCGGAGGGCCGGCAGCAGCCCCGGCTTCCGGTTGCGGGCCCCCTTTCGGAAGCGGATTGGATAGGAGCCCCCGACGATCCGACTGTCGTTACACCACACCCCAAAGTGAACTTACCTATCTCCAACCCCGCGATCTCACAGCAGAAGGCGGGGTCGTGAAAGAGGAGGGCGCCGAAGATAAGCGTTCCATGTATCTAGTTGCATGCATGCATGATGTCAAACCTCGATCAGCATGGTCGAGATAAAGAGTGCGAGTCGCGCTCTTGATCGCGACGTGGTGTTGAGCTTGTTGACATGTTTTTCAGCCCTCATTGTACAAATCCATACTACAATTCCACGACGTAGAACAACCCGTATAGAGACTCACACAAGAAATCCCACACCATGGCACCCGTCGACATCGGCGTTTTCATCCCGATCGGCAACAACGGGTGGCTGATCTCGACGACGTCGCCACAGTACATGCCGTCGTACGACCTGAACAAGCAGATCGTGCAGAAGGCCGAGGGCTACGGCTTCGACTTCGCGCTGTCGATGATCAAGCTGCGCGGCTTCGGCGGCAAGTCGGAGTTCTGGGACCACAACCTCGAGTCCTTCACGCTGATGTCGGCGCTCGCGGCCGTCACGTCCCGGATCAGGCTCTTTGCCAGCACGGCGATCCTCACGCTGCCGCCGGCGCTGGTCGCGCGCATGGCCACGACCATCGACAGCGTGGCGCCGGGCCGCTTCGGCATCAATATCGTCACGGGTTGGCAGTCAGCCGAGTACGCGCAGATGGGGCTGTGGCCGGGCGACAAGTACTTCGGGTACCGGTACGACTACGCGACCGAGTACGTGCAGGTCATGAAGGACCTTTGGAAGGACGGCGTGTCGAATTTCAAGGGCGAACACTTCCAGATGGACGACTGCAAGCTGTCGCCGCGGCCGGGCGGTAAGGTGCAGATCGTGGCGGCGGGGCAGTCCGGGCGCGGCGTTGAGTTTGCGTCGGGCTACGCCGACTATAACTTCGCCATGGGTTCTGGTATCAACACGTCGACGGCGTTCGGGCAGGCGACGGCGCGGCTGGTGGCAGCGGCGCAGAAGGCCGGCCGCGACGTCGGGTCCTACGTGCTGTTCATGGTCATCGCCGAGGCCACGGACGAGGCGGCCCAGGCGAAGTGGAAGCTGTACAACGACGGAGTCGACGAGGACGCGCTGTCGTGGATGAAGAGCCAGTCGAGCAAGGACACGAACACCGATGCCAATTCCACAGCCAAAAACATCGACCTGCCGGAGGGCGCGGTGAACCTCAATATGGGCACGCTTGTCGGCTCTTTCGAGACGGTTGCGCGTATGCTAGACGAGGTTGCCAACGTGCCGGGTACGAAGGGCATCATGCTCACGTTTGATGATTTCTTGGAGGGGCTCGACAAGTTTGGTAAACACGTTCAGCCACTCATGAAGAGCAGGGAAGGGAAGGCATAGACTGACCCGGCGAAGTCAGTCTGATGATCAATCATCCTAGACACGATGACTATCTGGGTACAGCTCTGAAGTGACAGCGAAACACTTTTCACCGCAATGAAGTGATGTTCCCTAGTATAGATAACAGTCTGTTATGAGCAATGCCGCGTCCATCTGAGTAAGACAGCGTACATGTAATCGAACAGTGTTATGGCCCGGCTGTTGTCAGTCGGTCGTGTTCGCGAGGGTTCACATCGCGTCCATAACTCGATCAATCCTTCGTCGCGTGAGACGGACATGGCTTGCAATACCATTGCGAGGCAACATATCTAAATTTTGGCTCAACGTAAGTATTCTCACATATACTACCCTTGAAGTAATCACCAAAGCATAATAACTCTGTCAATCACACCCATACCGTGGGATGCTTCTCAGATGATCAGAAAAACTGTTGCTCGCGGATGCTTCTGCGCCAACAGCGATATCGTGAACCAAGCAGGGTTTCCAAGCGCAGCACAGTCTGGAAACTCTCGACCTGGGCCTACCAAAGCTCTACTGCAGGGGAGCCAGCCAGATGAAAAAGGTTTATGATAGCTTTTAATGTTCCTTCGTGGGATTAACAGGACCTCAGAAATCCCCGAAAAGGACCCGTTACCCTGACTTCTAAGCGCCGACCGCCCCCAAATTTAGAAGCGGGATGGATGCGCCCCTGGCCTAAGTCGACCCCGCACGCGGTTCGGACCCCTGAGCTTTCACTTTAGCGGTCCCGAGTTCAGGGTCGAAAGGGGGCGCATGTTTCGAAACACGCGCCAAATCACGGACCTGATAGCCCCCGATGCAATCATGATGTCGTTCTACGCTTTCAGGCTTTCTGATCATCTATGATCTGATGAGTACAGGTGTCCAGGATGGTAATGGTTAGCGGTTCCACAAGGAAGGAACTTTTAGGTTCGGACCGATCTTTTGCCTGTCAAAAACACGCAAAGTTCTGATCTATAATTATCTGCGATAGTATATGTGTAGAACGAACGTTATGGGTTGATGGTGCGTAGAACTTTACGGGGTCTAATGGTTCCTTCGGCAGTTACCATCATAGACGGATCTATACCCCTAGCATGTATGTAGAACCGCTGCCCATTACCATCCTGGACACCTGTAGGTAGAATTGACAGGATTAGGCTTGTTGTTAGCTTGGGATCCGATGATCCTCTAGTAAGGTTTATGCGAATGGATCGCGAAGGAGCAACACGGTAGGGCAGGATGAGTTCGGAGGAGTAACCATGCGAGACTAATCAGTCTGTCAGTGCATGGATGGTTGAACGTTGTCCGTAATTTGACACGGTGCGATGAATCTGTTTCATGCGCCGCGGTGTGAATGATTTGGTTGGATGTGGCTTCTGGCCCACGAGCAAGTAGGTACGAACAGTCGTCAGTGCACCGATGGCACAAGCGTCAATATATCCTCTCATTATAAAGCAGGGCCTGGCTAACCATGTGCGAGTGGTAGGTAGAGGCATTCCTCGACACTGCTTGGGGTGCCTCATAGTCATCGGTGGCGCGCGATCGCCGCCACTCAAACCATCTCTTGTAGGGCTGAGCTTGGTTGGCCTGAGCCGGAAGTTGGTTAGTTGTAACCGAACCAGGTGCTCACTCGGTCATTGGTAGCGGTACTGGACGTCTTTGAGGCCCTTGTGTCCTGCCGTATTCGCATCGGGATGACGAGGCGCAGGCAGCACATGGTAACAGTGAAGGTATGCAGCGCCGATGACACAACCAACGCAGAGGCAGATAAAGGAGACCCCCAAGTCGGTTGAAACCGAGATTGCGCCCGTGAGGCATTGTAGTAGGTTGCGTAGGTAGACCAGCTCGTGGGGGCTACACGTGTGCCAGAGTGGGTGTCGGATGTTTGTCATGACCGTCTCCTCTTCACCGAGATGAGGTGCACGCAAACTCGGTAGCACCACATCTGAGGGCGCAACACCAACGAAGCTTTCTAGAAGGCGGATGGTCTACATCGGCTAATATGAGCGGGACGTATGCCGGCCAGAGACTGTAGGTTCCCGTAGTGGTGAAGCTTATGTAGACGCGCCGCGGTTCTGCAAGTCGTGTCGATAGTACACAATTGCAAGCGATTTGGCGTCGATGCAAACCAATCATCCCATGGGCGTTAGTATGGGAACACTAGAGTCGACGATGGATGGCCGATGGATGGCCGATGATGTGTACCTTATCATTATGATACTGCTGGAGAAAAGAAGCATTGATCGACCGGGCGGATGATGGATCCTGGCTTGCTGAAGATGGGAGTACCCGCAGCCAGTAGATCCGCCGTGGGCGGTGGACCCCTGTTGCTGAGCCCCGTCCTTCGATAAAGTGCAAACGTCAAGCTCTCAACGCCGCCAGTCCAGACGCGCTGCATTCTGACATTCTGAAACAGCCACCTGCACAGGATACAGTACATGCAGGTGGACTGTGCAGAAGAGCAGCGCCAGTCATCTGGGGCTTGGGCAACATTCAACTTTAAAGCGGTGGTTTCATCATCGTTATTATCGCATCCTGTCACCAATCGCAACCGCGGTTTCCGCATGAAGCTTTGTCCAATGTCTATGGTCAGACCGGGGAGTCGGGACCTCATTGTAGGACTCCATAGCTGCCCTGTAAGGAGAGTGCAAGGTCAGATGACGAGTTGCGCCGAGAAGAACCTCAAAGCGCCTTGTCCTCCGTCGCTGCATCCCGTTCCATCTTCGGCGGTACGAGACAGTCCGATCTGAATCTCCTGAGTCCTGACAGCCGTAGGTGTGATACGACCTGGGACCATGGGAGGATCGTCATCGGATTGCCCCCACCCTTGTCGTCTGCCAGGGCACTACCAGGACATGCAGGAACAGACGCCAGCAGAACGTGGCATCGGGACCGTCAGTCAGGTTGGACCAGCAGATGTATGTGTACCACGGCGAGGATCTCACTCCAACAGCATGCCGTTCACCACCCAACGATTCTCCTAACAAGCAACCCATCCAAGTCTGTCAGTCTCGTTGTAGGTACTACGATTGTAAACTCCTACGTGCAAGTGCTGAGACCATATGTCTCAAGACCAGCCAGATTCTTCGCTCTTGCTTTTGTGCTCGTGTACCTTGAGGTAGTTAGGAGAAAGGGTGTTTGGGGCATGAACTACTGTCATCCAATGGCCACACCTCCTTTCATCCCAGTCTCGCCTCCGAATGGGGGTGGATGCACGTATTCGTGTGGTGGCAGGGTGGTCGTTACCTACCACGAACGCCCTTGCATGCATCCTAGGTACCAGTACAGGACCCAAGCCAGGCCAGAGCATCCCCAGACTTGGCACGACTTCTAGCACTCCCCTGATTCCCTCCAGCCAGTCCCGGCGCAAGGTTGGCAGCGCTTGACTTGGATGATTCTACGTATACGCAGTCAGTAGCGACGAGTGCTCGGAGCTGAGGTATACAGAAAGCGAGGACTGAATAGCGAAATGGCAGTGGTATCCCATAGGGGTTGCGATCTCCACATTCCGTTCTCAACTAGAGTAGTGCGGCAGTTGCGGGAGCTTAGCACTGGCTGAGAAGGGGTCGCCCGACTCGCCAGCTCGCCCGGCATGGGCAGCTGCTCCTGCAGGCGTTATGACAGCCAATGGTTGAATACCCCTCTGGCCCCTTTGGGTAATTGCCAAGTCAGTCGTCTTGACTTCACACAGTAAGCGCTAGCCGCCCATGTGATTTATGTAAAGCAGTACAGCATGTACAAGAACCTACAGTGCAGAAGAGGCGCCCTGTGCAGATGCATCAACATTGAATAACACCGAGTTCCAATTGTCTGCAGCTACGTTGGGCAGGGTGATATCGAGTGGTGGCGGGCAATGATCTGTCAGTCTGTGTAGGCATCCCCAAGTGCAGGTGGCAGTGGACAGGGAGAGACATTGGATGGCGGGGTCGACAATTAGCAGGAACCCGTGCATCAAAATAGGATGTGCAGCAGGTGGATGCGAGGATCGGCGGGGGTGGTGGATAGAGCAGAATAACCTTGAAAGGCAAGGAAGGCATGACATGGCATATTGATGGTTGGCAAATGCATGTTTGGTCGAGGCAGCGACCAGCGACCAGCCCCAGCCCCAGCCAAACATTGTTTCTTAAAAGGCAGCAGGCCCGGGTCGTGAATGCACCTGCACCTTCTCATATAAACCTATTTGTTTGGATCGTTCTTGGGCCGGCCTGTTTTTCGCTCCTTTCTCGGTTACCCCAGCACCAGTACAAGACAGACATCCATCTTCATCTCCTTCACCCTCTTGCTCTTCCACCACCATCCTTTTATCCTTCACCACCGCCCTTTTGCCTGGACGCATACATTCTTCTTGGTTCCTCTTTGGCCACTCGGTTTGCCTGTCACCTACGATACCGTTCTCAATCAGTCACCTATGCCCCCCACCTACGCGGTCATTCGTTCACTTTGAAAGAGGACACTAAAACACGCTGACCCGGCCTTGACTTGCGACGACGACGAAACATTGTTCTTTGTTGACCCGGTGTGCACCCAACCACCAAACACCTGCACCTAACCGCCAACAATCCATTGTGGTCAATGAACAAAGGACATCTCTGACTGTAAGGCCTCCCTGTCACGCCTGCCTTTCACCTCAAATCACGCCTTTCACCCCGTTCATCCCATTCAGTCTATTCACAACTGCTCTTATTGTCTCGACTCCATTCACCCAACCCCCTTTGTTCATCATCATGTGCTTGCCATTCCCTCGTGATGCTGCACCACACCCAACGACCCCACATCTCCATCCTTTGTCATTGTTCCACATCTCCAGTCCTTTCGTGCATTGTCCCAATTGTCAGCCAGCCCTCGAGCAACAACTCGAACTTGCATGATCATCACAAAGACAGCGTGCTTGATTCACCTCCATTCTACTTCTATATTACACCCTCGTCCTTCGCCTTCTGGCTACGTAATACCTTGCTTGCACATCTACTTTGGATTTTGTTCATTCTCACAACATACCACTATTGACTTCTTTTCCACAAACTCCACCAACCATTTTTCACTTCACCTTTGCTGCACACAATACTCGCTCTACGCAATATCATCCACCGTTCGATCTATCCCCGGCGGAGCAAAGAACTGATTTCGTACAGCACCAGTCAATATCACTTTCATTTCAGCGCGGAGATTTGTGCCCAGTCCATCCACGACTAGCTGGTTCTACCGTCAAGATGGGACTCTCCAGAATCCTCACAGCTTCCCTGTTGGCGTTACGCCTTCTCTCCAGTCCGGTCAACGCCGCATCCACCAACGCTCTTGAGCAACGACAAGATGCCGGCACCGACTACTGGTTCTCTTCCATCAAGCGCCAAGGCAAGGCAGTCTGGGCCGACGATGCCTTCAAGGTCTTTCGCAACGTCAAGGACTATGGCGCCAAGGGAGACGGAACCACCGATGACACCGCAGCCATCAACAAGGCGGTCCAGGACGGCCCTGATCGTTGCATCGAAAAGTGCGACTCCCGAACCAGAACCCCTGCACTCGTGTACTTCCCTCCCGGTACCTACCTTGTCAGCTCGCCCATCATCCAGAGCTACTACACCGCATTTGTTGGCGATATGTCCAAGATTCCCACTCTCAAGGCCACTGCCAACTTCGAAGGTATGGGTGTGATTGATGCTAACCCCTACGATTACACGACCCAGTCGGACCCGCCGCCCAACTGGTACATCAACCAGAACAACTTCTTCCGTCAGGTCCGCAACTTCATCATCGACACCACGGACATGCCTCTCAACAAGGGTTCTGGTATCCACTGGCAGGTCGCCCAGGCCACCAGCTTGCAGAACATTGTCTTCAACATGAAATCCGATACCAGCCCGGAGAACCAGCAGAAGGGGCTCTTTATAGAGAATGGATCCGGTGGCTTTATGGCCGACCTCACGTTCAACGGCGGCGGTATCGGAATGGACGTTGGCAGCCAGCAGTTCACCTTTCGCAACATGACCTTCAATAACTGCAACACTGCTGTCCACATGATCTGGAACTGGGTCATGGTCATGCAAGATATGACGATCAATGGCGGCCAGGTCGGTATTAACATGACTAGTGATAGCCTGGAAGTCATCAAGGTCGGATCATTGATACTCATGGACAGCAAGTTCTCCAATGTTCCAGTTGGCATCAACACCCTCTACAAGCCAGACCAGCACGACACCAACAACACCCTCATCGTTCAAAACGTGGATATGTCTGATTCTGTTCCGACCGCCATCCAGTATGCCAAGGATAACACTGTTCTCCTGGCGGGAAACAAGGTCGTGTCTGGTTTCACCCAAGGTCGAGAATACTCGGGCACCACTGGCAAGGCCATCCAGAGTGCTCTCGATGCCACGAAGACGCCTAAAGGTCTCTTGTCCAGCGACGGCAAGGTCTTTACCCGCGTCAAGCCCCAGTACGAGGATGTCCCGGTCGCCAACTTCGTCAGCGTCAAGTCAGCCGGTGCCAAGGGTGATGGTGAGACTGACGACACTGCGGCCATCCAGAAAATCTTCAACAATGCCAAGGAGACCGACATCATCTATTTTGACCACGGTGCATACGTCGTCTCTGACACCGTCAAGATCCCCAAGAACATCAAGATCGTCGGCGAAATGTGGCCGCTTATGATGGCTACCGGCAAGAAGTTCTCCGACGAGGCTAACCCAGCTGTTGTCTTCCAGGTCGGCGAGGCTGGCGATGTCGGAACTGTCGAGATGTCTGATATGATCTTCGAGACCAAGGGCCCTCTCCCTGGCGCGATCCTCATGGAGTGGAACCTGGCCGGATCTGAGAACGGTGCTTCCGGCATGTGGGATTGTCACTTCCGCATTGGTGGTACTTCGGGCACCGAGTTGCAATCCGACAAGTGCAGCAAGAACCCCAATGTCACCACGACCCCCAACCCCGAGTGCATGGGCACCTTCCTGATGCTCCATCTCACACAGACGGCTTCCGCCTATGTTGAGAACGTTTGGTTCTGGGTTGCTGACCACGAGCTCGACCTCGATGACCACAACCAGATCAACATCTACAACGGCCGCGGTGTCCTCATCGAGTCGCAGAACCCCGTGTGGTTCTGGGGTACCGCCTCCGAGCACAGTGTCCTGTACAACTACCAGATCGCCAATGCGAAGAACACGTTCTTTGGACTCGCCCAGACAGAGACTGCCTACATGCAAGGAAACCCTGATGCCACCCAAGGAGTGACTGTCTCTGAAGGATACTTCGATCCTGATTTCAAGTCATCGTGCGATGGTTCTTCGACGAGGTGTGCTCGTACTTGGGGTATGCGCATCACCAACTCCTCCGATGTGTTCATTTATGGTACTGGCATGTACAGCTTCTTCGACAACTATGCTCAGACCTGTCTGGACACCCAGAGCTGCCAGGACAACATGATGAGCATCGAGGACTCCAGTGTCCATCTCTATGGTATTAGCACCAAGGCCTCGGTCAACATGATTACCCTCGACGGCAAATCTGCTGCTCTCGACTCGGACAATCGCAACAACTTCTGTGGTTCAATCGCTAAGTTCGAAAGTGATGGTGCCTCCGGATCCGGTTCAGGCTCTGGCTCAGGATCGGGGTCAGGTTCGGGCTCTGGCTCAGGATCGGGATCCGGTTCAGGCTCTGGTTTGGGCAGCTCCGTCCCTGCCGGATCCTCGACGGCTACAACACTTTCAGGAACTGTCTCGAAGACCAAGACATCCACAGCATCAACCTCCACTGCCTCAACAGCGGTGGGTAGCGGGTCAGGATCAGGTTCTGGAAGCGGCTCCGGTAACGGGTCAGGCAGCGGTTCGGGCTCTGGCTCAGGATCGGGCGCTGGCCAGGAAACAGGCACCGGTTCGGGCTCGGGCTCGGGCTCGGGTGGCAGCACCTCTACTGCAACCACAGCTACTGCAATTTCCTCCCCTCCAGGCGGCTACGGGTCTGGTACCGGGTCTGGAAGCGGCAGTGGATCTGGAAGCGGCAGCGGATCTGGATCATCGGCTAGTGGCTTGGGTGGCAGCACCTCTACTGCAACCGCAGCTACTGCAGCCTCCTCCCCTACAGGCGGCTACGGTCAGAGTGGAGGAGCTACAACAGCTCAGACGACCGCTCAGACCGCTCAGACGACCGCTGAGACGACCACTGTAGTGACCGCGACAGCTGGTGCATCTGAGAGCACCATCGCGGTTCCATCTGGCACCCAAAGCGCGGGCACCGGTTCGGGCTCTAGCTCGGGCTCTGGCTCGGGCTCTGGCTCGGGCTCTGGCTCGGGCTCTGGCTCGGGCTCTGGCTCGGGCTCTGGCTCGGGCTCTGGCTCGGGCTCTGGCTCGGGCTCTGGCTCGGGCTCTGGCTCGGCCTCTGGCTCGGGAGCAGGCACCGGTTCGGGCACCGCTTCAGCTTCGGGCACCGGCTCGGGCTCTGATTCAGGATCGGGCGCTGGCCAGGAAACAGGCACCGGTTCGGGCTCTGGCTCAGGTTCCCCCACGCAGAGCAGTGGTAGTGGCGACGGTTCTCCTGTGATCGTGACTGTCACCGAGACTGTCACCGCGACGGGCAGCTGCCAGACGCCTTGAGTAACGGCGAGCAGCGAGGCCCGTACACAGAGTCGTTCAACAAGCTACACGACTACCACCTCGACCATGACGGCGCCCAACGAAACTTGCAGCTCCTAAGCAATTGTACAATGCCCCTATTCAACCCGCAACGTCGCAACGTACCTGGAAGGCATCTCCTGGAATCGCCTCCACACCATTCTTCGCTTCTTCTATGGCCCTAGCGGCATTTGGACACGATTCTTTTTCACTTCAGCGGACATGATAGGGCATTTGTCATTTGCTTTCCACCTGGATCGGTAGCATCGGTCGGAGTTCCGGTAGATAGGCATGAAGGTTCTTCATAGGGCAGGGCAAGATACCATAGTCGATGGGCGGATCGCCTAGTGCTGATGATGCACAGTATCAGCAGTCAGAAGGGTGGTTATACTCATAGCACAGCATCAATAAGAATGCAATCTTTTCCATACTTTTACACCTTGTGATTTCGTGATGGTTCCGTGACTTGCTTGTTGTTTCATGTGTTGTTCTATGAGGTGCTTGCATGTGGCTCGTAGCCTCTTGTTCTGCCACACCTCGGCGTCTCTGTGGCGCAGCACTGCCCGCAACTAGGCACGGTAGGTAGGGCTGCAGGCAGGGGCCCTTGAACGTCTGGCAAACGTCATCGTTGGCATGGACTGCCACCTGCAGAACTAGAATTCCCTGGAATAACCACGACTGATCACTCCCTTATTACGTCGTACTTCTACATTAGGTAGCCTCAGTCCATACATGTAGTTTGCACCGGCGACATAGGCATTAGACGGACTGCACCTATCGATTGTCTTTTTTTGGTATTACTCGCCTGCCACGAATCGAAGCCACAATACATGCATCTCCAGCCATGGCCGAATCCTACTCCCTGAGATCACGACAAGTCGACCAAATGGCTGGCGACGGTCACGAGGCCAACGGGTCGCCCTTCAGGCCTACGAGAGCCAGGGGCTCCGCATCAACGAGGCGCAACTCGCCGTACCTTCCGACACCGCTCGAAAGCCTCGCCCTCCTCATCTACCCGGTCCTCCTCGTCTTCGGCAGTCTCTTCTCGGTGCTGAGCCCCGAGACGCGTGCCTCGCCTTACGACGTGACGGGCCACTCACACGTGCAGACGGGCAACGCCGTGCCCTCGTACTTCGCGCGCAAAGACAACCTACTCAACATCATCTTCGTCAAGCGCGGTTGGGCCTGGATCACGGTCGCTTTCGTCGCATTTGCGGCCTCACACTCGACGTTTCGATCCTCGGGCACTCGGCTCGCCCGCGCGGCGTCGCGCTGGGCGCTCATTACCGGCTGGTGGATTCTGGTCACGCAGTGGTGCTTCGGCCCGGCTATCATCGACCGCGGATTCCGGTTCACGGGCGGCAAGTGCGAGGACGCACACGAGGCCGTCTTCGAGGGCACCGCGGACAAGAGCGACGTCTTCACGGCCGCTGCATGTAAGGCCTCCGGCGGACGCTGGAGCGGCGGTCACGATATCTCGGGGCATGTGTTCCTGCTCGTGCTGGGGAGCTACTTCCTCGTGCAGGAGGTCGGCTGGGTGCTGCTGCGCTCGGGTGCTGGGGTGGCGGGCCGCGGCGAAGAGAGGGCTGTCGTTATGGGCGACGGGGCTGTCAAGGGCGCGGGCGTCGAAGCCGAGGGCGATGGTGGTGCCGGCGATGGAAGCGCACTCGGGGTCGGCAGCAAGTTCACGCTCACGATCGTAGGGCTGTGCTGGTGGATGCTGCTCATGACGGCTATCTACTTCCACACATGGTTTGAGAAGGTGAGTCGCCCCATCTGGGCCGCCAATTAGGCGTCATGGGTCTGCGTCATGGCCTGTGCTAACATAGGAACAGCTCACCGGACTCTTGGTCGCTTTCCTGGGCGTGTACGCGGTCTACATCCTTCCTCGATGGATACCGGCACTGCGGGGACTTATTGGAATGCCAGGCATGTAGACGATGGTAGAATAACGAGCCGATGAGATCAACCACAGGAACGAGTAATTAGGGAAGGATACGCCGTCGAATTATCTGACGGAATATCACGAGGCATGAGCTGAATCGAGGGTACATAATAATATACGATACACTATACACATACACTAGCAGTCCGGAGGTGCTTGGGACAATTCAGAATCGTGCTGAAAGGCTTGAGGGTGTTGCCTCTCCATTCTAACCATTTTCAAACCGGCTCATGTGAAATCAGTGGCGAATCTGGGCTCGTGCTGTGCTGATGCCCAGAGGAGGAGGATTCGCAGCTGCCTACTAAGAGATATGGATGCCGATATGGGATCGGACTGAAATGGAAGCTTACTGTGGATTTACCTTTAGATATAGCCTACAGAAGCTGCACTTTGATGACGCATAAATGTGAGCGTCTATTAATATGATCTTTTTGAGAAATTATCGAGAAATTATCGAGAACTTATCCGACCCAATCTGGCTTATTTGCCTTTCCCAGAAATCCCTGCCTTGGAGGAGCGGAGGGATGGGAACTTTTTTCGCTCCTCTGCGGCTGTGCCATGGGCTCGGGACTTTTGGTGTCTAGTAGTTACAGAGCTTCGTAACAGTTGGAGGACATTCATTAAGCCATCTACAAATCTTATAAAGGGCCAGCTAGTCCCGTCTCTCCTTCGGCTCCCATGATTATGAACCACCAGTACCAACAGACACCATTACTCGATATTCCATCGCCATACAACCTAAAGCCATTACCAATAGCAAGCGGGCACACTTCACAATGCGGGTCACCTCAGCACTCATTCTGTCAAGCATGGCAGTCCTCGCCTCGGCTGTAAAGAACGAGGGCAGTGATTCGGGATTGAACTGGTCATTCAGTCTCTACGCGGACGAGACCTGTGCAAGCGGTGTATACCAAGAAACATTCTCGGGCAGTAAAAGCCAACGCTGCACGAAAGTCGGAGGTACTAGCGGGCAAGATGATTTCGTCGCATGGGAGATGTACACCCTCAACAGCCCGTGCAAAGTTACTTTATACGAAGGTAGCGATTGCGGGGATAAGGTGGCCGTGATTGATACGAACTCCAAGAAGGGTACATGCACCTTCAAACAAGGTCGAGGAATTCACTCTTACAAAGTCGTTTGTTGAGAAGCGGTTTACGATGCCTCCTTGTCATCTTGCGTCTTTCTTAGAGAGGAGCCTGGGGGCGTTCGTGAGCGCTTGCTGACTGCACTTGGCTTGGGTTGGGACGGAGGGGCGAGGAGGATGGGGAGGAGCGGCCTGGCAGGGCTTGAGGGGAGTTGTGGACGGGTGCGTGATGGATTTAGTGAGTGAGTGGATGCGTCAGTAGGTAGGTGGAATATAGCAGACAGTGGAAGCCTAAAGTTACTAGGAAGCCTTTAGGCGGCAGCATAGGTGGCGAGGGTCGGCGTAGGAGTCGGTAAGGGGGGGACTCTTGTTTCTGTTTTGACGATTTCTATCCTAGTAGATAGCAAATCACCACTCGTTTTGTTAAGATAAGTCGCTTTACTCAATGCAGTGTACTTGTAATTAAGTAAGAGGCATAAATCTCATAAGGTGGAGGGTAGCTGGTGTATACCACAGGTCCAGTTTTGTTGACACCGTTCTGTCATGGTATTCTGGGGTATTGTGGTTCTAGAAGTCGCCTCCCAAGTAAGCCATCAAAGGCTTTGTGTTCCTTGTATTGACATCATTGTGGGTTCAGCTGGTGTCCAACTGTCGGGTAGCATGTCGGTTGCTTGGGATTGTTGCCTAAGGGACCAGGTACCTTTGTGGTGTGTTCTACTACTTAAGTGACCTACTGGATGGGCCCAGCTCCCATCCTTCTAGGTAGACAGCAAGCAGAATATCCAGAATACAGACCATCACTACTATCGTGACTGGTCCCATTCTGGGCCCCTGCTAGAAAGCACATCATATCCAACCAAGCATGATCTACGAGCAGGCTGCTCTGAAATCTGCCGCCTCTGACATTGCTCGGTATCCCTGTGCCATGACCTCGGTAAGTTATTGTTGATGCCTAGTGATTACTAGTTACGTAGCCTCTTCATAGTTAGGGGACATTTTCAACTCCTCTACCAATTCATATAAAGTGTGAGCCAGTCCTGTTACGGTATTACATAATACCTCCACATATTTATGTACATATATACCTCTAGCTTCCCCCTTCTCTTCCGACCTTGCCTCTTCTTCCTTAGGTATCGTTGAATCTAGATATTTCATCCCATCAGCCCTGACCAGCGCAGCTGCAGGCCTTATTGTCACAAGTCCTTCTTACACTTCCAAAATCACCAACCATCAGTACCAAACATACACCATTAATACATCCATCTCCCATCGCCTTACCACCACTACGAATAGTTAGACATCATTCATCTATCTTCCACCACCGCACCAACCAACTTCATCAGCAACAACAAGCAGACAGCCCTCAGAATGCATATCACCTCAGCACTTATTCTGTTGTCGAGCATGGCCGTCCTCACCTCGGCTGCTAAGGACTGGTCTTTCACGCTCCACGAGAGATTGGGTTGTCCCCAGGGTGGATATTCCAAATCATCTCGGGCAGTGGCGACACGGAGTGCAAGAGAGCCGAAGAAAACGAAAACTACGTGCAGGACTTCTCTTCTTGGATGAAGTTTACCATGGACTCCGGGTGCAAAGTCACTTTATTCGATGACAGTGACTGCGCTAGTGACAACGAGGTGGACTTAATCGAACATAAATCAGCGACGGCTCGATGTAACAACCCCCCAGGCGTCAATGCGATTATCTCTTATTATGTCGATTGCTAAGAAGCGGTCGAGATGCCTCCTTGTCGTCATGTATGTTCTTTTCGAAGGAGCCTTGGAGACAATGTCAGCGGAGGAGACATATGATGGGTGGTGGGATTATGAAGCAGGAAAAGCTGTGGTTGGAAACACTCATTACATTACACTCGCTACCTGGAGTGGTTTCCCTGTATTCTAGCAGGCGTATCTACGCGAGACATACGCTCGTTATCTTGAAGACATAGAATATATAACCGTACATTTGTTCCTTTGCAAACGGGCTGTCATTATTACTGTGCAATTGAGATTGTACTGAGTCATATTATTCGTCTTAAGCAGCCTACGAACCGCTCATGTATCAACCCATATGCAGCTAGTCATCCATTGAAAGCCAACAATCAGTCTGCATTACAAGCACCTATAGTTACGATCGACATATATCTTACTCGCCTATTTCGAGGGGATTCAAGATCTGCGCGGATTCCTTCCTCCAGCGTCATTGCGAACCAATGTGACGATCAGGCCTGCAGTACAACTGGTCAGGACTGATGGATAGATAAAGCTAGATTCAACGATCTATGAAGAAGGAAGAAGGAAGAAGGCAGGCCGCTTCAGGTGAGAGGTGGGCCTCCCATATATATAGGTACATGTGGAGGTACAATGTACTTGTACCGTAACAACCAATGACTGAACAGACCACACACAAATGGCCAACGAGCCATGGGCTGCCACAAGGAGTTATATTTCCACAGGAGTTAATAGCGAAGCAAGTCTTGACGTGGCAAAGCAGCTTGTGGTTGTGGGAGCGCGCGCGCAGCGCTTTTCGATGTGGTGTACCGAAGTAGGGCGCTGATGGAGACGTCAGAGATTTGTCGTTTGACGAACAGGAAAATGAGGTCAGGTGAGGGCTTTTCATTCGAGTTATAAGTTACGACTACTCCGAAGATGCTAGTGGAATATATGGAATATACTTTGTTGGTATCAAGTACATGAACATCGCCGTCTTGAGTCTACGCACCTTCATGCCGTCTCCGCCCGTTGGTAGCTCATGGCATCATCTCCATATGCCCTCACTCCGCTAATTGTTTCCCTTTGTATCGGAGGAAGTACGCGTTCATCATTAGCTTCCCGGCAGATCCACAGCCACAAACCCAACGTGTCGAAAATTGGCGGCTGACGTCGGTCTGGGAGAGGCTGATGTCCGCATAACTTACCATGTGAGCGAGATCGTCAGTGCCCGGTTCCCGTAGTGTTGAGGACAGTTGGCCCCTCCCATGAGGTGAAGGCATATAACATTACTCTGAACATGAGCGTGATACTACCGCATTTTCGATGATCCCGCCGGGATGAAGTGGTCGACGACCGCGCAATGCCCTTTCCCTCGCCCTGGCCATCATCTTCGTCATCTCCCTCTTCGTCGATCAACAGATCATCAGATGCCCCAGTCTTCGAGGTCTCAACGCCCAAGTGATACAGAGCCGATTTCCACTGTCACCTGGAACACGGTCCGGCCCGCGCGCCCGCCGCCTCGCAACGATCCTCCCAGTGGAAGAGTTCTCGTGGTTCGAACCAAAGGACTGTCTGGCTTAGGCTCTCAAAGTATTCTGGTCGACCCGAATGTGCTGAGAAGCGGATCAAGTTCACGAGCACATTCACTACCTCAATTTCCTCGCCACGTCGACCGTGAATACCCTGCGTTGACGCGGAGCATAGTTGGCTGCATTGGCAAGAATCGAGTCTGGGGCGGTTAAGTGCAGCTTGCGGCGTAAGAATCGACGGAATCTTGTCTTGCCTTGGTGTCCGCAATATCTATTTTAGTAGCGAGGACTAGTTGCTCAAGACACAGATTTAGCCACCCAAATGCCTCGTGCCTGTAGGCAGTAGCATCGTATGATGTTCTGAGTTATTTATGGAGTTACAGTACAGCGACGAAATATGAAAATGGCTCGTTTGGGCTGATCATTCAGCAAAACCCCATTAAGTAACATCCACGGGAGGATGGCGCCGATGCCGCCGATGCCGCCAATGGCAGGTAAAGTCATGTAAATTGTCATGTTATTTGAACCTTGACAGGAATCCTATCAGGGTGCAAACAACATGACCTTATATAAATAGATACGATTAATTTAGTTATTCATCTCCTTAAATCCACACCGCCATGTCGGCGTCTCTTTATCGTGAGACTCTATGTGGGAAGCAGTGACGCTCGCTCTATTCTTGCTGATGTTGGATGTCGAGAGTGTGGCGAGAGTAGCTGGACATAAAAGATGAGGCAGTCGCGACAATTTTCCCGGCCACGACAAGCACATCACAAACGAAAAGCCTTACATCTTCATTTTTCGCAACCCAGTTTTCAACACATCGCTTCTTGGAGCACAAGACATCAAACAATCATCAATCCTCCCGAGATGCAACTTTCTAACAGTCTCGCTTGCCTCGCGCTGGCTTTCCAGGCCACCTACGTGATCGCCAGTGGTACCCCTAACGAAGACAATATTCCGAGGGGCCTGTTCTCGGACAATGAAGGTGGTTCTTGCAAACACTTCTTGAGCAAGAGAGGCGATGTCGATGGGGTATGACCTTTCCTGTTGGCGTCACGAGATACAAACTGACAAATTTGGACACTACAGACATGGCGGGACAATACCTCTGCCAGACAGGCACGGTAAGTACCACAGTTTAAGAATGCCACTCTACCGCAGCACATAGTTATCTAACGTCAATCCAGTGTTCAAGCAGCTGTACGGTCAAAAAATCCACGAAGTGGACTACTTGCTGCTAGAACAGATGGATCACTTGGCGCATCAAAGATCTGTATGATTAGTGTATTAGTGCGAATGTGTATTACTGGGAATCACTACATTCGTTACCTGCCCATGAAGCCTTTCACTGTACACCATCGCGGAAGAGTTGACTTTCATGCTGGCATCGGGCTCGCAGTAAACATGTGCGTGCTCGACGACATCTCGTAAGTAACCCTGCTAGTCGCGACGAGGCCATATGGGATAATCGCTTTCTTGTCTACATATATTAGACCAGGATTGAGGTTGTTTATGTGCCGTGACGTGGGTGTCTGGGCGGCTTGTGTTGGGCATAGAGACAAGGAGACAAAGGGAAAGGCAGTTGCAATAGATACAGGCATATTGAACGCACGCATGCTTGTTCGTCATCGGTAATCTCTCGGATGACAACTTCTTCTTCTGACTTGTTTACATATGGTGTTACTGGAACAAGATGCGTGACATCATCCCATCCCACTGCTCATCAAGTACTGCAACAACACGCTGAGCAAAGCTGCCGTTCAGCCGAGTCTGGGATGTGGAAACCTTAGAGCCAAAGCTTCGTGCCTAACGTGCCTAATAAATCGAATCAGATCCAGATCGCCCCCTCCGGCGGTCGTCTGATTGTGCGATGCGATTGACGGAAGCTCCGAAGGGGTTCTCCATGTGGTGTCGGAATGGCCACATCACCATTGTCGCTGTCCCAGTCGGAAAAGTAATCCAGAGGCTCGCTGCCAACAGCGGTAGCACCGTCCCGCCTTTGGAATTTCCAGTTCGTCGTCTTGGCTTGGGCCTCGGCAGCATCTTCGTCGGCCACTTCCCGACAGGCTACACGGCCATCAAACCGGTCCCAGCCCCAGTATGGAGTCTTCTGACTATTCCTCCATTCACCGCTTCCCTCTCCCCCATCGACCTCGCCATCGGTATCTTCATCGAGCTCGGCATCGGTGTCTTCGTATGCACGAGGATGAGGGTTCGGACTGAAACAAGCGGCGATGCTCCATCCATGGGGTATAGAGCCGTAAATTGCGGTAGACACAGTCTGGGTGGCTTCAATTCCGGGCCCAAATGGTGATATGTCATCCCTGTTATTGACAAAAGCAAGCAGTGCTTCTTCAGAAACCATACCAGGTGTGGGGAGGCAGAGACGGTCAGGGCCCGGGTCCCGGCCACAGTCGTGTCCTTCATCACAGCAACCAACCTCTTCGCACCAGTGTCCCGTGGGATAGTTCCCACTAGCTCCCATGATCTTGATTGAGTTGATGTCCAGGCTCTTGATGTCTCTCATTGCGACGATACCTCGAATCTCCATTTCGCAATCGTGCAGGGTCAAGTCCTTCAAACCCGCTGCGTGGTGCTTTAGAAACTCGAAGAACCATGGTGTCCTATCAGGCGAACCACTCAGATTTACGCTGGCTATCTGTAGCGAGGTAAGATGAGGCCACCGGCACTGAGTCAAGATGGTCTCCAGAGCCCCCCGGGGATAGTTGTAGTTGGAGGTCGCCTGCTCAAAACACAGGCTGAAGCGTTCAAGCCCGCCAGCTGCAGACAAGCAACCCACCAGCGGTAATAGCTCTTCCTCGAGTAGTTTCACGAGCTCTTCTTCAGAACCGCCCGTAGGAAAGGGAAAGCGGCTAAGGCATAACTGATAGAGGTCAATGCTCTAAAGGCATCCGAGACGCTAGCATTCAGACGCGCTGTTAAAGCTGTGTAGTGCTTCTCGTCTGCCCAGTACAGGCTACGAATCTTGGACTCGTGACGGGCCGCTGCTGGTAGCATATACGAGAAGAGACCGTCGTGGGCGTGGCTAACGCTTGAATCGCTTTGGAGTCGATACATATCTGCTTGAAGCACGTACTTGTTGTACAGGAAGCTTCGACGATCGGGCATGGGACTGCTCAGGAAAATGCGGAGATTGGGCATCCGGTCGAGTGCCGAGAAGAAATCAGTCTGTAGGCTGCTGGTTCTCTTGCTGCTGGTTCTGTTGCTGCATTCTGAATCTAGACCGTTGGGCGAGGCTTGCGACAGCTGCGATGACTCGTCATGATGTCTCGGAATCCAGAACAGATTCGGGTCGGCAGCCGCATCGACCATCAGTTGGGTGAGCGACGTGAAACCTATCTCCTGTACCGCCTCGTGGGCATCCGGCACAGTAACTCCCCACGACTTCTCCTGATCTGGCCAAGTCCATGATTCAAGGCTTAGCTCGTACCAGATCAACTCTCGTACATGTTGTGCGATGTGTGGGGCGTGCCGCGCTGCTCTCGAGGGCTTCCAGATCCTCCCTCAGGCGGGAGATCCTGATCCGGCGAAACAGCAGAGACGAGGCGTACGGCTCATAGACTTGAGAGGCCAGGCGGAAAGATTTCCAGTCCCGTCGCGACAAGCACGCGTCCTTCAGGATCAGGAGGAGTAGCTCGGGAGACATATGCTTGAGGTTGGCCATTGTGGAGGGTGACCTGGGCATGTGAAATATGGATCAGTCGGGACCAGTACAATGTGAGCATGCGTCTAAAGTAGCTTACCCGGCAAGAAGAATGTAGTCAGCAGCGCCGGGTGATGGAAGGTGGAATCAGTGCAAGCTTGTTTAGAAGGGTCGAGTGAGCAAAAGAAAGAAGCAAATGCGGCCAGAAATGGATTGAGCAGAGAATACCGGAGAGAACGCAGCGGGTTGGAGGTGGATCTCAAGGGTACAAGAATAAAGGCTAATGGGGTGGTGTAGCTCCTAGGTGTTCGAGGTAGCAGCCACCTCAGGCACCTAGGCAGAAGCTGCTTGCACGGGGTCGAGGACCTAAGTCAACGGTTGCTTAGGTGAGAGACGGGGGGTCGGGGGTTTATAGCGAACCTCGGTACCTCAGGCAGAATGATCATCCCATGATTTCCGGGCAGTAAAACTCTATCAACTGGAACTGTGAGATTATAAATTGTTTCATATACTAATAAAAAAGAAATAGATCTCTAAGGGATATAGCTTAGTATTTATAAAAATATGGTTATTTAATATAATTAAATTATTTTAATATTTAAGTGTTATTTAAAGCCGTGTAATAATATATTATAATATTTTGATAAATATTAACTTATTATATTTAAAATTGCTTTTTTATAACTAGTATATAATAAACGTAAAATACTTTACTTATACCCGAGCTACTAGTTATATAAACCGCAGTGTTTTATTTAATTTATCGTATTTAAATATCAAAAATCTGAATTTATATTTATAGTATACTATCAATGCGTTGTTTATCGTTTACTTATAAATAGTAATTAGTAATTGAAAGATGTTTTATTAGTTTTTGTTTAACGTTTTAACTTTGTAATAAGTAATTATTTGGTTATTAAAATTAACCAGTATTTATATAGTTTATTTACCGGTTAAAGAAAATATTCCATAAATTGTTTTGAAATTATGAAGGTACGGGATAATTATAGGTTTTTAATAGTCTTATATTATAATCCGATTATTACAAGATTTTAGAAATAAATTTCTTAATATACGTAAAAGTTTTTTATATAAAGCTGGTTTAAAAATAAAAATAACTATATATAAAGGTTAACTTATAAGGTTATGAGGGTCACGATTCCGTAAATGTATTAAAAGGATACAGGGACCCTTATTGACTATTAATGTATAACGAACTCTGGTTGAAGGAAAAGAAAGATCTGGAGATGCACCCAAATTAGTGGGCAGCTAGATGTGGGCAGTCGTCCCCCACCAGACCCACCAGGGCATGGACCAACCTATCGTCCGATCAGTCACGTGCTCAGTCACGTGACCCGGGCACCATGGGGACCATCGCTAGACCTGATAGATAGTGGAACCATCACAATGAGGTTAATATTTAATACCGTAATGATATCTGTCACGGCGAGCGTACTGAGGAGCTGGGACATGGCCGGCAGCAAGCAGCTATTACTCTATTAACAAGAATATCAAGACTAGGGAGGAAAGGAAGAGAGAGAGATAGGTATAGCAGGAGGTTGCCCCTTTAAGGGGATCTTCTGATCAGATCTTTCCCTTATTGGAAAGTATCAGCTTGTCATGTAGGAAGGTCTGTGCAGGCCGTCACAAGTTTAATAAACGTATAGATTTTAATAATTATAATTATAATTATAAGTTTTTATGCTTTGAAGTTAATATCTATATTTTTAGATACTAATTAAATTTGAAGAAGAAAAATTGTATGAATCTTTTTAATTATAAAGAATTATACGGCATGAGTATTAAAAAATATTTCTTAATATTACGCATTATATTAGTTTTAATTAAATAGTATTCTGTTTGCTTCGTACATTGAATCTTTCTAATAAATAATTATATTTATTATATTGTAAATAAAAGCGCTATTAGTAAGCTACGCTAATAGAACCCTATCATTACTTTCGTACGTGTCTTATTATAACTTTATTTTAAATTTGATTAAAAACGACGAGAATTCTTTAAGCGTTACTTAAATTTTCTATTTTTTCTATTTTTTCTTTATAGTTATAGATTATTTAGTTTTTATGTGTTTTATATTTTATTTTAAGTAGTGAATATATTCATAATCAAAATTTTTGTCTATAAATATTTATTAAAGAAAGTTGTATATAATGATAAAGTAAATAAAGTTCGAAATTATAAGAGAAACCAGCTTAATAATTAAATAAAAAGAAGCTAATTATATAATATATTAATTAATTAATTAATTATATGGTGTATTAAAAAAAAAATTATATAGTTAATATCTTTTATTTTTAATTTTTAACGTATTATTATACAAGTTGTTAAGTAAAGTAGATTATAACGATATTTACAAGTTATTAAATAGTACCATATACGTTGGTTTTATATTAATAAGATTTTTTAATACTTTAATTATTAATCATATAAACCTTGTATACAGTTAAATTTTCATTTAATATTCTAGGCTTAATAAGCGTTTCGCTTTTTATAACGTGTAAATCAAATCGTTTAAAGTTCTTTTTAATAACCTTATTATATAAAAGCGTAATATACTTAATTTGATATAAAGCCTAATTAATAGTTATATTGATATATATATATATAGTATATTTTATGGTTTTGTTCTGAGGCTAATTATATTAATATACTATTTTTTATTAGTTTACTTAAGATATTTAAAAACATAGCGTAAAATATTCTTTTCAAATATTTATTTATACGTATACTGTAACAAATATCTTCGTTTTATTTTTGGAGTTATTATATATTTATTCAATATAGTTCCAGTATTTTATTTGAAAAAATAACGTACATTTAAAAATCGATTTTCTTGCTTTGAACGTTCTATTATAATAAAACTGTTGGATCCATGTGATTCCACAGTCAAAGCATCCATACAAAACACACGTGTATGATTAGATAAGAGATTAGATACCGGATTATGAGGTCACTTAGCCAGACCTGCAGGTCCAGCTAGACTTCCCAATCCAACCATCAGCAACATCATTACCTTGACACAATACTCGAGTGTTATGATTGATCGTTCAAGCCTGTTCCAACAAAAACCTTAAACTAATTATCTACGTACGGGAGACTTTCTTTTTAAGATATATATTTTTATACGTATATTTCTTTTTTAAGTGTTTTATATTGTTATTATTGTAAAGTAAAAGTATTAATTAGATAAGTGTTATTATCAATATCTTTCGTACAAAGGGTATTACTACTAATAATTTAAATATTTAATATTATTAGTGAATCCTTTTTATTTAATGAATTTTGTACGGGTTAAAGTTGATAAGAAAGGTTATTTATAATTAATAGGATAAGAATATCAATTATATTTTAGTTAGTTTACGCGATTAGGTTTTCAGTTATTTGACTAGCTATTCTAATATCAGAAAGTAAATTTAATTTATTTTCGTATAATCTTTTAAATAGTATAACGATTCCGTTATTTTATAGTTATTAAACAAAGTTTTTGTTAAACATACAATTAATTTTAGCGAATTTATTTTTAATTTATTTAATAAAATTATTTTTCCGTAATATAAGAATATATGTTTCTTATTTAAAAATAAACGTACCCTATAATGTGTTAAATTAAGTGTGTCATTTTTAAGCTATTGTTACGTTTATAAAGTCGAAAGGTTTATTTCATATTAATATATTAAAATCATTTGTTTATATTGCTTTTCTTATATGATTATCCTTTTATTATATATTGTCGATTAAGGTTAATATTATATGATTTTATTGATATATAAATGACACACGTCACCAAGAGGACCCACTGTAAGTGGGTGCCTTGGCCAATCAGAGTACGGCTAGATAGATAAGATAAGAGAGCGGCCACCATATAATGGGTGCAGTCTCCCACTTAGCTAGATAGCTAACCCACGCACAACAACATATTTGACCCCCATACTTGCTAGCTTTAATAAAGCTAGATGCTTTGTACAGTAAAAAACGAAAGACTTTTAATAAAAAAGCTCCTTAATTCGTTTTATTTTATTTTATTTATATAAAGAATTTATAAAGGAAATAGGTCTTTAATTCTTACGGCGACGAAAAAAGTAATAATATAAAAGATTACTTAATAATAGAAGTCTTTGATTTATCTTTTTACTTTTATTAATTATAATCACCGTGCAACTATAAGTAAATATTAAATGAACTTTATATATGTATACTATAGTTATAATGGTTATAACATAGCTGACAAGCGAGTTGATATTACAAGCGAGTTGGCACTCGTCATGAACTCTCCAACTGCCATGTCAAATAACTTCACCACAACGCATTCAGTTCAATTCAATCAATCGGATTCCTCTTCCTCAGAGGTTTCTATCTCTATTGTACAAGTTCGCGCATTATGGCCAGTATTGCCGCAAACACCACACCGTCGCCCACGCGCTGCCGCCCGCCTCGGACGACGACTATCTTCACCCATTTCCTGTTTTGCCAGCTCAGCACCATCCTTTGCAGCCTGAAGATCTACTACATCTTCAACGGAAAGTACTCCTCCTTTTACTAGACGTTTGTTTTTTGTTCTCTGGCGTTTACTTAGTAGGTAATTGGCCTCTTCTAGTTCGCGGACCCGGGAATCAACCAAAGCGACCTTATGCATAAGACCGTATGTAGCCTTCGAAAACGAGCTCAACGCATCAACTATTGATGTAGGTGAGCTTCCCTGGTGGTTTCTGACTCGGTTTCGGATATAAACTGATTGGTTTACCGCTTCATTAATGGTGGTAGGCGTCTTCGAAGTCCAAGTAGTGGGTGGCAGATTGGGGTCTGGCGACGGTGTTCGTATGACAGCGACAGCATCCAGCTTTAAAATGACACTTTCTGGGTCGAAAAGAACAAGCCCAGTAGCACTGAAACCTGTTCGAATATTTTTTTGCGTCATAACAGCGTTGTGTGCTTCACAAAATGCTGCAAGAAAGTCCTCTTTTGAAACGTGGGTTATATGACGCCGGATGAGATCCTTAATCATGCGACCGTAAGCTCGTTTGAGCGGGCTAAAACAGCCGACATCTAGAGGCTGGAGCCTGTGTGACGAGTGGGCAGGCATACAAAGGGTGATAATGCCATTATTCTGACAATAATCCTCAAAGACCTGGGAATGGTGGCTTTCGTGACCATCTAGGATGAGGAGGCGTTTACTGGCAGTTATACGCGGTCTGGTATACTTGTCGAAATGCTGAATCCATTCCAAACCAATCTCATTCGTGGTCCACCTGTTGTCGGACACGGCCACTTTCTAATTGCGTGGTAATATCGTGTCGCAATACCATGACGCGAGGTGGGTTTTGCCCTGTAGAATGATGAATGACGGGACCACCCAACCATCAGTATTGACTGCAGAAATTACTGTAGACCATTCTCTGTTGCCTTGCTGAGCTTGTCTAGGCCTACCACGTCTTTTGGCGCTTGTGATGACTATGCCAGACCCAATAATGCCCATCATAAACCCAGTCTCGTCGAAGTTGTAAATATCCGCGTCTTGGATACCATGTTTTGCGATTACCGCTGCAACTTGGCAAAACCACGCGCAATATGCGTCTGGATCTTTGTTTAAGACCCTCTGGTAGTCCATCCTCTGATGAAAATGCGTCCGGAGGCCTGGTATGCGTTTAATAAAGTTTCGCGTCCAGTTCTTTCCAACGCGTCCATCCCCACGTGCTGCCAACAATTGATTCGTCATATCTTCAACATAACTGTGCCGTGGTGGAAATGCTCGCGCATCCAGGTCAAGAATGAAGGAAAGAATGGCATTCTCTTTGGAAACTGTAAGTTTCAAAGTATTGGGTATGCTATCGCGTTGTGATGGTGGGCCGGCAATTCTAGCTTGTTATTGAAATTAAATTTTTTATCGCCTCGAAAACCGAGTAAAAACCCGTTTTTTGATTCTTAAGTTTGGTTTATTTAAATATCTAATTATTAACTATTAAAAAAATCAATCTATATATAGCAGCGTACAGCGTATAAAGCTAAAAGGCTCGTATACAATCACGTAAGTAAATCAATAAATCAGGGATTTTATCCCTTCTCGTTCGTACGAAATTTCTTAACTTAAACCTAGATCAGATAATAATAAATCACTTAACGTAGCTGACAAGCGAGTTGACATTACAAGCGAGTTGGCACTCGTCATGAACTTTCCAACCAATACAATTCAAACCATCATATCTCCACCAACAACAATGGCACCGCGTTATAACGAATCAGACTTGCAGCTAGCTGTTCAAGCTAAACGACGTGACCCTCATATTCCTATATTTCAGCTTGCGAAACTCTTCAACGTCCCTCGTTCCACTTTGAGCAATAGAGTCAAAGGAATGCCATCACGACGCGACAGCATGCCCAATACTTTGAAACTTATGGTTTCCAAAGAGAATGCCATTTGTTCCTTCATTCTCAACCTGGATGCGCGAGCATTTCTGCCCCGGTACAGTTATGTTGAAGATATAACGAATCAATTGTTGGCGGCGCGTGGGGCTAGACGCGTTGGAAAGAACTGGACGCGGAACTTCATCAAACGTACACCAGGCCTCCGGACGCGTTTTCATCGGAAGATAGACTACCAGAGGGTCTTGAACGAGGATCCAGACGCGTATCGCGCGTGGTTTTGCCAAATTGCAGCGGCAGTGGCGAAATATAGTATCCAAGACGCGGATATTTACAACTTCGACGAGACTGGGTTTATGATGGGCATTATTGGGTCTGGCATAGTCATCACAAGCGCCAAAAGACGTGGTAGGCCTAGACAAGCTCAGCAAGGCAACAGAGAATGGTCTACAGTAATTTCTGCAGTCAATACTGATGGTTGGGTGGTCCCGTCATTCATCATTCTACAGGGCAAAACCCACCTCGCGTCATGGTATTGCGACACGATATTACCACGCAATTAGAAAGTGGCCGTGTCCGACAACAGGTGGACCACGAATGAGATTGGTTTGGAATGGATTCAGCATTTCGACAAGTATACCAGACCGCGTATAACTGCCAGTAAACGCCTCCTCATCCTAGATGGTCACGAAAGCCACCATTCCCAGGTCTTTGAGGATTATTGTCAGAATAATGGCATTATCACCCTTTGTATGCCTGCCCACTCGTCACACAGGCTCCAGCCTCTAGATGTCGGCTGTTTTAGCCCGCTCAAACGAGCTTACGGTCGCATGATTAAGGATCTCATCCGGCGTCATATAACCCACGTTTCAAAAGAGGACTTTCTTGCAGCATTTTGTGAAGCACACAACGCTGTTATGACGCAAAAAAATATTCGAACAGGTTTCAGTGCTACTGGGCTTGTTCTTTTCGACCCAGAAAGTGTCATTTTAAAGCTGGATGCTGTCGCTGTCATACGAACACCGTCGCCAGACCCCAATCTGCCACCCACTACTTGGACTTCGAAGACGCCTACCACCATTAATGAAGCGGTAAACCAATCAGTTTATATCCGAAACCGAGTCAGAAACCACCAGGGAAGCTCACCTACATCAATAGTTGATGCGTTGAGCTCGTTTTCGAAGGCTACATACGGTCTTATGCATAAGGTCGCTTTGGTTGATTCCCGGGTCCGCGAACTAGAAGAGGCCAATTACCTACTAAGTAAACGCCAGAGAACAAAAAACAAACGTCTAGTAAAAGGAGGAGTACTTTCCGTTGAAGATGTAGTAGATCTTCAGGCTGCAAAGGATAGTGCTGAGCTGGCAAAACAGGAAATGGGTGAAGATAGTCGTCGTCCGAGGCGGGCGGCAGCGCGTGGGCGACGGTGTGGTGTTTGCGGCAATACTGGCTATAATGCGCGAACTTGTACAATAGAGATAAAAATGTCTGAAGAAAAAGAATCCGATTGATAAGATTGAATTAAATGTGTTATGGTCGAGTTATTTGACATGTTGGTTGGAAGGTTAGTAAAAAGTTGCCATTCGCTTGTAATTGCCGATCGCTTGTTATCCACGTTGACGTAAGCTAAGAATTAATTTATAGTAAAAAAGTACCGTTTTAACTTTAAAAAATAGGCTTAAAGTAAATTAGTTTATTTAAGCTTTAAAAAAGTAGTTTAAAAAGATTCTCGTAAATTTTAAAGTTTAAAAGGTTAAAAATTAAACTAAGTTAATATATAGCTAACTCGTTATTATCAAGGCCCGTTTTTAGTTGTAAAAAGTCAACTTATACAATATATCTTTTAATAATAGTAAGAATTTAATAATTATAGAAAAAAGGGCGGGGGTAAGAAAACTTCGAATTAAAATTGATTATATTAAAAAGTAAAATAATACATTAAATTATCAGAGTTTATTTATTAAAAGAGTTTAAAATTAACTTTCTTAATATACGTATAGAAAAACTATAAATCTAGCTAAGAAATAAGAATAAGTATATATAAAGGTTAACTTATAAGGTTATAAGGTTAATATCTAGTGTTATAATATTTTAAATGTCGAGGTAGTCTCGATTTAAGTAGTATTTATTAAGGCCTCTTTTCTTTTTTTTTCTTTTTTTTCTTTTTAAATCGTACATAGGGCCGTTATGCTTAAAGACTAGAAACAAAATACTTATAATCAGCTAGAAAAGTCTTGTTTTAAAAGACTTGCTGGTTAACATCTATTATATAAGACTAGCTTTACGCGGACTTGATATGAAAGGTGAAATACGGTACAGCCTTAAAGCGTCCGAATCCGTATGCTTAATATGTCTCTTCATCAGCGCTAGGACTGTCAAGTGAGGCTTTGAGGGTTCAGGATGTCAAAAAAATGGGGAGACTCTTCCAGCCTTCCCCCGTGCACTGGGATTAGATCATCACTAAGGTCAGTCATCCACTAGACTTAGACGCTAGCAAACTAAGGCAAATAGGTTTGCACGTATCCTCCCTAATGGTGACCTCGTGGGCTCGCTATACACGGTCCATGTCCATCTACCCTCCACTCTCACCGTCTCTTTCCCCTGAAGATTCCCACGGAGCGATCCAGATGTCGATGGAAAAGCATGCTTCAAATGCATCCGACCCCGTTATGCTGCTCATCGCGTGATGGCTGTGCTTTGCAAGGTGTAGCTCAAGGGTTTTTCCGGGTGTGAGAGGCGAGTCACGAACTGCATCGAGGATATGAGTAGACAAAGCCGAGAGGTACCTATAAGAAGTTATAGCGATCAAATTATCCCTAAAAACTATGACAACCGGGAGCAGGGGCCGACTTGTTACCGAACTCCTTGAAATGATCACAGGTTTCCCAAGCAAAGCGCCTCCTTATAGCTAGTAGTAAGCACATGTATAAACTTCAGCCCCCCCCGAACCTAAGCTTCAGCGGTTTAGTCGTACTGGAATTCATCCAAATATTCCTCTATTCCCAATCCATTTCCCTTTCCATCGTAGTTCTTAAACAGCCAGCTCGGGGTCCAACTGCCATAGTCTATCTCGTCTTCTGGAATGTTATTGTATTTTGACTTGCACACAACCCTGAATTTAATGTCGTCCCTGTTGGCCATCTTGCGTGATATCATGAACTCCTGCACGCTTTCTTGCCCACTTATCAACCCTAGGAGGAGCGTGTCGTCGGCGTTGAGGTTATTGGAAACGTCTTTAACGTACTTCTCGATCTTTTCGGAATCGAACCATATTTTTTTCCCGCCGACGTTTTCTACCATCGGCCAGTATTCTGGGACCCAAACCTTCGGCAAACCTTCTAAGAGCGACTTATCCACGTAACCCAAGCAGATCCTGAGCCAGAGCAAGGGTTTGTCAGTTCACGCGCAATAGCCCTATTGATGAAAGCAGTGAGAGCTATCCTATCGTCGTCACTCATGTCCTCGACGCGTCTGCAAGCATCCCGTGCTTGTGCGAAATAAACACCCGTCCCGAGCTGTTCTTTATTGCCGGTGGCAGTTTGGAGCACTATTATATTGCCTGCCTTTTCGTATTCCTCTGCTATTTTCTGACGGTGCTGATTCAGCTTCTGATGGGGACATGCTATGTAGCTTGCATGGGTCGGCCTACCTTGGTGACATACCGGTAGCCGATGAAGATCTCGCCTTCTCAAGGGCGGAACTCGTCGCTGCCTCGATTGACCAGGCCCTGCGGATATGCCGCTACCAAGCTTGTAAGCGCTCCAGCGAGGAGGGTGACGACCTTGATCGATTGCATCTTGCGTTATCCAGTTGGTAAGTCTTCAGCTCAAGTGATTTCCAGGAAGCTTCGGCTCTCTTGCTGGTGGTTGTTGGTGACTTCGTTGCGTTTAATTGCTACAATAGCTAGTAGGCGCCTCTATGTCTTGCCAGTCTGATAGAAATATGTGGTAGGTTGTTTACATCCCCAGAACATGGAAGATGGGGTGGCGGAGTATATACGCACATTTAGGGAAAAGCCAACTGGTGGCTCCGTTGCCTCTGTTGCTATCCTTGCTTACACAAGTTCCTGGGGTGGCTTGCCTGACCAATCTTCCAACACGCCCCGGTCACCGTATTAGTTTTGACTACCTAGGTCAGTTTATCCTGCGGAACACCGAGATCCACCACGTGTTCGAAGGAGCGCCAGGCAACCAGTAAGTTGTTTATGCCGAAGCCTTGGGGTATACACCGGGTGACAACTGGTTCCATGGCACGAGCTGATTGAAGGGATCCAAGGCCGAAGTCGACTTGCTTCCGAGAGGATGGGGACTTTGCCGGTTCATAGCAGTCGTGTGTACGGTTAGCACTGAATTACCTATGTAGCCGCCCTCATCTGGTGCGATGAGCACGGCGCCTAACCCCCACACGGTGGTGATTTCAAGTATCTCTAGAAATACCGTTCCATACGACATAGAGTCACACCTAGTATTAAGCACCTAACACCTGGCTCGCCACGTAGTGAAGCCTCCGTGAGTTCAAAATCCAGATGCCCGGTCCCAGACTTAATAAGTTGCCGTATACGGTCGAAATCAATAAATCAATCAGTGCTTGTATATTTAGATGCTACTCTGTGTCCACAACACCATCATACATAGCACACTTCCGTCGCGTCGGCGGTAGGGGCGCGGAAGTGTCCCCTTGCCCTTTAAGTGCCGGCCCTTGGTCGACACGGCGGTAGCCGCCAAGGACCATACGCTGTAGCCTGAGTGGCAATTGCTGCCCCACAAAGAACACATGGGTTATATGACGAAGTGCCATTGCCACGGACCGCGGTAGCGGAGCTAGGTGCGAGATCCAGAAGCTTGACCAGTCCAAAAACATCACGGCGAAGAGCGGAAGAGGATTCAGGCTGCCATCAAATCGCACAGCCCACTTTGGGACAAGCCATGGATTGCGAGGCAACAGCGCAATATGGGAGTGCTTATATCACCTAGAGAAGCGTCAAACAGCTCAAGGGTATCCTAAGCGTGATGTAATATATCTGATATATCTCAGCAAACGCTATACTATCGGCACGTGAAATCTCCGTTGCCTGGACACAGCAGCCCGACAATGGTGCAGATCCAACAGTCAACTCACGCGACTGGCGAGGCGTCTCCTTCGGCTGTGTTGGCATCACACGTGCACCGCAGCTCCCAAGCCCAGTCCCTTCCCGTCGACGTGTAGACGGTCCGCCCCAAAGCTTTGACGCGTCCATGGATGATCTCGGCGATCCCGGCTGCTTCTGGGAGTACTCTGCCGTTGGGGAGGAACAGTAGCTCAAAGACGTACGCCACGACGTTGCGAAGTCCCGTGCCGTTACAGGGTCCCCAATCAAGCCGCCCATTGCCTGCAGCTCTGTCCAGGATTGGTCTGCCTTTGCACAGGACATCGTTGAGAACCATCCATGAGACACGTCTGAATGACATGTAGTCGAAGGACTGCTCGGCCTCCTCAGCGTCGACAGCAATTGCCAGCTGCTGCAATAAGCTGTGGTTTCCTGGTCCCTCACTATTTGTTGTGCGCCCGGGCTTCCCCTGATCTGCCTCGCAGTCATGTTGGGGACAGAGGCGCACAGGGCGACCAGCGCGCCATCGTATCTTGCTTTCGGATATCATGCCCGGAATGTCTCTCTCTTGCGTTGCCGCCAATCGTTGATCAGACAATGCCAGGCGTAATCTTCTTGACATTGGCGATGCGGGTGTGAGCATCTTAGCCTTCTTGTCGTTGCGCAGGGCTGGTCTGTCCCGACCACGACGACTGTGCCTATCGCTTGCCATTGACGTAATTGAGTGGCCGCCCGTGAGCCGAAAAGCTTTCTTGTACTCGCCAGCCTTTGGTGGTCGACCGATCCACATGTCCTTTCGGTGCAAGATCATGAATGCTTCCATATCAGGCCAGCTCTCTGCAGGAAGAAGCTTCTCCTGCACGAATGGGAAGTATAGACGAGCACAGCAAAGGGGCACTGAAATGCTGTCAGCTATATGCACTCCCTCAGCATACCACTCGAATCTGTAATGTTGCAGCCAAGACCCACACAGCAGCGGATTGTGCTTCAGTGCAACGTAGTCTTTTAGCCCTATGGCCTGATCATACTTCCCATTTTCTCGGCGCAAGGCCGTCACTGGATCTTCATCATCCCAGAAGCTGGCCGCCTCTGATATATAGTGGTCATCGTTGCTCAAGTGACCGAAGGCTTCCGCACCCTTGCTCTCGCGGAATTTGTCGAGGTTCATAGCTGACTTTCGGATCCGGGTGTTGATGACCATGAGTTCAAGGAACGGCCGCTCCAGATCTTTTCCTAGGATATGGATCGAGTATAGGAGCAGCTGGGTGGCGAACGCAGATCGAAAAGTGGGCTGGACGGTTCGGGGTTGATTCGTGGTATGTCTTAAGTTTGCGCTTTTGACAATGTCGTTAATTGCAGAGGCGAATTCGTCGAATTGAGGGTTGTTATTCTGGAGGAATGTCGTCAGTATATGCAAATCCTGAATTACTTCGCATGCAGCCGCTCGATCTTCGTTATACTTCTCGAGGTTGCTCTTGAGATGCCAGTCATCGTTCGGGGAGAACTGCCCCCATTGCCCCTTGTATGAGCCACAAGCTCGAGGGCGATCCCAGGCAGCTGCCTCGTCAATGATGCACATACTAGCAAAGTACATTGTTTGGTCGAACAGGTTAAGCTGCTCGGTCAGGAGGCTCAATTCCCCAAGCTCGTAGCTTTGGGCTCTCTGAATCCGGCTCAGCTTGTCCACTTCGTCGGCCGCTGCGTCAACATACCTCTGAAGAAACACTTGGAGCGACAATCCCAAAAACCCGTCTTGGCATTCGAGAAGGGGTGCCACCTCTTCTTCGAGACCTCGCACAATGTTGATCGCCAAATTATGCGCAGTAGCCACGCCAGCAAGTCCTACCTCGTGAGCACGGTGATTCTCCCATAAGGATCCTATTTCCCGTCGTATTCGTTGTACGTCCTGATTGAACAAATACCATCTGAATAAGGCTTCTGCCCGGTCTTCCTGCCAAGGCTCGAACAATACGTCCTTGCCAGTACTTGTCGGCGGTTCCCCCAATCGGCGCACGTTCAGCACTTCTTCGACCTCGGCGACACTTGGTTCGTATAGCGTCAAGTTCCCGAACCGGTTCAGGGTCTCGGACGGAGGATCAGGTAGTCCTGAACGGCCAACGGCGGGCCTCTTGTGTTGGATGTGGGGCTCCAAGATGTCGGACACCTTTTTGAGGACATCGATGAAGTACACATGCTTCTTGTCCGCCTCAGTGTCCGTGAGCGTAATATGGGAAAGGTTGATCCCAAACGAGGTTCTCCAGCGTATTGCCCGATCAAGTGTCCAGGGGATGTACCCAGGGACCTCTGCCTTTGTCTGCTGAACGATGAATCGGGTCATGGGCTCAAAGTCAGAGATACGAATGGCATACGGAGCCGAACTCGCCTTCGTGCGGGCCTTGCCTTTCAACCTCCCTGAACCTCCAGAGTTCTTCGAGGAGTAGCCATTGTCTCTCGCGGTATTGGCGATCCACTTGGTAACAGCCTTGGTGTCTTCCTTGTATGTTTCGTAGAGGCTAACAAGAGAAACTGGCAGCATGGTCGGTCAATCTAGGATGATGGACGATGATGGCTAATTTGCGGTTGCGATCCCGCTTCCGTGCGTGTAAGATTTGCCCTGCAAACCTCACATTCTCCCCAAGCAGGTATGAGTCTGTATATAAGTAGGCATGATGGATGCGGGATGCGTACATCCAGAGGTTGTTTGCCATACCTGGCTCCTACCTTCCTAGGTAAGTGACCGAGGGCGGTGGCCTCGTAAAGCCACGCATATGCGGTCACATCTCCAAGCCCTGTTATAGGTGTGCTTCTGTAGTAGCCATCACATTCTTGTGCATGTGGTGGCGCGTCGCGCGCGGGCTGTCTGCATTTCTTGACAGGTCATTTTTCGATGGCCGGCATCCCTAGTCGTGCCGCCTCAGTTAAGGGGGTAGCAGCCGTTGCAGCTGACATCAGCAGAAGTTGCGCCGGGACTCCCCCTATTGGACATCAAGGATATTGATAGACTCCAAGTCCGATCTCAAAGGGAAAGATCGTGGAACCTACCGAGCCAGTCCCGAGCTTGTTAAATAAGTCGAATCATGCTGCTATTCCAAAGTCTCTCAAGAGAGCTCGTCTGCGGGAGAAGCACATAGATGGCGCCCGCAGCGGGCTGCGCAGAAAGGTCTACTATGACCTTGAGCTGTAAGAGATTTTGGTTAGAGCTGGATGAGGTTGAGGCGGCGGTTGGTGTCGACGCTACCTCTCTTAGGTAATTTACTTAAGGCACTACCTACCTAGACCAGCCTATGAAGGAAGACCTGCGTCATCCAATGTTATGAAATTGTTACCCGTGCAGGTGGACGGCATGATGGCCGGATGGGAGCCCGGGGCGTGACGTCGATCCTCGTCTTCCCCGCCTACGTCATCGCGAAGGCCGGTTTCAACCCCACCTTGCCCCACAGCCCCTCCCGTCCTTGTCATGTCCTCGAATACCTGCAGGTAGGTAGGTAGGTATGCTATTCAACCTGTTTCCGGGCGGCCTCCCGTGCCAACTGCCAAGGTCGTAGAAGTAGCTCTCGGTGCATATATGGGCGTATTGGTTAAGGTAGGTAATCAGCTGGGAACCTGTTTCGGGAATATCGGCACGATGAATCGCGATCGGTCTTCATTCCCAGGTCACGGCCATTCTATCACCGGCCGCCTAGCATTGAGCAAACAACAACGAATGGGGCCAATTGGGGCATGATCTGATCAAAGGGATCGCAAGCGTGGCTGGCCAGTGCTTCGCCTTGTTTTCATTCTTTGTTGTCCGCCCTCCAGCTACCAGTCCTTGTCTGATAAGGAAACACGCCATCGACCTTGGAGAAGCCGAAAGACGTCACACCCTTCCCCTCCTCTAGTGTAACAAGAACTGCCTATATCAACAGTCCCAAGCCCCCCCAAGACTGCCTACCACCTTGGCTTTCTCTTGTTTCCCCAGCTTTCCAGACTTCACGCGACCCTTTACGACCTCACGATCAAGTGTAGACTTGCAATTCCGCCGATACCCTTTAAGCTTTTGAGTACCTAAGACCCATATACCGTTGCTGTTGCCGCCATCTAGACACCTACACCCCCCCCCCCCCCCCCCCCCCCCCCTACCAGTTAGACGCCCAGATCATACCATGGAGACTGTCAACAACATGGCTACCGCCGCTGCGAGGGCTGTTTGGGGCGAGAACAAGCAGACCGACGAGCCTGTCTCGGGTCGCACTGGCGACACCACTAAGGGCGAACCCTACGATGCTGGTAACTTGGGTATGCCCACCACCTTCCTCCGCCCTATGGGCATTGAAGACTAACTTGTACCGTCTTACAGAGGAGCCCGACTCCACGACCAGAGTGCCAGGCGCCTCGAGTTCCACGACCAGCGGACCTGGTGCAACCACCTCCACGACCAGTGGACTAAATGCACCCAGCCACACGACCGGCGGTCGAGATGCCCCCAGCTCCAAGACCAGCCGCCTAGATGCACCCAGCTCTACGACCAGCGGAATACATGAACCCAGCTCCACGACCAGCGGCCTAGGCGCACCCAGCTCCACGACCGGCGGACTGAATGCCCCCAGCTCTACGACCAGTGGACTACATGAGTCCAACTCCACGACCAGTGGATCAGGGGCCCCTATTACCAGCATTGGCGGCACAGCTGGCGAGACAAAGACCGAGGATACCCAGCCTGCCGAATTCGCCAAGACCGAGTCCAGACCTGAAGAGACGAAGCCTGCCGAGTTCGCCAAGACTACTGGTACGGCCACTGAGAGCAACGAGACACCCGACAACCCTTCAACCGAGATGAAGACCCGGGACACGCCCCAGGATACGTCTAAGGGACAGGCCGACGTGCGCGACCCCGAGGACCCGCTGACCCACCCCAAATCTGCGCCCAACGACGTCAACGATGCCGACGAGGGCATCAACGAGTCCCAGAAGCTGGGCCCTGGTCCCAAGGACCTCGCCGAGGTCGCCCGGGAACACGGAGGTGATGCTGGTAACGGCAAGGCCGAGCCCTTGCATGGCGACAAGAAGGATGCGCCCGGTGAGGACGAGGATGAGGACGGTCCTGGCGCGAAGAGCAAGGGCGAGGGCACCGGAGAGCAGTACGTCAAGAGCAGTGGGTTGCAAGCCGATGGCGGTGACTTCGACGTCACGAAGCCTGGCGCTGGCAGAGAGGCTGACCGTAAGTCAATCCGACGGATTCGATAATTTCCAAGAGTCCGTTCACTAACCTGCTCACCAGGTCTCATGGAAGAGAAGGGCATGCACAAGGATGCTCCCGAGGGCGCGTCCGATGACACAGGCGCGTCCAAGGACCATGGCGAGAAGAAGGGGCTTGGTCAGAAGATCAAGGAAAAGCTGCACCGCCACTAGATGGCTGCAGTTCATGGGTTGTTATGCACTTCTCTAGTACTTGCAGCGTGGCAGGCAGGCTCTTCTTACATGAGCCTTTTGAGATATGCTAAGCCGCTTGCTGGGCCAAGAGCCTTCTTCGGTCTACCTGAGCTCGTGGTACTGTATTAGTTATGTAATATGACCTGTGCTATACCTCACCAACTTCTCCATGATACCTTCTAGAGAATCGAGAAATGTGCTTGGTGTTTGTGAATGTCTCTAGCGCGATCAGACATCCACTTCATACCACCTACGTCAAGCTGTGACTTGTGATGTTTGACTCTGGCGCTCATGTGGATCCAGCTGATTCCAGCTGTCAGGTGTCTTGTCGGTTGGGCCGGATTGTTGCCCAAGGGACAAGGTACCGTTTGCACTGTATCTAGTACTTAAGTGACCTTTCGGATGGAACACGCTCCCATCCTTCTAGACAGCAAGCAGAACATCCAGAATACTAGTCATCGTAACATGGTATTCTGGGCCCCTGCCAGAAGGCACACTCATGCCAAGCACTCCGACGCCGGTTCAAGCACTACACCTCATAATGAATCTGTACTTATCCAGTCCACTACGAAATCTACGACTGGAGTTGCTGCCATACACAGTTTCTCCACACTGTACTGCTACCATGCACGGCACGAGCACACCAACTTCAAACACATGTAGGGAATTATCTGGGAGCGACCTCCTTGGGCGCAAGCAACTCAGCCGCCCGTGTATCGGTTAGTTATACGTTACATTATATCATACCACACGTGTACGCAGTCCAAAGGATGATATAAAAGCTGCGGCGCGTGCAGCTACGGCGACTGAAATGGAATGTTCATGACTCGAGACTGCGCTGGAGGGTCAAAGAGACCAAGGTAGCTGCGTACCTCGGCTATCGGGGCGAATCCCGTCCTTTCTTTCCAGCCGGCTGGGAAAGAGGAGGCGTGCTGTAGCACTACCGAGACTCGGCCTTGGGACTTGTGATATCCCTTCATGTAATGATTCCATGACCAACCAACCGACCGACTAACCGGTGGCCGGCGGGCAGCCGCGAGTAGGTCGAAGGGGAGGACCACACGCAAGGCTTACGTCCGGCGATATTTAGTCCGCTTATCACAGGGAGAATGCACGGTACGATATAGGTGATGTGTGCAGTACCTCTCTCGTCTGGCAAGTGCAAGACTGGGAGTGGTCATGTCATGTTGACTACCTGCATATCAGAACAGAGGATAAACTCTGCCTCATCCTCATACATGTTCGTACCCCTACCACCAACCAGCCCTGCCGAGGTATACCATGCACTAACAGGTATCCATCTACGACCGCCGTCAAGATAGCGACACACACCCGCGTCTGCAAGCACCCCCACTGCGGCCGTAAGGCGTGGACGTATGTATGCGTTCATGTATAGGTATGTATGCGTATGTATGTCTCACCTGTCCGTCCGCCGCTTGACGGCAGGCAGACAACGTGCGCGTAAGTAAGTAGGTCAATATATCTTTCTCATTGGCGTACCGCTACAAATGATATGATCTGACCTGACCTGGAATATTGAAGGGTGCGTGTCCGTGCCCGTCCTGGTTCTGTGTAGAGTGGTGCGCGTGGGCGGCCTCTGGGGTGTCACGGCGTCTGCCACTACCTACCTACCTACCTAAGGTAGAGAGAGTTGAAATGCGATGTTGGACGTTGGGGGATGGGTTCGTTCAGGGAGGTACCTACCTGTAGGTATGTGCGATGTGTGTGTGGTGTGTTCATGTTGTGTTGCACCTCAGGTAGATTTATACCTATGTAGGTAGGATGCATGACCTCTTTACCTGCATACCTACCGACAAGTACGAGACGAGACACACGGAAAAGGGGGGAAGTCGTTCGAGGTTATGTGCAGGTACTCATTGACGACATGACATACTATTTATGTCTGCAGTATAGACGCGATGCTACGCTGGCTGATGGCATGCTCCTATTATTAACCCGCCCTGCTCAGATGCAGATGCAGATGCGCAGAGGTAGTGGCTGCTCAGCTGACGGGACGGAAGACACGGATGAGCCGTATGGTCGGGCATGGCGAGGGGACACACCCTCACTCGTGGCCGAATCGAGCGGGGAAGATGAGGCTTCTTGGCACGAAACCGAGATGGTGAAACGAGACAGACACACCGTGAGACGAAGGGCGCTGAATAGTCGTTCTGGTAAGACATGGTGGTTTCGAATCTGAGGTAAGAAGCTCAGCAGTCAGAGTACCAGACTGCAGTCGGCTGAGGAGACAGGGGGTGGGATGAATTTAAAGAGAGGTCTCCCGTGTCCGTCCAGCACAGCATGAGCAGCACGGCCGAGGCCCAGAGCTCGTCACGCGATGCGGCTGGATAAGTACCTAGGAACAACCGGTCTCGTGCCGGGCTGAGCGCGAGGGCCATCCTATGATGGAACGAGCCGATATCAGCCGGTTTAAAAGGCATGTCTACTTCGCTGGCGTGGGAGAGCCGCGTCAAGTCCAGTCGAGTCCTCTCTTCAACGCTACGATGATCCCGCTACCACCACCAACGGCCGGGCAAAGGTCACCGGCTAGCCAGCTGTGCGAAATATATTGGGTTGACTCTCTTTAGCCCCCCAGGATGGGCTTGCAGGCAGCAGGCCGACGGCGCAACGCACCCCTTTTCAGCTTACCTCACAGCGCACTGCTGGAGTAGGCATCGCATGTAGAAAAAGGATGGACGCCCAGACGAGGCGAGGTAGAGCGACGGTCCAGCTGGTGTTGTGGTCCATCGCATGACAGCATCACTGCATACCTGACTGACACGACCAATCAGGTAGTGAGAGATAGGGGTTCCGACTAGAACTTGATTCGTAGGGGGTGTTCTGTACTCCCATCAGCATCTCTCTATCGGCAAGAATTCCTAACCAACCCCCCGATGTGCGTCTGTCTGTCTGTCTTGAAAAGAGGGGGGTCCGGTCGACCTGTTGCATCGACCCAACGTGTTGGAGTTGGAGTTGGAGTACATAAGGCAGGCAGAATGCATGCGTATGGCCGGGCCCGGCCAGCGACGAGAAAAGCTGCATATCTGCATCTCGGTCACAATCCTGCAACCATGCTATATCTCCCATGTGCAGAGAATCTGTTCTTCTGGACCTGGCTAACCTAGGTACCATCATGTATCATTCCTGTACGACGCAAAACGCAGCCACACACTGACTTACCTGCATATATAGACGCATCGCACATGGCCGAACCTGATGACCACACACTGACAGGCAGGCAGACCACGAGAGACGCAATCCTTCCGCCACCGCGGGCCGAATCGCTTAACCCACGCGCCACATACTACCTGGGACAGATCATCGGCAGCGCGACACCTCAAATCCATGAATCCTTCAAGCCACACCCACGGCATCATCATCCGCATCATGCCAGGACCTTTTCATGTGCGCCAACGATCCAAGTCTACCTACCAGGATGCCAATCCTCCTCCCCCGAATGGAACCCACGAGGACGGCGACCTACCTCACCTCATCCGACCCTGCTCTGCTACCTACGGGCTCGCCAGTCATGGCTTACACATGCGTCAGTACAGACATAATGAAGACCCGGGCGTTTCCCGCCAGCCTATCAACTCAAGCGTTAAGCGGCCCATGTCCATGTCCATGTCCATGTCCACGTTCCTCGTGCCGCCATGCGTTTGGCCCCTATCGCCAACCTTACCTACCTTTCCAGCTCGCCCCCGGACAAGGCAACGAAGGCGCACGTAAGCTGCACACCAGGTTTTCTTTTTCTTTTCTGCATCCCAAGTTCCCAACACAGAGGATTTGGAACCCGGTGACGTGATTTCTGCAGCCTCAGCCGGGATCAGGCTCCTGATAGTAGAAGTGGCAGATACATACCTACATACATAGACAACGCATTAGATCAGAGGAAGGCAATATCTCTCCATCGAGTACGCAGTCAGAATGTAGGCTTAGGAGGCGCATAGGTAGATTGGCTATTCCCGCGGAAGTACCCAAGGACGGCGGTAACCGGCCGAGCGAACCCGTGAGGATAGACAGGATCGCATCCTCTTGATCGATTCTGTCACCACTCCAGACATTGGCAAGATCTCCCAACGAACCTTGGGTGGTCTGGTCCAGGGGTGCGGCGAGCAGGCACGGGGTCGAGCGGGCCTTGAAAGTACTGTGCATATCTTATGATATCCAACTAGGATATCCATACTTTACGCACGGAGTCAGATCCGTGGGCTAGTGAGAACCATGAAGCTCAATTAAGCTGAAGAGTAGCAAGCAGTTGAGCTAAGATAATTATCGACATGGGACGACACCGTAGGCCATTACGGCGATTGTATACTGAGAGGTTGACGTGAGCTCAGAGCCGTGGAGGGGGTCCCAGCCAGCCGACGCCCCCTTTAGTACGCGGCATGGGGCCGCGGCCAATGTGTAGCTCGGTCTTCGAACCTCAACAATACATTGTCGCTTTGTCCTAAACTCACGAGGTCAACCCCGGTTTTTGCACAAAAAACTTTGATCACCAAGTGGGATTGGTGCTTCCGAGCCGTGACAACAACCAAGTACATAATATTAATGGACACGAAACCTTGATGACGACGTGATTGCATTCAAGAACCTAATATCTAGCGGTTCCCTCGGCAAGGAACATGTGTCTCAGATACTCCATTCATGTCCTGAAGAGCCGATTCCGAGACCAGATAGTATATGGCCGTCCTTACGCTAGATCGCCTTTGTCCCCTTGCCTCGAATGGGTAACGACGCAGGATTATTCGGTTGCCTGCTTTTGGATGAGCAGCCTAGTGAGGTCTGGCGCCCCTCCCGTCTCCCACCTCCTGAGTCCCACATCCTCACTTGATAGCGTCTTCGTTGCTGCCGATGCTGTAAAGCACATGCGTGACTTCCCCTCCAGTAGCATTCACAATCCTCTCAGGTCCGAGCTGACCCTGTGTCGCGTTCGTCTTGCGGCCAAGGCACGAGCAGCCCGTGAACTGCTGTCTGGTAGATGGCTATGCACCACTCCGGCGTCTGGTGCAATTCCAGCCACATCGATCCCTCAAGCCGGCCGTCTGCGTAGATGACCGCAGAATCTGCACGGACGTGCGACCGCTGGTGGTGGCAATATGTTCATCGACGTTACAATCGCCGTCTGAAGCGATGTAAGCTCCAAGAAAGCTGCCAGATCTCCCGAATCCTACAACGGCAGGAATGTCGAGGGCAGAGAACGATGGTGCCGTCACTTCAAGCCGCATACCATTTCTAGTGGTCGTGTAGTTCAAAGTAGCCACTGGCCTCCCAAGCGTCACGTTTGATATCAGCGGTAGCCGACTGCGTGTAACTGCCAGTCGGGTGAGTCACCTCATAGGAAGCCAGATTCAGCTAAGACCCTAGTTCTCACACTGATTGTCAGCCAATATCACTCATGAAACTCCATCATGCGCGCCACTCTACAAAGGAACTCGAGAATGACGCATGAACATACCTCACGATCTTCTCGTCTTCACGCTCGCGAGGCTCCACTACCAAGCTCTTGTCGTACATCTCGTGTACATCACCCGCGGCTTGCATGTTACTGAGGATGTAATCTTGCAATTCCGAGACCGACTGCAGCGAATACGGTGCATTCTGATATTGCTGGATGTCGCGGATGACCTCAGCCGTCTTCGCACGCTTGGCGAAATTGATCATATTAGTCTTCTTGATGATCGAAGGAATACCGTCCTCTATGAAGGTTAAATCCGTAAGATAGACACCTAGAATAAGTCAGTATCCCGTACAGAATTGCATACGATATTGGCAGGTACGTACCGAAGAATGGAATGCATGGAGGATTCGCAGCGTGGAGAGCTTCTCTGTACTCGCCGAAATTCTTTGTACTCGCCATCAGCCGCCGCATTGTCTCCAGGACAGCTTGAGTGCGGGCTGGAACTTGATCCCACGTCCGCTTCAAACGGGCGATGGGCGCAGTGCCAAGGGCAGAAATGATGGACGTCAGAGTAGAGAAGTTGTTAAGATTCCGGCATTTCTGGTCTCGTTAGTTTATGCAACCGATGAACACGGCAAGTAGGAAAACTTACATCTGCAACAGACACGAAATGCTTGATGACGACCACTCTCTTCTTCACATCCATCTGAGCCAAGATCATCTCGGCAACCCAGTTGGTCATTTGGTTCGAATGTAGAATGAGGGCCTTGACGTTTGGCGCCGGCTCTGGCTCGTTCTCCCCCACCTTCTTCTGCCATGTCTTGTTGAGACATTCTGTCGGCTTGATTTTTCCGTAGAGCTTGGATTCGATGACTGTTAGTTGACGCGCAAACTCAGTAACGTCGATATCCAGGAACTTGAGTTTCTTCATGTTCTTCGGCATGATTGGTGGCGGAACATTGTTGGCCAACGTCTGAATTAGGCGCTTCGACATCTCCTTGCCGCTGAGCCGTTGGTCCAAAACTGTCATGAGGGGACCCGATCCTGGAGTTTCTGTCGATTTGATAGTGTCTCTCGCAAAAGCGTAGACATCACGTATCAGTTCCTTGGACTCTTCGCTGGGCTCTTCCATCCAGAAGTTGTCGAACCAATTCTTGAGAATGTTGACCACCCGGAACCTGATTGGCTTTTGCTTGCGATCTCTCCAGACATCGTAGTCAGAGTTGTTCAGACCCTCAGGTGGTTGGATGTTGAAACGTTTCACGAGCAGCTCGAAGAGCTCCCGCGCCGAAGTGAAGGATCGGTAGGTTAGAAGGAAGGTGTTGTTGAAGCTAGAATCTAGCTTGTCATGTCTCGTGAGTTGTTCGACCAAAGCCAACAAAGACCCGCCCTTGACAGCTGGCGGTGACGTCTTGAGATCCCAAGATAGATCTTGCTCTAGGTCGAGCCGCAAGAATGGCGGCGTCTCTTCAGGTTGTTGAAGGACACCTTGAGGAGTAGGGTCGTCTCCCAAAATCTTCCTAACTTTCGACAAGTCGCCCTTCCTGTAGTTATTAGGTGCACTTTCACCTTCCGTGAAGGACTGTGAGACCATGAGCGGCGGCCTGACGTTCAGGGTACGGGATTCCGAGCGATTGTGTAGGGCATTGTACGGCATGGACGTGCCTCTCGTGCCCGGGTCTCGTGAAAAGCCGTCGTCGCGAACACGGAATTCCTGTCGTTGTTGTTGCTGCTGTTGTTGTTGGAGGTTGATCTGCACCTGTTCAGACAACAGCTGTAGAGAGAACCCAATGTGCGAGGAGTTCGTCTCCAAAGCTCGTGCGCACTGTCTTACGTACTCCAGTCGATTTTCTAGCGACTCCCCACGGACCTCGGACCACTCATCCCCTAGGGGACCAGCAACAGCTTGGCATCCCAGAAGGAGGTCGGATATGTTATCGTACAGGCTTTGCTTATTGGTGGCGTAATCCGCAAGTTGCGGGGTCTGGAAGCTGTTCCCTAGCGACGTGAGGTCGATTGACTCGATCATGGCGATCCATGGCTTGAACATCTCTAGAACTTTACCGCCGGCGGTGCACACATTGTTCCCAACGAGTTCGTGTTTGTAAGGGGTGATGATCTTCTCGGAAACCCCAAGGTTTTTCTCCAGTTCCCTGATGCTAGAGACCAGCATCCTCTTGTATTCGTCCAGCCTCTCAAGCAGCTTGCCATCCAGAACCGCAGTCGGCTCATAGAAGTTTTCCTCGTCCTCCAGGAAATTTGATATGATAGGGTCGCGTTGGGCGAGCCCGTTATTTTGCCAACTCCCTCCCGCTGTGCTGCCAATGACAAACCCCGGGAAAAGCCGCGGGATGTCCTCTCCTCTCTGCTGCCTCGCGACATCTACGAAGCTGAAGACGCCCAAGAGGACCCCGTCGGCTTCCTGTATGCACTTCTGCACGGATTCGGCATTTGGCCAGTCGGCAGCTGCAATATGCGAGGAGATAACGAGCTTGGAGAACTTGGACATCATGTCGCGGAAGTGCGGGTAGAGAGCTTTGTTGGTCGATATTATGGATGGCTGGCCAGAGTGGTTATCGGTTGTACCTGAACCAGCCGCGAGAAGCAGTCGTAGGTGATCGGAGATATCTTCAGCACGGCTCACGTACTCTGATCGACTACTTGTCATTATCGCTTCTCGATATCTGTCGATGGCGTCCCTCATGTTCGCCACTAGGAGGCTCCACGTCAAGGGCTGGGTCGTGCCATCGTCAAAGAAAGAGTGAGGGATAGTCGCAGCCTGCGGGAGGGTAAAGCCAGCTCCAGTAAAGGATGTGGCGGATGCCAGCATGGGCGTTTGACCAAGGCCTGCGGACATCGGAAGGGGCGTGGTGAGGTTGTTTGTGTTGGCTCGTGATCTTGTGGCAGGAGACATGCCGTTGATGGAGTCCATGGAGGGCGAGGGAGAGATGCCTACGCTGTCATTGTAGGCGCGGCGTTGTCGTGGGGGCTGTAAGAAGCGGTGAATACAAGATTTGTGTCACGTTAAGATGGACTGATTACTTACCAATGAGCTTATCGACCCCATCATCAGTGATTCACCATCGAGCTCAGACGCCGAGGTGGCTTCTGAGTCGTCATCCTCGTCGTTCGTCAAGCCCCGTGCCATCATCTCCGGTGGTGGTCGCGTCTTCTCCGGTATCTTCACGTTCATCCTGTCACGGGGTCCGCTCTCGTTGAGGGAGGTTGGCGATTCCATTGGGAGTTCGACTGCGCTCTCTCCCGTCATGGTGTTGTAGTAGAACAGTCTACCGTCAGGCGTGGCTTGTGGGATCCAAAAATCAGCGCCAGATTTCCTGACGGCGCTCGTCCCCTCGAGGGGGAGGACGTTGAAGTCATCCTGATCCGACTCGATATCGTCGTCATCCTCGAATTCTTCCTCGTAGATTATTTGGTCTCCCGGCTCATCATCTACGTGGTCTGCATCGCCGTTCTGGCCCGGTTCCGACTCGGGGAGCTCGTCCGGGCTCGTGATGATCTGACAGTAGTTACTGGGAAACCAGCCGCGCACACCGTTTATTACGCCATCCCACCATCCGCTCTCCAACTGCGTTATGACCTGGATGATATCGCCCTCGTGGAAGCTGAGACTTGTCCGATCGTCGGCCTCGTAGTCATACAAGGCGCGCACGTATATGGTGCCAGGAGGCTGGGTGCCTATCAGACCATTCATGGCGTAGCCGTAGCCGTTGAAGTCGTGATCGCCGCTAGAGCACTCTAACGACGTCGCAGAGTGGGATAGTTCAATGGCCGAGTCGGGGATGGTATCGTAGGTATTGGAGCGCGACCGGTTGCGCGAGTTGTACGTCTTGTTGTTCTGTGCAGTGACCAGTGCGGGTACTGGAGACTGTGTCATAAGCATCGTGATGTCGAATGCGTCAAGCGTAGCAGGTGGCGGGAACGAAGCGAGTCGGATCAAGTCATAGTCTAGATCAGCACGTCACACAGAAAGACATAGACGCAGACGCCCTCTCACCCACGCACGAATATGGACCGAGAAGTGGAAGGTAATAGCTGTCGGAGGTGCTGCACCGACCGAAGACTGCGTCAAGCCGGAGACAGTGGGCTGCGGACGAGCGATGCGTGGGGATGCGTCAAGAATAGTCGTCGGATTCTCGTCGAGGCGGTCGGATAAAGGAGACAAACGGCAATCGACAATGGACAATGGACAATCGTGCGGTTGGAACGAGAGTCGAATTGAACCAGCCCAAGGCTTATCCAGCGTGTGCTGTCCCGTTACTCCAATGGAAATTTCCAATAGCCCTCGTTCACTCTCACTCTCCTTTCACGCCTCGTCTCAATAGCGCTAGATGTTTCGACGAGTCCGGATTGTCGTTCGAGACGATGTGAATGGTTGAAGAGTCGCCTCGCAACCTTGGTGGGCGGTTGGGAAAGTGAGGCAGGCAGACTGCAATTCGCCGACTGGGGGGGCCGGAGAGAGTGGCCGCTTTCTGGGCCGCTCGGGTCTCTGCTTTCAATGTTCGAGGTGGGCTCCAGCTTTGCATTTGCACTCCAATGAGCAATGAGCGAGGGGCTGAATGTGGCTAAGGTACTTCTATGTACACTCCTCCTATCTGCAGGTGCCTACATCCCTGGTACAAGTAGCTACCTATCTACAGTACTGACCTGTTGCAGCAGATGCAATATTTATATGTCAGGATTGAGAATATGTAATAGCTGTTGACCGCAGGCTACATGTGTGCATGTGTATATGCAGGTATGGGATTGATCGTCTTGATACACGAGGCCACGGGGCCACGGGGCCAAGGTACCTCAGGTTGAGTAGGTAATCCTCAAGCTTGTAGGCACACTTCATGCAGTACCTTCCAATGGGTTGAGTATTAATATTTCATTGTTACTTCCTACGACTGGAGGTAGGTAGATGATGTTGGTAGTATTTGCTAAAGATACAAGTTGCTTGTTGTCCTGGTATGCAAGTGCAGGTACCACCAGGCCCGTCCTTGCGATGTTCACCCCTCTTTGTGGGAAGTTTTACAGTCACGTCCAAATCGCAACGATGTATCAAAGGCTGTCCATGTACCTAGTCCGAGGTTGGTATCTGGCTTTATTCGGCATAGTTGAATTGAAACACTCTGCAAGTTCTGCAAGTGCGCGAAACAAATGCTACCTGCATATGTACCTATGGTCAGTGCACGTCTGGTATATCTGGGGGACATCTAGATACATCCAATACATTGTACTCCACCCACACCACGGGCTGGGAGGGCATCGAGTCAAGCAAGAGGAGCCAGGCGGGGTATTCAGTATCATGTTCATTCCAGGCATGTGCAGACAAGGATAACTTGCTCGTGCCTCGAGACACCCCGCTGATGTGCGTGTAAATGCCGGCTCCTTTGGCACCCGCACGACAGCCACAAGTTACAACATGATCAGTTTGTTATGTTCGAATGTCGGTTTCGAGAAGGATACATGACAAACAACAAAGGATTTGACGTTTTGGGATCCCCTCAAGCCATCGCTATATCATCACCATCATGTTGCTTACGCAGATATCATGTAATGACCGACTAGAACTCGCCTTGAGGTGCGATCAGACCTCCAGCTAAGGTAGCGTTGTCGCAGACCGCTAATTCGACTTGATGCAATAAATCAGCAGCCAGCAGCCAGCATAGCGAGCCGAACCGACACTGTACTAGGTACACAGTAGGAGACAGCTGGACGACCACGGCTTGAGTAGCACAGTGCTAATGATCTGCATTCTACTGTACCAGAGTATGCACCCGACAGCCTGTCTGTGATATGGACGTGGCGTAGAATATCAACTTAATCCAAGCACAAGGTCATCAGACCACTATTTGTCTCAAAAGTCGAACACGATGACTGTGCTCAAGGCACAGGAAACTACTATTTGACATATCATAAGCACTTTACTTGTCATGATTCAGGTATCATGCAGTTCGTGGCCGGCCAACCACCCGGCTCGCCGGTTTTCATTGACTGGGGTATGCTCCAGTACTTCCAGGGTCCTTCAACAAGTTCACAGTGTTTGACCAGTCCTCCTATTTTATCAGCATATACAGTCTCACTGCCCATCTGAGGCACTGTTTCAATTAACGGAGTCTCACCTTGGCTGTAGATCCTCAATGGCACAGTGTGCCGATTTCACGACAACTCCCGAGAAAGCAGGCGGAGCACGGTGAGGTCTATTTAAACGGTGTTCTGTCGAACCGCACGTGGGAAGCGTTGTTGAACTTGTCCAGTTCATAAACCGTACCTAGGTATGCGTTGGTACAAACGCCTGGAACGCTTCGCAGAGAGATCATCTTCATCTATACTCGCCAGTTGAGACTTGAATGGCCGTCGGTCGGGCCGGACGTCCTCCCACTCACAGATGCATCTCGGAGGATTTCGAAGCTGCATGGATTCATGGAAGACAAATGCAAGCACACGTTTTCAACCCGGGATGTCCGGAAAAATCCATAATCGCTGCGCTGCAGTGCCAGCATACATACATACTACACCCGGAGAAATGATCACCTTGGAATACCTATTATCAGCGAGCCAACCTGGTCCCATCCTCATCTACAATCCGACTATTTCCAGGGATCGGGAAGCGAGATCGTTCGGTTTGGCGGGTTTGTCTCCCTGGCTCTTGAAATGAGCAAACTTCGTCAAGGCAGCTTCGTGAACGGACGAGCCCCGGAGCCGAGAGTTATTGTGGATAGGAGTTCGGATTGGCAGGCTCGGTGGCAGACTGGCAGACCGAGCGCAAGATCTATTCTATTCATTGATCCCATCCAGCAGGGCCACCCAGGCCATTACCACCAGTATTAAATGGCATCGGTACCGAGACTCCAAAACAACATGCGGCGTTAGCAAGCATGCGAACATGATAACTACGGTTGATATATACCTATCCTCCTCAGCACTGTGCTCCTCCGCCCTCTCACCGGTACGGCGGTCTGTGCCGTGTGTCTGTGTGAGAGCTAGCCTCTATCTGGCAATCTCCTAGATAAGCCGTTGGCCCGTTGCAACGGCGACGGCATGGGCGAAGACCAGGACCCTTCCCCTTCCGGGCTTCTGAGAGGGGTCGAGCGGCGTGGAATCGGGGTTCATTTCCCTTCACTCATCTCTGTCTGGTGGATCGATGAGCCCATATTCCCCCGTTCGCCGTGTCTGTCTGGCTCGATTCTCTAGAGTCCGCCACGGCTTACGGGCCGCACGACAAAGTCCCGTGATGATATTGTAGATTTTCCCCGAACGTTGGGTCGATTCTTACGTCTGAGTTCTGACTTCAGTGAGGCTTGAGGCTTGAGGCTTCGAGAAGACCCAACCGAACCAACCCCCGCCGTATGATCGGCGACGTGGGAGGTTGCTACAACAAGCAGGGCGTGGACACTGGAGTCTTGGACAGGGTATCATCATATCATGGTTCGGCAGCTCGGTAGCTCGGTAGCTCAGTTGTTTTGCGACGGCATTGACTATCGCAACCTCCGCCAAGCCTGTCTGTGGTATTTGACCTTCCGCTTCGAGACGGTGTAGTACAGCGGTATCTCAATTGGCTGGTGATACCTATTGCTTGGGACTGATTGTGACTCTTGCAGCCGCTGCCACGAGTGATAAGGTATGCAAGACTGTATGTATGCATCTATAAGGCTGTCCATGTTGTATGTACATACTTGTATACTGCAATGGCACAGTCGAGACGCTCGTCGACTGGACCGGTTCGCGCGTCTTGAGCTAGGTATGTATTCAGAACTGAAACCCATGCGCCATGTCTTGCAAACTTGCACACAAGAGACCAGAGGAGACGATACGACAAGTGGAATCATGAGCTACGTGGTTCTGCCATCCGCCAAATATAACTTCTTGTTCAGCTTCAGCGCGAATCCTCAAATACGAGAAGCTTTCTTTGCCGCAAATTTGAGCTACGGTCTTGTTTAGTCGCACGTCCAATGCTGCGCAACAGCCGTCGTCCGTCGACGCTCAACTCTAAGACACGTGAATACACATGTAAGCCTCAATACGAGCCCTCGCGCGACACTCCCATGATGGCTCTCTCTTCCGTCCATAGTAGAGTCCCACGTGGATTCCTCGTCCGATGTGGTTGTCCGACGACTGCAGAGGGAAGCGAGTAAGGTTGGTCAGTATCATGACCGCTGCATGGTCTATATTTGTCCGTGTGCATACGTACGTACGTACGTACACGCGTCGGTCGCTTGCTCGATAGCAACACGCCAGCCCGTGAAACAGGACCTCCGGACATCGCGCGTTGTAGCGAGCTGCGGGAGTAGCCTTCCTGCATACAGCGTCGGGTTGAGTTGCTTGACTTAAACAGACGTGACCGACCCGATCTGCTCAGTTCAAGTCGCGCGGACTGCCGAGTGGGAGCCTTCTCTTGAATACCGTCTATGCCTGAGTCGCTTGTAGTCGTGAATCGCATGTTCCGTAACTACATTACCATGACTGAGCCCGAGCTGCCCATCATCTTCAAGACCCGTCATTGACGGCCGAAGACGTGATTTCAGAGCTGGATGTAAATAGCAGGCTCGCACCGGTACTGGTCCAGCATCGTCGCCGTACTCCGTCCGGCGCAGTGTCCGTCGTCCGTCGGACCAGCCTGAACGGGTCTGCCTGCGTCCCGTTCGGGCCAAGCATTCCCATCACGGAAGGCGCTCATGTGTCCATTGGGCAAACATCTGCACATGTAACTTATCGATGCAACCACTCAGCACCGTACGTCACCCAACCTATGACGGGAGTCCATACCCTCAAGCTCATTGCTCACTGGCACAAAAGACCTTGGCGGGGCGTGGGAGACTACTGTACGCGGACCGCCGTGGGGGTTACGTACAAGAGAAGACTGGTCGCAGTTCCGACAAGGTAATAAGCTGTTGCATCAGTCAAAGAAAGGAAGAAGCTGGGAAAGAAAGGGGTTCAGTCCGCGCTGCCCACAGAATCATGAGAGATCTCTAATGGGGGCGGGATCTAGACGGTCCGTTGCGTCGACTTGCAGCTAGGCATAGCTCCCGTCGATCAACATCCTGTTCGTGACATGTGGTTCGGGTCTAGAGCCACTAGCAATTGAATGACGATGATATCATTGTACGTTCTCGTGAGGTACGTGAGAAACTATGGCGGCGGGGACCTTGACAGGAACGAGGTCAGAACCGCTATCGTGAGGTGGTCATGTCCACGCGTGGCAATATGCCAATGGAAGCCAAGCAAGCAAGCAACCAAGCAATAAAGACACGGAGAAAATGTGACCACGAAGGCATGTCGGGTGCTCATAGCGCGACCCAGCTGGCCGTTATTCATTAGAGATTTGCTTGCTGCCAATAATCTTGATTAGCAACGCTAATTGCGATGACATGTGCGCTGTGAAGATCCGGACCATTTCGCAGGGCGCGTGCAGGCCGTCGCGTGGCAAGAGGAACGGATTGATGAGCATGGTGATTGTCAGGGGAGAAACCCCCGATCCGCCGTTCCGAAGAGCTGGCGTCAAACCTGCCTGCCTGTCAGGCTGTCAGTTTCTTTCCCAGTCCTCCGGGTTGGGACGCCAATCAGTGATCACACTGGTCCGATGGTTGCCCCTGACCTGAGCCCTGTAGATCTCTTTTTGGGTGTTCCGCGACAGCCTCAAAGATATTTCTTATGATCGTGCCCCTCTGTTGTTACAGGCATCATCGATCATGAAGCGCAGTATCTTGCGCCTGCGACAGCTTGGGCAACATGCTTCAGCTGGCAGCGGGGCACAAGATTGTACGCGCAGCATCCCAGTCGGGCAATCAAGTCGAATTCGGCATGACGCTCCCAAAAGACGTTCTAGCGTGCGACCGGAGTCCATCCGGAAGAGTGCCGCGGGCCCCAGCGACCCCGTTGGCTGGGTGTGAACCATGAACCATGAACCATACCCAATAATGCAATTTCCCTCCCCCTGTAAGTTCTGAACCGTGGACTAAAACTGACTTCACCTGGTTTGAAGAACGGCGTCTTGTCTAGACACGACCATGTTGACGCCTGTGTTTCATCCGATGGTCCAGACGGCTTTCTCGCGATGGTACTGGTTGGCCGTGATGGACGGTCCTGAAGGCCTCCGAGTAGCTTTAAGCTGTTACCGGTCACCAACAGCCGGCATGAACCTGTCGCTTTGGAGCGGGGCAGCAGCTCTGGCCAGCAAGGCCCTCTGACGGCCTGACCTCGAATCCCGGATCACCACAGTGGCACAGTGGGGGTGATCGGTCCACAGAACTGACAGAAGCTGCCGGGGTAACAGGCGAGCCCGGCGAGGCAGGGAAACCAGCCATGCCAGCCAAGATTGGGACAGGTCGATTCTCCCACACCATGTGTGTTTGCAAGCCATGCCTTCTTGGCACCACTTGCAACAAGCAGCGAGGCGTGAGAGGGGGGCATTCAAACAGATGGTCCGAAGTATTGGACAATGATAGGCCGTGGATGATACCACTACTTGCTGTCCTCGTTCGAGGGGTTCGAGGGGTTCGAGGGGTTCTCATCAAAGACGGAAGACCACTCTGCTGCTTTGTGGATCGACAGTCCGTGACGAAACAAGTCATATTCTGGAAGTGTCTCCATCAGAGTTAAAGCGCGTTTCCACTTCTGAAGTCTCTAGAAAACCGGATACTCTTCCTGTAGTGGACGTCCAAGAAAATGCGCTCCGTGGGACAAGTGGAATTCCTTGTGGAAGTCCAGGGTCCAATGCATTGATCGCTTCGCCGTCGTGGAAGACCGACGTTAATTTTCGGAATTCGCAGGAATCCTTATCTCTGGTGATCCCGAGAATGAGATTATTGGATGAAATTTTTTCAACATTGTCAGATACGGGCGTGTCAATGGGATGCTGATAGCTCATAGCTGGCTGGCATGGAGGATGATGATGCGTCTAGACGCGCCTCGGCAGCACTATTTTTGAGCATATGAAGACCATCCTCTTGTGTGATACGCGTCTTTCTGGTGCCTGGAGCTGTTCGGGCATGCTGTTCAACGCCATGACTTTCGAGTTTCGAGACCCCTCACTTGGAGAAGGTGGTGCATCAATGTTGCTTGCCCCGCGTCCACTTCGTCAACCCCTCCAACAGTCGTCAAGTCAGCGATCCCGTGTAAGTGAATGTGTCGTTGAGAAGTTGACGGAAAGGTACGGTAATATCCCATAAGCAGTGACGTGATCTAATCTCCATGGACGGAGAGGGTCGTCAATAATGATGGTGTGAACGTACCCAGTGTCGGTCAGATGTCTCGTGTTTGAAGTAATAATCGGACATTCCGAACACCTGGAAGTACCCCAGCTCTTAACTGGTATCATGAAGTGGGGTTGTCCCGCGCTCAATCTCATGTCGTACGGTCGAGATGTGGCATACCTAGGTACACATTGTGGCATATGTGAGGGAGCATGGCTTTGCAGCCATGGATTGGAGATGGGATATTTCTCGAAGCAACAGCCTCACTTTGGCATTGCAGGAGTCCCGTTATGCTGCATGATGGGGACGACCGTTGAACAAACTGTCAGCCAGTTATTCGTCCCGATTTCAAGACAGCATCCACTGGCTGCGAACTGCATATTGGCGTTGGGAGCAGCTGCTCGCTTGACGCCTCTTGTGAGTCTAGCCCCCTTGGGGCCATCTCAGGATAAATAGGAGAAAACTAGAATGACATACCTTGTGATATTAGATGGCCACTGCGCTGCAGAGGCACTCCCATGATAGAGATCGGACCCGACAAGTCGCGGAGATCTATTAATACGCACGACACGATGCTGGGATGGGTGATGATCCAATCTTCTAGAAACTCGCTAGAGCCTAGAAGCTGCCAGATTGGGGTACTCACAATGAAACGACACCGTCGACGCGGGGGTCTGCCGTGAGGGTCTGGACTCTGGAGGAACACTGCGAACAGTTGAATGCCACCAGACGACAGCATCAATGCCTGTTTACATGTAAGAAGTCAACAACCCCGCCTGTTCTGCCGTGGGCCATCTGCACCCGACTGGTGATGGCTTCTGGTCACCCCCGGCCGCGATACCGAAAAGGGGGCTGGGATTGGAAATGCTCCAAGCCCTGGAGGCGGCTGGAGTCGGACTGCCAAGTGCCAACATTGAACTGGATTGCTCTACTATCCACAACCAATTTCTCGTGATTGGCATGCAGGTGCACACTAGGCCCGAAGGGGGACGTGTCGCTGCTTTTGCGCGATGCTATTGGTACCTAGGTAGTGGGATTATTGAACTTACAACGCGGACCGGTCACGGGTAACGAACCGTGCCATCCGTGGACGCCGTCCCATTCCATTCCCATGATGAACGTGTGATGAAGAGATGCGTTTGCGCCTTTGGTCTTTTTAGAGTGCGATGGCGAGCGGCAAAAGGAGGAATTGGGTCACTGAAGTGCATGTGCTGCCACACTCCCCTCCTCCGCTGCCCCCCTTCTGTGGCACTGTGGCTCGAAATCACCTTCAATTTGACTTTCATTGTTCATGCCGGCTCCCCCGCTTCCCCTCTGCGTTAAGGTACCTTGCTGGACTTCAAATGCAAGCTCACCAGCAAGCTCCAGGCACTTTCAGCTCCAAGGACCAACTGGAAACCGGTATATCCCCACTTTTCCCAATATTAGACCCGACACCTCCAGAATCATCCATTTGATGCATCATCATCCGTCAGCCTGTTCTCCTTCTCCGAGCTCTCTCCACTGTAAGGCAGCTTTAGTAGACCGCACGCTTTATCTCTGGACTTTGCATCGCCAGATTCGCGTGAGAAGACAAGAACAATAGCGGTGAAGGAGCATTCCCTTGCTCTTTAACCTCGTCAGTCCCCTATCTTGCAGCGCATACCGCCTCGTGGTACAAGCTTTGAGAGGGGCAAGAAGGTGCCTTGTAGGAACACGTAGCTCAATCCCAGGGCTGCTGCCAGGGGAGAGGCACAGTAGCGAACCCACCTGAGTGCACCCCACCTCCGCTCAGCTGGGCCTAATCCTAATTCTGCCCTTGGATCGAGCCACTTCTTTTCCCTCCTCCGTCCTCCCCCTCGCTCCCTCGCTCGCAGGCCACGAAAGCCACCCACCAGTGCCACCGCCGCCCACCACGAGCCACCAAACTGAGGCCCGCATTCTCCGTTCCCTTCCCGCAGCGCTCATCATCAGTCCAGTGTCGCTGTACCGGGCCCGTCGCGTATTCTTGAATTGGCAAGATACCTAGGTACGTCTGGTGCTCCCCTCCCGCCCCGCCCACTCTCACGCTCGGGTCACGCGTGGGCACCTCACAGTGTCACTGCACGCACTACACGCACCTGGGCACGCACTGCACGCTGCGCTGCGCTCCTCTGCTGTCTGCCCCCCAGCACTTCAATTTTACCTCCCTCTTTTGTCCCTCCTCCTCCCTTCCCCCTCCTTTTTTTAATCCAGCTTTCTGCATTTCCTGCCCATCAACAACCATCGCCCGACAACCCCTCCTCAACGTCCACCATCGCGCATTGCGACTTCAACCCGTTGTTCACCTGCGTCGCCTATCATTCAGGACGACTGCACCCTCTCGGATACCCCGGCGTATCGAGACTAATTCCAGGCTTAGGCCTCACCACCATCTACCCGCCCATTCCATGCTCCGGATATCCATACCAATGACCAACTACGTCCAGTCCAGTCAAGAAGACACACTTTGAATCCCACGGGAGTGCGCGTGCGAGCGAGGAGCCAGGTGATCTCAACTATCAGTCTGTGAAAGGGTCAAGAGCAAGAGCAAGTCTACATATCTCGGAGAGCCGACCGCAGTCGTTGTCTAGTCAAGTCCAGCCGATTGATTCAGAGCCCGCAAATCCATCACCATCACCCACCCAACGCGACAATCATCTCCAAGATGCCCGGTGCCAACGTAGCCGTCCTGCCGACCGATGCCGCATCGACTCCGGTCCCCCGCAAGACCTCCGCCACGCAACCAGAGCGCAAGTACAAATGCCAGTTCTGCAACAGGGCATTCAGTCGCAGCGAACATCGAAGCAGACATGAACGGTCGCGTATGTGGCGCGAAATCCTTTTCCCCTCTCTTCCACTTCACCTTCCTCTCCACCTTCCCCTCCACCCCCCCTTTCCCAATATTCAACCCCTCTTCATCCAACAACTCGGTCGCCAATGTTGCGCGCATATGATTTACCCCTCAACACCATGAGTTATGCTGTCTTGTGTCACGAGCTAACTTCAATCGCCACAGATACTAAGGAGCGGCCTTTCAAATGCATGAAGTGTAGGAGTACTTTCGTGCGACGCGACCTGCTTCTCCGACACGACCGTACTGTTCATGCTAAGGATGGAGGTATACCTCTGCACAGCGACGGAAAGCGACGGGCTGGTGGTACCCCCAAGAGTAGAGCTATCGGCGGCCCTTCCAAGTCCATCGCCATTGACACATCGACCTTGAGTGAGCAGATAGAAGCCAGTAGTGATGGTATCTTCGATGTCGAACACGCTGCTATGCTGGTCGCTGACCTTCATCACAAAGCGACAGCCGCCATGCGCGATGGCAGCAACGGCAGTCCATACGTGCAAAGCCCATCCATGGCATTTCCTCCCAACGGTCCGCCGTTGATGGACCCTGCAGTCTCGTACCCTCCTTCTGCTACTACCGCCCTACCTCAAGGGATCCCGTGGGAGTTCATGCCGCAGTCAGTCCCTGAGGCCAAGACACAGTCCGTTGCATCAGCCGGTTCTGGATCCTTCGAGTCCCAACAGTCCTTTGCTAGTGTGAGTACCGCCCAGGTCCAATCCAGCCCAGTACCATCCGCCCAAGGCCCGAGTTACAATGGTCTGGTACCTGCACTGCAGAATACGATCAAGTCCCTTGCCCCCTCCAGCACTGGCGCTGCCATACCCGCACAACCTGGTGTACCTCCTCATACAAACTCAGTGGCTGACTCGGTCCAGGCTTCGGCCGGCTTCAAGGCTCCCCAGGTTCTTAGCGATGACGAGCGCAACTTGATACTGGACAACATTCGAGCACACGACACCGAACACGCCATCCCGGAAGGGTTCCGTCTTCCCAGTCTCGGCTCGTTGAATCGGTATCTCGCAACGTACTTTGGCCTTTTCCACCACCACCTGCCGTTTCTGCACCCTTCGTCGTTCACCGTGACCCAAGTGTCTCCCGCTCTCTTGCTTGCGGTGCTGTCAATAGGCGCACTCTATGCTTTTGATCAGGACCAGGCATACATGTGTCACATCGGCTCCAAGGTTCTGGTCAACCAGTTCTTGCAGAACAAGGAGGAGTTCAGCTCCAGGAAATGCCCACTGTGGACCATGCAGGCTTCGCTTCTTAACATGATCTTCGCCAGCTGGAGCGGTGACCCCAAAGGGCTGGAGTGGGCTTGTTCCATCAAGAGTCTGTTGGCCAACATGGTTGCTGGGAATCGTTACGAGTTGAAGCTTCGCCAAGACAGCCGTGAGGGTTCTTATCCAACCCGATCCGAATGGGTGGAAGATGAGGGATGCCGTCGTACATACTACGCCGTCTACATCTTCTTTGGCCTCCTGACCTTGACATACAACCACACGCCCGCGATTAGTTTCAACGAGTTTGAGGACCTACAGCTTCCATCGTCGGAGGGGCTTTGGAACTCCAAGGTCACCGATGAGCTAGCTTGGGAACAACAGCTGAAGACGTCCCCAGGGATTACTTTCATGGTTGCTCACGACAACCTCTTCCAAGGAGAGACACTGAAGTACAGCGCTTTTGCAACGCGTGTTATGATCAACGCGTTGTTTCTTGAAGTCTGGTATCACAAGCGAAGCCCCGAGGCTCTACAGGATGTCGTGACGGAATACAAGCTGCGACTGGCTCTCGAGACTTGGGAGAAATCTCTTGATCTTTGTGAGCCCGAAGCTGACGCAGTCCCGTTGAGCGCGCCTCATAAGGGTCACCCTCTTGTGTTCAACGCAAAGGCCATGTTCCGCAGCGCCCGTGCTCGTCTCGAAGTCGACCTCAAGGCCGTTCAGGAGGCTCTCCGTTACCACGACCATTACGAAGTCGCTGCCGCTATGTCTAACGCACGCGACCGCGTAAAGCGCTCAAGCGAGATGATCAAGGTCATTCAAGAATGCTACAACTGCATCGAGACCGCGGTGCGCCAAGGTGTTCGCTGGGTGGCTCGAACATCGCCGACAAACTGGAGTATCGAGCACCCTTTGTGCGGCATGGACCTGATGATCACTCTTACATTGTGGCTATACCGTCTGGAACACGACGAGGAAGCTGCTACTGATGAAGAGATGGTCATGTACCACAAGATTCGGGCGCTCTTTGAGAAGGAATCCGAAGAGCCCTTGAACTCGCAGCAGTTGAGCGCGACTGTGGCTCACCTCTGGGGCTCCATGCTGGACGAAGTTGTCGTCTGGGGGTACGTTACCCTTTGCCGCACCTATATTATACATCGGTATACTGACTGTTTCTTCCAGCATCACCAGACTCATGGGCGAATCCTTCCGCCTTCACTCTCAAGCCCTCGTTGGCTACGTGGACGATGTCGAGGCATCATCCAACGTCTCGACGCCTTCCATGATCTCTCAGGGGGCAGACGAGGAGAGTGTGTACTAAAACTTTTTACGAGACCCACGATTTCCTTTGTTCATCTCCTTTCCGACGGCGGGGGGTAACGGTGCAATCTCCTTGCCATATACCTCTTCAGTTTCCTGCAGTCTTTTCGTCGTTACGGATCGGACTGGCGTGGGTAATTGAATTCGGGCGTCGGTCGTCTTTGCGGTTACGTGTGCATCCAACATCTGCATTCGAGGTCACTGGTCATGAGGGGGTTCTGGAATGGCAAGCTAGGCTCCCCGTGAAGCTGGTGGAGGGGAAATCCAGCGCAAGATGCGCAACCTAATGTGTGATGCAGGGCTGGCTGGTCCATTCGCGGAACTTCTCTTCCCCATTGTTCTATTAGCTACAGCACTTGTATCCTTGTTTAATGCTGTTTTGTTCTGGTTTGGTGCTTTTCCTGCTGTTCGTCGTCGTTGTCAGATACCTTGTTCTACATACCTACCGAGCATGCCCTTTGTTTGCCCTTATGATTTCCTCACTCTCATTATGTCGTTGCCTTCTCTTTTCTTTAACCTCACCTCTCACGTAATAGAGCTGGCTGTTGGAGGGTCCCAGGATGGATGTCAGCTTGCAACAAGGAAGGGATTGCGCGCCGCAGATTGATATGTCTTGGCTGTTCGATTAGGACTGTGTTCTATTCGGATGTATAGATAATTGAGCGCCGTCATCTAATACATCACTTCTCTCCAGCTTCCAGTCTTATCTACTTACATGCATGTATTACTAGGAGTGAACAACCCAGATCGGTAGATGACCGTCCCGCTAAGCTGGTACAACCTCCCCGCAGCTGGTTGGGCCGGGTAGGAATTGCATTTATATATGTGATTGACCAGCTCACCCAGCCTCACCCATATTATGCCGATGTCAATATGCTACCATGCATCATGCCTTGCCTCGTGTCATCCCCACAACGAAGGGGGGCAGCCGAGCTGGCCTCGTTTACTCAAACCACGACCAGGACACGGAGACCCGCTGCCTCAAACCGCGAGCCCGGAATGCCGCTGGACGTCTACTATGTACGCGAAGCAAGGGGTGAGGGACGTTGGACGTTGGAGTCACACGTGTTCATCTGATACTGGGTCTCACGCTTGATACCACTCATTTCTTGTGACACAAGAGTTGTGGCTGACTGTTTCTGACAGGATGATGCCGGCTCCCTATCTGTTGCTGCGCGTTCCCGGGCCGCTGCCCTATCGACTGATATGATGTGTACTTTTGCTTCCTGGCCCGTCGGCCGAGGAGGGGAGCTAAGGTACCTTATTTATCTCGTGCCAGCCGGTGCTTGTGCGACCGGCAATGCTCGGGTGTCGTCGTCGTTGTTGGTGGTTATTGCTCTTGCCGTGGTCGTCGCTGCGCTGCTAAGGTACTGTTATTGCTGCTGCGGTTACTCTTCGTCCGTTGTTCCCTGGGTCTGAGACATCTTACGGAAGTCACTGGAAAGGTACCTTCCGCTTTATTTCGGTCGTTTGTTGCGTGACGCGGAGCTGTTACATCGGCACACCACATCAGTGGCTTTCTTTTCTTTTCTTTTTTTCTTTTCTTGGATGAAGTCGTTCGCTCTTTTGATTTTGTAATCACGTCGCTCATTTACAATAGCCTGCGCTTGTATATCGACTCGAGACTCTAGCAGTCTCTCGTTTGGGGGGTGTCATTTATGATAAGGGCAGGACACATCATCGGGGACGCACCCACCACTCGACCATGACTTCAGTGGGGATTCTCAGCCTGTTGGCACTCTTGGTTGGTCACGCCCTGGCGGATTGCGAGTGCGGATACTTCATCACAACCGGGCCCGACAACACACGGCACGTCTTCACCGACCTGCTGGAGAGCGACTTCGTCCACGTCGACATCACGGACGACGCGACGGCGACGTACGGGGAGTACGGCTGGGCGGCGCAGGACTTCAACATGAGCACGGAGGCCGCCCACGGTCCGTACGGCGAAGCGTTCGCGGCTGGGAATGTGGTGTCGAACGATATCGCCGATAAGGGGGTGTTCAAGGGGGCTGGTGCGAAGGGTCCTGATGCGGGCTTGCGGCTGTTGGTGCAGAGCGAGACCCGCGATGGGATGGTTGTGAATGCCGGGGTTGCGACGACGGACTTGCATTACTTCTATGGCACTTTTCGCGCTGGTATCAAGGTCACGGGTGTGGAGGGGACGTGTAGCGCTTTCTTCTGGGTGAGTGACGATCGGATGGACGGGCGATACTCCTGCACGCTTCTTCTCATGCTATGGAGACACATGTGCTCACCCCTTGCACTATATCTAGTACCACAACGACACCCAAGAGATCGACATGGAGTTCCTCTCCGCGCAATTCAACAAGACCAACAACACCTTCCCCGTCAACCTCGTCCTGCAGTCGAAGCAGCAATCACAAGACGACGACGACGACGCGCGCTTCGCCGCCTCCTCAAACACCAGCAACTTCCGCCGGGTCGACCTCCCCTTCGACCCCACGGCCGCCTTCCACGAGTACCGCTTCGACTTCCTGCCGTCCAGCGTCCTATTCTACGCCGACGGCGTGCAGCTCGCCGAGCTTGAGGGCCCGGGCGTGCCGTCCTCGCAAACGGGGTCACTGCAGCTGTCGCACTGGAGCAACGGCAACGCGGCGTGGTCCGCCGGTCCGCCGGAGACCGACGCGGTGACGACGGTGAGTTATGTCAAGGCGTACTTCAACTCGTCGCTTGAGGCGCGCAAGGGGGATTATGAGGCAAGGTGTCCAGCGGCGGTGGGGGCGGTTTGTGCGGTGCCGGATTATAATGCTAACTTTTTCTTTGAGTATGCGGATGGGGATGGGGTTGCGCCGAATCAGACGGGGGATGGGGGAGCCGGTGGGAATGGTGCTGGTACTGGTGCTGGTACTGGTGGTGTTGGTGGTGGTTATAGTTGGAGGTGGTCATGGTCGTCGTTGCTGGTTGCGGCGGCTCTTGCGTCAGGTGTGGGCGTTTTTGGGTTATACTAAGTTTCCTTTTCGGCACAGGCGTTGGGGGATACAGTCATGATGATTATGAGACTGGCGGCAGTCTGGTTTACTGGCAGGATGTGGTGGGTGGTTTGCTGTTCGGTCACAACTCTGGTTTTCGCATACCGCGTTGTTTCGCAGACGATACGCTGGCGGTGTACTTGCGCATTCTTGCGCTGAACATATATATCCTTCGCCAAGGCTGATGATTGGAAAGCCAGGTCTTCCACGATGGATTGTAATCTTTCATTCGAAAGGCGTACTGACGTAAACAGCCGTCATGTAGCCGATGCTTTCGGCGTCAACTTCCCACTTGTTCCGCAGGGGTTCCCATACACGGACCCCTTATCTCATAGAAAATCCGTCCCTCATGAAATTTAACATGACCTGTAGACCCTAGGGTGATAAGATGCACCAGCTTTCTCCAGAATTACGGACCCCATTGACAGTGAAAGGCCGATGAATGGCAAGTTTCAGTACCTTCAAGGGGGATACTCGGGCCAGTCTGAAAGGAAATGGGCAGAGGGGACGCATATCAATTCTTTGTTGATTGAGAGAATATACCTGCTTGAGTTCTCTCCCAGAGTCTACCACGTACAGCTTGTCGGATCTCCTCACCACAGCATCTATTAAAATTGCCATTCTCTCACAATTCTGGGGCCAGGCTGCAGTCACCGCAAGCATGGGCTACGACGAAAACGACGAGACCATCCAATCTTTCTTCAAGCAGCGGCCCACGACCTCAAAGCACGAGTGCGATGACATAGCCGGCGGCATCGTCGGCAGGGGTGCTGTCATCGAGAGCGTAGACACGCAGGGATCCATGAGCTACACCGTAACGTGCACGACCAAGACGATCATCTCCTTCCGACGCGTCGGGAATCTCATCGACAGCAATGTCGTGGGGATCTCCAAGGACCTCCATCGAGGACTGGTCCCGTCTGCATCGTATTGCGGCAAGGTAGGCCAGGGTGATGAGACCCTGACCGCCTACAAAATGACTTATCTCCCTGGCAGGCCGTGCCTGGAGATCTACCCTCGGGTTGCCGAGTTGGATTCGGAAGATGAGGTCAAATGCGCTACCATGTACAAGCACCTCGCCAGGTGAGCCTTGCCCCCGTCCTATATCCTTAGCCAGCCGACCTCAGGTACTCATAACTACAGATAGGTACTTCGCACGAACCTGGCTAGCCCCTATGTCGAAGAATTTTGGACGGGAGGCCGCCACGCTCATGGAGAAGGAAGACTTGAAGGACGACGAGGCCTGGTTCCGTCGCAGGCTGTCCGTTATGGGAGCCGCTCAGGAGAGGTTCCCCTACATCCAGAGCTTCATCGACGAGAGCGAAGAAGACGTCATCCCTGTTCTCTTCGGACGGGACTGGCCAAAAGTGCTCACGCACGGAGACTTCTCCAAGCGAAACATCCTCCTAGACCCCCAAACATTCGCCGTCACGGGCATCGTCGACTGGTCGCTCGCGTCGATCCGCCCGTTCGGCTTGGACCTCGAGCTGCTGCTGGACCTGCGGGGTTTCTCCAACGACGACGACGATGGCGCTGCCGAGTACACCACCACGGAGTACACCTGCCACGAGAAGCTGGAGGATGTCTTCTGGGAGGAGTTCTGGGCCCTCGCGGGGGTGGAGGGCGTGAAGAGGAGGTCCCACGTCAAGCGGGTGGCCATGTTGGCGGCGAAGCTGGACGCGTTGATGAAGTACGGGTTTCAGCTGGAAAAGGACGGAGGCGAGACGGATCGGTTGACTGTGTTTAATGATGATATACTCAAAGACCTCTTTGACGAGAAGCCGGGTAAGCGGGAAGATAGCGAAGCGGACCTCAGGGGCGAGGGCGAATAAGGGGGGCTTGAGGGAATAAGTGGCAAGGAGCCAAAGTGTTGGTAATCGACTTAGAGAGGGGGTTCATGCATCTTGCTTCCATCAGATTTCATGGAAGCCCAGCCTATCCAGAGGTACAGCTACAAGTCCAATGTGATTGGCACAACTCGTGGCTTACCTAAATCGAACCGGAGTTTGATGTGAGCCTCATACAAGTGGGTTATTGAGAAGCAAGACCTTCAAGCGCCTGATCGGACTCGAGGTACAGTCACCCCTCGTCGATCTCCGACTAGAAGCCGATGGGCCAAGCTGCATCGGTCTAATCATTGGAGTCTCATGGTTATTCTAACTCCTCATGCTGGACATGAAATCATCGGAAGGCACAGTATCCTCAGATCCCCCAGCAATGCCACGGAGTCCATAATTTGTTCGCAAGGCGCTGTCTGTTGTCACTGCAGACACTTAACTAACCCCCCTAGGAACCAGCGTGTTGTTTTAGAACGCCTATCAGGTACCGGCTCATGAATTTCAAGAGCTGATGTTGGCAGTTGTCTTGTGGCTATGTTGTAACGTTGCCGACTGGCTCAAGAGGCAAACCCTGAAAACGGGCCGTAGCTGGTAGCTTGCAACATACACTCACAACCACACTGCACACACACTCTGACACATCTTGTTTCCCGGAACAAGAAGCCGCAGGTGTGTTGGTGTGTTTGTGTGTACGTATCCCTCTTTCCCCAAACCAACGGCTCGTGACGTCCCACAAAGCAACCCGAGGGTCCGGAAGCGTCGCCGATCCGGGGCTGCGTAAGGTAGTGGCTGGTCACACAACCTCCCGACGACATGACATGGTGCGTGCCCTGTGTGCACCCCGTACCGGGACCAGTGAGACTCAGGCGCCGTCACACCTCACGCGCATTGCCCACTCACTGACGACCGTGTTGGTGGGTAAGGTAGATATTCCGACTACTCTGTTCGCATCGCTGGTAACGTGATAGCGAGACAAGGCAAGGAGAAAGGGGTTGACGCCATCATTGGACGGATCGCGATTCGCACGTATGTCAGCTGGATGGATCACCACACTGTGGTTGCAAACTCTCAATGGTGGTGTGCTGCCAGCGAAAGGACCGACAGCGACGATTCGCAGCATAGGAAAAGTGCTGCTGCCAGTGAGAGTGCTGAACGACCCTCTCCACCTGCCGCTTTCGGCCGGCTTTGAGCGTCCCCGTGCCTTGGGCCTTTCAGTGCTTCGTTGGAGTCAAAGTTGGAGAGGGCGTCTAGAGCGTCTCCATTGGAAGACTGGTGGAGTGCAACGGAGAGGGGTGCATGGTAACTGATCGTGGAGAAGATCGTGGGGAAGTCAAATGATGGTTGCGGTGGTGGTACGGGGGAACCTTATGTACAGTAGAGACATCGCCACCGCGCCCTCACGAGCGGAAGGACGTACGGAAGCCCAGAGAACTGCGCAGCGCGGCGGCATCAATGCAGTGATGTCGCAAGTATAGGAGGTATAGCCATCAAAATAGATGTCTCAGCAGCTTGGGTAGGGTTCCACAGCTTAATCTGACATGTTATTTTCGTCTCAGCCCTCACCGCCTAGGTAAGGGGGCCGAGACGGAACTTGTCATGTCGGAGCTGGTGTGATACATCAGGAACGCTATATCGCGGTCTGGTGATACCCAGCAAAATGGGATCAGAATTACTTCGCGGCAACCCGTAACGTGATGTCTATTCCAACCTGGCGGACTTTACAAGCTTACCGCCACCTACAAGCCACACTCCGGGGAGTCGGGCCCGACGACATCCATGTGATCCCATCGCGCTCGAAGGCTTCCCTTTCGGCTACCATGGCCGAGACAGCAATGGGCGCATGCCCACCACCGCCCTCGCAATGTGTTTATTACCCATTACAAATCCAAAAGACCGGAACACGTCACGGTCCAGGTACCGTCAGGTTGCGAAATCATGGGGGAGGCTGTAGGGTAGCCGGCCCCACACTTGGAGAGCCGGGCCGTATGGAATTGAGGAACCCCAGTGGAGACCAAATGAGACGTCATCCCTCATCTCTCGCATCCTGCTTCGTCGCGCCTCTTCCAGGTTTCGTCCCTTTGTTATGTTTCATTAAGCACATGCGCTGTCAATTTGGTCACGACGCTGCTCCCCTTGCCCTTTTGCTGTTGGCGGGTAAACTGGTTGCGCTACGCCACTGGCCCCAGGCAAGCAACAACATCATAGAACCTGCGCTGGGTTTGTTGGCCGGCTCCCTGCAAATCAATGCGGAATCACCACGACGCAGCGATTGAAGCTTGCTCGGTACGATAACCGAAAGGATCTCAAGCCCCAAATCGTACCTACCGAGCCGCCTGTGTTCTAGCGGGAGATCATGAAAGGTAATCTGTTATGCCAGGTACCCGGCTGCCAGGACCGGGACAGCCCCAGTAACAATCAGATCATCATGTTCGGCCTCTATTCATGGCATCACCCCCAAATCTCCTGGGTATGATGGCTGGTCTTCATGTTACGTACCAGCAACATCTCATTCGCACGTGAGGTATAAGGTAAGGAATGGAAGGCATCGATTTCTCGATCCCTTTTGCAACCACATAGATGATCCCTGAGAGTCACAAGCCTCCTCACGACCACCAAGCGATCTCGAGGACATGCTCCGCGTAGACAAGTTGTTTACCAGGTTCGCTCCAAGACCTTGTTTTCCAGGTCCCTTGACGTGTGCCAGTTAATATATTAAAGGGCACCACTGTCACTTCGAGCTCGCCCGTGTTTTGCACCAATGTGCCATCATCATCTCCATCCTACCTCATCTCATACCATCCAATAATCTGGAAACACCTCTCTTTCAACTCCAATACTTCCTTTTTGAGACTATACACACGTAGAAGGGTGGACCGACAGGAGACCAAAACAGCTCTCTAGCAACCACCACCACGACAGAGTAACAGATAATGACGAACCCGACGACCAACATAGCGCTGAAGAACAACACGGGCTCGTCCAACGCCTACGCCTACGTCACGGGCCGGGACATCAACAAGAACAATGTGCCAATCTTCATCCAGTCCGATGGCAAGACGGTGTACTACCCGGCCTCGCCCTCGGCTCCCCAGCATGCGCTCGCGGCCGACTGTGCAATCTCGCTCGGCGCCGCGAACTCGACCACCACCCTGACGATCCCGCAGATCGCCGGGGGTCGCATCTGGTTCTGTGTCGGCGGCAAGCTGACGTTCCTGCTGAACCCCGGGCCGGCTGTCGTCGAGCCGAGCGTCACCAATAAGGCCGAGTACGTATTCACCCAAGAATATCCTTGGCAACTCCCTATCATCAGTCTTTGGCAAGTTGAACTGGGCACCTATGGTGCTTTCTGAAGTCGAAGCCACGATACAGCCCCCGAAGCCCCAATCCGATGCAAGGACAGGTTGTTGACCCTTCTTACAGTGCCAACTACAACCTGAACTGGGGGTTCTGCGAGTTCACCTATAACGCGTTCCAGCTCTTCGTCAATATCAGCTACGTGGACTTCGTATCGCTGCCCGTCTCTCTCTCGCTACTGAACACCTCGGGCGCGACGCAGACCGTCCAGGGGCTGCCGGCTGGCGGCCTCGACCAGGTCTGCGCGAAGCTGACGCAGCAGGCGGCCCAGGAGAACGCCGACTGGGGCAAGCTAGTGGTCAAGGGGTCCGACGGCAAGAACCTGAGGGCTCTGAGTCCCAATAGCGGCCGTGTTATTGATAATTCTCTCTTCGAGGGGTACTATCAGTCGTATGTCGACCAGGTGGTGAGTAACATCCTGCCCCTTATTCACCCTTTTCACGCCTGCTTCAGAGCCCGAACCTGCCCGCCTGAAGGGAGTACTGACCCCGTAAACCGCAGTGGAGCAAATACATCAACCAAGACCTAAAAGTCGACACGCAAGCCCAATGGGACACCGTTACCGCGCGCGTCGACAAGTCCACCAACCTGCTCACCTTCGCCGGCGACGCCGGCATCACCTTCGCCCAGCCGTCCGCGGGTGACATCTTCAGCTGCTCGACGGGGCCCTTCGGGTCGTACCCGTCCGACCACGCCGACGAGCTCGGCGCCCTGGGCGCGCGCCTCGCCGCCGCGTTCAACCGGTCAACGCTATTAACCGACGCGAACCAGCCCGACGGCGAGATCGTGGGGAACTATTACAAGACGAGCCCGACGAACCACTATGCGCGTATTTGTCATGAGGTTAATCTGGATGGGAGGGGCTATGCGTTCCCGTACGATGATGTGGTTGCGTCGGGCGCGACGCAGCCGGATCAGGCGGGCACCGTGTTTGATGGGAGTCCGGAGCTGTTGACTGTTACTATTGGGGGGCCGACCGGGACGAGTGCGGCGGTGAAGACGGAGGTGGGGACTGGGGAGCAGGTGGTTGTGGGGAGTGGGAAGACGGCGGAGAAGGGTGAGGTGAAGGGGGAGGGGAATGGAAAAGAGAAGGTGAATGGGAAGACTGGTCCGGGCTTGGCGGGCACGGTCAAGAACTGGATGAGCTCGTTGAAGAGGAAACTGCCCAAGTGAGCATTGTTTGTTGGAATGGATGATCTGCGGATGAGCATATTTATTGCCCCGACTTGAGCGTGAGGTGCGACTTCCCGAGACTCTTGGGCATTTGGTATAGGGACTGTTGGCTGCTGGCTCTGGTTGGAGTGGGATACCCGGCGTTGTGCTTTGGATATGGTGGGGGTTGCGCATGGATCGGTCATTTTCCTCTCGAGATTCCCCTTTCTTCGACGTTGCTTTTCGGTATCCAGCATTCGCCACTTTGCACTGCATTCATTCTCGGAGGATGGCTCTTTTTTTCTTACGTTCATTGCATTGGATACCTCCAAGTCCACCTTAGCATATGGGTTTGGCCATTTCTCTTTTGTCGGGCATCTTCTGGCATGGTCGTATTCACGCGGGGCCGTCGATGTCTTGTATATAGTCTGTCGCTTGTGCCGCTTGTATATAGCAACTACTTTTCTCATGTACGTGATGGGGGCGCAAGGTAGTCACCGAACGCAACAATCCAGTACAGTATATACATTCTCGATTGACTATATACCAGACCGAAATGCCGGTCTTCAAAGTAGCGTATTAATCCATCCGTGGCATCACTATCCAACCATCTCTGCAGAATAGACCCAACCAACCTACTGCGTGTCGCTCCTAAAAACACCAAATAAAAGGAGAAATATCATCGATGAAGATGTCCGGGTGTGGGCGTGTTGAGACCCGTGTCAAACAGGGGTGCGAGGGCTCATCACCAGCTCGAGACGTGCATTCGAAATGTGAGATGCCTCTCTCACCCTCTCCTTCTTCCCAGGCCCTAGACTGACGCATCCTGTAAAGTCACGGCTTGAATGGCGTCGTCTTGCGGATTGGAAGGCGTGTTGTGACCAGAGAGGAGAGATACCTCCGAAGTCGCGCGTCATGCCTCGAAAACAGGGGAAGGAGCACACAGAGCAGGCGTCTGCAAGACTGCCCAGTGGTCAGTTTCCAGTACGTCTGATAGAAAAGGGGAAGTCACCACTCACGCTCGCGGACATCGTGCTCAGAAATGATCTCATCATGGCCCCATCTGCGACACGTCCCTTGACGGTGCCTTCCTCCCGTCTCTACCTTCACTTGCCCTCACCACACCAGGCACGACAGGAGCAACTGCCAAATCCCAAACACCTCGACAGCCAGCGTTGACGTCAACGAGACGCTCGGACGCCCTCCGTCTTCCTCTTTTGATTCCTTTTCTCCTCATGTATATACTAGTACGCCATTCTGCATACGTGCGCTTGGCCTTGTATATACAAACATCCTTCTGGCAAGTTTTGAAAACCACCGGTCTTCTTGACTGCTCCATCCATTTTTTTCATCGAGGGCTCCGCTGCGTGCAGGGCGTCGAGGAAGATTGCTGGATGTTTGCGTGTCGAGAGAGAGTCGGACTGTCGGGGTCGTTCGTGTGTGAGACTGACCCGTTTGGTTGGTTCTCGTGTGGCGACCACCGGTCTTCATGAGTGAACGACTGCCCTTCTGTCCTCAATCATTGGGTTCGATGATGTGTGTTGAGAGGAAGCAGTTGTAGTTGGAATTTGTTCGTCATGATTGGCTTCACCCGCGGCCGAGAAGCCCAGGCCGCGAGGCCCTTCGCTCTTGGGATGAAAGATGTGGCGCGAGAGAGAAAGAGAAGAAGGAGACTCGAGCGACAGAAGGGATTTCGTCTTGCTTTTGTACCTAGGTAGGTCGGGGACCTGTGGATCATTCTCTTGTCAAAGTTTGAGGAACAAGCGAGCGCCATGGCTTGGGGTTGAGTAGATTTTGAGCTTCACGTGGCGGCGCTGGGCACTTTCAGTGCTTGACGAGCCACCTGGCCCGCGCAAAGAACTCTACTAGGCTTGACCGACCAAACCTCGATTGAACTATCTCCCACGCGTAGTATGCTGGTGCCTGACGTGAAGGCGTCCATGGCAGCGTGGTCAGCATTGAGCAAGGATGTGACGATCATGTCGAGCCTTATTGGACAGATTAGATGCAGAGGTGGGGAAGTCAACAAACAACATCTTCACACGCAGGTCTCCAAGGAACAACAAGTCTACCTAATAAATAGAGACTTCTCCAAGTCATCATGGTCGCGATTCAAGTCCTGTCAGACTTGCACCTCGAGAACCCCAAAGCATACGACATCTTCGACATTCCAGCCAACGCACCATATCTGGCGCTTCTGGGCGACATCGGATACGCCAGCAAGCACCAGGCCGAGTACCTCGAATTTCTGCGACTGCAGCTCGCCCAATTCCAGGTGGTATTCCTGGTGCTGGGTAACCACGAGCCATGGCACTCCGACTGGGACAGCGCGCGGAAGCTGATGCGCGAGTTCGAGCAGATGATCCGACTGGAGAGAGAGTCGCGCCCGGGGGCAAAGAACGGCGTTGAGCAGCAGGGGCTCGGCGAATTCGTCCTGCTGGACCGGACGCGTTACGACCTGCCAGAACGCGGTGCCGGGGGCGAAGCCATCACCATCCTCGGCTGCACGCTCTTCTCGCACGTCCCGGCCGCGTCGAGCGAGGCTGTCAGTTTTGGGGTAAACGACTTCTACCACATTGACGGCTGGACGGTCGAGCAGCACAGCGCGCGGTTTGCCACCGAGTTGGCATGGCTGAACGAGCAGGTTGCGGCGCTCCGGGGCGAGGGCCGGAAAGCTGTCGTTCTTACTCATTATAGCCCGACGATGGACGACCGCGCAGTCGATCCGAGGCATCGGAGCAGTCCCATTCAGACGGGCTTCGCCACGGACTTGAAGGATCAACTGTGCTGGACAAGCGAGGTCGTCAAGGTCTGGGCGTTCGGACACACGCATTTCAATTGCGACTTTGTGGATGAGAAGTCTCGAAAGCGGGTTATGGCTAACCAGCGAGGGTATTATTTCGGTCAATCGGATGCGGTCGAGATTGGGAAAGTGATTGAGCTATAGATTGTACGATTGCCACTACCCGGTACATAAGATGAACCAAAGGAGATATAGTACAACATTCAACGACAGGTCTTCTATTAGACCCAAATATACATCGTCGAAGCAACCGGCGCTAGTGGTACTTGTACTGTGAGCTTCCACCACGAGCACCTCCCGAGGAGCCTGTCTTCGAGCCCCTGCTTGAGCTTGAGGAGGGACTCACGGAGGCTTGCACCTGACCGAGCCTGCTCTTCCACCAGCCCTCGTCTCTGTTGCTGTGCTGCACCACATCTGGAAGTCCTGGAAGGGCGGCATCGATTTGGTGTTTTGCTAGGCGCAAGGGACCGGAGGCTTGTGTTTGAACTTCCAAGAGTCGAGCCGCATCGGTGGCATCACGACGGCTCTTAGCCGCGTCGCCCCGGAGGCCGCAGGAGAACATCTTGTAAACAATGAGGTCATCAGTCGCAATATACGGAATCGTGCCCGGGCGGATGTCTTTGATGGTTTCCGCTGTGGAGGGGAAATATGCGGCCTGTTGGAATGCGGTTAGTAAAGACCATGAGGACTTTGTGCGGGGAGTTGGACCTGAACACTTCCAACGAAATCTATCTGGATCAGTTGTCCGCCTGGGGCTCTATAGAAGAACCACTGCGCTTGTTCGACAAATGGGGAGCCCTTGAGAGCCAGCAACTTTGGCTTGATATCTTTGGGGCCTTCGAGTGTTATGATGAATCAACATCCTGTGAGCACAGTCAGCGAAGTGATAGCTTCTTCAGCTACGAGATATGTGACCTCTCTGGTGCACCCCATGGGCATATACTTCCAAAGAGCCATGCCGCCTATGACACACACTTTCTGATTGGCCGGACCAGGTATGCCCTTCATAATTTGAATGACATCCTTAGCTGCCCCTTCGAGTTCAGCTAAAGTAGGGCCTGTCATGATAATGAGCGTGCAAAATGGGTTTTTGAAAGCGACTGCGATAATAAGCACTTGGCTTGACGGGCTTTGCATGGTAGGACGATATCCCTTATATACTGTATACATGATCTCTTCTCATATTTGAGCTGGCATGGTGTTCAAAGGCTGTGAGAGTGAGAAGCGCGAATGCATATCCCGCACGCCGCCAAGGCAGTGCACATGGCTGGATAGTGGATATCTCAACCTTGCTCGGCGCTTCGAAACGATATCAAGCACAGTTGAGCGTCTGAAAGATTGGCTGAAACCGCCTGTCCACTCGATGCTTGTCATGTCTTGTAGACCCATAGAGTGAAGGCTTTGAAACAGGGGGCCGGGCCGCCAAGAGGCACAGAGAGGACCGACATATCGCGAATAGCTCCTCACAGCGGCAAAAAGTGCACTCGAGGCGTGGCTTTGTGGCCCTAAAACCAGCCTTGGAGGTCAGGAGCGAGCCAATCCGCATATGCTCGCGGCTGGAGGTAGAAGGGGCGATTATTAGCCGCCAGGATGAAGACAGCGCGGAGTGCGAGGTAGTGCTCGGCGAACTTTCGAAAGGATCTGGCAACATCATTCCAACAGGTCCAGGTGATGGCTGCGTATTTGAGGCGCGAGAAGACTGTTTCGCCAGGGAGTGCGATAGTAGTCGTGTGGGCATCCGATGCGGGACCAAAGTGGAAAATGTTGGTCCCAAAGTTGACCAGATAAGAGGGGTCGGCGGCAAGTGACAACCGCAGCCTGCATAAGGCTCGGTTCATGAGCCATCTAGCTTCGTGACAGACCCTGCCGATAATGGAGGGTGTCCACTCGAAGGCCCGTAGTTGGACAACGTCGTCTTCACGCCGGACCTCAGTGACGGCCCAGCTATTCAAAGCGAATCGCCATATCTCGTGACGGAGTTCGGAGGGGAGCTTTGGGAAGCGGTGAAACACGTGTTGGTGGTCCATGAAGCTAAGTGATGACGAATGTGCCAAGTATGGCTCGGGCTATGGGACGAAGCAGCAAATGAGAGTCACGATGTTTTCGTACCGACGATGATGTTGGGATCAGATTCCCCATATCTATTGCCGCGCGGTTCAGCGGGCATTCAGCCCGGTCTTGGACCCGCAAACGAAGCCGGCTGGTGGGGTCACACAGTGCGAATATATACGCGCCGCTGCCCGCACCGTACGCAGCTGATATCCTGAGCTGGGCCACTTCCTAGCCAAGTCGTGTTGCTGGTATGTTTCCTTCATTCCTCTGACTTGTGCTTTCACACACAACATATTTCTTGCACCTTGCACCACTTGCTTGTCTCCTTCCCTTCACTTCCAACAATCCAAAGATCTACAATGACACAGCAAACGGACGACTTCGCGATCGGAGAGAATCTCGTCAAGTTTCTTGCCCAGCTTCTTACGAAATGTGGAGCGACGCCAGTCTTGTGGGGTGACTGCGCCTTGACTGTGCACGGCGGTCCTTCTATCATTGGTGTAATAGCACCTCTTATTGACTCACCTCACTTTACATTGCGAACCATTGATCAGCGCATTGAATTCATCGTGGAGGACGACAAGCTACCTGGCGCGGTAGCAGCCCTAAAGGAGTCGGGGCTGTCTCCCTGTGCAGATCCTAGGCTCTGTTATGTGTCTGGGGTGTCGGTTGAGCCACCGTTTCCAGCATTACACATGCATATCGGCATGTCGGGTGTCTACGTTATCCTATGGCCACATTCGACGATCCTATGGTCATTTCCTTCTCCCTCGCACATCAATCTCGAATGTAAACAAGACGATCCTCACGCCTCATTACGCTACGTACTGGCGTCCGACACCTCAGTCCTCCCCGGACCCAGGCTCGGCCGAGGGCGTGGCGCATTTTCAAAGGACGGGGGTCATGTCGTCGTGCCCTCGGCGTCCACCATGTTGGAAGCATACATACGCCTCACGAGTGCATACCGTGGCCAGACCGACACCTTCTACCTCAGCATGATCACGTACGTCGAGGAGTACATAGATGCAGACGGGCTGCTGGACGACACGCTGCTGTCGGAGCCGTGTCGGGCATTTTGGCGCGGGCTTAAAAATGGCCAGCGAGGGGTCAGGGAACTTGTTGATGAGTTACAGTTAAGCCTGGGTGACGGTGACAATGACACGGGAAGTAGCGATGACTCGGAGTTAGCAGCGGACTTATCCACAGGTTGGAAATAACACACAGTCCTATGCACACCCGACGCGATGGTGTTTGTCACGTGCGGCTGATTATGCTTGGCATCAGTCCATGTGCTCGAGGCATTGGTTGAACCGTATTTATGCTGATGCCTGGTGACCAACCCAGCTGCACCCTTCGTGTATAACTCGACTTCGCCGTAGCGGCTGTTTCCATGTCTCAGTCGTTGCTTTGTCGACTTAACCAAGCAAAGCTGCTCCTCCCTGTGATGTCTCCCGAGTTGCATGCATTTTCAAGCGCATGGTCGCGATGCGGTTCTCGACTCCATTCATCTTCTTGATATGCGTCAGTCTTGCCGCCGGCCGTCTTTCTCACCCAGTGCACCCAGAGGTGCCAGTCAGCCAACACGTTCTCTCAAGCAGCGAGGCAGGCCATTACCGGCGGCCAAGAATACCATACTTCACCCACCTCCAAGATGGTGGCGCTGACGCTCGCACTGGATTCGTTGCCTTCGGCGACTCGTACAGCGCCGGGATTGGTACCGGTCTCGACGGCCCGGAAGATGAATGCCGGCGCGGTGTACATGCGCACACGCAACTCATCGCAGAGGATCTCTCCGCGAGCCAAGGAGGTCCGAATGCAACAGCATTCCAGTTCCTGTCCTGCACAGGCGCGACGACGGAGGAGATCCTCTCCGGCGGCGAGATGAGCCAGATCGACACCTTCAACGCTTCGCACCCCGCCGACTTCGCGCTGCTGTCAATCGGTGGTAACGACCTCGGCTTCTTCGACGTGATGAACGCCTGTATTTTCCGCTTTTACGACTTCTACTCCGGGACCTGCGAGTCGGCGCTCGAGAAGTCCCGCGCCAGCATAGAGAGCGAGGAGTTCGAGAGCCGCGTGCAGATCCTCATCACGGAGATCCTGGACAAGGTGCGCTGGGAGAAGAAGCCGTGGTTCTTCGTCACGATGACGGGGTACGCGAGGTTCTTCAACGAGATGACGGACGGATGCGACGAGATGAGCTTCGGTGTCTGGTGGAACGGGCCGAAGCTGAAGAAGAGACTGAGACTCCAGATGAATGCGCTGGTGCTTGCGGTCAATGCCAAGCTGCGGAAGACGGTCGATATGGTGAACTCGCGGTTTACCAGGGACAAGGTCCTCTTCGTTGACTATGATGAAGAGTTCGACGGCTATCGCTTCTGTGAGGCGAGTGTTACGGAGCCGGATTACGGCCGCAATGACACGTGGTTCTTCCTCGTCGGCGGGCCAGATAATGCGCGGAATGACACACGAGCGAATCATACATTGGACGTCGAGACGTTATCACCGACATCGATCTTGGTTGACCCGTCGTCCTGCCTTGAGCCGGCTCGAAGGTCTGGCGACTGGGGCGAGCTCGCCTTGTGCTATATGGCTATGGCGAAGCAGCGCGACCCAACCCTCCAGCCTGCCCGTGGAAATATTTACGCTCGAGGTAACGGGATGTGGTACGTCCCGACATACTACGGCAAAACCTTTCATCCTAGAACGCTCGGTCATGAGAGGGTGAGAGACACCATTTACGAGGCCTGGCACGAACTTGAGTCTCGATGATATCTATGATACATACTTGATATATAGTTGGCAGGTTCTTTCGGACAGAGAGTACTCATCCATGTTCGTGTGCCTAGTTATTGCACACTGAACTGTGTCACATCAAGCTCGGATTACAGCCACGTCCGAAGACGTATGGATATGAACACAATTAGCATTGCAGGCTTTTCACTGGCTTCCCTACGTACTGTCTCAACTAGGCGTCGCACTTTACAACGTGGGAATATGTAGCTGTGTCGTCTCAACCTCTAGTCAAGGTTTCGCGTAAGTGAAAAGGGGGACTACCACCAGCCCAATCGTACAAACATCTCGGACTAGGTACGTGACTGCAGCAATGAAACGCCGCCCTACTACATGCCCCTACCACTTAGGTACCCACGAGGTCAAATCCCCGACAATCTCAAAACAAATCCCGTCAGCGCGCTCGTCCCCAAGCACAACCCTCAACTGCTCCATAATCCGGCGCGCCGCCGCCTGCTGTTCAGGCACGTGGATGAGCCGCCACCCCGTCTGCCTCCAGGCCCGCACTGGTGAGGTACCGACCGAACAAGATGCGCAGCCCGTTCTTCTTGCAGAAGCTCGGCAGATGGGGCAGATTCCGCCCGCAACGGGCGAACGTTCTGTGCAGGCCGTGCACGAGGAAGATGGTGTGCAGGGACGTCGACTGACGGAGCGCCGCGGCGTCGGCGGCTGAGATGCCCGTGAAGTCCTGGGACACGGAGAGGAAGAGGTAGCGCGTGTGCTGGACGAGCAGAGACGCGGCTGGGGTAAGGGACTGGCCTTGCGGGAGATTCTGATCCTGATCTTGTCCTGAAGAGGAACCAGAGTCATCTGCCGGCCGACCGTACGACGGCAGAGCAGAAAACCAGTCCGTCGTCCCGTCATTACTGACGCGGATCGTCTCGAGGCTCAGCGGCTCACGGACGGCATCCCACCACGCGAAGTCCACATCCGTGACATTATCCTCGGGCAGCGGCAGGCGCTGAACGGCGTAGTTGAGCTGCATGCTCGGCGGCATCAACATCCCGATATCGCGCCTGATATCGACCCTGGGCAGCGGCAAGCGCTTGAACCCGTTGAAGACGGCATCGTTGAGCTCATGGATTGGCGACATCCGCAGCCGGACATCGTGCTTGACGCTCCGGACGCGCCGGTCGGGGTACCGAGCGATGTACCGGCGGTCTGGTGAGCGGTCGCGTGGCCAGCGGCGGAAGTGGTGGATTCGCGGGAGCTCTTTGGCGGTCCAGTAGAAGCGCCATATCATGCAGCGCAGCTCTGGGGGCAGCTGCGGGAACAGGTGGAATTGCGGTTGGGGTTGGGTGCGCCTGGGACGCTTCTTCTTCCTACTGCCGAAGTACTGTAGTTGCGTGTCTGCCATGATATGTTCCTTACAGTGCACACAATATTCACTACCGGTATACTGCCCGAATCCTGGCCTGGAGGGTGTGTAGATGGTAACGTGATGCTGAAGGCCGTTATGCGACCCTGTTTGACTGTTCACCGACGCACGTTATGTGGCATAATGACGTTGGAAACTGCAGGTGAGGGATGAGGGGAGTATATTAATAATTGTGGCGGGCTGTCATACAGGTGGCGATGTCCGGGTTATGGGACGTGTTTGCCTCGAAGGATCTGCTGATCATGCCCGCCAAGTCGAGGGTTACCTTGCATGTGCAAACCGAAATAAGCCCTAAGAAAGTTTCGTACCTTACATCCCTTTCACCACCTCTTGATCTAAAGTGCAAGAGCGATCGCACTATTGTTTCGTCGTTATCTGGTAGGTATATTCAGGCCTGGGGTACTGTATGTACATCGAGCAACCGGCGGCCGTTTTTTCGCACCCTCTTGCCGCAACCTGAAGGTAGCAAGCTACCCAGCCATGGCTTTCTGGCGCGAGATGGCCGCCGGCGATATCGAGGGCCTCATGCGCGTCGCTGAAGTGGTCCATCCTGGTTTGCCCGAAAGCGACCAGGTCTTCGCAGAACGCGTGAAGCTCTTTCCTGAGGGTTGTCTGGCGCTTGTGAATGACGACGAGGAGGTCTGTGGCTATGCGATCTCGCATCCCATCCGGAACCGCCAGCCGCCAGCTCTGGACAGCCTGCTCGGAGAGGTGGCGTCTGATGCAGACCAGTATTATATCCACGATGTGGCCATTCTCCCTAAGTTCCGCGGACGGGGCCTTGCGGCGGAATGCGTCAAGAAGCTTCTTGTGGTTGCTGAGCGCTACTCATCGGCCTGCCTCATCTCCGTCTACGGCACTGCTGCGTTCTGGCGCCGCTTCGGCTTCGTGCCGGGATCTGTTGACGAGGTGCTGTCGGCGAAGGTGCGAGGCTATGGAGATGATGCGACGTACCTTGTTCGCTCGAAAGGCTACTGAGATATATCGTCTACATCATATGAATGCCTTGTTCGCATTCCCCTGGGGAAAGACGTCGGGAAAGCAGACATCGGGGCCTGAATGGTGGACAATCATTAGGTATGTGTCGACGTTGTCGTGCGATGCAGCGAAAAAGAGCGCGGTCCAGCTATACCACTCTGCCGCAAGTCGAGCAGCCCTCCGATTCTCGAGAACGCTTCCAGGTCTTCTGGTGCGCCAACGGCAGCTGCTCGATAGAACACCGTCCAGCTTCTGCTGCCGCAACCGTTGGCTTCGGAGAACCCGCTTGCGAGACAGAGCCGCATGATCACGACTGACTCGTCAAGCGTCGTAGACGCTCGGTGAATGGTACGAGTGATTATCCCTAATCCCGTTATAACCATAAGCTATCACCTTCCTGCGATCTGTCGTTGGTTGGGACATTACAAGTTTTTTGTCTTTGATCTAGTGAGCTCCTCGCTTCTGGGTAGGCGAAGTGCCGCTGACCTCGGACTTGCTCGGGGACAAAGACCATGATCATCAACATACCTCATGAGCCAACCTGTACCACCACCTGCGACACCAACGACCTAACCACGGAGTCAGAACTGGGAATGTTAGCAGTTTTTCCTCGAGGAATCGATGCACGCGGTATATTCTCCATCTACATGAAACCTGAGAACAAAGGTGCCAGCAGTTGAATTCTAACAGCGAGTGTACGCATGACCACATGTACGGCAACGCTATAGAGTCATCGTGCTCACAAGAACCAACATGTAACCGCTGCAGCGTCCTGAAACAGCATCAATCGTTGATTGCTCACCTTTGTGGACAGCAGCGCAACCAACCTCGCAGCGAAGCAATGTCTATATGAATAGGCTGCATTTCCGTGGCAGTACGCTCGGAAGGAGTCTTGAGTCATCACACACAACACATAACGCGCCACTCCACCGCAGGCTGCCCAATATAAGCACCCTCGACGCTAAAAGTAAACTCGTCCAGCATGGCAGGACCTTCCGAATACTGCGACATACTCTCCGTCGCCCACCAGGACCCATCAGCCGACAAATTCAAGGCACAACGCGAAGACCTAGTCAGCAAATACATGAAATACCTACGCTGTGAGTAATACCTACCCAAAAGCCCTGAAGACAAAGAAATCGTCGTAATCAGGCGGGATAGACCCTTCCACGTGGGATTGCCACAGCTGCAGGTCGTGCTGTGCGCTACCCCCAAGCGCCCGACCTCCGAAAAGTTCACCCCCGTCCCACACGAAGACCAGCGTAAACTCCATTATGCGTTAATAGCCCTGACAGAGGATTGTTCACTCCCAACGCAGGTCGTGGACTTTGAATGGCGGATTCTTCGCAGTAAGTTCGCGTCCAACATCTCACGTAGCCCATTGCGGCTTCAAACAGAACCTCGTGTGTGGAGTGTTGGCTGACTGGCTGGGTGCAGATCGCGTTGAGTACATACGCTCCGGCGCCGGTAAAACCGAGGTGATCGTGCAACAGCTCAACGACTCCGAGTATAAATGCGATTTTTGTCACGAAAGTCATATGGAGATGCAAAATAGGTGGGCACCCGGCGGCATTATACCATGGTTTTGGTCGTGATTTGGATACTCGTCTGGGCCTAATGTCGACTCCAATCTAAGCAACCACGTTCTGTTAGCCTGAAGGTAGCCATCACACCCAGCCGAGTACTAGGTATTCAGGCTGAGGTCTTGAAAGCAGAGGCAGTCAGGAGGTTGAGGCTCAAACTCAAGGGGTTTCTTTTTTTTGGGGGGGGGGGGGGGGGGAAGTTGTAACATCTAACGATCATCAATAGCCGTATGCCATCTATTCTCATTGATGATGTGAAGCTTGTCTCTCCATATCCGAATCGGACCCATGAGACCGGAATGAGTACTCAGGTACTACATCACCATGAGAGAGCATCAAGTGTTGGTTGGTCACCATTATAGACCGCAGCGGAACCAACTTCGCAGTGAAGCTTGTCTCTCAATGCCCAAATCGGACCCACGAGACCGGTATGAGTACTACTACATCACCATGGAACAGCATCAAGTTGTTGGTTGGTCACCACCGCAGCGGAACCAACTTCACTTCGCAGTGAAGCAATGTCTATATAAACAGCTGCGTCTTCTAGCAGTACGCTCGGATTAAGCCTCGAGTTCTCACACACAACACGCAACACACAACACAATTCGACCACAGACCGCCCGAAAAGGAGCACCCCAACGCCGATAGCAAACTCTCCCAGCATGGCAGGATCCCCACCCCAACCTTCCAAACCCACCGTGGAGGACTTTTGCATGCAACTAGTCAAGAGAATCATGAAAGACGTCCTCGATGAGAAGATCACCATCAAGGAGGACATCCTCGACCAGAAGAAGCCCTTCTACATCGAATGCACGCAGCTGCCGGTCTTGCTATGCGCTATCCCTCTTCCCAAACCCGCCAACCCGCTCATCGAAACGGATAAAGAAAATTTCACAGCCAACCTCCGGTATGGGCTGAATCTACTGGCACGCGGTGCTAAAGGTTGGCAACACGAAATCATGCACGTGCGCTGGCAGTTCAAGCTCAGTATGTTCACAACTGACATCTCACATCTGCTGGAAGATGGACTGACTGGAAGCAGATGTCATTGCCGATAAACACGGCGACAAGGTGGTCCTGGAGCAGTACGACGACCCGGACTCCGGGTATAAGTGCGACATGTGTAAGAAGGCGTATCGGAACTTACCTGACGAGGTTGTAAAACAGGACAAGTAGAACTTGGGCCTGTCAGCATGAAGAACTTGAGAGTAGAGGCAGTTGGGAGATTCTGCCTGAACGTCAAGGGGTGTCGTTTTAGGGTTTTCTTTTGGGGTTTATTCTTGGCGTTTATTTTTGGGTTTTCGTAGTATTTGAAAATAATCAACAGCCGTATGTATGCCAGCTATTCTCATCGATGATGTGAAGCATGTCTCACAATTTCCAACCTGGACAACCTCCATTGTGACCTTTCCACCGTTCTCGGTCTCTTCAAATTCCTCCTCAAGCAATACAGATACCAAGTCCCCGAACAAAGAAGATCCTCCAGTGATACAAGAATGCCAATTTGACGTGTTCTCCAACACAGTTCCTCAACTCATCGCCGTCTCGCGGGCACCCGTGTACATGAACCCTGCCCTTCCGAGCATTTCTCCCTGGGCTTCCCATTAAAATCCTCCTCCTCCTCGAGAGCCTATCTCCCCTTAGGCTTCGCGTCCTCCTCCGACACAGGATGCAGCACCAGCCCCGTCCGGACCTGCGGCGAGTTCCCGGCATGGCCGCGGCTCCAGTCGTAGCCGACGGCGTAGGCGAAGAAGCCGCCATCATGACTAAACGCCGTGGCCGTGATCGCGTTACCATCACCGGCGGCAGACGGGTACCCCCGGAGCCGGGTGCGCGCGACGCGGTCCCAGAAGCTGAAGGTGCCGTCCGAGCCCGCCGTCGTGAATGTCATCGGGCGCGTCGGGTGGAACTGCACCGAGTTGACTGAGTACACCTTGGTGATGGTGTTGGTGTTGCGCTGCTGCTTGTTGTTGCCGGGCTGCGGCTGCGGGTTTTCGCGGTGGCAGCGGAAGGTGAAGTTCGTCTTGCTGAATTGGGGGGGAGAAGGTCATACGTCAGGACGGTGTCCGAGAGAGAGAAGAAGCCGTTCCGTGTGGGCGGTGGATGAGAGGAAGAATGCTTGTAATACCTGGTGTCCTGCTCATCCAACGCGTTGATCCCGCACCGTCCCTCGATGCTCGCGGTGCCCCAGCCCTTGCCGTCCGGAAACGCGGCGACCGCCTTCGTCTGATGCTTGATCGGCGACTCTACCGTGCGGAGAAACACCGTCGGGTTTTGGAGGTCGACGAGGTGGATGTGGCGCTCGGCGGTTGCGATGACCAGGAGACGTGCTTTCGCATCCATCGAGTAGACGCGTTCTGCGCACGCAAGCGTGGCAAGCGGCGTTTGCTGGCGGCCGTCCCAAAATTTGACGGTTCTGTCCCAGGATCCGGTCGCGATGATGGGGGCGTTGGATCCCGGGACGTCGACGAAGCGGACGCCGCGGATGGGTGCGTCGTGCGCGCCAACGGTCATCTGCTGGCCCGTGGACACGTGCAGGAGGTGTGTTTTTCTGTCGGCGCCTCCAGCGAGGACCATGGTTCCGTCCTGCCGCCCGTTTGTCGCTCAATCACAGCGCTTTTTTTCTCCTGCAACCCCCGGAACCGGAACCATTTCCTCACTCACCTGTTTGTGGGAACATTGGTTTCGTCTTTCTTTCTCAATTTATGAGGGAGAAAAGCTGCGGGGTTAGAAAAAAATGCTCAAAAACTCACCTTGGCCCAGTCGCAGTCGAAAACCGGGCCATCTACGGAGAGCACCGCTGCCCCCCGCGCCGATCCGTTGGCGGCGACGTCGTAGACGCGCACCTTGCCGTCCCATGAGGCCGCCGCCAGGTGGTTGGCGACGGGCGACCACGAGACGGACGAGATGGTGTCTTCGGCGTCGGCTGGTAGTGTGACGTCTTTGAGCAAAGAGCCCATGTTAGGAGCTGCTGTATTTGTCTTGACGCGGTTGTTGTAGGACATTGTCTCGATGTCGAGCTCCTGAATGGGAAAATACGGCGATGATACCAGAGAAGAGGTGAGGTTGTAGGTGTAAGAAGTCAGACGCGACTGGTGGGACGCGGCCAATTTATAAACACAGCCGATGGTGGAGCCGAACAGGGGAAGCTGTGAGACCCTGCTGCCTGCTCCGGGACCAAGGCTGAACACCTGCAAGATAGGAGAAGAGAGTGGCAACGGTGGAAGGTGGTATGTCTATTGTCATGGTCTACTGTCTACTGGATGGGCTGTTTGTATGCGACATTGGGTGTTACGTGCCCAGAAATAGGACGCCTGGCCATGCATAGTTTCCTAACGATAGGATGTATTCGCAAGACTTTAAAGACTCTGGTACAAACACTAGGTCGGATAAAGTCAGACAGTTGCTCTTATGCCTCGGGCCTGAGTCTCGCCGCAATTCCTACTCCTCGACTACAAGATCATGTGTGTCGTATCAGTATAGCGTTGTTTCACGGTGAGTTTTCGAAGACGAGTTGTCAAGAGAGCATTCATGGCTGACTTGGATGACAAGATCTAGTGCATCTATAGCTTGACACTCTTGATCAACCCGCTCTTGATACCAGTAGTCTCGCCCGAGTAGCCGCGACCCTCGCCACCCTTGTACACCGCCTTCATAGAAGAAAGCTTCTTCTTCTTGGTATCGTACTGCTTTCTCTTCTTCACGCGACCGTTCCTGACCTCCTTCTTGCGCTTGGGAGCCAGTCCCTTGTTTTTCTCTGTCGATTTGGTCAGTATATGATGAGCATCAGGGGGCGTTCAAATGAAGACTCACCGATCTGGTAGTTGATCCGTCGCTTCCCATCGGGCGCCACCTCTTCCACCTCTACCACGCGATCCCGGACGCCGGCGGCGGCGTGAGCTGCAGCTCTGGCAGCCTTCTCGTCCTTCCGTTTGTTCGATGATGCGGCTACGATGTTGTAGTACTCGTCATCTTGGCCTCTGACAGCATTGGCAACGCGTTCGTCCTCCTCGTCGCTAGCATCTCCGAGATCGGCGCCGTGCTTTGAATCCATCTTGCCACGCTTCTGGGCTTCCGCGAGGAGGCGTGCTTGTCTCTCCCTGAGACGCTCCCTGTATGGTATATCCTCATCACCACCTGCATCTCGACCCGCATTGGCCCGACGGTTTGCCTTTTGCACGATTTGTGAGGTGTAGAATCGGAGACTCTTCTTGCGCGCTGCCTTGTCGGCGGCCACTCGAGCATCGATAGTCTCCTCTTCTCCAAAGTCAGAGTTGTCGTCATCTGCAACAGGCTCCAGTTTTGATGTCTTCTTCTTCGGCTTCTTGTTCGTGGCAATGAGCGAGTCGAGATCAGCAAAGGACTCCTCGATAGCCTTCGCCTTCCGTTCCGCCTTAGCCTTTGCCCTCTTCTCCTTGTTGGTTTCCTTGACAGGCTGTGGAGCGAGCATCTCCTCTTCTCCAGCAACATCAAATTCATCTTCCGGTGGTGATGACAAACTGTCGGCAGCCTTTGCTTTCTCGGGTGCGTTCATGTGCTCTACCTTCTTCCATGCCTCACGGCACTCCAAGAGCGTCCCCATGACCTCATGATCTCGTAACTCTGCCGGGTCCAGTGCCTTCATCACACCAGTGCTATCTCTAGCTGGCGAGGTTAAAATGGCGAAATACATGGCCAAGGTCGCTACATATGATGATAAGATCCGGTATTTGACCACCTTGAGGTTCTTCAACTCCTGTCCCTCTGCCTCCTTCTGGAGCTCGACGAGTTGAGGCTGCAGCTGCAGCAGTTCGTCGGCGAGAAATGGAAGCTCTGGGTATCTAGCCTGTAACAGCCGATACCGTTCGTCGGGACCCATATCAGCGGGAATCTGCACGTCCATGACTTCGGTCACGACCTCGTCCTGCTCCGCATCTTCGGGCTCAGCAGCAAGCCATTCGTCCTCGTTGAAGAAATCCTTCTCAGTCATCTTGGACAGTTTCTTCCGTTGCAACCGCCTTGCTTCGTTTTCCTCCTCCTCGGCGTCCACGGTTGTCTCGATCTGGTCTCCATTGTAGTAGTCTTTCCGGGACGAACCCCAGAAGCCAGTATCGCCTTCCTCCTCTTCACTCTCGTCGCCTTTCCGCTTCGCGGACTTCGCGGATTTCGGTTTGTTCGCTTTCGGAGCGGATTCTTCCTCTTCTTCTTCTTCTTCCTCGTCATCTTCGGAGCCATCGTCGCCGTAGTCGAGAATCTCCTCGTCCGAGTTGTCGAGGAAATCCTCTTCGTCCTCTAAGGCCTTTCGTCGCTTGGACTTGGGTGCGCCATCGTCGAAGAGGATCTCATCTTGTTCCAGGAAGTGGCGTTCTTGGTCGTCGGCAAGGTCTTTAAAGGTGTTGACAGGGCCAAGTCGAGCGTCGGCGGGGTCGTACTCGCGTGGGCCCTTGGGTTGCGGCGGACCGCTCGAGGCCTTTCTTTTCTTGCCCATTGCAGAAATCTCTTGTCGGTTCCTGTTTTATATCCTTCCTACGACTTTGAGGTTTTCCAAGTGTTGGAGTTGTCGGACTGTGGGGATTGATGGTTCAGCCCAAGCCTATTTTTTTCCCTGGCCGCATTGCCTTATCGGGGGTCTTATCGTGGGGTGGCCCCACTTATGCGACTACACTAAGATATGAGAAGAGTGGAGACACAACCTGACCGTCGCGCGTCGAAAAGTTCCAACCGTTCGGCACGCCTGGCTGTGGTACAGGGGGTTGAAGCTTCATTTTCACCAGTGACCCTGCCCCAACAAGAGCGTGCCGTGCCGCAAACAAATCCGTCCTTCATGGTTCCCTGACCGCCAGACACGCTCCCTTTCCATGGACTCTCTCCCAATTTCACTCTGGATTGCCATTGCCGGGCTTGTTGCGCTTCTCTCACTCTGGACAATGGGTGCCTTCTGGAGCAAGAACCAGATGCCCGTCGAGGGCAAGGTGCGTACACGCCCAACCAGGAGTTCCGATGCTTACGCAAGCCGCTGACTCCTCTTGATTTGCAGACGGTTCTGATCACGGGCGCTTCCGAGGGAATGGGACGCAGTGTCGCTCGACAGATGGCCGAGAAAGGTGCAAATGTTATCCTCGTGTCGCGATCTGTTCCCAAATTGGAGGAGGCAATGGCAGAGGCTCAGGTACGTTGGCAGAACCGAACCGTCCTTTCCAAGGAATGAGAATATCATGGGTCAATTGGAGTCTGACATCTCGTCATTAGGCCGCCGCATGCAACCCCTCCCAGCGATTTCACTACATCACAGCCGACGTCTCGAAGCCCGACTATGCTCCGTCTCTGCTCGCCGAAGCGGTAGAGTGGAACAACGGCCAGGCCTTGGATATCGTCTGGTGCGTCGCGGGCAAGTCGACTCCAGACTTCTGGGTCGAGGCGCCTCTGTCATTGACGCGGAACCAAATGGACATCAACTTCTGGGGCAGCGCCGAGATGGCGCATGCAATTCTGCGCCTGTGGTTAGCTCCGAATGCGCCGGTGGTGACAGAACCAAAGCACCTAATTTTCACCTCATCTGTGGTGGCCTTCTTCCCCGTCGTTGGCTACGGCCCATACACGCCTGCCAAAAGCGCCTTACGAGGGCTCGCCGATACGCTGCTTCAGGAGGTGCAGTTGTACCCACAGAAAGTCAAGATTCACGTCGTGTACCCTGGCTCCATTTCGAGTCCTGGCTTTGAGCGAGAGAACAAGACCAAGCCTGAGATCACTAACATGATCGAGGACGGTGACCCAGTACAGAGCCCGGACGAAGTCGCTGCGGCTTCCATTCGCGGACTGGAGAAGGGATACTACTTCATCACTGTCGCCTTCCTAGGACATGTACTCCGCTGGAGCGCCCTGGGTGGCTCAACGCGATCCAACATTCTGGTTGACACGGTCATGGGCTGGGTCATCGGGGTAGCCATGCTGGTTGCCGGACCGCTCATCCACCGCCAGATTAGGCAGTACGGCAAGAAGCATGGACACCCCGTAAACTACCGGAAGAAAGGCAACGATGACTTGCTGAACTAGACAGGCACAACCGCAACCTAAGGTAGTGGCTGTATAGAACTAAATACATTCTTGACCAGTCCGGGGCACTGCCCCTTATTGTGCTTATGTCATCATGTATACACCTTGCGCCACGACGAAGCATGTTCAGCCGGATGAGCAGGAGAGCCCAGAGAATTGTAGCTATTCGTATACGTCAGGGCTCTCGGACACTACAAGGCTCGAAATGAACCATCACCGTGAAGTCTAAATCATCTCTAGCATGTCTACAGAAGTATTATGTCTGGCAGCTCGATTGACTGTTGCCTTTCAGTCTTTTCAGGGTACGACGAACATGGTCTTTGGGGATCGCGTTAAGGAATGAGTGAGCTTTAAAGATGTTAGTCCCTGCATCAGACAGTCCTTGTACACCCTGAGAGGTGGCATCTTCAACACTGTCGAGGCCAAACTGCTTGCTGCTGTACGACAGGGTCACAAATCTAGAACACTTCCGGCTGTGAGACTCACATACCGGAGTAACTCTCGGAAGTATGGTGGAATGTTGAAGGATTCGGCTTGTAGACGTAGATAAACACCAACCACTTAGGTAAAGCAAGACCTGCCAGAAGTAATGTAGTGAGGCAAGCCGCATCTCGAAACCGAGTAAGTTACTTTTCGTTTACTTAAGTGATCTGCGGCAACTTGAAGTTGCTCCTTCTACCCCATTGCCCGTCCCTAGGTACCCAGCTAGTAAAGGTCACTACAGCCATGGTCTTACATGGACGCACCTCGTAACCGTGCGTCTAGAAGAGCAACGTTACAGTCACGCCATATACCTGAAGTTGCACGCATGGAGGTCAGGAGCCTGCAGCCGGTACTTTGCTTTCAGTCCCAAGACAACAAGTACGACTCGTTAACTGAATGTTAAGTAGGCAAGTATGACACACAATCAGCAAACGGTGATGACAATGACGCACACTGGTGTCTTGCCGTCGGAGTATATATACGGGCTACTCATTTCCAACCTTGATATCCTCTTATGTTTAGATAAAATCGGGCGAGATATAGACAGCACCACTTTTTAATAGGTCGTATGCGTCCAGATAGTCTCTGACTGGTGATACTGTATATGATCGAGTACCTCAGCGGTTTTTTTTCCAGTTCTGAATCTACTATGACCTATGCGCAATATACACCAAGATCGCATCAACGCCGCAGCTCGCTTACGACACAACCATTTGGGAGCCATTTGGCACTCCCTCCCGTCCCCGATTTACATCCAGCTCGGCGTTCTCCTCAATTCAGCAAGAAGGCGAAAATAAGCTCCCACATTGTGTGAGATCCGGCCTCCAACGGCGACGAGAGCAGTCAGACCGTATCCCGAACGAACCAGTGCAGGCCTGGCCCGAGGAAGAGATCCTGACTACTCAAGCACCAGCAACGACACAAGCACCAGGAATTTCACAAAAACCAATGCAAGCACATGCACAAGCACCGGCTCAGGCACCAGCAGCGTAACCAGAGATGGACGCAGCACCCGTCCCAGACATGGTCCTGCCATCCCCTCGTCCAAGCCCTGGACAACTTCCGAGCCAAGTTCCGCGCGCAGTACGACGTAAACTATGCGCCCAACCTGGGCCTGAACACCAGCCAGGCGAACATCGAGCATGTCGAGGGCATCATATCCAAGAACCAAGAGGTGGAGAAGAAGTACTTCGAGTTCAACCTGACCCATGTGGAAGGCGAGGTCCCCGACCATACAGGCTACCAAGGCAATCCGCGCAACCAGGGCGACGCGGTTCTGAAGGAAGGCAACTGCGCCATATGGATCACCAACTTGCCGCCATACTGCATTATCAGCATAGTGCTGCGCCAGCTCAGGGGCATCGGCAAGGTGTACGTGTCCAACGTCACGCCGCCCTATAGCGGCCACCTCACGGCCGCCGCTAAGATCATCTCCTTCGACCGGGACGCCGTGGAGGAGGGTTATTGTTGTCACTGGACCGCGAGAGATCGTCGACACGAATGTCTTCGGACGCCGGGATTGCGTACGGTGTTGATGAGACCATCGTGTGGGAAGAGGATGGAGGCAGCCGCAGACACAGACCCGGTACTTGACCGCAGATCATTGTCGGGCATAGATAGCAGCTCCAACACACGAGATAATATATAGTAATACATAGTGACAAGGCTGGTCGTTTTGAAAGGTCTTGTGTGCCCAATACCCGGCAAGGGCATGTCGAGAAGGTAAATAATGGGTTGGCCTCTACTTACTCACTACCTCCGTATGCCTGTCTTTATTATCAACCATGGATCTTAAAGCATATCTCATCCAATTCGTTTCTTCCACTGTCAAGATGTCTCCGGCCGCAGTTATCGAAGTGGCTGAGGAGTCCACCGGCCTTATATATGATCATTATATCTTCTAAGCAACTCTGCTGGGAAGGAGCGCTCGTGGCCTAAGCTGAGGAACATGATGGCTGACGCCTCTGCTCGCTGTCCAGTGAATATGGCCTCCTATGCCACCATCCAGTCCGGATGAAGTGGAAAATAGTAAGGGCACTATCACATGAATAAGAATCAGTCAGAGATGTTCACAACACTCTGCTTCAGCTAGCTGCTCTGATGGATAACGAGCATAGGGTGGACATTGGCATCATTTACACTGTCGAGATGGCATCATCACGCACCGATAGAGAAGGCCCAGGGAAACATGAAACTACCCCTTGTGATAGGAGTGCATCTTTCACCAAAAAAAAAAGACCATAAGGGACGGGATTTCTTCTGTTCGATACAAATTGCACACCAGGCTGTTTGATGCTGAAAGATGTGTGCCCCCATGGTGTTTTGCTGGTGAAAAGCAGCATCGCGGACACCACAGCAACGGCTCGATCAAATTTCAAATTTGCTCCCATCACTAAGCAACCATCTTTCCATTCATGCTGCGTGGTTTCCCATTCACTCAAACGTCCCCGTTCCCACTCCACATTCAAATTTTCCATTGCTACACACCCACAACCACCCACAACCACCCAGACCACATTCAAGATTTCCATCTCTACACACCCACAACCACGACGATCTATCTCATTTCTCAACAAGATGGATCCGTCGGATCTGAAATGCGATACCAGAATATGGGAACCAGTTTCTGGTGACCGGCCGCGGTTCGTCAGCAGTCTAAGGTCGGTTTGGGCCCGGCAGCCATCTGAAGACGCGTTGCCCCGGTACGTCCAGGACGGTCTCGCACGAAGAAGAGCTCGTGCAGATGCGATTTACGAACAAGTCACGACAGCCCCCTACCCGCCGAACCGTGTGGCCCCATTGCTTTCCCGACGAAGTTCCCGCCGAAGCGTGACACCTGTACCCAGAGCCACGGCAGTACCACGAGCACGAATTCCCACCAATGACGCGGAGAAAGCACAGGACCACGGCTCGGCCCTCTCTCCCTTGGCTCTACGCCCACGATTGCAATCGCACCAGCAGCGTTGGTCGCAGCCCGAGTCGGAAACCGAACCGCACCCAGAATCGCGGAACCAGCGGAACCAGCAGAATCAGAGTCAGAACCAGGACCAGAGTCAGAACCAGTACCAGGCATCTAGTCATACACAGAACCAGGACCAGTACCAGGCATATAGCCAGGCACAGAACCAGTACCAGGACCCATTTGCATACCGGAATCAGGACCAGAACCAATACCAGAAGACCTACGCATAACAGATTCAGGACCAGAGTCAGGACCAGAACCAATACCAGAACACCTACGCATACCAGAATCCGAACTTGAACCCGAACTTGAACCCGGACTTGGACTCGAACCCGTATCTGAACCCGCATCTGAACCCGCATCTGAACCCGTATCAGAGTACGTATCAGAACCTGGGACAGCATCATGAACACAACCCATACGCATACCAAAACCCGATGCAGAACCCGTACCAGGACCCATACCAGGAACAACACCGCCAGCCGCAGCAGAATCCCGCGCCAGTAAGAGCTGAGCCAGAGACGACACTCGTCCCCTACCAGCCCGGATACAGAGGCGACATTAACAACCCACGCAACCAGGGAGCCACTATTCCCGAGGCCGAAAACTGTGCGGTTTGGATCTCCAACCTGCCCCCTTCATGCACAATCAACCTTCTTGCAAAGAGCCTCCTCAAGACCGGCAAAATATACGCAAGCAACATAACACCGCCCAACAGTGGCCACGAGACCGCGGCGGCCAAAGTCGTCTTTTTCCACCGCGAGGCGGTGGATGTGCTTTTCAAGCGGCTTGCTGCCATTGGCGGCAGCTTGGACGTCGGCGGCTATGCAGCGAGGATGGTTCCAAACTTTATCAAAGCAGCGGCGCAACAAGAGACGGTCACTTCCCGTGTGCTCCTAATATCCGGACCGACCAGCGTGGTCATTGAGCAGACTTTGAGCGATCTCTTCGCACGACACAACATTGCTTACGACACCGATGCGCTAATCATCATACGAGAGAACCATGTTCGGCAAACGCGGACGCTGGAGTGGCGCTTTGCGTCATTCCGGGCTCAGGCGTCGGCCGCCATGCGGGCCCTTCGGGCCAAGAAGAACGACGTGAACGCGACTGATGACGAGAAGGCCGCCTGGACTCAAGTCAGTGTTAGATGGGGAAGAGACCCATGCGAGTGAGCGGGACGGACCTGCGCCCACGCTGGATCTTCCCACTCGTTGCAAATGACGAACTTGTCCTTCAAAGGGTGGAAGAAGAAACGGATGCAGCGATAGTTGAGGACACGAAGCTCACTCATCGTCGGATCAGCATCATCTTGTACAGCTGAGCGAACATCTTTTCTGGTGCCCCGAAGACTGTGAAAAGAGGGCGATCGTAGGGCTGGCTTCACGTCGAGAACGGCGGCCTCCTCTCATTGATTCTCGGGGAAGCTTTCGCGCAGAGGACAGGGTTCACCCATCAACTTGACCTGCCATGAAGTGTATGAATACAACAATTTCCCTGACTGAAGTGACTTAAGACCGCACCAGTTTTCTGCTAGAGCACTGTTGGTCGTGACGATATTCATGTTGACTTGTGTATTCCCATGTATCTTTGCACAAAGTGGGCAATGCGCAGCATCCCACTGAGATCTGCGTTAAGTTCTTGATGAATCCCAGACTATGTACCAAGCAACATCAGTGTACGGTAGGAGAAGTCAACCAACCAACCTTGATACTGGTATCACGAAGACTATGAGCTGTTGTGGCTGGCTGCTGTCTGTGTGCTGGGTTTGAAACTGCCCTTCCTCCGCAAGACATGACGCATCTGCATACCCTGCACACGTGCTTACTCGGTCGATTGTAAAAAAAAAATAGAAATACACGGACTCGCACCTTGAGAGTGGCTTCCACGGATCGTAGAACTCTGCCCGACGTGAAGCATGCGAAGTAAAGTGACCAACGTACCTGGTTATTCATAGCAAGACTCCGAAAGGGCCAATAGGGAAGGTGATGAACGTATATCTGTGGAGGGGGCGCGTAAGATGAAGGTAATGTTTGCACTGATAGCTGCCGAGTAAGTCTACATCTGCAATCTTAAAAGCAAGTTCGGGTTTACTTTCTACTATGACATACATGCATGCATCTTGGTTGGTTGGTTGTAGTATTTAGCGTCTATCCCAACACTTGTTGGAGGTACGCAAGGGGCTCACTGAGAGTCTGAGAGTCAGAGGGAGCAGAGAGATGGCTGCAAAGGCGAAGCATGAAAATGGTAAATGATTGAAATAAGGCTAGGTCGCCGAGTACGCCTAGACATAACTCTAAGGGGAAACCGCAAACAAAAATCCATGGAAATACCCAGAACTCCAAGAAAAGGCCCGGAAAAAAGGCTCGAGACATAATTAAATCAACCCAAACTCCAATCAAAACCCCAGAACAATTTCCAATGAGAACACCACACAAGGCTCTCCATTCAACAAAAAAAAGAAGAGAAAAAGACCCAGCAAAACTCCGGAAAACAAATAAGGAAAATTCCCAAACTCCCCCTCCCTCATCAATTCTTACTTCTCCATACACTCACTCACTTCACGCTCCTTTCCACCGTTAATCCATCATCCATTCCTAGCTTCCACTGCCATTCCTGATCGTCCATTTGGTATCTTCATCCCAAGGTCTGTCCGGTTTGTCGGAGCCAAGATCCTCGTGATACGGGTTTCTTTCAACGCAGTTGGTGCACTTCTCGTGAGGATGGCCAGGGTAATCCATTGCCACCAGTCAGAGGCAGTCATGTAAGCTTGTTGGACTGCCGATTACCATATGCGGTGAGTAGAGCAACTCTATATGGAACGGCTGCGAAGTTCTCACCAACACTTCTCTGTTCTGTTCTTTCAGAACTGGATGGTGTGTTACACAAGCCCGTGCGGCGCAGCGCAAATGATGTTCCCGAGTGTGGTTCGAGTGCCAGATGCGGAAACCAGAGCCATTTCTCGTTTTCAAGTTGGAAGTCCGGACATAGTATGGCACAACCAACCAAAGCAGTCACGTCAAGACGAGACTTCGGGATATGGCAATCCAAAGAACCACCCATCAGAGCCCTGAACAGCTCAAGAGACTCTAATTGAGCCCAAAATTCCAAGAAAATCAGAATCCATCAGTGACGCCTTGTGTGTGTGTGTGTGTGTTTGTGTGTGTGTGCCACCTGTGACCTGGTGGACTTCCATATCCGTGCCTCTAGCATGGTAGCAGTAATGTCTGTTGACCATACACACATTACCAGAGGGCGTGTTTGATGTGGTGGCTCTGGGTGTGTGGTCCTGGCGTGGGCGGCCAGAGTTGTGCTCCCACACCTGAAATAGGGGAAGTGGGTCGCTGAAGATTCAACGCTTTGACCACCTCTGCCAGGGTTGCTGTGACCAAGGTGGCTCGTGCGTGAGAAGGCGCGTGGCTGGCTTTGTTGTGGCACCTGCGGCTCGGGTCGCCAGTTGACCTCCGAAAATCCTGCCAACCTCGTCGCTTCAGCTGCCGACAGCTGCAATTACCATCTTCATTCAAGCCCCCATCATCGACCTGACTACCAACTGCCAGCCAGCAGGCGACTGACATTTGGCCCGCCATGAAAGGCATCATCCAACCTGCGCGTGGCCGCCCGAGCAAAGTTGTCAAGAATGTCGCAACTCCACGCGGTCGCCCCATCCGTCGAGGTGGCCCCTCCGATTCCCTTTCGAATCAGGACCCCGACCTCGAGCCGCACGACGTTGACATCGACGACGACGACAAAGACCACCAGCAGCAACAAATTCACCAGCATCAGCACGACCATCATGCCGACTTCGACCCCGAGACCGCCGCCGCCGCCGCAGCTGCAGCCGCTCACCAGCACCAGCAGCATCAGCATCAGCAGCAGCAACAACAGCTCGACCTGACCGCAGCCAGCATCCTCGCCAGCAGTGTGCAGGGTAACCCCATCGACCAACACCCCGACCTTGGTGACCCTCATGTCGAGGGAGAGGCGGGACCACACACCACAGAGAGCTATGCGCAGCAATCCGGCTACGACAATGTCATCGTCGAGAGCGCATTGGCGAAGCGACTGTCTAGAGAACCTGGCATGCGCCATGCCCAACAGCGGCGCCCGGAGCAGGCTCTCAACCTCCAGAGACGAAGCAACGTAGAGGCCCTGTTTGCACACATCGCCGGCGAACTTGCCCCAGTCCCTTGCAAGAACTGCCACAAAGGCCATGGTCCTTGGAACTCTTGCGTCATTGTCGACGGACAGATGTGTGGCAGCTGCGCCAATTGCTGGTTCAATGCCTCAGGCGCGCGCTGTTCATTCCACGGTATGGCACACCTTACTCCACTCGGATCATGAAATAGTATCTGACGTGACCTAGAAACCCGTAATCCTAATGCGCACGGGGGTCAAGTTATGGGCGGCGATAACATTGGCTTTCAGATGGCTCCTGCACCCCCTGCAGCCATGGCACCCTTCAACTTTGTCTCGATTCCCGCATCTTCTGACCCCGTCGTACGCTACACGGTCGAACAGGCGATGGCTCAAGTAAGAGGTGCCGACAAGAAGTCACGTAACATGCTCATGGTGGAGGCTGCCGCACGACAGCTGGCTTTCCAGATCGTACAGTATGAGGATAGCGTACAAGAGGAGCAAAATCAACAGGGCGCTCAACAAGCTGTCATGAGTGAACAGGATGCACCTTAGGGAGGGGATTCTCCAGGTGACCTGTTTCTGCCGCAACCTGTAAAGAAAGAAGATGGAGAGGTCAGAGGTCAGCGACGAGGATTGACAGGGATTCGCACATTGATACATCCCGTTACGAACCAGGGTGCCGCCAATCCGCCGGTACAGCAGCAGCAACAGCAGATGAACGCCCCTCCGCTCCCTCCGCTCCCCAGCTCGGCATCCTTGGATCGTGATATCGGCATGCTTGATGCGCGCCATCATTAAGCCGCCGACGCATGTCTTTTAAGAGGTCACTTTACATTCAGGCAAGATGGAGTTCAGGGATAGTCACTTTTCGGTGAAAGCAGAGGAAGGCTAGCTTTCAATCAGCCTTCAACTTGCGTTCAAGCAGCTGGTTAGCAAAAACTATGTAAGAGTAGAGGCTACGTATATAGGTAGTAAAAGGTTTGCAAAAGCAAAATCCCTATTGGCTTTGTTAGGAGAACCAGTGATCATTCCATACCGTCCATACCTTTATGCGGTCAACCGGGGTTTGGAGAAATCGAACCCATAATACAACACCGCTGTCAAGCTGTTCACTGCTCACATGCAGTCGTCTCCGTCCACTTCGCAATGACCTTCACCCTGAATTTTATTGTTTTTGGGTGGTGTTTGGCGGCCCCGGGGGTGGCACGTGACCGGATTATTATACCACCGATCTCCGAACTAAATCTACACCAAAATTTGGTGTACCTGCCGTTAAATCAATTGCATGTTCACCTGATGCACATATTCAACAGCAACGGACGGAAAACAGTTGGAATCCATCTGCCCGCTGGTCAGGTACAATATCCACTTGCGTACATCGGAGCCCCCCTATTCAAGACCCTCACTACGCTCGGCGATAGGTAGCACCACCTTGCTGAGCCACTTCTTCTTTCAGATGCCAGACGCGTTGGCACACAATTTCGCGGCTGACAACCATGCGAACGGTCGTTGGACAAAACATCAGAATACTGCCTTCGACCAGGGGCAATTTCTACCGGTAGCAGACGATGAAGAGGACGAATCGGATGAGTCGTCCTCGGTCGTGACCGCGGGCTCCGGCTCTGGCGACACTCCGACGCACGAGTCTGCACTTGGTGACGTCGGCGACGACGACGACGAAGACGACGACATGGCCGAGGTCACAGATCCAAACCCCGTCGCTGTCATCGGGTCAGATGTGACCTCGAGTACTTTCGCCCCAGAGTCCGGATACGACGACAGGAGTCAGGCGTTCCAGATCCTCCCATCCGCCAGCGGTCTCGGCAGGAGATCCATCGGCCTGAACGCTGCCGGCATGCCCAAGCAACTCAGGGGGCCCCGTGGCCCATACAAGAAATCCGGGAAACCCCGTGCCTCTCGGGCATCCAAGAGATCCGGGCCGCCCCGGCCCCGGGGACCACGCCAGCACGGCGTGCGCAGCCTGGCGAAATGGCACGAGGGCGCGCCCGACGAGCACGTCCAGGCGCAGCCCGACCTCGTCTTCACGGACCAGTCGCTCACGATGCCGCTGGACGGGCCGGAGCTGCACCGCACGATGCTGGCGATCGAGGCCGACGACACGCTGTGCTTCAAGATGCGGTGGCACGTCGCGCGACACCTGCGCCGCACGTACACGAAGCTGCGCACGCCCATCACGCAGCTCTTCACGTCGCGCATACGCACGCGGTACTACCACGTCAAGACGGGCACCCCGTACAACCGTCTGGATTTCGAGGCCATGCGCGCGCTGATGGGGTTCCGAAGGGACCAGCCCGGCTGGGCGGACGAGAGCCGGTTCAAGATGCTGCAGGTGGCGTACGAGCAGTTCGGCTGGGACGAGGTCATCACGGATGCGAATGTGGATGATGTGCTGCTCGAGGCGGGCGTGCCGCTCGAGTACTTCCAGCGGGCCCCAAGGGTCGACAGGGCGGCGTTTGATCCTGCCGCGTTTGGCATCTCGCTTGCACCGGTCGTGTCGCCCATCGAGTTTGTTAGAGAGGTACAACAACCACTACAACCGGCTGTGGGCGGCGGGATGTCAAATGGCCTGTTTCAGTTTCGCCCCTTCGTCGAGCAGAGGAGAACCAAGCTCCCATCCGCAAGCCGCGCAGAGACAGAGACGGAGACGCCTAAGCTAGATCCCCCTCCCTTTCATGTCGACCCAGGATCGTCCGATACCAACGTTGCGAGGGTCCTCCTCCATATGTACGAGGAGCTCCGCAACCTGCGGACAGAGGTGCGCGAGCTCAAAGAGGCATCTCACGCCGAGAGGGAGGTGAACGAGTCCATCGCGGCGCTGCGCGAGGCCGAGGTCTTGCGGGAACGGCAGTTGCGCGAGACGCTTTTGGGCGAGATGAGCGAGTTGCGGGAGCTTGTTGTTGAAAGGGGGAGGAATAAGCGCAAACGGAGCGAGCGTGCTGAGTGAGGCTGGGTTGTAGATGCGTGCTGCTGCCTCGGCGACGCGAAGTAAGGAGGGAGGGAGATCTAGGACGGTCGTTGGTAGGAGGGATGACGAGATCGTCAGTCCCATAAGTGGGAGTAGGTAATGTCGCGAGGATTCCCTGTTTTTATGTTATTTGATACCATATGATGCAGTTCTCCTTGGGGGATGAGGCTGTTTAGCCGCCCACATTCTGAGCATGCACAACTGTATAACATGGACCAGTCCAACAGATGGGTCAACTCTTGACTACCTTATTAGTCACTGCCTCAATCATACACGAGATACGCAGACGTTCACCGCATGAGGCTGGCATTGAAACACGTCGATTATCGCTATATCTGAACAGTAATCTGACACATATGCCAGAATCACATCGTGCCTATACACCTGTTCTTCGCACATGAACAAGCCAAGATCCAAACAGTTTATCCATCCATTCCACCTCACATTGCCCTCAAACCCGCTTTCTCCACATCCAACTTCTAGAAGCCCTCCCAAGGGATGGATATCATATAAACCAGAAATCTCACATGACCACGCAGCAGTCCCCCAGCTTCCTCGTAAGCTTCTGGACGATTTTCTGGGCCAGGTCGGGCTGTTCTTGTTGTTGCTGCTGGCCTCCACCATGTTGTTGCTGGCCACCATGGTGTTGCTGCTGCTGACCCCCATGCTGCTGACCCCCATGATACGGCTGCTGATGCCCACCGCCGCCGCCAGGGTACCCGTCATGCTGTCCCGACGGTTGCTGCGGCGGCGGAGGCATCGTGGCCTCACCGCCCTGCAGGTTCACGTACATAATACCAGCATTGTCCTCAGTCGCATACTGTAGTCCCAGCTCCTGACACACCTTCTCGACGCGAGGTTTTATCTTCTGAATGTGATTGACGCTATGGTTGCCCTTGCCGACGATCCTGCGGGGGTGGTGTCTTGCGTTAGCGCTTTGTTGCGACGTTTGTACACGAAGAAAGAGGACGAGAAGAAATGGGGGAACCCGTACACATGCAGATGCGTCTGCCCCTGCTGCTGCGCGTAGCGGATACGCTGCTCCAGGATGTTTTCGGCCTCCTCAACGAACTGGCCGTGCAGGTCGATGGTGTCGTCGGCGACGCGGCCCGTGGCGTTGTTCTCGCGGAAGACGTAGTCGCTCGCCTGCTTGTTGTACTCGTCCATCTTGGCCGCGTGCGCCTTGCCCTCGTTGCTCAGCTGCTTGGCCTCGGCGCCGTCGCCGCGCTCGTACGCCTGGTGCGCCTGTTGGACATCGTGTCAGCTTGTGCGCTTTGCGAGCTCGGGGGCGGGTAGATAGCTGGGGAGGTAGATAGCTGGGGAGGTAGATAGCTGGGGAGGTAGATAGAGGGACGGGATGGATATGTAGCTGGCGAGGACCTGGATAGCTTCGGTGGTGATGTAGGCGGATGTAACGTACCCGGTCAAAGCAGCTATTGCGCTTCGAGGCCTCGGCGCGCGCCTGGTCGCGCAAGCGGTCGTACTCGGCCTCAGCATCGTTGCTGGCGCTGTGGTTGAAGGCTGCGACCCGTCAATTGAGTCCAGTCAATATCAAAGGAGCTCCCATGCGCTTGCGATCAAAAAGCGAAGCCTGATGTGGAGATTGCGTCACTCGTCGAGCTTCGCGAGGACAGGACAGCAGACAGGAGGGTGGGTTGGTTCATGCATCGTACCTTTCCCGCCCAGGCGCGTCAGCGGAATCGACTGTGACATTGTTCAATTGCGGCGCGCCGAGACACACAGCACAAGGGCAATAGACAAAGATATTGTCACACGTGATGATCAGCCCCGAGCCGAAAATGAAGCCTCTGATAACAAATATAGCAGACTACTACAGCACGAGGGTAAACATGCATGCGAGGTTTTGGCTGGAGTTCGTGCCTTGCTTTTTCCCACAAAGCTTGGTTTCATGCGCGGAATGCCAATCGGATGGGGAGGGAGATGGATCTGCGGCTAGCACGCCAGCACGCCAGCTTGGTCAACCAGACTTGGCTTGCAACTTGCAACTTGCAACTTGCAAATAGGGGCTGAGTGAGGCTGGCACTGGTTCCTAATAATAATTCGAGAGCTGAGACTTCAGCCCAGTGCGGTGGGCAGTATACCAATGATCATCCGCATAGGCACGTTACCGTCAACCTGGTTCGCTAACGGCAAGTGCTGAGAACCCGATAGGTTTTCGGTGCATCTTTCACAAAGGGAATCCCGGGGAACGACAGCATGTCGGCAGTGCCGGGCGCTGTCTCTGGCCTGGTGATTGGAGGCGGCATTTGGGGTGTGACCGCAGATGGACGCTGTCGCTGTCGCTGTTGCTATTTTACGTAGCAATGCGTTGAAACGTCGGCATCCTTTCAGCATCGAGCAGGCTTGTTGCCGAAATCAACGCTGGACGGCCGTCGCTGTCAGGTTTCTGCCTTCGTCCTCATGCATACGCCCAGCTTGTCGTTGTGATTGTATATGAAGTGCCAAGACGGCGGCGTTCTTGCTACTCCGATCTATGCGTTGGTTGCCGTGGATGCGAGAGTTGTCGTTTTTACAAGATACTGGTGAGGACTGCAACAGGTAGGTAGGTAGATAGATAGATAGAAATTGTTCAAGTCATGGCTCACAGAGTATTGCGTGCAATATCATTGCCAGCTGATAATTATTACATACGGCTGCGACATTGACAACGTAGGTTCTGTGACGGATGCATCTTCTGGGGAGCTCCTCTGTTTGAAGCTGTTCCGTAGTCTGGGATTACGTGGTTTCATCTGAGCGGAATAAAACGAGTGAACCTAGTTGGCCATGTGGCAAGCAGGCCAGGCAGAACCTAGGAGGTTTTTCCACTCTAAAAGCCCTCCGGTCGAATAGTGTCATGACGGTCGGGATGGCGTAAATTGCAACCTCGGAGAAAAGCAAGAAGCGAGATTTGAGATTGCAGCCTCCGCTGCGGATCATGAAGAGTTTCGAGCGGGCGGTCAGTCAAGAGTCAAGATAAGATCTCCTGCCCGGAGATAGGGATCATATGACTAGACATAGCCAAAAAAAAAAAAAAAAAGCCCCTTACAAGGGGTGGGTGGTCCGTCGTGGTTCGCTTGCAACGAAGCCGGGCAAGAGGAATGGTGTCCCTGCAAGTCTGCGGGAGGATTTGATGGAATGAGATTTCCTTATGTGAGCGCCAGGCGTTCATCAGCACCAGCATATGAACAATGATAGGTTTGTAGTTACTAGTCACGAGTTGATGATGTCTGTGCATGCGTAAGTACACAGTAGGTAAATGAAAAGGCTCCACCAGCCGTCGAATTGTTCGAGAAGCATGCATTGTGAATGCGCGCTGTCAGGCCCTGGGAACTTGTGGGAAGGCTCGCAAGGGGAGTCGTGCTTCACCTGATTTCGAAATGCAAGAAGTTGACAATGGCAATGCCGAGGAGGTGGAGACAATTGGCGGAGCCGGCGAAAGCGGGACTTGTCATCGCATGGCAACGATATCCAGGCTAATTTTGCTGACGTTTCAGTGAAATCTGGGGAGGGTGATCGTTTTGAAACTTTCAGACTTCTTCATCACAGCATCGTCGCCGCAACGTCCCAGGCTTGCAATTGGTAGCGGTAGCCAAGGAGTCGAGCGGCGGAGGCTGATGAGCGTGAGTCCTGACTCGTGAGCGCCGAGAGCAACTCCACTTCTTTCTTCGACTATCATCAGGGGTTTACCTTCTCAGCTTCTGCAGATCGCACAGGACGATATACTTCACCGTATGACTTGCTGCTCATCTCTGCTTCCCATACTGTCCTGTCTTTGTGGCTGTCGCTGGTCTCTCGCAATAATGCCAGGAACTGGCCTAGCCTGTCTTCGAAAGTCAAAGGCCGGACGCGATTGGGCGGTCCGGGCCACGGAGCAGGGTCTGAGTCAAGACACAGTCAAAGGCCTAGACTGTGATACTGTAATAAACTCTGATCTGTCTATCACGATTGTGCCGCGGACGGGCGGGTTGGTCTGTCAGAGAAGAGCTGAGGCTGTTGAGATATAAATAACCGTTTTGTGAGGGTGCTGACCATGTCAGATGGTAGGTAGCCGACATGTAAGCAGAGCCTACATCTCGCATCTTGCTCAGACTGATGCTGATTGGTTCGTGTCGGCAGATGTCCGAGTGGGATACCACGGAGGCTTTGCTGTCAGATGGTTATTAATCATACCCAATCTAGCTGGAGATCTGGTAGATATCAATGTACGTGATGCTGACGCCGCGCTGATGGCCCTGTAATTGTGAGTGGTTAAACATAGAGCACCTCGCTCAGGTGGGTTGTGGCAGGCAAGGGAGAAAACTCGATTCCACCTGCATCAAGAAGGCCTGGAAGGCTTCCTGACCCTCGCTGATATCCGTGTCCGTTGGTCTGAACCCGCAGAACAGGACCAAGACAAGGCGTGCTGCAGGTTGGCATCTTGACAGCTGAGAGGTCGACTGCTAGACGGTTAGGTCGACAGGCTGCTGGCACTAATAAAAGCGATCCTGAAGATAGTGCAGTCGTGCTTGGATGATGTGGCTCTCTGATACCCGGCGGCGATGGGCCTCTGGAGTCTGATCAAGTATAACAATGGAGAGAAGGTCAACTAGAAGTGAAGCTATTGCCGTGCTCTCCGTGGTAGCCAGTCTTCTGCCGTCGATAGATCCTCGAATCCTGAAGTCCCACCTAAAAGTTATCGATGATGGTTCCGCGCGCTAACACAAGCTGGTCGGTCGTGAGTTGGAAGTGCGTGCAGATCACCCAGTGATGGAGATCCGCTGGACGTGATGGAAAGCGACTTTGCTGCTTTTGATGTCAACCTTGAACATGTTAAGACCATAGACAACGCCCCGGGCTTGCAGCGGGAAACGACCTACATGATGAGACTGAACGGCACATAGAGGCAAGGTAGGACGACGATAGTCCTATGAACGAGGCTTTTTTCATGTGCGTCGTCCTGCAGCGCTGACCATGTCGAGAAGAAGAACGCCTAGAAGTAGAACACAGTGCGGCGAAGGGGTAGGTGCGGTAGCGGTAGGAACTCATGCCGAGGAGGCAGGGAGGCAGCTGGGAGGATAACGGGGAGTGGGGGACTTTTGAGGACGACTCAGGAGGTTTGAGATGGCTCTTAATTCAATTGGGCCACTATTCATTTGACTAGTGTCTTTCGGGCATGGCGCCTGCTGCTCCTCGCATCATCCGTGATGGATCTAGCCTCTTTGGGCCAAGACACTCTCAATCTCATGGGACCCCCTGACCAAGCGGTACCCCACCAGCCCGTCCCCATTTTCGCAATTGATCACTTGCAGTGGAGGCAGGCACCAGCACGGCGCTAGCTCTCACACTCAGCCTTCAGGCCCCTAAACGCAGCAGCCCATCACATCTCCCAGGGGCCAGCTAGCCTTACCAGCCCGTGACTTTACGCCTCCAGTCCCCTGGAATCGAGGTTGTCCGCCCGCCCAGCCTGACTTGCTAGCACCCCTTAGCCAGGCCCAGACACCCCGACCGAGCGCCAGCGCCAGCACCCTTTTCCAACTTCACTCCACTTCTCCTTGCCGTCCACCTGCATCTTTGACCTGGCCCAATCCCTCACCACCACCTTTTCTTCCTTTTCCTCTTCCCGTCTCGTCGACCTTCCTTCACCCCAACCACTGTCTTTCCGTACCGGGTGCATCCATCGCCATTTCTTCCTGTCGCGACTTTGCTGTTGACCTGATCGCGTCGCTTTTCCTGGTAAGTCTGTCAATGCCCTCTCTCTGAACCTTAATCACAACCGTCGACATCACCACATTGCACCGTCAACAACACCACGCCGGCAACACCAGCATCATTCTCTACTTCCCCTATTGCGCCTGCGCATCGCCCGCTGCAGCAGACTGTGCCCGCATCAAACAATCACTGCTTCATTCGCACTGCCTCTTCCTCTCTGCAGCATGGCCAGACGCTGGTGAGGGAGGGTGTGTCAAGTGTATAAACACCGCCACTCAGTCAACACCGTCCCCTTTCGGGGCGAGACGTCGCCGCTTCAACCAAAACCTCCATCATCGCGCCGCGCAGCCCACGCAGGGAATCTGCCTGGAACAACTTGCTAATCATTGGCCTGCATAGTCGATAGCCTCCTTGCGACATAGCACCTCTGCGATTGGCATTTTCACTCCGATCCGTCACTTCTCGCGGTAATCTATATCTTCGGGGCGCCTCACACATTCGTCAAGATGGGTTGCGGAATGAGCACAGAGGAGAAGGAGGGCAAGGCCCGCAACGAGGAGATTGAGAACCAGCTGAAGCGGGACAAGATGATGCAGCGGAACGAGATCAAGATGCTTCTTCTGGGTACGTCGATGTCGCACGTCACGACCCTGTCCTGAGCATATCTAACAGCCTATGCGCAGGTGCTGGTGAATCCGGAAAGTCAACCATCTTGAAGCAGATGAAGCTGATTCACGAGGGCGGCTACTCGCGCGACGAGCGCGAATCCTTCAAGGAGATCATCTTCAGCAACACCGTCCAGTCGATGCGTGTCATTCTCGAGGCCATGGAGTCTCTCGAATTACCGCTGGAAGACCAACGGATGGAGTACCATGTCCAGACTATCTTCATGCAACCCGCCCAGATCGAAGGCGATGTCCTACCTCCCGAGGTCGGCAATGCCATCGAGGCTCTGTGGAAAGACCGCGGTGTCCAGGAGTGTTTCAAGCGATCGCGCGAATACCAATTGAATGACTCAGCCCGATAGTAAGTGACTATCCCCTAGGCCTCTCGGAAGCGATTCTAACCCGCAGCGTAAAGCTACTTTGACAACATTGCCCGCATCGCCGCTCCTGACTATATGCCCAACGACCAAGACGTCCTCCGCTCTCGTGTCAAGACTACTGGTATCACCGAAACGACCTTCATCATCGGAGACCTCACCTACAGGATGTTCGACGTTGGTGGTCAACGATCGGAGAGAAAGAAGTGGATCCACTGCTTCGAGAATGTCACCACCATTCTGTTCCTGGTTGCCATTTCCGAGTACGATCAGCTGCTGTTCGAAGATGAGACAGTGAACCGTATGCAAGAAGCATTGACCCTGTTCGACTCCATCTGCAACTCAAGATGGTTCATCAAGACCTCGATCATCCTCTTCTTGAACAAGATCGATCGGTTCAAGGAGAAGCTGCCCGTCAGCCCAATGAAGAACTACTTCCCCGACTACGAGGGTGGTGATGACTATGCGGCCGCTTGCGACTACATCCTCAACAGATTCGTCAGCCTGAATCAACACGAGACAAAGCAGATCTACACACATTTCACTTGCGCAACCGACACAACACAGATCCGCTTCGTGATGGCTGCGGTTAACGGTAAGCAGCAGCCACAATGAAACAAACAACATTTCCGTACTGACTAAATTCTCCATAGATATCATCATCCAAGAGAACCTCCGTCTATGCGGCCTTATCTGATCTCGATGTCGTATTACGAGAATTCGACAAAGAGAAACCCCAAACCCAAAATACCCACCACGACCTCACACCCGACGCTGCCGGTATTGTTGTAGATCTGGCTAATGACTGACCTGTATCCCTTCGACGAATTGGCAAACGGATCTTCTTCCCATGTGTTTGTTTTACGCCTGGGCTGTCCCACATACCTCTCCTCCAGTGTTTTATCAACATCGCCTCCTTTGGCTTCGCGGCATCGATCATGGGATCCGGGAAGCATACGGAAGACTGGAGGACCTTGCATCTAAAGTCATGGCGGGTTACATATTTTGTTTAATTATGGAATCGCGGTGACGTCGGTCCCTTTATTTCTTTTCCTTCTTTTTTCTACGGCCTCCGGAGCACCTTGGGAATGGTTGAAACGGGCCAGGCACTCCCGCCTGATTGCGGAGGCTTGCAGGCCGGTCAAGGGGTGGATGATTGTGATGATGTTATACCAAGGCAGAGAAGACGAGCGTGGACGATGAGGGCCTAAAATAGGTTGGATTTGTCCATAAAGATCAACAAGAGCAATCACTGTTCTAAGTTACATCTCACTATGCTTGATACTTGAGCCACCATGGTATAGGATCGGTTTGTCTCACGATCAGGTGTACCGTACATACCATGCCAGGGGCGATTGTCACAAGACGTTTGACTACCAGAATTGCGAGGCACACTGCAACCCTGTACTCATCTTCCAAGGCGATGATTGAGCTTCGAGAATATTTATAACCCAGGATCATCGGCAATGCACTTATGTTCCAGAACAAGTCACAGCGTCCATGCCTGTCTCCACACCGTTCATGCAACCTTGCGCTGGCCAGCGCAACCGTCAACGAGCGCCACTCGCCATCCCAGCCATCCCAGCGCCCATCAAGTTTCAGCCGGCACCTAGCTACGGTTTGGATAGTGCTGGGAGCTGAACCGGGACGATCCCTGTAAGCAAGCTTCTGTTGTCTTTTATCTTGGCTCGACTTATTTCCTTTGATGGACTGGACTTGACTTGATATGAGCCACGTCTATTATCAATGAGTGAGTCTGCTTTGTTAGGAGTCATATGACAGACTGAAGGTTACGGCCAGTGGTGGCGGGGTACTTAGCCCAAGACAAAGACAGACATAATAACATCAATATACCTGGTTGGCCAATTCAAGTTTGAATCTCTGGTGACATAACTGGGAATCGAACCCAGATTTACTCGCGAGCGGTTAGAAACATCGGACTTCTCCACCGTTGTATGTCAAGTCGTTCTCTCGCCGTGGTAGGAGATGGGCAGGACGTAAGGTATGAGGTTTCGGGTGCGCGGCGCTTGGCATGGTGACGGCATGGAGACAGACGGACCTGATGCGGGTTGGTAACCTATGGATTTGGCTTGACGTGATGCTGTGTGTTCGGTCGAGCTGGTGTTGATGTCAGTCCTGAACTCCTCGCATTCGGGATCAGTAACTGGCAAACGGTTGAGATAAGAACTCGTATATGTTAAAGCATCTGGTAGGTATGAACAGTCATGCCGGGATCGATTGACTGGGATAACCACCATGTCGCTACTTATTTCACTGTGTTTTGCTAAGTATCTCGAAGGCTTGACTAGGTACCACTGGCTGGGTTGGTAAGGTATGGTCGCTGTGCAGAAGGGAACAGAACTCGCGGTTTTGGGGCTGGCCTTGTTCTTGTCGTCATCGACTGGGCCAAGCGAACTATGATACGGATAGGAAGACTTCTTGGACCGGTGAGACATCCTCTGCTGGCAGCATTGTCGCAGCTGTTCGCATCGAGCACTGCTGTCGGCGCGGAGTCCACCAGGTTTTCCATTACTTGGCGCTGTGAAGTGCTCCCGCGGCCGTCGTGGCTATCATCCAGGGAAGCACGAGCCCGTTCAAACTCTAGAGGGGTCACTGTTTGGTATCATGGGACCGTCACAGAGTGGTTCTGTCCTCGGCTGTTTATTCTTCAGTTCGCGGGTGGCTGCAATGAAGCATGAGGAGATGACCTGTCCAGACATGACCTTGGCCGCGATGCTGTGCTGTGCCTGCCTGATCGAGTTGCCGGGGTTTTTGAGCAGGTTAGCCTCACTTAATGGGGACTCCTTACTCTTCGACGTCCTTTCCACATCGACACTCTGCTACCAGGAGTATGTTGTACACTGCAGAGCTACCGGTGTCGTCCTCTTGCATCGCACGCTATCAGCCTAGCACGATACTAACAAGGCGGTGTCGAGTGAGGTACTTCACCCTTCGAAAATAACCCGGCAGATCAGGGAGATCATGGAGGAAATATGTTTCCCGCCGATAACGTTACTGCTCCTTTCAGCTGCTATGTTGCATGAGCTATCTAGCGATGCTCGTCCCGAGGGAGCGGTCCAGCGGAAACACGACCAGTGAGCATGTGAGTAACTAGCGAGCACTCTATGATAGATACTGAACAGTAGGCTGCGATGCAACATTATCCTACTCCAGATCATACGCTTCCATCCGGATTTTCCAGAGTGACACGGGCTCAACGACCTGGCAAGGTAGGTGCAGACGATGGATTGAGTCCCCACCAGATCGGTATGACCTCTTGAATACGTTCATGATTTTTTTGAAGTTGAGACTACGCCGAGTAAGGCGGCTTCGTGGCCTTCGAGGCTACAAGTTGCCACGCCTTGACCTCAGCAGGTCTGAACTCCAGACGCCACGTGCCGCGCCAAGTGAGCGAGGCACTGCTTCTATCGTTGCCCATCTCACAAATGAAAGCGCAGTCATGAGCTTTCCCACCGTTCCAGAGTACGAATGCGGTCAGCTGGGGCATTTTCCGCGCGAGGACGCTGGCTCGGCAGAGCAAGCCCTGGAGATAGTTGCATTTTTGCCAGTCATCTTCCAACGTCTGCGTCATGAGAGCCAGAGACCGTAAATGCGGCCATGTCCACATCGGCTGGTACCATTGAAAGATACCCCGGCATTGATCAAGAAGGATGCTTCGAGTTGTTCTAAGCCAAGTCTTTGACTTGCGAGAGTCGAATCAAGCCATCGGGTACAGTTATGAATCAGACTGCGGAGAGGCGAGTCGACTTGGACGATAGGACTCAAAAGTGTCCTCGAATACCATCAATTTCTTGAGAGTGGCCGAAGCAGCCATAGTGTCAGGCCAGAAACACCTAGCTCTCGCCATTAGCAACGGACGGGTTGGGATTCATTTTCATTGCAGCAAAAGCAGCAGCAAGGAACCCTGCTGAAACAAGAGGGGGTAGGTACTGCGATCATAGAGCGTTCTACTCACAGGGTCACCGGATGGCGGCCACAGCTCACATGATATATGCTCCAGACCATCGAGGCTGTGGATCAGAATACTTAGACAATGTCTCCGGGCTTGAACGCCGCAACTGTCGGTGGATGGCGAGGCTGGAGACTGCGACGACCTGACGCAACGGTTCGGGTATCCTAGTAGGTCTGGAGAGCTATGCAACTCTGTCCATGGAGGCATGTGTAGTTGTCGACCATAAACTAATGCAACCGTGTTTCGGGCTGTGATACCGAGCTCCGGTCCTCCACGCCTCCGTCTCCTCGTCATTGCCTCCCCCCTCATCCCCCACGTCGTCGGAATACAGGTAGATGTTCCTAAACCAATGCGCGCAGTCGCTTGGCGAGTACGCATTCGGTTCCAACGTCAGTCTATGGTCCGCCGGCCATCGGCTCAGGACACGGTGGCCCAGAGACTAGAGTTTCTGGATTCGGTCGGTGAACCGTACAGACGGGTTCTAAAAAGTGGGGCGGGGCGCACGCCGACGCCGGCCTTTTCTTGTGCAACAGGAGGTTATCGTGGTTTGTGTAATGCGGCGTACGACATCGAGCCGTGGCGATCCGGGCGAGGTCGTCGAGACAGGACGACTCCAGCTTCATTCTGCGGGGGTTGGTGATGCAATACATACGGACGCGTGGGAGCCCCATCCGGGGTTCATGTGCCATGTGATTGTTGTTGTCAGGACCATGTGGCGGGCTTCGGGGGGAAAGGGTACAATAGCCATGTGAAGGCCCGTGACCTCGCTTGGCTGCGGGTGATAACCATTTTGTGGCCAAGTTTGGATGAGGGATTCCCAGGAGTCCGGATTTATTGCTCGGTACTGGTGAGCAACTCTGGATTACAAATACCCGTACCGACGGGACTGTGAATTGTGAGAAGGAAACAGACGGGAACTCGCATCCGGTCGGAACAACTTTTTCGCCTTCAGCTCCTGCAGGCCCTGCAAGTCGCCGATTTTATTCCTTCCTCAACGTTGCATTTTAATGCACTTACCTGTTTACACAACCCATGTACACCCGCAGGAAGATGTGGTGAACAAATTTTATAACCACAATACTTTCGCCATCACCGTCGAGCCCCTATTTTCAAGTGCTGGGACGCTACAGTTATGACTCAAGCGAGCCACAAGAGATCTTCGAGCGACTCGGCCGGGAGCAAGCAATGGTCGAGAGCGTTGTTGTATGCGGGTCGCTCAGTCATGGCGAATCTTACTCACCGCAGCTCTAAGGCTGGCGCATCCGTGACGAGGCTTACATCTGTCCTTTCGAAGAGGAACCTTCGAGGCACCATCAGGATACTGGGGACCCAAATTGCTCAGTTTCTGGAGACCAAGAAAAGGCCTCTGAGTGTCCTTTCCTCAGCCAGCCCCAGCTGATCAGCCAAAGGCTCCCAGGACGTCGGTCAAGAGCGCCCCAAATACGAAATTGACAGGCATCAAATCCCGAGTCATCGCGGCTCACCTAGGGTTTGGATCCCATCCGCCAGTGGCCGCGGCAGCTGTGCTCACTTTTGTGCAGCTGAGTATGAGTGGATCAGCTGCATCGAAAGGTCAGCATAGCCACGGTCCGTCTGTATTGGCCGTGTATTGACGCTTTGCCCGGTGAGCGTGTCACCCCCGGTCAACGTTTGTCACCCCGATGAACATCTGTCATCCCCTGATCAATCCAGCCCTTCCTGGTATAGTCCAGAGTACCTAGGACGAGTCTTGCGAAGAGTCCCTCAGCCTTACCGGTATGACACAAGACTGCGTACGATTGACGGGTAGCCGTGCCGGACTCGCGTGGTCCATCCCCTCGTATCCATGGTGGCGCGACGGCTGACCACCCTCTCGACCCCCAGGAGGCTGATATTCTTCCTATATACGGTCCATTCCAACGCCACGGTTGAGGACTGGAAGACCTTGCACTGCCTTTTCCGATCATATGTTGTGATATGGCTCACGGGGAGCTGGTATCCATCGTCAATATTGGAGCTGAGTGAGATTCTCAGCCTCAGCTTACTCTCACCTCAGGTCACGATGGCACCATCAGGTCATTTAGCCCTGAGATATTGACAGCGGGTGGCTGTAGCGACGATGCCTACTGGCGTCGCCACGTCATGAATGCCTGATCTGGCCCGTTGCTTATTATACAGCGAGGCTGAGCGCATGTATTATGAGAGAGCACGGAGGACTTTCATGAGTAAGTATATAAACTAGCCATGGCATCGTGTTTTCTACGACTTGAAAGTACCGCTAAACATACTCTTAGAAAAAGCTAACTATATAGTCATAAACTGTCCCTCATAACGCAGACTCTCCAAGAATCATGGCCCCCTCAGCAACAGTGAGTTACCTTTGCTGACATACTCATATTTACTCATGCTCATTGGTGTTAGAACGGCACGATGAACGGAACCCAGAATGTTGCGACGAATGGCGCGACGAATGGCGAACAACCTGAGTTTCCACATGAATCTAACCATGAGGGAAGTTTCATCACGACCATGAACGGTAAGTTGTCTCAGGCTAAGCTATTCTCTCAATCGTAGCTAAACCAGAATAGGTGCTCCCGTGCAAAGACCTGCAGCCAGCCAGCGCATCGGCAACCAACTGAGAGCCACGCTGCTGTTGCAGGATATCAACCTGCTTGAGCTCATCCAGCACGTCACACATGAACGCATCCCCGAGCGTCTTGTCCACGCTCGAGGTTTCAATGCCTACGGTTACTTCGAGGTCACAGACGACATCTCCGAGTACACCAGCGCCGCCTTCCTGAACAAGGTCGGCAAGAAGACGCCTCTCCTCACACGCTTCTCCACAGTTGCTGGCGAGCGAGGATCTGCTGAGACAGTCCGTGATACCAGAGGCTTTGCCTTCAAGCTCAGAACTGAGGAGGGTATCCTCGACTGGCTTTTCCTTTCCACGCCTGTGTTCCCCATTCGCGATGGTGCCAAATTCCCATCATTCACCCACGCTACTAAGCGGAATCCTAAATCTGGCCTGCCGGACCATAGCATGGTACGTATGAAAACATCCCGTCCCAAGACCCTGCGCCTTGTATTCGGGAACAAGCTTTGTTGTTCCCTTTCCTTCTTCATCTAGAACATGGCCCTACGGGTTTAAGCACGGGATGTTAACGTACACGCAGTTCTGGGACTACTTCAATAACAACCAGGAAGCCATCCACTTCCTGATGTTCCTCTTCAGCGACCGAGCTACCCCCGTAGACTTTCAACACGCCGACTGCTTCAGCATCAACAGCTACCGCTTCACGAAGTCCGACGGCAAGTTTGTGTACGTAAAAATTCACGTCAAGACGAATGCTGGCGTTCAGAACTTCACCGCTTCTGAAGCGGCGACAGTGGCCGGAACGGATCCCGACCACCAGACCCGCTCGCTCTTCAACGAGCTGGAGAACAAGGGCACGCCCTCGTGGGATGTCTACGCCCAGATCATCGACCCCGAGAAGGCGGCCAAGTACCCCATCAACATTTTTGACGCGACCAAGACCCTGCCGTTCGAGGACTTCCCCCTGAGAAAATTCGGCAGAATCGTATTGGACAACAACGTCGGCAACTTCTTCGCCGAGAGCGAGCAGAGCGCCTTCAGCCCTACGAACCTCGTTCCCGGCTGGGCTTTGTCGCCAGACCCCATCCTCCAGACCCGTTCCCTAGCATACGCCGACACGCAGCGCCACCGCCTCGGCACCAACTTCATCCAGCTGCCCGTCAACAGGCCGGCGCGCAGCTTCAACCCGGTGAACCGCGACGGTGCGGCCAGCCTGGGCGACAACCTGGGCGCGACGCCAAACTACTTCCCGTCGTCGTTCTTCCAGTACGGCGTCTCGGCGCAGTACGCGCAGCCCGACGAGGAGCACTGGCTCGGCACCGTCGAGGACTTCCAGTCCCAGGTCGTCGCCGCCGACTACGATCAGGCGCGCATCTTCTGGCAGAAGACGCTGCCCGGCGACCCCAACGGCCAGGCCAACTTCGTGAGCAACGTCGCCGGACATCTTTCCGTCGCGGTGGAGTCAGTGCGCAAGGCTACATACGGTAAGTTCCCTCCTTGGTCTCGTTGACCTCTCTGTTTGAGAATAGTGACTGACCTGATCATCTCCCATCTAGCCATGTTCGCCAAGGTCGACGCCGACCTCGGCCAGAAGATCCAGACGGCCACCGAGGCGCAGGTCGCGAAGAGCAAGAGCAGCAGCACGTCGTCGCCGTCCACCACCAACGGCGTGACGCAGAAGATGGGCAGCATGAAGCTCGCCGACCTGCACGCCAAGAAGCAGTCGGCCACCGAGTCCCACAACTTCGACCTGTTCGCCCACAAGACGTGGAACCTTCAGCATTGAATGGAGGAGATGCGCTATCTCCTCTGTATGGGCGACGGGGCTGACCGGTCGGATTACCGTGCTCTTCATTGACTCATCGGTCAGATAGATGTACTTTTATCGTGTTCCATACTGTCTTTTAGAGAATTATTAGTATTGTTTCTCTCTCTTGTTGAGATAACTACGGCGAGAAGAGTGGGCAAATGTCACGTTATAAGTTAGAGTGAAGGCGCAGAGAACGGTCATTAACAAAATTAGCACCGCGACCAGGTCAAAGGCATTTATTTATTTCTAATGTGGCTTCTGAATATGATCATACCGTACGCTGTAGCTCATACCACGACTGCAACAGGACTTGGGCTGCCTTCAGCCCACCAGGAAGCTCACTCCAGCCACTCCGTCCACCAGGAAGCTGTTCTGGTGCCAGGTGGTTGGTTGTGTGAATGACGAGCCACCAGAGAGAAGTGCTTATATCAGGTGGTTATGTGAAAGATAAGCCACCAGAGAGAAGCATCGACTATTTGACGGTTATACAACGGCTGGAGTACTGCTGCTACGCAGCAGTTCCCAGCTCTCCCTAGGGTGTCCACCACATCTAGCAAGCTAAATACAATGGGTGATACCAATATTATACCTCGTGGGCTGGCAATTCCTTGACCCTGTCTCCACTCCTTTTAGAACTTCCGGGCCTTGTGCTCTTTTTCTCCTGGGGATGTGATTTGGGACGCCCTGGTTGGGAGGGGGTTATAGGTCGGCTGTCAGCACTCTGGGTCCGGTAGTCAACAAAAGAGTATGCCACACGAAGTACACGACAAGCCAAGCACCAGACCGTTCCATCCACCAATATCCAGCCGCTCGAGATCTGATGGGAAAACAAGAAATCGTCTCACGCGCCTAGGAGAGGCAGCGGCGCGGTTTCGGCATCCAAGATATATCGCTGGACGAAATCGCGAATATTCTGGTCAGATTCATAATACCTGTTCGGAGTGTCTGCATAGTCGTTTGCCGTCTTGGAGAAGACTCCGCTGTCGATAAGGCCCGCCAGCTCTTCCAGCCTGGGCCTATTATAGGGCTCGCCGGCCAGACACCTTTGGACTAAGCGTTTGAGTTCGGGATCGAGGTGTGGTGGAAAACGAAAATAAAACTCATCCATGGTGACCTCGCGGACATGCGACACTGATGGGTAGGAGAATTGGGTTATCAAACAGACCATTTGCTGTGACGGATGTATCGTTGGTCAGTGTGATTTATGCCACATGGGAGAATGAGCGGCAGGGGTGTAATAAAAACTCACCACGCCGACGTCGAGCAGGTTCTGATCCATTCCACAATTGCGTTTCCCGCGCTCAGATTCACTACCGTGTAATGTCAGTATCTCACATATGCGCAAGGAAGGCATGAGGGCGATACGCACTCCGTAAACAGGTCCATCACGACATCAAATGTGTGTGGCCTCATTGTTGGCGGACCCCGCGTTGGCCATATGTTGTGTCCTAGCCGTCTTGCGAAGCCGAACCCCAGCAGCTTCAAGGGAGGCACTGTTGAATGTTCCCCCTCGCCTGGCTCAGGTTGGTCAAACACGACTTCCCTTCCGTTAGTCGTTTCCTCTTGGGCATAACAAAGGCGTGCATATGCGTAGGATTGGAGAGCTTACAGTTGCCGGCGTGCATGTTCAAGTGTGCTATCGAATCTGGAGTCCTCTCGTCGGGCTTTTCTGGCTTGCCGGGGCTTGCACTCTGGGGGTATGCCATCGCCATACATGCTCTGATCTCTGGATAGCTGTCAGAACCTTCTTAGTTGTAGGCGTAGTAAGGAGTTACATACTGCAAAGAAAGATAGCCCAGAGTATCCGGTTCGGTATATATCCTATCGAATACCTTCCTTTGTGCTTATGAATCCTGTAGCGAAACTGCTCCAATGTGCCGTTTTCGAGACACTGCATGATGACGAAGGGGACGTCAAGGCCGTGCCGTTCATCTTTCCCAGGCACTAGGGGGTTTCGACTGCTCAGGATCGGGGAGACGATGTGTTCTGCTCCTTTGAGTTGCTGTACGATGTTCAGTATGTACTCTATCATGATCATCACCTGTCTCGTATGCCACCAAGAGAACTTACCTCAAGCAACTCAATTTCCTTCTTCATGGCTCGCTGCTGGTCTGGGGCGCTCGTCTTGACTATGAAGCGCCTACCATCATGCTCCTTGAACTGCAACGCTACGCCTGAAGGTTCCGAGACAATGAGTCTCTCGAACTTGAATCGGGGTCCGCCGGTACACAGATCCGTGTCCGATTTTGATCCCATGGCCGGCATTGTTGAAGTGTCGACCGCAGAGATACTATATCATGGAATGAAAGTAGAATAAAATGGGCTTCTTGGTTTGATCATTTATACTTCAGCAAATTTGTGCCTGATGCCTGATCAAAATATGCTGGCGCCTGAGTTTTCCCAGACACAAGTCTTTCGATACAAAGGCTGACCCTGTCTCAATACTAAACCCTTCCTTTCGCATATCGTATGGGCCGGAAACTTCAAGTGAGTCAAGTTCCTTGGAGTACAATGCCTAGTGGTATGACATACTGGCGTTGGGCATATATTATGAGCTGAACAGGCTGCGGTTAAGGTACGAGTAAGTGCAATATTGGGGAACTATTTCGGGGCCAGATGCCCCTGGCCCAAGAACCCATGAGACGCCTCGAATCATCATGAAAGATGTTGCACTTTGTGGCTTGCCTTCATTGGTTAAGGCTCCTTGGGTGCTCTCAGTAGGCTCTAGTCCGATAGTCGGCGATGTTCTGCGATCGATGACACCAACATAGGAGAACGACCAAAGCACAAAGAGACCTCGGTCAACAGATCATGGTTGGAACGACCCGATTTTTCATCGATGCGTTCGAAGGGCGGGCTCCGCCTCATTAAAAGTCATGTCAGAGCGGTAACCTGTGCCGGTCTCGATTTATCCTTATAATTTGTACTCTATTATAGAGCCGGCGTCCGATTAGATATTTACTCTATGGGCGCACTTTGATACAAGTTTGTCTACTATCCTGTCAGGACCGTCCAGCTCATAGTGGAAGTATTCGGTCATTCAATATATGCCAGCGAGGTGTTTGCCGTGGGCCGCACAAGATGGTGTATTACTATTAACCCCGAGTGGCCAACTTCCTACGACAACCCCCATTCATTCAATCCGGACACCAGCCGTTAATTAGTCCAAGCATCGCCTCGAAACGACGTCCGGGAGCATGACCAGATTCTGCCTCAGCGAGAGCTTCCTTCGGCGTAGATATCTAGCCCTTCTAACTTTTCCCATTTAGGTGTCTGGAAGTCCCGTCAAGCCGTGTCGTGTGTGGTCCAGTGCTGGCAATCATCGTTAGCAAGGCTTCATCAATACATAGCACCACCTGTGAAGCATACCACTCCGCAAAGATATCATGAACTGAGACACCGTCTCCAGTCTAGACATAGAGCTGCCAATGTTGTCGAGTGTATTGTTGTGAGATTTCAAACCGTTCTGTATTGAAAGGAAAGAGAAGAAGATCTCTGGGGGAGAAGCCCCCATATGTACAGGTGTGCCATCAGGGTGACCAGATAATCATACGATAATGGCGCCAGGATCCTGGTGGCCTGAGGGTGGGCTGACTGCCCTGAGGCTAAACCCATTAGCGCATTCAGCCCCGAAAGCCTCAGCCTGGTATGATATCCAACAATTGTCTACTTTTTCGACTCCGGCTTGTCTTGGCTTAGCACTGAGCCCAAAGAGGAGGAGGAACTCGATCACTAACCTGCGTACTTCTGATCGGACTGGGCTCCCTTCTTCAGTTGGCTGGACTGAGCTGTCTTTTCAAGTTCTTCTTCTTCTTTGTGACGAGCCGTCTAACCTATAAGCCTAAAGGGTTCTATAGGGTTTATGTTCTGAGGTAAGTCAACACAAAGGACGATAGAGGCTTCTGTCAACTAGAAGACACTCAGATGCTGGGGCTTGGTCTGATCCAGGGAATCACTGAATAGTCGAGTCGTCAGGAGATTTCTCCCACCTTAGGGTTGGCTAAGATGCTTAGATTGATCACTGAGGTAGAGACTGTCTATCTGTCTAGCTAGGAAATGTTCATCCTTATATATCTAATCTCTCCCTTACTGATGAAGTGGATATGCTCCTGATCCATCATATCCATCACGTGATGCTTCTGATCCCGTGATCCGTCCCCTTCGTATGGTCCGTGCTTTCCTACGGCTTCTTCCTATTCCCATTCTGTCCTGTTGGGCCTGTCAATGGGCCTCGTCCTTTGTCCTTCTTGTTGGTTCGTAACATTCTTCAGTTCTGCCTTCAATTTGTAATCGTTCAGCCTCGCATACTATTTGTCTTGCGCGGTCGGCTTTCTCCGCTTCTATTATCAAGGTCAAAAATAATATTCCGTAAGACGCAAGTGCTGGTGCTCGGGTGGAGGTTGGTAGCTCTAAAATTAGACGAGATAAATCGCAATCATACCGTGCAACACGCAAGGAAAGATTAGTAACGATTTTTATTTTTATTTTTTCAAGGATTTTGACCGAAAGTAAGAATTAAACGTGAATAATATAGAAGATAATAAAATGCAAAGCCTCTATGCTATACGTTAAGTTCATTAAAATAAAACGCTACAAATTATCTTAGTTTATTAAAACCTTAATTATAAATAGCGTTTATAAGCTTAAGCCAATATGTTATATGCCGAATAACATGCGCGTAAAGTTTTACTTATAAAGTTAAATGTTGTTCGAAATATCTTGTTTTTAAAATTATTTTTATATATATTTATTTCAAGGGAATATTGTTAAAACGCGCCGAATATCGCATTACGCTACACGTTATAGCTTAAAATAAGTCGCTAGTTTTTACAAAGTTTTTTGGGTTTTTTTTCTTCGAAAATTTGAATTTAAAATTAAAGCCTTTATTGAAACTATATTCATAAAAAGTTCGTATAAATTTAAATTATTTAGTAATAGCTATAAAGTTAATTAAAAGTTTTATTTTTATATCGATTCTTATAACGATAAGGAAAAACGGCAGCTTTACTTTTTATTAAAGTAAAGATTTTCGATTTTTTTAAACTTATTTAATAACTTAAAATTATAAAAGCTAAGATCGAAATAAATCGTGGTTATAAAAACGTAAAAACGTAGTTTAAAAAAATTAAAGCCGATAAAAAATTTCGCTTTATAGTAAAGCATATCAAAAACGTCTAGTTATAACTAGAAGATAAAAAGAAAAAGTTAATTCGAAAAGCATAACTAAAATCGGATAAGAAATGACACAAGGTAACTAAATTAAAAGAAATATAAGGCGGATAAAGTTAATACTTAATAATTAATCTGTTAAATAAAAGATCTATCCCGCAAATATTAAGTCTCAAATATAATTTAAGGTCGTGCCGGACCGAAAAGATTAATAACTAGGTACAAAGTACAAACGAACCTTTAATCCTCTTATAAGGATACATAACTCGTTTCCTTCAGTGTATTATGATGCGCTCGTAGCGATTAAGAATATGTTGGTGGCGATGGTCTGGCTTGTGACCCCTTTCCCGGGGTTGGTGGGCATCATGAAGGAATCGTGGCATTTTATCTACAACGGAAGTGGATAGATTCTGCATCCTGAAACCGTGCAATGCCTCTTTGAGTCAATTCTGTCCGTCTTGGTGATTCCCCTGTTGTTACTTCGAGTCACCCACCAATGGTTGTGTGATTCATGACGGGCAATCCCTCCGAGAGCCTCGCCTGTGAATCACCAGCGACCACTAGAATTTGATGCTCGAGCCAAAAGCGGCGGAACATCTGATCTCTGAAGAATAGTGCCGAGTCCTCGACTCCAGCCGCAACTGAATGGCCTTCGATAACAGTTGCATTTCGCTAGGCAAGAACATTATTTCTGAGGATGGCTCCTATGCCAGTCATACTCCTCACTCACTGATTCGTCTGACTTATCCAGACAACCTGCACACTCCCAAACCTGAAGTAAGATAGTCAGTAGTATTCACCACACGCATGGCCTTCAACAGTGACTTACGCTGCCGTGGCGGCGAAAATCTCAATACGCCGCGCTTTGCTGAGTGTGCTTAGGGCCAAGCAGAAGATAACCGTAAAGAGGCATACAAGCGCGACCTTGACGTTCATACTCTCGATACAATAGAGAATGACCATGGAGATGGTAGGGGTGAGCGCGCTAAACACAGCTCCTACCACGTGGTTCAGCGCTTGGTATTGGCTCTGTGTGTAGAGGTATGTGTTGGTCTTGTTGTCTCCTTCTGGTTGACTCTCTAGATCCTTCGGCATCGGTTCCTATTTGCCTCATCGTTACATGGTGTGTGCAGCGCCGAGGCCTCTTGAACTGATGCATACCTTCTTCACCCTTCAGAAGAAGTGAAACATGGTCAGCAGCGGCTGGACAAGAAGTCGAGACAGGGCGTCGTTCTCTTCCTCCTGCGACTCCAGTAGTATAAGGTCATGTGAATGTTGCCGTCCGTATGCTCGCGGTCCGCCTACCCCACCGAGATCGAGGGACCTGAACTGTCCGAGGCTGTCATTTCGAGAGGCTGACCTGATGATATCGAACATGGCTCGGCGCTGGCGACCCGTGGGCTGTCTCAGCAAGGCAATTTGCGAGTACTGAAGGATGGCCGAATCTGCGAATCAAAGGTGAGCGGAAAAGGAGTTATAGTCGATCTTGAGGAGCATTCTCGACTGACGGTACTCGGTAAGTTTCTGTCGTATTTCGAGGACCAGCTCCCACTGCTTGCTCCTTGTTGACACCTTGGTTGCTGAGAGCGTACCAACTCCAATCACACGCCGATTTTCTCTCCGGGGAGACTCTGTCTTTCTGTTGCTCCCGGGCGAGAGCATCTTCCAGGTAGGCCAGCTCTGCTTGGAGGTAGAGGATATTGAGGTTAGCAAGGTTGCCGTACTTCCTGACCATTCCAAGCTGAGTCTTCGACCACAGCTTCGCAAGAAACGGATAGCCCCGAACCCTGTCCGCTGGGCCGCGTTTTTGGTCCGTTTGGCGCTCGTCTTCTGCTCAGTCATAATGATAGCGCTCTCCGCTCGTCATGTTCATCGAAATACCAGGGAAACCAGAAGCTTGACAGGTCTCCCATGTGTCTGGGAAGCACTGCAGTATGCGGCAGATCCTCTGGAAGTATAATAAACGTGACCATGCAGACACTGCGCCCGTGTAGAGCCAAGTGTCCATGCGACTACCCATCAACATGGGGCTAGGAGACTCGAGTCTATTACGACTCGATATCCCGACTGCGGTGCGACGTCTTCCTTGAGCTGACCTGAACGATAGGCTCTGGTGGGCTCTATATGTCGTACAGTCCTTGTTTGCCCCGAGAGGGGGCTTTCTGCTGCCACGTTCTTACACTTCACGGAGTCTCGTCGTATCCATGTTGTGTTGCCTGTGGCGAATATTTCGCTGGCCTAGTATTCCGAGGCTTAATACCTCGATGATGGGGACCGTCACCCAGGTGTTCATCGGTTCAGTGGTGGTAAGTAATACCGCGCTGGTATAGGTGGATGGACAACAGCAGTCAGTCTCATGCCACCGGCTTCAGAATTAGACGGCCTACTATAACCCCGGGAGGTTCAGGGTCTGGGATTAATCCTGGTTTGGGACGGGATTCGCTTTTATCTTTTTTCCCTTCTCCTTCTCCTTCTCCTCCTCCTCCTCCTTCTGCGTCTTTTTCTTCCCTTTTTCTTTCTTTCGTAGATTTTATCCTGGTTACTTTTTATTCTTTTTATTCTTTTTATTCTTTTTATTCTTTTTATTCTTTTTATTCTTTTTATTCTTTTTATTCTTTTTATTCTTTTTATTCTTTTTATTCTTTTTATTCTTTTTATTCTTTTTATTCTTTTTATTCTTTTTATTCTTTTTATTCTTTTTATTCTTTTTATTCTTTTTATTCTTTTTATTCTTTTTATTCTTTTTATCTTGTTCTTCAATTTCGTTAACCTCTTGCTTCTTTTGCATGGTCCCTGGTCACCCCTTTTTTAAGCTGGCGAAAATCTGTTCTCGTCAGTCACAGGGACCCATCGCCACGAAGTCTCACATGCCTAGCCTTACATGGCACCGACAGAGGGACAACCAAGGGACGGACAGAGGGACCACAGGAGACATCAATAGAGTCATCAGTGCTCATAGTGACTCCAAACATGGTTCGTCACTGCGTAACTTGTGTGGTGTCATTTCCCTGACTGTCTCCCAGTGTCTAGTCCGTCATCTATGAGTTGATGCCATTGTCCTCCAGTATCCTTCTCTGCACCTTCCCAGCTGACTACTAGGATCCATCCCCAGCTTACTGCACGAATGACTTGGACCACAACACACGAACTGCTATACCCAATGAAAGACCCCCAAATGATGGCTTTTACTGTTCTTCGTTGGCACAGATGCAGATACCTACACCTAGGTAGCTAGCTAGCTGAGTCCTTATCATTGATCTCCCAATCCGCAACATTCTCCCTATATTGGGTCATCTCCCTCCACTTCCGCGCAAAATCCCGCATGCCGCCCTGGCCAGCCAGACCCGCATCCACCACGTCCTTCGGCAGCTTATGTGCCGAGTACTGAGGCGAGCTGAAGTTGTACGCGGCCGGATCTTCCTTCTCCATCAGCCGCAGCTCCGGGACGAAGTCATCATCCTCCTCCTCGCTCGACTCGGTCTCGGCGCCGTTCGCTTCGCCGCCCTGGTCCTCATCGCCCATTACACCAAGTACGGGACCCGGAACCTCCATATCCAGCAGCTCCTTCCAGTCGAAGAGCAGGCTATCCGTGTGCGGTGCCCAGGCGTTGATATCGATCAGCCGCGCCCGGCTCAGGGGCTCGTCCTCGCCCTCGGGAATGTACACGTCGAAGGCGAAGTTGCCGTCCGGGAACGTGTACCGCAGCTTGTGGTTGAACAGCTGGAAGATGCGCGCGACGATGTCCGCCCGCAGCGACTTCAGGAACTCGTAGAAGTTCAGGTCGCGCTGGGAGATGGCGATGAGGTTGCGGTGCTTGACGAAGCACCGGAACTCCATGGCCGTGTGCGGGTTGAAGTACGAACGCAGCACCAGCACCGGCTTGAAAGAAGGCGGGACGTTGGCGGAGGAGCTTGGTGTGGGTGTGCAGTCGTCGAAGGCGTGCTCCAGGTCGTAGGTGACGAAGTTGGAGCTCTTGAGTAGGAGGTAGATGTCGTTGGGCGTGGTGCACTTGTTGGTGTTCTGGTGTGGCGATATCCAGGCGGCGTCTTTCGGCGCGGTCCAGTTGAGCTTTGGCGCCACGGCGCCGCCGAGTTCTGTGATCTTGTCCTTGATCATCTGGTGCAACTCGGGAAATCTCTGGTTTGGCGGCAGCATGGGGGGTTCATCCTCGTCGCTGTCTGACTCCGAGTCCGTATCAACTTCCTCGATGGGTGGCCGCATCGTGGATGGTGCTGACTCCCATTCGTCATTCTCTGGCTCAGCTCCATCATCATCCGCGAGAACAATGCCGTCCTCGCGAATGTACTCTATGAATTCTGGCGATAGTGGAATTATCCGTGACTTGATACATGATGTGCGGTATCTGGTGATTATTAGCACGGTTTAAGGCTGAGCTTTGAACAAAGACAGCGTACTTGGGAAACCAAGAGTCATATGAGCAATGCAGTATGTGATCCCTGGTGACGGGTGGGAACTGGAGAGCTGGCGCTGCAGTGGCAGGGGTTGTCACAGAAGCAGCGGCAGGCTGAGGGCCGGTAAATGTGGGCATCTTCTACACTGGAATGAGATCTGGAATTGCCAGAGATAAGCAAGATTGGAGTGCGAGGGAGAAGGCGAGGTCCAAGGACGAATGCTTGGGTTATTCAGACAACGGTGATGGCCTTCTCTTAAGATATGCGATTGACTGTGAATTTATGCGCCTCATCGCAGGGCAAAAGTATGACACACTTGCGCTCCCTGCAGGAGGATCGGGAGCTATGACTCAAAAACCCCCACCATCCACCACATGCGTCTCTCCCATCTTTCCAATTCCGCCACACCACACCGCCTTCCCTTTCTTTCGCAACCACCAAGCTCCCCTCGACAACCACAACGACGACAATCCCCCGAAACCAGACAGACGACCGCGCGCGCAGCTTCCAGAATCTCTTCCTCCACATCTCCAGCAAGCCAGCAACCCCCCACCGAAAAGCCATGTCCGACAACGTAGGCCTCTCGACGCCGCGCGGCAGCGGGACCTCGGGCTACGTGCAGCGCAACCTGGCGCACATGCGGCCGCGCGACCGCGCCGCGCCCTACCCGCCCAAGGACTTCGACCAGATGCGGCACCGCCAGCGCCAGCCGGACCAGGGCATCCTGGAGCACGAGCGCAAGCGCGAGGTCGAGGTCAAGGTGTTTGAGCTGCGGGACCAGCTCGAGGACGAAGGGTGTGTTCTGTTCTGCCGCTCTCGAGAGCTTTTTGTGTTCATGCTTCCCAGCTAACAAAACTACCAACACCCAGCATCGAAGAAGAAGAAATCGACAAGCGCTGCGCCGTACTGCGCAAGGAGCTACAGGCCAAGCAGGACAGCAACAAGGACGGCCCGCGGCGGGACCTCAAGTCGCACCAGGTGCACGAGATGGCCGACGCCAAGATCAAGGAGAGCGAGCGGCTGCGGAGCGCCCTCAAGATCAGCAAGGACTACGAGGAGGGCAGCCACTGGAAGCGGCAGGAGGACCGGCTGCGGAAGGCCCTGGAGAGGGACGAGGGCGCCGCCGAGAAGGGGAGGGGGAGGGATTGAACCTAATGGTCTTTTTTGGTATGCGATGGGCGGCATGAAAATCAGGATTGAACAAACATCGATCTGGGTTTGGGTGTATTACCATTGTTTGGCGAAGGCGTTCAGGTTAGGGTGGTCAACTCGCATGCAAGAGAACCACTAGGCCAGGGCTTTGGTTCATCGCCTTGGCAAATGTACCAGCATTTCAGTCATTTTGGCTTCATTGTTGATTTATTTCTATTTGGTCTATTCCATGCCCGTCTATGTCCATGGGTATCAATGTCAGTTAGCCGCCAATATCTCCGCCGCGTCAACCGGCGGCGCGTGATCCTCCCTGCCAGCGTTCTGCTTCAACGCCTCGGCGTGACGTTTCTCCCTATCCGCCTCCTTTTGCCTCTGTTGGCCGAGATAGGTCGTGTAGCGCAAAGTGCCCAGTGTTAGGACGGCCATGAAGATGATTCCCAGAACAGATCGACGGATCAAGATCCATCGCAAGCCTTCGATCTCGGACCTCGAATCGCTGTTGAGCGTAACGCTGATTTTCAGGTTTATTTGTTGGATCTGGAGTACGAATGTCAGTAACATATACTAAATCGAAGAGGCGAAAGACCAACCGAGCTATCCATGTGCCTCTGTTCCTCCCGGACGTTCTGCCTGCGATCATTGAACATGCCCTTGACATCGTCCTTGAGGGTCATGATGTCCTGGCTCATGCGCTGGCTCAGGATGTCGACCTCGTGCTGCAAATGTGTCCGCTGCTGGCGAGATTGCTCATCGGCGGCTTTCCTGTTCTTATGGACTTCGGCGCTCAGTTCCGAGCAGGCGGCGCGGAACAGGTATGTCTCCTAGGTAGCGCGTATGTGAGCAAGAGGACAGAAGCATCCCGATCCAACAAATCCACTCACATTGTCAACATCGCTCTTACTAATGAGCCCTTCCTGTGCGAAATCCAGGTTCTGGGCCAGCAACGCCCTGACGCCCTTCATGACCGTGATAGCCTGTTCCACAGTGTAACCGTCGTTTTGCAGCTGCTTCACAAGCGTGTAGCTGTCGAAGTGGTGTACGTATGGTGGCGTTGATATGTGTGGATGATGCGTCGCGCTCGGCGGCGGCATGTGAAGCACTGCTTCCATGGGACCGCTCGTCTGCATTCTCGCCTCTGCTGCAGCTTGCTGTGGAGTCGGAGATGCTGAGCCAGTACCTCCTGTCCCTCTTGGAGGAATGATCGTGGACTGGTCGGCCATTTGTGTCTCATCAGCAGCCTCCCCCGACTCCTTAGCTGGGGCGTCCTTGCTAGGTCCCTTTTCCTGAGCTGCTTCCTTCTTGTCTGGTGGTGGTGCTGCTTCGGAGGACGGCGCTCGAGCATCGATCTTATCCGGCTCTGGCAAATTCAAGACATCTGGCGGGACAGGCAAGGGCTCTACGGCCTTGCCATGCCTTTCGAAAACGGCCTGTCTCGCTCGAGTCGAAGTTGCAAATGATGCGGCGTATGGGTTACGTTGGTTCGACGGCTTGCGATATCGGCTCTTCGTCGTTTGTGCCGCGGACTCTCCGAAGCGAACAGCTCGGAACAGGTGAGGGTACAGAAAGGTCAAGCGAAGGGAAGACATGATTGCGAGCTCCTAAGTTCTAGGCGGCAGTACCGAGATAATGTTAGAACAAAGGAAACATGGTTTTCGCGTGGTCAAGCAGGCAAAAAGGGAGCGACGGGAGTGAGTTTAGTTCATGATCAAGCTTCGAGAGCACATGGAGGATGGACCTGCAGCACGTAGCGTACAATCGGGCCGCCCCTGTTCTGCCAGGAATTGGCTAGTACTGACGGCTGGCGTTCTCTGCCGGACCGGCCGCGCAAAACGGTAAGCGGTGCCAGCAGTGACAGTTTGCGAGTGGAGCCCGCTACGTAGCGGCGGTCACACAGTGGGGGATGAGGCCAGGCAGCCCAGGGTTGCGCCGTCACCCCGCAACCAGCCAAAGAAAAACATTTCCCAGCTCCGGACCCCGGTCAGCAGTGGCTGCAGTGCGGTGCCAGGTCATACCGTCACGCAGCCCACCGCTGCTGATCAAGTGTTGGGCTTTCTCTCAACACCAGGTTTTCTGCTCTTGAGTATTTGCTTTTTCCGATGCTCTAGCATGATTCAATCGCAAGTTCTTGCGCTTTTCCAGCGAGCATCGCCTCAATCGCATCTATCCGCATTCCATTGCAACCCTGCTTGATACCCAACAGCAGCTTGCTGCGTGCTTAGACGAACCCTTGCGCCGACGACGGGTTCTACAACAGCATTCCGAAGGAGCCGACCGCATTCTCCAATCCGCCTGTCCGCATTCCTCTCTTCGCTCCACGACATATCAACCAAGACACCGAGTTGTCCGTAACCGAGGATTGCGGCCATCATGGCGTCGGCCGATGGGCTATCGGCCCCGGGGTCGGCGACCTATGATTCGGATACGCTGACCGTTGGCGATGGCACTTGGGACTTCACCAAGAACACATTCCTGTTGCCGAACCTAGTTGGACTGAATTTCGATACCATGCAATACAATGGTAGGTTGCGTCTAGCACGCCCTTCAAACCCAAACCCGAACCCGGATCGATAATCTAACGTTGATCAGGCATGGGCAATCGCTTCTCGACACTTACACAATACCATTCATTAATAACAGGCCATGGGGTCATCGCCGCCATCACTTTCTTGTTCATCGTCCCCATCGCCGTCATGTACGCGAGGTTCCACAGAGGGGATTTGAGGAGGGTCAGACGGATGCACGCATACTTGCAGGTTCTTGCTGTTGGTCTCTCTACCGTCGTCTTTGTACTCGGGTATTTTGCAGTAGGGCCGACACGAAGCTTGACGAATCCACACCACGGTATCGGAGTCGCCATCTATACCTTGATCCTTCTCCAAGCCATCGGAGGCCGCATGGTCAAGAATATCTACAAGAAGTCATTCAGACTCATGGTCCATCGGTGGTTCGGAAGGGCCATTGGAATCCTAGGCATTGTCCAGGTCCCGCTCGGACTCACCCTTTATGGCTCGCCAAAGTTCACCTTCATCCTGTACGCTGTATGGATGGCGTTCCTTGTCCTGCTATACTTCATCCTAAGCTGGCGCCAAGACCGTCGGGATGACCTAGTCATCCCTGGAGGCCGGTCTGAAGGTGGTGTCACAGCATCAGAACGCAAGTCAAAGCATGGACACGGGTGGTTAGGTCCGCTGGCAGCAGGAGCCGGTGCTTTCGCCCTCCTGCGCGGACGGAAACGTGGAAATGAACGAAGCAGGAGCCGAAGCCGATCTCGATCACGGAGTCGCGGACCTCCAGAGGTCATTCCGTCTCGAAGGGGCTCTGCGAGTTATATGGCAGACGAGAAGTATTCTGAACGCACCGACCGCAGTGGCGGAGGATTCATGAATAAGTTGCTTGGCGTAGCTGGGGTTTTGGGCGCGGGAGCGTTGGTTAAGAGGATTGTGGATCGAAGAGAGAAACGGAGGTATGACGAGGAGTATTCAGCGGTTTCGACGGACACTCCCAGTCGGATGAGACCGCAACGTTCGCGGCTAGCTCGGAAACGCCCCGGCCCTGATGACTACACCGAATCCGAGTTCACTGAAGACCGGACCGAACTCAGTAGGAGGCCACGCACTCCATTGTTACCAGGGCCCGGCGATCCCGTTGCTGCGGCCGCGGCTCTGAGCGCTGCAGAACCTCGCCCGAGGACACCACGGCCGTCACATGCTCGACCTCCACATGCTAGACACGACAGTCATGAGGAATCAAGCTATTCGTCCTATGTCAGCCCGTCGAGGCGGGCCAGAGAGGATGATGAAGGTGGCGGTGGGCTAGGGAAGGGTCTCCTTGCTGGTCTGGGTCTAGGCTGGTTTACCAAGAAGATGAAGGACCGCCGAAGCCGAAGAGAAGAGGAGGACAGGCTGCGGTTGGAAGATGAAAGGCGGGACGGACGCCATGGCTCTAGGTTCACAGGAGACGGCTTCGGCACTCCGACACGATCATCACGACGTCGGCCATCACGAGGCGCTGCCCCAACTGCTAATACCCTCACCGAAGAGACAGGATCTTCCATGCTTGAAGGTCCTCCTCCGGGTGCTAGATATAGTGGACCTCCCATGCCGCCGCTGGGTGCTGGGTATGGCGGACCTCCCATGCCGCCGCTGGGTGCAGGAGGCGCACCACCCATTGTGCCAATCGCCGGTTCGCACTCTAGGCATTCCAGGTCAGAATCAAGATCCAGACACGATACTGCTGCAGATTCGGTTGCGATGCCACCCATGCCTCCTGACCCTCACGGAGTGTTACGTCCAATACATCACGGATCGGGAAGCGACTCGTATGCCTCTGCAGGCGGAGGACCGCACAGGCGGCATTCATCACGACGTCGTAGAGAGGCGGACAAAGCTGCAGCCGCGGCCGCTAAGAGCGCTGCAGGATTAGCTGCTGCGGAGGAAGGTACCTCGCGGCGGAGAGATCGCAGCCGCAGCCGAGCCCCAAGTCAGCCTGTCAGCGTCAAGGTGAAATACCACGACGACAGAGACAAGAATGTGACGCTACGGCGCCTTACCGATGACGAGGCACGCCGCGAACGTCGCAGGAATAGGTCAAACTCCATGAGCAGTCTCTCGGGAAGCGAAGCACCTGGCCGTCGACGGTACCGACGCAATTCCGGTTCACGTAGAGCTGCCGACGAAGCTGCAGCAGAGCGGCTAGTAGAGCCACTCTCACCACCGGCACCAGCATTTGCTGAAGGACGACGAGCAGGAAAGGACTCGGCATATTACTCGGGTCAGCCAGGTCCGTCGGGCGCAACACCCATGGCGGCACAGACTTTCTCTAGCATAGACAGTCCAGAAAGCCACGGGACATGGAGCGCGATGAGTCCGATGAGCCCGTCACCCAGTGGGCCGGCGGCAGAGCGGCCGGCAGGTTCGGCCGCGGCATCCGCTGCAGAAAGACGGAAACGAAGAAGGGAGCAGAGAAGGCCGCCTTCGGGGACGGTGGACTTCAGCTGACATTCCAGCGCTGTTCATGATTGGGCCGAAACATCATGACCGGAGTTGGGGAGTTTTCATTGCATTTTCTTTGGTTTTACATGCATGCATGGGAACCGCGCATAGCAGCTTTCTCCTCGAAGGTTGAGACGACGAATATTGGGAAATGACAGGACTCTATGGCGGAGCTGAAGCTTGAACGGCTGTAGGGATATCCAACGAGGTCCGACACATGTCTCCTTTCATGTACCGTACAAGATATAACGAAGATGTAATCATGAATGCAACTTTGAAATGGCGAGAGAAGTAGACATGAAATGTGTTACTACACGTTGGGAGGTGAAGTTGTGAAGTTGTGGGAGTCCAGCGGCTCGCAGCTGCTACCACGTGTGGCCGCGACAATCGATAAGCCCAGCCCACCTGGAATCGCGGTTCAGCATCCCAACGCGCCTTCAACTTTCCCCCCATTGCAAGCTGCCTCTGCTATCTACAAGTCGACACTTGGTTTTCTACTCTTTTTTAGATCGTCTGATCGCACGCACATCTTGTCTACATACTACCCGACCGATTGCGCATTCATATACTGAAGCCGAGAAGCAGCAGCAAACCCATCCACGGCGTGCCAACGAAACAGCCCACACACCACCCGAGCAGCGACGAAGATGGCAGAACCACCGAACCCAGACCAACAGCTCCAATCCGAAGCCGAAGCCGAAGCCGAGGCGCAGTCACAGTCGCAGTCGCAGTCACATTCAGAAGCACAATTACAACCAACACCACAAGAAAACGACATAGATGCAGCTGCGCCGACACAATCAGCGTCCCCGCCGCTGCCCCCGCGCCACACGGCACTGACGCCTGGCCCGCGCGCGTCGCGGTTCCAGGACGTCCTGGAGTCGAGCCTGGCGCACACGCTCAGCAAGCTCACCTACGAAAACCTCGCCTCCTGCTACCCGACTCTCGCCGTCGAGGCGCCGAAAGTGCTGCGCGGCGTGCAGGAGAGATTGGTGCTGAAGCTGGGCCAGAATTGTCGGGTACGTGGGATTTTTTTGGTTGCGTTCTGTTTGGCTTGGGGGAAAGGGACATGGGAGGATAGGAGGAGGGCGGGATGGAGGGAGGATGTGCGTGCGTGCTGGTTGGAGATGTGCATATGCGACGAGGATACGCGCGCCGAAGTTTGCGATGCTGTTGCGCGCCTTGGAGGGGTGTTTTTGAACCGGAGCCCCGCATCCTTGGAGTCCATGCTGACAATGTGTGATGCACCCACCTACAGGAAAGCTTCGATAAAGTCAATCGCAGTCGCGATATCGTTGCCAAGCTTAACGAGCTTGAAACTCTGGTCAGCGAGGCCGAGCGCAGAAGGGACGAAGCGGGTGAGAAGGGCGCCGAGGCCCCTATACCGTAAGTGCCCCTGCCCCTGCACCTTTTCCTCATTGTTTTGCACCCAACATGTGGAAGACACGAATGATGGCGGGGAGTGCTAGTGCACCACTTCTATTCATAAGCTGTGATGAAACTGAAGTCTTTCACGTACGACCATAGGATCAGGAGAACTTGGCATCCCGTCCGCTCTGCCTTAAATAAGCCTGATACCGCCGGATTAGTAGTTGGGTCGGTGACGACCAGCGAATCCCCGGTGTTGTACGTTTTGCATTTTGTACTACTTCTTTTTTGCAATGTTGCCATCCTTAGTCAGATGTGCTTCCTCTCCATTATCGTTTCATTTTTGACCCTTGAAATCATGCTGGAGCTCGTGCTGACTGAATCATCCCCAAGTCCGCACATGCTGCCGGCAGACGAGGTCTTGGCCGCACACCTAGCACCGCATCTAGCATTGCAGCAGTCACAACTCAACGCCAAACTGCAGACGACACAAGCACACAACGCAAGGCTGTTTGAGGAGATACAGAAGCAGCGCGCCGAGATAGAGTCTCTGGTCGGCTTCTTGGAGAAGGCATTCGAGGACATCGACGGCGCGAGTCACATGATGGATGGTGTCGTCGATGACCTGGCCAAGGAGACCCGCATGATAGAAGTTGAGATGGCTGGGTCGTGAAATTGTATGGGAAGATCTTAAAGAGTAGACATGTGAGTGGCATGACGACCAGCTAGTCCATTGACTTTGGTTTGCGCGACTGTATGATACCACTGGTTCGGCGTCCCGAGTGCCGGCTTTATACCCACGACATGCGGCGGAAACATATGTAAGCAGGCATGACAAGACTCTGATGGTATGGTTCTCTTTGCGCTCGCCCGCGCCACCCTAAACAGCAGAAAACCGCGAATCAAAGCAGTACAAGTGGACAAGGGTGGACTCTGTCGACATTGATCAGAGTTCCTGACTTTGCTGGTGTGCCTCCATTAGAGAACTATCTGGTGGGCATGGCTGCTTTCCTGCCATCCAGGTTCGTGCGACAGTTGACGCCATCGTGAACATTGATAATGGAAGGCATATGAATTCATTGTGAGAACAGATTGCGGTTTCAACTGGCAAAAAGGTAGCCAACAAGTGGACGAGGAGGGCGGCGAGATCAGCAAATCCCCCCGATTTCCATACCTTCCTTATTCGACGGGAACGACCGCCTGGTCTTCTCGTCTCCCATGTTTTCGCAACAAGGCGGCCTTTCTCGAGCTTTTCCTCGCTGAGGAAGGCGAGCTGGGGCTCACTCAAGGCGGCCCCGGCCAGATGTTCGTTGACCGCGACGGGGTTGTGGTCCTTGGTATTCGGTCATGGTACGGTAACTTATGTAGAGGGGCTTCTCGGGTAATGCCAGTCTAAACCTCGTAGAAGAAAAAGAAAAGAAAATCCTTTTCCGTCATTCTCACCGCCTGCAGCAAACATGCCGTTGAAAAGGGGGCACAGAGACACATCAAGAAGCTTAACCCTTCGCTTCATTTGACACAAGATAACTTGGGACGCATTCAGACACCCAGAACAACCTTGAATGCATAGGCGGTCTGTAACAGTCACTGCCGACGGCGTGGAAGGGGTACGCGATGGCAGCATCTCGCACGGAGAAGTATGATGGTTGAATGCCATCAAAACCTCGTAGATAATTATGATGCCCTTCCTGATTCTACCGCTCGAATGACGACGTGCTTGCGCGGTGCTGTGCCCCTGACTCTAACACCCCGAAATAGTCCGCCCACGCTGCTTGGAAACCTCGAAAGAATGCGGTTCATCGACCTCAAAAACTGTGCCGAATGCCAAGGTGGCGGTGAACGGTGATTTATCTTCTCTTGCGATGGGCGTCAGTCTCCTCCATTGTTGGATTTCTTCACATGGAGTGCAGCGATACAACAGCAAACTTGGGTGGCATTAAGAGTGGTTGACTATCTTAATTACAGCATGGCAAGGCCCATCAATAGTTCGATTAGTCTCGGTTCACTCGACGGCCTCCATCTCATACGTATGAAATGGTAGGGAGAGATCCTGCTGGTGCCGTCGTGCTGCCTTGCTCTATGCCTGGACGGCCAGCGAGCGGGAGGCTCTTCCTTGAGCTGCGGGTTTCTTAACTCGAGTAAGAGAGCCTATGGCTGTGTACATACTGATCCAGATCCCTCCCACATATCTCCCTCTTCGACCATCATATGAGGAGTCAAACACTTCAAACCAACATTCCCGTGCGCGTCACATCGAGTCTGCCACAGAAAATCTGCGTTCTGCACCCGGTAAATCGCATCCTACACCTCGCTTCACGTTGAGAGCTCCGGCTGGAGCAAAAAGCTATAGCTACGCGGAGCAAATATTGTATATCGATAGTGGCCACCTGTGCTGCCCCTACAGAGCATGTAACTTAGTAATCGCTATGAAAGGACAAAATCATCATCACATGAACAAGAAGAATTAAGGCTTCTACAGAGCAAGTATGCCTACCTGACTAATAGATCAATCGCCAAACGATTTAGGACATAAACCAAGGGGGGGCGGAATCCAAAGAGATACCCACGCAACAAACCTGGCGTTTTCAGGTAGTATCTTGGTTTCTGTGTCGCATCTCTTGGGTCGATGAAGTCTACCCAGGAGTTACCATTGAGGAGCTGGATATATGACTTGTAGAGAAAGCAACTCATGGGCTGGCGTGCAGCATTATCCGACTCATCGTGGTATGTGAATCACCACCGTGAATCATGTTCAGCAGCAGCATGTCAGTCCTAATCACCAAACCACCAAGCCTGTGATTCACGACTTGAATGACAAGAGTCCAGCATACCGCCCACAATGGCCAAGATGATCGTACTTCATCTCTTTCCAGCTCTGCATGCAACGAACAAGCATCAGTGTATCATCGTGAACCATGCTGACCATGGTCCGGCCAAATGGATACGCCCCTTTAACCCCCGCGGGCCCTACCTGTCAAGACGCCCTCTACTCCTGTCATCTTGAGTCGAGCATGGCCTCAATATTCATACATCCCGCGTAGTTAGACACACTGGGAGGAGTCTGCGCGAAAAGGGCACGGCCAATTATCACACCATTTAGGGGCATATGCCAGGGGCAGATCATCGTCAGGAGTTTGTGACATTACACTAATACATGCTGTAAGATACTTTGGTTATTGTACAATCGTACAATCCCTAGCCTAGGATTCCTATCGCCCGTCTCACTCCGTCCATGCAGATGCCCACGAGCTATAACTTTTCCAGCCATATGAATGTACAGACTCCCCACGGTGATACCATTAGCTGATGATGATGTCGATGCAGTATGCGTGCCTGCCCAAACTCAAGCCAGACCAGATGATACCTAAACGCATCTGATAGGGCCTGATTGATATCGTAAGGCACCCAAATCAGAATCCTAAACCACCCGTAACGCTGTTTGAGGAATTTTTGTCAAAGTCTCTCTCCGCTTTCAGAGGTTCCTCGGTCATCACGCTGGCACCAACTCCACTTCGGATTGTTCCTTGTCGTATTCAGAGAAATGTACTCAGGCATTGGTGGCCTGGGAAGCACCTCGACCACCCCGCGGCATTCCACCTCTGCCACGTCCCTGACTTCCAAAGTTGCCTCGACCACCCTGGCTTCCACTTCGACCATCAAATCCGCCACGTCCTCCGCGGTTCGGCATGCTGCCCCCTCGGGTAGCGGTGTAGTTGCTGCCACCATAAGCACCAGCTTTGGGACGCCGGGGCTCGACCACGATGGTCTCTCCATTGACAGTGTGCGGGTTCGCTGCCACAGCTGCCTGGTAACCGGCAGCATTCGCGAACTCGACAAAGGCACAGTTCTTTGGATCTTATTAGCTGATATACCACGATCTAATGTTTAGCTATGTAAGACGTACCTTTTGGCGGTTGATATCGAAGTAGACCAACTCGCCGTGCTGCGCCAGGGCTGCCTTCAGTTCCTCGTTCTTTACCTTGTCTGTGACGTATTTGACATATCCCATGGTACCATCCTTATCAGATAGGGGTCCAGAGATCGACTGAGGTCTGTTTTGCCTCTTCGAGTCACTTCCGGCTGTCTGCCATTCAGTAGGCGCTTCCTTAGCGGGAGTCGCGGAGGCTGCAGGTTCGGTGCTTTGGGCGGGAGCAGCGGCTGCTTGCGAGGCTGCCTGCGGGGCTGCTTGCGGGGCTGCGGGTTGAGTGGGCGCAGCAGAACGGGCGGTTGTGGGCGGAGTGGCGGTTTTTGGGAGCGGCACAACAGGCCGGGGGCCTGCGGCGGCGGCAGCACGGCTGGCCCATGTCATGGGCTTCGGCGGTCCAGGGGGCGCGGCAACTGGGGGAGCCGGCTTGCGAGCTGCGACGGGCGTCGGGGCCGGGTCGGTAGGCTTTTCAGTCTCCCTGATTTCCTCCTCGGCGAGCTCCTGTGCAGTGACCTCGGGGTCGGGGGCGGCTTCTTCGACTGGCTTGCTCGCGGTCTCTGGAACTGCGGGAACTTCCTCAGCAGAGGTCTCGGCAACCGAGTCGCCATTCGCCGAAGCAGTATCCTCGGTAGTGGCTCCAGCCTCCTCTAGCTTCTGGTCGATGACACCAGCATCGAGCGAGGCGGGTTCTTCCGCGACCGATTCAGTCTCCGCTAACTCGGGTTCTTCCTTGACCTCTGCTGGAGCAAGGGCGGAGAATTCTACCGAGCCGCCCTCCGTGGGCCGTGCGGCTGCCTCAGTCGACTCCTCGTCGCCATCCTCGTCAATATATCGGAGTATGTCGTTCAGGACGAAGTATCCGGACGGTTGCTGAGCGAGGACGAAAGTCTGGACGAACTTTTTGGGGTCACCAGCTTTGTTGGAGGTCTCGCCGATAACTTGGATGACGATGTTTTCAAAGGACGCCTGAGAGTCGACGTTGGAAACTCGGACCTTGCAGTCTTGGAAGTCGAGCTCCTTGATGCGCTCTTGAATCGTCTAGACATTGCATTAGTAATTTTTTGACAGTGCCGTTCCAGGATAATTCGGGCAAAACACACCTGTCTACCAACGGAAACGTTGGCGACCTGGGCTTCCTTTCCATAGACGAACTGAGAACGCTTTCCGTAAAATAGCTAGGAACCTGTTAGTTTTATGGACACACGGTATGTAGTCATATCCAGGCTAATACTCACGTGAAGCTTCTCAGGTGTCTTGCTCAGGGTGGTGTAGTATTGCTCGACGAAGAACCAGGCCACCTCATCCTTGCCAAGGTTGTTACCCGAGGTGCTGTTGCTGGCCTGGTCGACAGCCGGGGCGGCGGAACCAGTTGATGTGGCAGTCGAGGCGGGACCGAACTGGTCGGAGTGATTAATATTACCGTTTGTGGCCATGGTTGCGCTGGCTTCGGGCGTGGTGGAGGGATTGCGCTCGGTGGAATGGGAGGGGTGTGTTGTCGCCCAACGGAGGTGTGGTTTGATGGGGTGGCTGCGGCTAGAAAGCATGTCAGAGTGAAATTCGCGGGAAGTATGTTGTGTGCAGCACAAGATTAACAGATACGAACCTTTATTCAAATACCAGACCAGAGACCCAGGCAAGCGGAACAAATATCACCAGGAGAGGAAACACCGGAACGCTAAGCCGAATAGAAAGAGAGTCGCAACTCCAAATGAATGGTAATCCGCAGACTGCGAGCGAAGAAGAAAAGCCCCGAACAATGGATGGGTGGATGGAGGTAGAAGGGGGTGGAGATCGAGAAGCCGGACGATCTGGGAGCTTGGAGAAGGGAGGAGGTGCGAGGGAGGCACAAGGACACGGATGAATTATTATTGGGGAACGCGACGGCGCGCTGTCGGAGGGAAGGCAGCTGAAGCTGAAAAGGATTGCGATGCAGCTATCGATCGGGCAGTCGGTCTATTACGGTTTCAATAGACCAAGGGCGACAATGGCAACAGTGGTGGGTAGAGATGGACGTAGAGGTTTTGAGTAGGTAAGGTAGCTTGCTGTATGACACAAAACGACGAAAGTGGTGGCGACGCGAGACAGTCTTCTATTTTGCCGTGCGACTTTTCAAGAACTGGAGGGCGCTCGCTGGCCAGAAAAAGTCTGGCTCCGTTCCTCCAAGCTCTAAGGTTGAATTGAAAATCGTAAAAAACTGGGGACTGGGGACTGGGAGTGGGCGGGTCGTGCCCCGGGGCGAGACTGCTGACTGGCTGACTGGAGCTCGAGGTCACCTGCCCAGTGCGCCGGTTGGAGTCCTGGAGGTCTGCCAGTGCCCGCTCACCCGGATATTTGTCGGCGTTATCTCCAGGCTGCTAGTTAATTGGACCCCTGGCCCTAATCAAGCAGGAGCTCATCACTGATCAGGACCATCAACTCCGTCCGACTTCCCTTCCCCTCCTGTCTGGTGGGAATTCGTACAAGTCGAGCATTCCCATGCAATCAATTGAATGCTCAGCAGGAATGGTACCCGACTTCATTCATAGAGTTTTGATGTTTATATATGTATGGTTCGGAAGACAGTTGCTTGGATGGACTTGACCAAGGAAGCTTACCACCGGGGATATCGGCGTGCTCGTCCCGTCTCCATTGCCGATCTTTGGCAGGACATTGAATTGATATGAGCCGCCATGTATCGGGACGTGAACAAGGTACCCCCGACCTAGCTTCCAGTTCCATCTGGCATGGTGGTTATTCAATCCAGCAAATCCCCAGGGGCCAGGGTCGAGCTAAGAACCAAGAGCTTGCCTTTCAAGACAGGAAGGAAGGAAACGCGGAAGCCCTGGTCTTAGGACAGAGGTTGTACAGGTAGATTACTTGATGCTCCATAATCAGGTATCGTGGTTAGGTATCGTGGTTGTTGGTCCGCCCCTTGCTTGTGCCTGGACTCTATCTGGGACTTAAGCGTTAACCATATTTATCACAGGTAGGTCGGGAGTAATGCGGGCCGTACTTCATATAGCTCGCTTGAAGGGCGATGGACATTCGTGAGATCATCCATTGTTTGTGTCTTTCGGCTATGATCATCTTCAATGCTCGCTCGCTGTCTAACAGGCCTTTGACACCAGGCCGTGGAAAACGATACGGTTGTTCCGAGGCCAAGCATGAGAATCAGTCGTATTTGCGGGTACTGTGCCTTCCAGGAACATACACTCATCTCTAAGAGCTAGAGAATACGCCGACCCTGGGACGATAATCTTTGGTCTTACGTGGGCAGCAGGAGGTTGAAGGCCTCGAGTAAGAGGCTGCTAACATTGAAGGTTGTTGGTAAATACCTGGGGGATCTCGATTAGATGCAGAGTCGGTCTTTCATATATAAGGTTTATATCTTGGAGGCTCTCCGTGCCTGTCAGTCCAGTTTCTAGTTCAAGTTTGTCGAGTGTGTGTACACATCACCCCTGTTAATCTCACAAACAGGCTCACATTTGATATAGCATAGGTACCTATCGATAGCAGCATTGCATTTGCTTGTACGATTTTAAGTGCTCCAAACTTTTGCCGTGCTGCATGAAGTTTGTGGAAAGTTGGCCGGAGCAAGAGCCGGCGAAGGAGAGCATCGCCAAGTGCTCCGTCAAGCCTTTTCACCGCAAACCAGTGAAAGGGTAAGTGACCGTGGTCCTTACTGTATGTTTTCAGCAATTAATCAACAGTGAAGCGTCAGCGATAATTGGAATCACTTGACGGTCTGTGATCTGGCACTCAATTCAGGTTGGATCCGAGAGAGAGGGTGCTGCATCAACACGCTCGTCGACAGCATTAGGTATCTGCCTGGTAATTATCCATCGACACGACGAGAACTCCGCACTTCAACATGCCATGTCGTGCACCCCGAGCACTCACCATTGTAGTGCAAGACCATTGTTGTGCAGGAAATCCAAAATTTGCAGGTACTGGACCTGCACCCCTTTAAGTGCACAGGCTGTAGGTAGGCAGGCACTGAACTGGAAGGAACACTGGATGAAGACCTCCCCTGGCTCCGGGAGCAAACAACTGCAAAACCTTCGTCAAGCAGGCTGGGAACCGAGAAAGATTCCGGACCTGCAGTCTCTCTCCCCGCCTGCTGGCACCATCACAAAACCAAGAACCCTTCTTCGAGCTTGGACAGCGCAACGCGTAAGTTCAACACACCACCTCGACGCGCCGCCCGCGATTCAACCAGCCCAAGACGATTGTGAGTAGATCTCTGTTTCTGCAATCAATCATCCCAATAACCAGCGTCCTCCTTCCTTGCAGATCGACCACTGACTCGGCACCAATTGCTCCAGCTCGGGTGCCTCCAACCCGCCTGCACGACCCTCGATCCCGACACAACACCACTACAACAACACCTCCAAATTACCTTCATCCTCGCCGCCACGATGCCTGAGTGCGGCCATGGTGACTACCCGTACTGCGGCCTCGTCGGCTTGCCCACGATGTTCTGCTGCGAAAAGTCACACGACTGCCTCGCACTCGCCGACAACACCACGATGCTTTGCTGCCCCGGAGGAGCCGACTGCACGCATATCAGTCCCATCACCTGCGACATTGGCATGCAGGATGTCAATGCGGACCCCTTCAACATGGTACCAGAGATCCAGACGATCGACTTCGAGGGACCACTGCCAGCGTGCGGGAAAAACGGATGTTGCCCCTGGGGCTTCCATTGCGAGGACGACAGCCGATGTGTGATGAACGATGACCAGTCCATCAAACCACACCCCGAGAATAACCCCGACGCTGCCACTGAAACCTACTTTCCGCCTTCATCGACTGGGCTGACCACTGACACCTACATTCCGCCTTCGTCGACCGAGACTTTCTTCTCGACCGTGTCGGATTCCCCTTCGAGCACATCGACCCGGACTTATGTCTCGCTCGTGTCGAATTCACGTTTGGGCACAGCGACTGTCACCGTCCCTGCAGATACCAGCCTACCTACCGTCAAACCTGTCGATTCTGTCGCACCTGTCACCTCGAACCCGGCTGCGCAGCCTTCGGAAAGCCACTTGAGCACTGCCATCATCGTCGGGATCGCTATCGGCGGATTTGTCGCTATCCTCCTCGTTGTCCTGCTCGCATTTCTGGCCCGACGCCGCCACAAATCTAAGAAGAAGGCGATAAGTGGTGCGACGCGCGAGAAGGAGACAGGACCCGCTGCCGAGGGCCTGCTGGACGCAAAGGGAAAGCCCGCGGAGCTCCCTGTGGTTGAGGTCACGAACGAGATTGGAGGTACCGAAGTCGCACGGCCGACCGCGGTGACCACCTCAGCATCCGCACAGAGATACGAGTTGGAGTGATCTGGATGCGTGAACTATTCTCGATCTTGATGGGGCTCCCGTTCGTGGGTGAAGGTCGATCTGCCATGGTTCAGGTATGTTTGAGACGTATAGGGTCACAAAGAGTTCCTCGCTGATAGTAAGCAGTTACGCCTACAGATTCTTGGACGATGCATTCTCCTTTCGCGAACTCTCACGAGGAACCTGGGTTTGGTTTCGCTGCCGGCTAAACCACAGCCCACGAGACCGTGAGGACCCTATGCTGAGCAGATCTCTTCCTAGAAGGACGTTTCTACTTCGAGAGTATATACCGAAAGCTTGGCTTGAGATGAGATGGAGGTCTGGTGGATTGTGGTCAGGATACTACTGGCACTCAACGTCAACATCGACACCGGAGGTGATCTTCACCTATATAGGTCTGAGGAATGAGCCTACCTAATCAACAACTTTCTGAAAAACCTTCGGCGAGCTTTGGTCGTCCTAGTATGTGATGGACATTGTGTCTACATATCTGTCAAGTATGAGCAAAAGCACTGTACGAAAACAAGTATTCATGAGCACCAGCCACTGAGGCGCGTATAAAGTGACAGTATCGTATTGCACATGAACGGGTGGTTGGGACATTCCAACCATTGCCCTACCAAATGGACACGAACGGGGAAGCAAGCAGGGAGGAGACAACACCCACACACCCCTAGGATCCCGCCGTTGTTAGGCTAGGGGAGTGAGTACTCATTACCACGTGGGCTCGGCTCACCTCATCAAGCGCACACTAGCCCAAGCGGGTCTGAAACGACGAGTATGCCTCATTGCCTCGTGCGTAGGTATGTAAGGGGTAAAGAGTGAGGTGGCAACCAACAGACCGAATCGTCGTCACACCGCCGGACCCTCGGTCATCACACCTAAAGTCCGAAAGCCCGTCCCGAAACCCGCACACGTGGAACCGACCACGCAACGATGCCGCTGGCGGCTGGACTGTGCCCGGAGGGTGGTAGTGTCCGGGATTAATCTGTAGTAATCCAGGCACCAAGTAGGTAGGTAGGTAGCATCGGGAGTTCTTGGCCTGCCTATCAGGGCGGGATGGCATCCTCAGCTGCTCGCTGGGCAGGAGATTGACGGGAGCGAGACGGCCAAGGATGCCAGAGTGATAAGGACCAGGCCGTTGGGTTTTGGATGCGAGTGCGAGGATTCGTTGGCCTCAGTCTCGTTGCGGGACGTGTCTGAGGGATATGGATCAATGTATATCCAGGAGCAGCGCGTAGTAAGGTATCGTGGATGTTGGGCAATGGACCGACTTGTGATGCGATTGCGATCTATCTACCACGAAGTTGTACGAGCTGCGCTGCGCGGTCCCGGTCCCGAGTGTGGAGTGTACGGAAGGAAATCAGATTATCTGATAATTCAAGTGGTTGATAGGTAGCATAGCCTACATATAGCCCCAACATCAGCAGCGCCCGTCCAAAAAGCCCGCATCGTGATGGAATTTGAGATAAAGTGAGGTTCGAAAGCTGACCGGACGGGCGGGGCCATGTGGCGTCGTTGTTGGACTGATATTGTGGGGGATCGAAACCGAAGCGAGGGAGCCAGGAACGATACCGAGCAAGCGATACCGAGCTGGTCTCACTCCTGAGTCCTGGACCCGCCCATGGACCCGGTGGTGAAGCCCCCTTAGGCCAAGACTCCTGTCTCGCAGGTGCACAGCCTCCGGGGTTATATGGATGTCATGGTTGGCGGTTTGTGCTTTGTTGTTGGTGATTAGGTATATATGAATTGATTTGTATTGTTTTGATATGTTCCTTTTCTTCCCGATCTCTCTCCTCATCTTGCATCTACCTACTCGTTTGTTCGTTTGGTTCTCTCTTCTCGTCTCGTCTCTTATTATACCCATTCTGCGTAGACTTTCTTGTCCCAAGACCGAGTCAATAGATCTTTTCGGTTTCAATACTAGATCGATAGACATTTCTTCCCATACCAGATCGCTAGACATTGCTTTCCTTCATCCATATATTTCCTCTGCTTCACAACACACACCACACATCATGGCAGTCAAGGCCTACTACCAGTACGACCCCTCACAGCCGGCGGCCATAGCCGTCTGCGCCCTCTTCAGCGTCAACTTCCTCATCTCCAGCTACGTGACCTTCCGGAAGAGAGCCTGGATATGGCTGGTGATGCTCGTGGGGACATTGCGTAAGCTTCCGTCCCATGCCCTGGATGCTGGATCGATGTGGTCGAACTGACAGACGCCCGCAGTGGAAGTCATAGGGTATGGAGCGCGGATCAAATCTGTTACCGAGATCACCGAGAAATCTCTCTACATCGCTCAATTCATCCCCGTCGTTCTGGCGCCCGTCCTCATGACTGGCGGGATTTATGTTGTCTTCGGCCGCATCGTCTTCCATGTCGTGCCTCCTCGGGACCGAACAACGAAGCTTCTTTGGGTCCCATGTGGGTGATCCCCATGCCCTGTCGTCTCGATCTATCGTCGGCCTAACAGTTGAGCAGCTCGATGGATCACGCCCATCTTCGTCACCTTCGACGTAGTCTGCCTGATCCTCCAACTCGTCGGAGCCGTCATCGTATCCGGCACAGACCTGTCGGCGGAGAACGCCCAGGATAGGCTTGATAAGGGCAGGAGTATTGCTCTGGGTGGTCTGGGCCTGCAGATTGCTGCGTTCGGCCTCTTCTCCGTCGTTGCTATTCGATTCCACTTCACCTCTCGACGATTCATCCAGGGTCTGCTGGCGAGACTTGGGAAGGCGGATGGCGAGAAGCGTGTCTTTGTCAAAGGGTCTAAGCAATGGATCAACCCGCACTGGAGGCGTCTCCTGTACACCGTCAACGCGGCGTGCCTATTGATCTTGGTACGTCGTTTCATCCACATAGGTCTTCGATTTTGCCAATCTAACCATACTGTATAGGTTCGGTCCATCTACCGTGTAGTCGAGTTCGAGGAGGGTCCAATGGGTGAAGTGAAGTCGGTGGAGTGGTAGTGAGTACCTCAAACCCAAGGATCGCAGCGTCATGAGCTAATACAGCGACTCCAGCGTGTATGTCTTCGATGCGCTGCCGATGTTCATCGTTGTATGTGCCTTCAACCTCTTCCCCCCCAGCTCTTATCTTCCATTCATGGGATTTCGTGTACCCGAGCAGCACGACAATGCGCCATCGGAAATCACAGAGGAATCTTCGATTGTACTGCGAGAACAGGTGTAAGACACTGTCCGAATAGCGAGTATATCTGGCCTCGCTTAGTCAGATCAAAGGTGAGGCGGTCTAGAAGTGCAGTCCGACACGATTCGACTGCGACGTTCCACCTTAGGGCTCGGGATTTTTCCTGCATTGGTCGGTTTCCAAGTCCACCCTTAGAAATTAGAATCGCGAATGTAGAACTTTAACAAAACATCAGTTGACCTTCATCGGTTGAATAAAAATAGTCAGTGGTCATCATCGCGCTTCTGAGACGAGACGCCAGGAGGCTCATCCAATCCCATCATCGCGATTTGAATTCGTTGCAAGGGTCATATCAATCTTCAAACGCGTTGTGAGAAGAAAGTAGCGTACCAATCACCAAGTCGAAAAAGAACCAGCTACCATGGCCATATTGTGTTTCGGGTTGTGTCGTCCGCTTGGTCTTGCCCTGCCAGTTCCCCCTGCTAGAGCGCGTTATGTGCTGATCTTAAGCCATTGTACCTGTTTGTCGGTGACATCGGCGAACGGACACCGAAGACTCCTTTCCAACGGGCGTACCTCTGCGTTGGTAATAATAAGTCGAAGAATTATAGCCATCGTTTGCGTGGCAGATGAGTCCGACTTCATCAGGGACGTGAAACTTGACAGCTGCAACCATGTCAATGTCGGTGCATGGGGCAGCGTGCAGTGTCAGCCTCCAGGTCATGTGCCAACGTGTACTCCGTAGGCCGTCGGTCTGTTGGTCTGTCGGTCCCGACTGTCCACGACTGCCACGGTGCAGGCCGACGGCATCTCGGAGTCGGACAGATATCATCCCCTCTGATCCCAATCCTGGTCCTGGTCCTGGTCCTGCAAGCTACCAGGATGTGGAATCCCTGATGATGCTCAGCCTGCCAGCTTGACGTCTCCATCGCGGGACGACATGTCAGATTTTCTCGAGCAAGTCGCACCCGATAGCATGCACCGATAACGGCGAGATGACCTTGTTGAATGTTTGTTCTCTCAAGGGCACTCTGCGGAAAGATAACTGTGTACCGGGATTGAGATCGGAACCTGCCCTGGATCACACCGAGCATCGCATGCTACCTACCGTGGTGCTTTTTTGCCCGGGTCCTGCCTCGGCAGGTTCCGTGGAGTGGGCTGCCCTGCCCTGGCTGTTCTGATTGCCTGGCTGCAGCATGTCGTCGGGGTCTCTGGCACGCCTCCGAGTGGCCGCAGTCTCGTGATCCCAGTCCAGGAGATTAGGAGGACAGTGTACTGTGTGCATCAGGTTCAGCGATCAGCTGGAGTGAGACCTATCAAAGTGCATGTTGATGAGGTGACGGGATGATAGTTGAGATAGTGCGGACTTCTACTTGCGTATACGTGGAACGGGGCTCCGTACTGGACTGATTGATAATCGACGTCGACTGTCCTTTTACGGCACCTGAATGCATGTGACCCCCACTAATAAGAGCATACCTCTTGCTGGGTGGTCACGTGCCCACGGGCCTAGAATTAGAATTCCCCGCTCAATATGATAGCAGCTAGACAGTTCTCCATCCCAAGTACAACCTCTTATTCCCAATCTTCGCATGAGTCTAACAACACTTTCACCTACATAGTAGGGTAAAGGAACTGGGCAGGAACTCTGTGAAATATGTGAACTAACGGGCGGTATAGAGTTGCAGACCAGTGATAGTTGGACATGAACCCTTCTCGGTGTCCAAAATGGCTGCACATGTGGTTAGCAACTCGCCAACCAAACTTGGATTGGAACTGGTTCGGGTTCTCTGCGTGCCGCTCTGAAATGGTAAAACAGCGGGTTGTTTTGGTACTACCCTAACAATTACCTGGTACGCGCCGCGACTCCAGTACGGGCGTTATGCCGCCACCGACCCTGGCAACCTTAGTGAGGTCAACCTGGTTGACCCTGCTTGGCATCATTGATGTCTGTCAACGCTGCATTCCCGTCCACCTGCACTCCTCATCCACTCCCATTTGGAGTCACACCGGTCTGTGGTCTGTCAGTCTGTCAAGCGTCAGCGGTATCTCGGCGATCAACAGCGATGACTCAAAGGACCAAAACTATGCGAGTCTGCACGACTACTTCCCGATCGTCAGTCCCCTCGTCGAGTCGTCGCTCGAGGCGTATCCTGTATCCCGCCGTCACTGCCGTCACTGCCGCACCCCCAGCCCCTGTCGTCCCCTGTCGTCCCCTGCCATGGCTGCCATGGCTGCCTACCCTGCTGCACTGCTGCACTGCTGCACTGCTCCCCTGCCGGCATGCCAGCATTACACACACACATACGTGCTAGCAGTACATACAATGTACATGAGTGCTACACTTACAGGGTGGAAAGAAAGCGGGGAAGTTCCCTTCTGGCGGGTGCCTGTCTTCGGTTTTTCTATTTTTCTCTTTTCTCCAAGCAGGCCGATACCGTCTTATTAATACGTCTACGAGAGCACCCTCTAAGTAGAGATCTCCATCTGGCTACGTTGGCAAGAAAATTCGGAGATTGACCAGATCTGCGGTGCAACTTGTCTGATGGATACTGGCGAGACTGGCCGCCAACACCACCTGCACCTGCACTCCACGACCCCGTAGCGGAAATACCGGTAGCCACCTGCCAGGCGCTCCCCGAGAGAGAGGCGAGAGCCCAGGAGCCCCAGCCGATTCACAATACCTCGGCGTGCTCGGTCTGCCCTCTTCCACTTTCGACTTCTAATCACCAACCTGTCTTCATCTAGCACCTGCAATACCTAGACAGGATTGAGGGTCTTTACTTCACCTGCCCTGCGCTTGGAGTTTGATGGTCAGCATTGAGAAGCCACTCGCTGCCGCCTGTGCCCACCATTGATTGTGGCGCGCGAAGCCCGTGCTTCTATTCTCACGCAGAAGTTTGACCAGGTATTCGTGCAACATCCATCCGAAAAGTCGTGTGAAGCCATCCACCCGAGCGCCTGGACGAAGTTGTTGCCAACTCGGGCATCGGTTGGAGGAGGAGGAACTGACCAGGACCGGCCGTCTTGCCACATCATGCCCGCTCCTTTGGCTCTCCACACGATCTCGACGAACTGCTTTCCGCTTTTGATGCCCGGCAGCAAGCAGCAGCCTTAGTGCCGACAAAGGCTTGTGGACGCAGGCACAGGGTCTCAGGCGCACTGCCGACCCCAGGTCCGCGACAGCTCGACTCGACAAGTCTTCCGATTTGCTCATCTGGATCTTGCATTGAGTACTGGACTCGCTAGCGTCTCTGCGCAATGGTCTATTGTGGAAAGGCGTCTCAAGGCTGCCAGAGCTGTCGGACCAGACGTATCAAAGTGCGTACCGGCCATTCCTCTCTGCCTCTTTATCTACTCCCATGATCTTCCTGTATCGATCTTCTCGTTAGCCAAGACTATACACCCGCTGCCTTACTTCACTCTCACGCAAGTGGCATACCCGGCGCCATGAGCTCGGATTACGAAGCTCGCTTGCCTACGTGACTTGGGTCTGCCTTGTTACTTCCGGTCATCCAGGAAGCCGCTTGGCTAACATCTGGTCTGCAGTGCGACAAGAAGAAGCCAGAATGTTCGCAATGCATTCGGGTGAGCAAGAAATGTCCCGGATACCGAGACCAGCTGTCCCTGATGTTCCGAGATGAGAGCACCAAGGTCATCCAAAAAGCCCATGCCCAATGGGGCACTTCTGGATCTCCAATCGACGGTGGGCAAGGCTCGTCCTCGGGCTCGCCTTCTAGCCAAACGTCCTGGTCTCCTAGCTTTCCCTTGGCTCCGGCCAGCGAGACGCAGAGTCCTTCCGCCGAGTATCCAGCCTCGGCCACCTCGACGACATCCCATTCAATGATCCCAGTGAAGCTGCCTCGAAGGGTAGAGCCTAATCTCGACCAACGAGGGCTCTCATTCTACATAAATCGCTACCTCTTGAATCATCCAGACTCGCCGAGGACGTCAGACGACCTGGCCACATACTGCAATGATGCGGACGCCTCGCAAAGCGTCATGATCGCAGTGGGGCTTGCCGGCATGTCAAATCTGTTGGGGAACAAAAGCATGAACTTGACTGCGCGCTCGAAATACGTCACGGCTTTGAAACAGACTGGGCAGCTCGTCGCCAGCGGTGGGAACAGTTTCGCCGCCATCTCGAAGCCATTGAGATCGATTATCATCTTGGCTCTATTTGAGGTAAGTGATCGCCCCTGACTAGTACTTATACACGTATAGAGTGCTCACAAGGTACAGGTTGTTCAAGGCAAAGGCTCAAAAGTCAGCCATGGCTCTGCCAATACCCATATCAATGGTGCCGTTGCTCTTTTGCGATCCGTTCTACCCGTCCCCGGCGCGCCTAATGGCGGTGCCCGTGGCGTACTGCAGTTGATGTTTTCCATGGTACGCCTCTTGGCCCCCTTCTTTGTCTCCTTCCTTCGCATGCTAACAAAAAGCAGTTCATTCCCGCCCATATGACCGACACGCCTTTGCCGCCGGGATTCTTCGAGTGCCTCGAACTCTGTAAACAACTGCTGCATGGGATACCAGAGAGTTGCTGTGTTGATTTGGCATTGGTTATCTCCCGCCTCCTTCAGCTGATATCTTTGACTGAGAACACAAAATTTGCAGATGAGCGGCCCAACACGAATGACCTGATACAGCAGCTCTTGATGCTGGAGAACGTATACGATGGACTAGAAAGTCGACTACTGGAAGCATACCCTTTCACGGTGAACCGCGGGGATTATCCGGCCGAAGCCGTGTTCCGCGGGAAATGGCACTCCTACAGTGAGCTGTGGGGTGCCCGGTTGTGGAACCATTACCGCTGGGCTCGTATCCTCCTCAATCAGATGATCGTCAAGTTCACGTTCGACTACCCCCACTCAAGCAGCAGATTGATATCGCCGGGGCAGCGGATACGGTGCTACGCCGTCTTGGAGAGAATGGCCGAAGACATCCTGGTCAGCACCCCGTCGCACTGGCACCACCCCATCGTCGATACCCCGACGGCGCAAATATTCGAAGCTGTTGGAGCCGGTGGCGCCGGGGCCGTCGGTCTGCCCAGTCTACTCTGGCACGTCGCCACAGCCGGCTGTGCGCCTAATGTCCCTCCCGAGTTCTGGCAGTGGTCGTACGACATGTTGCAGGTCGTGTGGAAGGACATGGGGATGCAGCACGCCGTGGCGCTGTCCGATGTCATGAGGGAGCATCGGGCTAAGCTCGATAAAGAGGCACTGGGCACAATGATCAAAGTCGAGGACGAGGAGAAGGACTGGTGATGGAGACCAGGGGAATAGATGGACGGGTAGACGACGCGACAACGGCTTGTAGCATTAATTGCATGGACCTCCGTGGCACGGAGCAACGGAGACTGTATCATCACCGGACGGCGTTTTCTGATTTAGGCACGGCGGAGTATAAAGCACAACTGGCTGGATGCACATTTACAAGCGACACATGTAGCATAATCTATCACCTGCAAAATACAGTAGTAGTAAGGATTCTGATATACATGTTCTATACGTTATGTATCAGTGTGAAGATATTATAATACAATCCAAATGCAACTACTACATGGTAACAAATCTCTTAGATTCCCAAGATTATATGTTAGATGAGATAGAAGGCTCCGCCAGCCAGAGCCAAGGCGGCGTAGACGAAAGAGGAGAACTTCTGGACGGCGGCGACGGCGGCGCCAGTAGCGACGCTGGAGCTGGCCGCAGGGCTGGAGGAGGTACCGGAGCCGGAACCAGAGCCAGATCCAGAGCCGGAGCCGGAGCTGGAGCTGGAGCCGGAGGTCGAACTACTAGTCGGGGTGGCGCTGGCGCTCATAGTGCCGTTGGAGAAGCCCGTAGCGGAAGCAGATCCGGACTTGAGGGTGGAGGTAGGCTTGCTAGAGGCGGACGCGGACGCGGAAGAAGAGCTGGTGGAGTTCTCTTTGGGGCAGGAGAGGTCGAAGCGGGCCTTGGTGCTGAGCGCGTCGGTGATGCCGAACTTCATCTCGTTGGCCGAGTTGGCGTCCTGCAGCGTGTACCAGAAGGCGGTGGTCTGGCCGAAGAGCTTGCGGCAGCCGACCTCGTCCCAGTAGGTCTTGGCGTTGCTGACGGTGGCGGCGGCCTCGTCCCAGGTCTCGCCGACGTAAGGCCAGCCGGTCTCGGTCACCCAGACTGGGGTCTTGCCGGCGACGGCCAGGACGGTGTCGTAGGCGCGGTCGAAGAGGGCGGCAGCGTTCTTGATGCTGTTGCCCTGGCCCGTCTCGTAGTAGGGGAACTCGTTGACGCCGATGAAGTCTGCGGCCTCGATGACGGCCTTGGCGCTAGAGTTGGACCACGCGTCCCACGTGTCGACGTGGCCCACGGGGATGCTGGACAGCGGGGTATTGGCGAAGGCTTTCTTGAAGTCGGACATGAAACCGAGGATGACGTCCGGGCCGGCGCCCGTGCCCGCGTCGTTCTTCCTGCCCGTCGCGCCGTCGCGGTAGAGGTCCTCGCTGCCGATGGAGATGCCGATGACGAGGTCGGTGAAGGCAGTGCCGTGGTTATTGACGGCGGTGGTCAGGGCCGTGATCTCCTTCTCGATGCTGTCGGTGCCCGAGGCCCAGACGCCGAGCAGCAGGTGGGTCTGGGTGTCGATGGCGGCCTCGAAGGCCTCGATGGGGTCGACGTCGGTGGAGCCCTGGATGTTGGTGTAAAGGCGAGCCGCGTTGAAGTCGCCAGGGGCGTTGACGAGGTTCTGGGCAGTCTTGAACTCGCCCGCGAAATCGGCCTTGTGCTTGACCGAGTTGTCGTCAAAGAGGGCGCCCGTGTTGAAGCCCAGGTAGTTCTTGTCGGCCGCGGCGCCCGTGGCGAGAGCGCCGGCAGCAATAGCGGTGGACGAGAAACGCATGATGATGGTTTTGGTGGTGGCAGCAAGGTGCGGGAAAAAAGAATGACGAGAAAGAGCGTGTGTTGGTCTGTTGGATGCTGATAAAAGAGCGACTGTTCCAAAGGATGGAATGAAGGGAGAGACCGTGGTGAATGAGAGAGGGAAAGGAGGAAAAGAGGATAAAACGGGCTTGCTCCTTGTGATGAATGGAGATGGAGGTGCCCCAGGGGCCAGAGCAGATGGCCAGAGCAGATGGGAGGCCCAGAAGCTGAGCTGGGCCCCTGGGGATGCTGGGATGGCAGGGATAGATTGAATGGATCGTGGAGATTGGACAGTGGAGGTGGTGGAGGTGGAGCGCGGTGGAGACGCGTTATAGCTGAGAGTCTTGCGGGGGCTGTGCAGCTGTGATTGGTACATTGGTCTCATGAAGAATAAAGGGGCATTAAGCACGTGATTACCGGCACTACAGTATGTTTCAAGTTCTTAGTACTACTACTAAAGGACATTGATGCAAAAACATGGCATCATCTGACTGATCCCGCCTGCTAGCCATAGCTGGTGGCCACCAAAGACTTCATGTTGGTCGTCCCAAACATGGCGAAGGAGATGCAAAGAAGGACAACGTCAGCTCCCATCTATCACAGATACCTGCGAAAAAACCCGGCTTCCTGCATCTGCCAGGAGAACTTCGTAACGTCATCTACGAACTCGTAACCGCCACACATACCATCAGAGTTATCTCCAAAGAGAAGAAGCAAGGTCCAGGGTTGGTAGGGAGACATCCGCTCTCGCTGGCTTGCCGGCAGACCAGGAAGGAGTTTCGCGGCATCTTCGCCGCTCATGCTTCGTACCTCTCATGCAACGGGCCGCTCAACACCGCTGTCTACGACTTCCACTTTGGGCCTCTCCTCGACTTTCTCGGGAAACACCCAGCTCCAGATCCCTCTCTCGTGCGTACAGTGAGCATTCGACTCATCCTTGAGAAGCTCATGGGTGGGGAGTGACAAGGCCAATTACAGCAGTGGGTTCAGCACGTCTCATACGCTGATGGACTGCGCTTCAAGGTCAACAAGCGGACGTACGAGATCAACTACACAGTTGTCGCACCGAGATCTTACCATGAAGTCAACGGAAAGTGTTGCTTTCAGCTCGTGCAGCAAATGTCTGTCGCGCCCATCTACCTTCGTGGCAAGCCGAAGGGGCACAGGCGCGCACTGGAGGGGCTCAAAGATGCAATCATGCTGGATCACAACAACTGCATGGCGTCTCGCCGAGACGAGTCGAAACCGGCTCGTAAGCCCATGAATCCCAAGAAGGCGTAAGAACCAGAATCGGCAGGTCTGGCACAAAGAGTCCAAAGAAGAGTACTGCCTGGCGCTCGAAAGTAGGTACAAAGACTACAGGCGAGAAGTGCTGCAAGTTCATTACTGACAGAAAAGTGTATAGGTAAACATTATGATATTAGGTATAAAAACTATCCCACATGGGGGGCTGTCCCACATCTAGGTCCCGCCGTTATGAAAGAAGTAAGAGTAGCACCCTCGGGTTCTAAACCGGAAAGGTAGTTCAAGAGAAAAAGACAGAAAGAGAATACTCCCCAAGAAATACTTACCTACTGACTGAGATGCTCAGTTCCAATACGCGTAGGCCGGCGTTGCGTCAGGGTTCACGGCCTCGTAAATCCTCCACGTCTCGCCCAGGAGCCCAAAGTTGATAAGCGCAGGCGGCTCGTCCGGCGTATAGAAAAACGCGTTGACGGCTTCCCAGACATACTCCGGGTAGGCCACCGGCCGTCGATTATATTCCGTCTCAGTCCGAGTCCGACCGAGGCTCTCGGGGCTGTCGGGGTAGCCGTTGGCATCTCGCCACCTGGGGTTCTCCTGTGGGCTGGTTTCCAGCGCGCTCATCCGCACGAAGTTGCTGAGTGAATAGTGGCGGAGACGGTCCATTTTAAAGAAGACGTAGCCGCGCCGACGAATGGGGTTGGCTCGCTCCCTTAGGAAGTCCAGCGGCCGGACAACGTGAGGCGTCACGCGGTTGTCGATGTTATACACGACCCATGCCTCGGTGTCTGCTTCGACATCGTTGTCGTCAAACGAGCGCGCCGGATCCTTGAACACTTGTCTGCCAGGCTGTTGCGCGAGCTGTCTAAACACACCTCTAAACAAGAAATCCCTGGTCCTTATCCGCCTTACACGATACTGGGAAGGACAATATGTTTGACACAACAGCCTCCGCCGGCTGTCAGCGTCCATCTTGAGGGTTTCCGAGAGGAATACTATGCCCTTCGACAACAAAACGTCTACCCATTCAAGTTGCGCTAGGCCGTCCTGGAAAATCTCTGGCGGAATTACCTTACCGTAATTCCACCCGGTGTGATCGCGGCCGGCATAGCGGGCTGTTTGGGACGGGTCGCTAGCCAGAGCGGCGTGATGTTCCAGACCGAGTCGGTACTCTTCGAAGAGAGCTGCCAGGATGAGGAGCCACTGCAGCCTGAGATACTGATAAATGGTAAAGACTCCCTCAATCTCGCACGAGCTCAGACCCGCCAGAGGCGACTGTGCCGTCCGCCAGCGATTGTAGTCCGCAATTCTGGCTGGGCGAACTGCATTTGCCGCACGGCCTTGCATGAGGGCGAGGGTATCCTCTGCGAATTGGCGAGTTTTGTTGTCCAGATCGAGAGCGTGGATGATTTCCCAATATCCTGTGATCTTGCAAGAGGTATCACATAATGCTTGGAAGCGGTAGAATGCCCTCAGGAGCCTCTCGCGCTCCACGGGGTCGAGATCCACGGTGCCCCTGATTGGTGACATATTTCGGGCATGAACAGCTATGTTAGACTGTACATCATCTATGTACACGCTTTCGTGAGCGAACGGTGGCGGCGAATGGTGCGCGAGCGAAGGGTTCAGGCTCAGGGCTTTCCGCGTGAAGTCGTTACTAAAATTCAAAACAGCGGTGCACATTGGCGAGATGCGATTGAGGTTCTGGAAACTGTAGAGGACATTTTGGTTAGTGGCGGCGTTCGTGTAATACCTGTCGAACTTTTCGACCTTTCGACTGAACAGCTCCGGGAACGGGTCCGCTCTTAGGAACTGGGTACGGTTTGCCAAGCGATACTCAATGTCCCACATGGCGTTGCAGGGGTTGGGCATCATGAGAATCGTCAGCAGAAGACGCTGGATCCCGGGTGAGAAGAGCCTCCGCATGGTGTTCTCCGAGTAGGCTTGGAACCTGGCCAGAGTGGCGGGGGCTGGCACAGGCACGGTAGGGGGTAATCTAGGATCGCCGCCTTGGGGACCACTAAGGTGTATCCAGTAGTCGAGGAATTCTCTTTGCGTGAGTGCATAGTTGACGATGTCTTCAGGATCACCCAGCTTCTCAGCTGTCTCAAGGATGAGTTCTAAGGGCAGCTGGGTTGTCCCAGTACCCCCAGTACACCCGGTGGACCGGGGCACTGAAAAGTACTTCTCAATGGGAGTAGCCATGGCGAGGAGGACTAGTGACTAGGCCTTGTCTTACTTACGAATTTCTGTCGAGGTTAGTATAGTGATTATGAGAAATGGTGTTGGTTGGTAACTGGATCATTCACGAGGGCGTTACCAATACTTGTTTATGTAACATACATGGAGACCTCTTTGAAAGAGAAGTCCTGTATCTAACCTCTTGTAAGAACAAGGACATTGTTATGTTCTTTATGGCCCTTGCAACAAGGCTTACTACTCGCCGCTCACACTCAAGCAAAGGGTCACTCGCTGGCGTCTGGGCTAATACGCCATTATCCGTCGGCAGGCTGGTGGTGGAATGAGACTGCCCCCTTTGTGGTAGATCACTTCTATGATTTGAAAGCACGAGGAGAGGTCGTGAAAGAACATTGCCCCTGAAACCATCCCTTTCAACACTGAGCAACGTCGCCAAGCGGCCCGCTCTGGATCGAGTCCGAGACCCTCCTAGAGTAGTGATACGCTTTGCCAACCTCGAGATAAGTCATCTTGACACACAAAGTGAACACTTAGTGATAGACGTGAGCGTGGAAAGCTCACTCCGTATCTGACCTAAACGCTGCCTGGTCTGTGTTTCGGGGCAGCCGGAAAGCCTCACGACGATTCCAGCGCTGATTGCTCATGACAAGTGCCGGGATCGTAGCCTTTGAAGACATAACAGAAGAAGCCTGCGAGTAATGAAGAGTATGTTCGATAAATCTGATGTATTATCTCCGCGAACTCTTCAGCCCTTCTGCTGCCCGCCCTTCAAAGACCACTTTTGAATTCAAACTCGACGTCTTGGGGTGGACGAGGTTCACACAGTAAGGGATTTCAACAAGTGTATGACTCCAAGGGCAACGCATATCAATAGTTTCATATCGCAACGCCCAGAGCTAAAATACTCAGTGGTGCACTTCCGATAAAAAACTTACGGTATAATACTCCAGATCAACAGTACCTCCCCTTCATAGGGTCCCCGAGGCGAAGCGCCGAATAACATAGTAAATATCGACCGGAAATTTGGGGGTTTGGGCCGATGCGAAGATGGCTGCAACGACCAACACTGTTATGTGGCTGCTTGACATATAATTTATTATAAAGACTGGCTTCAAGATCTTGCCATCTCATGTTTGGCCACTGGTCATAAAGTCGCGATAGGTAGTACAGTAGTTTGGTTGTACGGGGCGGCCAACCCTAGCCCCTCACTTAGCGGCTGACCCCTTTTCGAAGATGGATCTAACGGCGTCTACTCGAATCATCACATCGTGTTAGACACCTCCATCAGACAACAAGCTTGCGGCATTTCGACGTGGCCTGCAAGAAACGAGGGAAAGACCAAGAGATACTGAAATCCAGCACAAAGAACGCCACATCTCCGCCGGCAGAGTTTTCGTCAACGCTTTGCTCGTGATATTAGGATGGGTGCCTGGTGGCATTGGTTCGACCCGCGCAACTCAACAGAAGACCAGTTCTCACAGAGGTGCAATGGCGACGCGTTGCGGCTGCTGCATACGTGTAGCTTTAGATTTAAGGGGAAAGCTTTCGCCCTATGCAAGAATGTATATCCGAGCCCGCATCTGCAAGTGCCCAGCTGGAGGCGCCCGGGCCAGGTGGTGGTACCTAGGTACTTCCCTTGGCGCAGGTGCAACCTGAAAGCCCCCGCCATGATGACCCGGAAGATGCACAGACGGCGGCCTTGAAGCCCCTGGAATGCTCGGCGGAGCTCCCTGGCAAAGATCCCACCTGGGCATTGTTTACATGCACGAGAGGGGCAATCTCATAATTTGACACCCCCTCGTTTACATGAGGTACACATTCTCAGAGAAAATCCCACAACCACCATATTTCAACCCAATCATCCTCTGTGCTACTATTGGGGCTTTGCAAAGCGGTACGTCTGCCTAACATCTCCTTCCATCTGTCATTCCCCCAGTCAGAGCCTGCCCGCGCTGCACCAAGCCAGATAACCCAATCTCGGAGGTGGGGCATTTCTGCGGTGATCTGGGTGATGTTTTCTGTCAACCACAGCTAGCGATATAGCCCGGCTCTCTTTTTGGACCCTGAGGCTAACAACTTCTTCTCCGTCCAACACAGATTGCCAGCACCTTCTCGCACATACATCCGCACTTTCAACACATCTATCCCGACATCGCCAACATGAGTACTACCGAGAACACCGAGCCTAAGGTCGAGGAGACCAAGCCCGCCGAGGGGAGCGACAGCAAGCCCCTCGCTTCGTCCTCCGTTTTCTCCATGTTTGGTGGTGGCGCAAAGAAGGAGAAGAAGGACGACGACGAGGACCGTGGCGACAACTCTGGCAGTGCCAAGGCCCAGCGCGACGCTGCCGCTGCCGCTAAAGGCGACGAGGAGGTGAGAGCCGCCCTCCCATGCCTGCGTTCACGCTGTTCTATTCAGCAAGTTGTAGTCTGACACATCGTCATACAGGAAGCACCCCCTGAGTCGGAAGACGTGCACTTCGAGCCCGTGGTCAAGCTTACCGAGCAAGTCGAGACCGTCACACACGAGGAATCCGAGGAGCAGGTCTTCAACATGCGCTGCAAGATGTTCAAGTTCGTTCAGGAGACTCGCGAGTGGAAGGAGCGCGGTACCGGCCCCCTCCGCCTGCTGAAGCACAAGGAGAATGGCAAGACTCGCCTGGTCATGCGACGAGACAAGACCCTCAAAGTTTGCGCCAACCACTACAGTACGCCCAGCTACGTCCCTACAGATGTTGCCTGACGGTACGGCTACTAACAACAACCCCCTAGTTACCCCCGATATGACGATCGCTCCCATGTCTACTAGCGACCGCGCTTGGCTCTGGAACGTTGCCGCCGATGTTAGCGAGGGCGAACCCGAAGCCATCACTGTGTCTGTGCGCCTGGCCAATGCTGAAAGTAGGTGATTACCAACCGTGGGTGTAACGTGTCAAACTAACTGTCTCTAGACGCCAACCTGCTCAAGGAGGCTTGGCTCAAGGCGCAAAAGGAGAACGAGGATCTGTTCAGCGCCGAGGGAAAGAACGAGGAGCCCAAGGAGGAGGAGCCCAAGGCCGAGGAAGAGAAGAAGGAGGAGCCTGCTGCTGCGTAAAGGCTGAAACTGTCTGCACCTACAGTAATCCACCCCCGACCCCGTCCCATCACAGCACTTGAGGTCCCCTGTCCCGTCATCTTCGAGTCTGGTATTCTCGTCTACCCTGTCGAGTAGCTGGCCTTCGGTGTTGGGATGTAGGACACAAACCGGGCAGAGTCCATCGCATGATGGATTACGGTCTGGATGAGAGACGCATTAGATAGTCACAGACGGACCGAGATATCCCCAGAGTCACAACATCTTGTTTCCCCCGCAGACCATTTCACAATCAATACACCTCGATCCTTCCCAACTGCTTTTCCACCCATGCCGTCAACGGACTAGAGACCACGTTTGCAGTGCATTTACATTGAGCTAGAGGTGATTTGGCATATCCATGCGCAGTAACTTCTACCTTCATAGGTATGTAGTATGATCACTACTCTGCCTACCTGATCTGGTCGCGCGGCTCTTACTTGATGATCTTGATCTTCTTAGCATGCCGTGAACAGACTGGTCTTGTCGATTGAGTAGTAGGTATAGTAGGTGGTTTGCGTTGTCGACTATGTCTCACAATATGTGACTAGGAAGCCTACATAAGCAGCCTGTAGGCAGAGAAGTAGACAGGGTACAAGGATGATTAACCTGCCACCTAACTAATAATCGGGAAGCGAACAGAATATGCGGATATTTCTACATTTGCTGTAATACCTACCGCGAACATATGGCAATGAGTACGTACAACTATTATTAGCGGCTCATGTTGTCACTTCCATATATACATAAGGTACCTAGGTACCTAGGTAGATTTTATTAAGTGCATCTAATGAGAGCACGTGACATCGCGAAAAACGTTGGTCGCATCTCCCGATCCGGCGCGTCACACCTCGGCCGCACCCCACGAAGCTGCAGAAGACTTGACCAGGTCACAACTCACGATGACTTGCGCACATTGCTTCCTCCTACCCGTACTAACCTATCTTACCTTATCTTGATCATGATACGCAGTTCCATTTGATGCCTTACTTGCATCTCCACCAAGCTACCGGAGTCCCGAGTCGCATACTTCGACGCCTCCATCATCTTGATAGCCGTCGCATCTCAGACGAACTAGCTTACTGCATACCTGAGGCACACCTTAGCTACAGCGTCTCTCGATCTTCCCTGAATCACAAAACTGCTTCGCTTGGGTCAACGTTGGTCACGCTGCCTTCCGCTTTGAAGGTCTCAGACAACCCAAAACCCGAACAACCGCTGTCTTTCTGACGAGACCTTTCGTCGATTGAGCATCTAACACAGCAGTCGGCCAATCATGCCACCCAAGGGCAAGAAAAGCCAGACCCGGCTTACCTTCGAGCCTGTTGCGCCAGGGAGCTCTCCCCATTCTGGTAGCTACTCGCCTGCGAAGGTGCGCTTTACCGGCGCGGCAAGCAGCAGCCCGAGCCGCTCATCACCCATGGCACCGCCATCTTCGAAGCGGTCCGCCCGCTCCTCAAGACGCACAAAGCCAACCCAGAGCAGACTAGACCTTTCTTCTGGTATGTACAACTTCTTGACAGTTGGCCGCCGGAAGTGCCTTCTTCACTCCGGGTCTGACCATGGATGCTCGTTTCAACCTGAAAGAGACGTGACCTGGGATGTTCATCCAGGAATGAAATGCCCCTCACTATTGTCTTGTTACCGCGGTCTCTTTCGTCACTTGGCTTACATGTAGCAGGACCACCTCCGGCCAGCTTTATGCCAAGGATCCACGGAAGTACACAACGTAGCGCAGGGTCCGACTCCTCGGATGAATCTGCTGCGGAGATCGGCGATGCAGGTCACGATGAGGAAGATGTCGACGACCTTCCTCCTATGCAAGAGGCTCTTAAGTCACGCACCCAGAGCGGCTCTGATGACAAAGTCTTTACTAAGCCTGCGGCCACAAAGGAGAACGGCAAACTCCCTCGATCATCCCAATCTGTCTCTACGAGACTCCAAAGAACCATCATCGATGACGATGACGACGATGAAGAGGACGATGATGTAGGCCCCATTGCGCCAAGCTCATCGCTCAAACGACGACGCCCTATTGTCATTGACTTAGATGATTCAGACGACGATGCACCCTTAGCTCCACCGAGTTCCGCTATGCGACGTTCACGTCCGGCTATCGTTGTGCTGGATGATTCGAACAGCTCTGACGACTCCGACGCGCGTGCTGCATCTCCAGCAAAGAGAAGAAAGATTTCCCATCAACCATCATCAACCCCAGATCGTCTAAGTCAAAATCGGAATCCGAAGTCCACACCAGGCAGACTCAGACGACCACAACCAAGTTCTCCTACCAAGAAAAGCGCGCACAAGGGCCATCGCTCACAGAAGCAAAAGACGATGGAACTTCTTCGACGCCGTCGAGCTGGCGAGAAGATCAGTAAGCTTACTTCTTCCGAATCCTCTTCGGATAACGATGATAAGCGAGGAATTTACGATACCGACTCAGAGGACGGTTTTGAAGCTCTGAAGGAGTTCGACGACGATGAGGAGGACGAGCCTGAAGAAGAAGCCACAACACCTCCGCGATCCGCAAAGGGCAAGACCACCTCACAAAAGGCACGCAAAAAGCCTACTGGAAGTGGGGACGATGAGAGTGAAGGCGATCTCGACGATTTCGTCACCGATGACGATGACGGTCCGATTGGTGCCCCTGCTCATCTAGATATTCCTCTGGAATTCACAGCGCAAGCCCATAAACCACTCAAAGAACAATTCCCGCACGTCATTGAGTGGCTAGTTCACAACAAGATAAACCCAGCCTTTGAACGAAAAGACGCAGTGTATTCGAACGCGTGGCGCAAGCTTGACGACGAGGTTCACGGGCTTGCGAGCTCCAAATTCACCTCGGCGGCATGGAAGGCCGAATTTTACCGTGCCCTGAAAGGCAGACCCAAATTGGAAGCATACGAGATGAGCTCAGGTGATCGTAGCCGCGCTCTTGAGACGTGCGAGGCTTGCGGCCGAAGCGGACACCCCGCAACATGGAAGATAGAGTTCCAGGGAAGCCCTTACTACAAGGACACTCTCGCCGAGGTCGAGTCCGAATCCGACTCGGACAGCGATGGGGACAGCGACAATGACTCTGTTGACACGCAAGGCATGACGCTGCTACCGACGAGCAAGGAGTGGTTCGTCGGCGTAGTCTGCTGCAGCAATGCCGAGACGGCACACAGCCTCATTCACTGGAAGCATGCCCTCAAGGAATGGGTCGAGGAGAAGCTCGAGGACGAAGGCTGGATGTCGGCTCAGAAGCTCAAGGAGCGCGAGAAGATGAAGGCCAAGAAGCGCAGCAAGCTCGCCAACCGCATCGTGGACGACTGGCGTGAGAGACGTATCGTCACGGCGCTCTACGGCGACTTCAAGAAAAACCTCGACGAGGCGCGCAACAAGGCGACTACAGGTCGTGGACTCCGAGGCAAATATCGTTAGACTAGGACGGGATATGGCTTCGGGTTGCGGATGGACCCTGAATCCGTTCCCCGCAGCTAGAACCCTATCACCTTTCGGATAACACAACTCTGGATTCTAGCCACCTCATGACTGGTCCAGGAATGATGGGACGGTCTACTGGGCATCGAAGGTCGATGAACTTGGGAAAGTGGTTATCCTCTGTGGCGGGGTGTACAGCTCGTTGCAGCACGGTGAAAGGAAGACGCAGCCTACGCAGCAGTCGTTGCGTGTGCTTTATCCTGGCCATATATCATCTCACGAATTTTCTCTGCGGTATCTTCTACCTCACGGTTCTGGCAGATGTCTGCGAATTCGGCGGGATGCGCCGACTAGCCGCCTTCAGGTTTCGCCGGGAAGATCTGCCCTTTCTGTTTGTCGTCTATCTTCATAGTTTCTGCGGATACGGGTCCGGACGAGGGGGAGCGTACAGACTGCATTGCGCGGTGTCCATCTGCGTTTCTCTCAGTTGCGGTCGAGTCAGGTGGAAAAAGAAGAGGTACCATGAGGAAAGGCGTGCGTGTACATGCTTTGCCTGCTATGAGAGGGCGGATGGGCATGAACCGAGAGACTAGATATCTGCTGCCATGAGAGAGTGCTGAGAACGATTTGCATGCTTTTCGCTGCTGAAGACAGGCAGACAGCATCACATGACGGCGATAGGGCTCACTATTTCCTCACGAAGCCTACAAGCTTACGCGGGCATTTCATTTGCTAGATAGCAAAGACAAATACTGAATGATACGGATTGCATTGCATTCCATTTCATAGAAAGACACCCGGTTATAAAGCTGGCCTTCCTCCCCAAATCTGCGTGTTTCATTTTCGTCTTCCATGTCGTTTCATTTTCGTCTTCCATTTTCGCGCTTGCAATTTTCCCAGTCTTCGCAGTCTTCGTTTCCGATCCCTAGACCAGATACCTACTACTTAATCTACCTAATCGCCTTCGCGGCCTTGACAAACGCCCGTATCCTCTCGAGGTCCTGCTCCTTGTCGGGGCCCTCGACACCACTGCTCACATCCACCCCAACAATGCGAGCGCCGTCCTCGCCGGCGGCGCCGACGACACCGGCGACGTTGTCGGGGTCGAGACCGCCCGCTAAAAGCACCCGCAGCTCGGCGTCGCGCGCGAGCGCCGCCTTGACGTCGACGGCGTCGAGCAGCTGGCCCGACCCGGACCCGGAGTCGAACAGGGGCACGGCGTGGCAGCCGCGCGCGCCGATGCCGGGCTCGCCGGGGGCGAAGCGGCGGATCACGGGCACGAGGATGGCGTGGGCCCACTCGATGGGCTCATCGCCGTGCAGCTGCACGACGTCGAGGCCGCAGGCGCGCTGCAGGGCCAGGACCTCGTCGAGCGGCTGGTTGCGGAACACGCCGACGAGGAGGGGGCGCGCGGTGTGCTGGAGCTTGTGGGTGGCCGAGGCGAAAAAGTCGCTGGCGGCGTTCTTGGGGATGGTCGGTTGTTCTTGGGAGGGCGGCGTTGGGCGCGAGAACTTGTCGAGGGCGCTGCGGATGGAGCGCGCTGTGTCTGCCGTCACGGTGCGTCTGAGGCCTGGCGCGAAGATCATGCCAACGAGGTCGGCGCCGGCTTCTGCGGCTGCGAGGGCGCCTTCGGGGGTGCGGGTGCCGCATATCTTGACGAGGAAGGGTGCGGGAGTGGGCTTTTGGGACGCGGTGGTCTCGCCGGCGCAGAGCTGGCGGATGAATTGCGAAGCGTCGGGCGCGCGCATGATGGCCTCGCCGACGAGGACGGCGTTGACACCGTCCTTGTGGTTGGCGACTACGTCGTCGTGCGTGTTGATGCCGCTGAGGGCGCAGATGATGGTCTCCTTCGGCACGAGGCTGCGCAGTCTGCTGGTCGTACTGAGGTCCACCTCGAAGGACTCGAGGTTGCGGTTGTTGACACCGATAACCTTGGAGCCGAGCTTGACGGCTGTCGCCATCTCCTCCGCGTTCTGCACCTCGACCAGGGGCTCCATGCCCAGTGACAGGGAGTATTTGTAGAGTTGGGTTAGCAAGTCCACGTCCAGCATCTTCACGATGAGGAGGACTGTATCTGCGCCAGCTAATCGCGCTTCTAGGATCTGGTACTCCTCGAAGATGAACTCCTTCCGTAGCATCGCTGGTCTGTTGGGCATTGCGTTCAACACCTGTCTTACCGCACGCAGATCCTCGATGCTGCCCTTGAACCAGTCAGGCTCTGTGAGGACCGAGATAACGCTAGCTCCCGCCAATGCATACTTCTTTGCCTGGGTCGGCGCATCGATATCCATAGCAAAAATTCCTTTTGACGGAGAACCTCGCTTGATCTCGGCCATCAGAGAGACATCGAAGGGGCTCTGCCGTAGGCGGTTGACGAAAGAGATCTGTGGTGGTGCTGCGCTCAGCTTGTAGGCCGCCTCGAGGTCCTGGGGCCGCTGTGACGGGACCTCCTTCTGAGCTGCCACAGCTTCTTTCCTCCGGGCGTATATCTGCTGCAGAATGTTGTTCTTCTTGGCAGGCGGCGGTGCATCTTTGGCCAGACCGTTCGCGGCGCCGTTAGCTTGCGACTCCTTCTGAAGGCGCTCGTTGTCGGCCCAGGTGCCTCCTTGCATGCGCAGGAAGTTCTTGAACATGACCCGGCCATCTGCTGACAGAATACTCTCTGGGTGGAATTGGACACCCTCTATTATGAGCTCCTTATGCCGCACACCCATAATGACACCCTTGGAGCCGTCGTCCTTAGGGATCCAGGATGTCACCTCCAGCACCTTCGGCAGACTAACGTTTGTCCCAGCAAGAGAATGGTATCTGGTGACGGGGAGGTTCTGCGACATCCCAGCGTATACACCCTTGGAGTCGTGAGATAGCGGCGACGTCTTCCCGTGTAAGATCTCGCCTGCTGAGCTCACCTCACCTCCGTATACATCGAAAATGCATTGCCTGGACATCATGTCAGGTGTTTTAGTCTACGCGATTTCGTTGAGGACTTGACTTACTGGCCCATGCAAACCCCGAAAATGGGAATCTTGCCTGCGAAGTGTCTGATTGCATCCCGGCTGATGCCAGAATCGGTGATCGGGTGTCCCGGGCCAGGGCTCACGACTAACTGGCTGGGGTTCTTTGCAATGAGTTCGTCGAGACTTAGCTGGTCATTTCGATATACCGTGACCTTGGCTCCCTCGAGCACAAGGTACTGGTACACATTCCAGACAAAGGAGTCGTAGTTGTCAATTAGTATGACGTTGGAAGCCGTAGGAAGTGGCGGAGATGGGTCTGGATGGTTGGGGGAATGGTCTATAATAGCCGCTGAGGCCATGACTGACTCAATTCAGACCAACCAGTCAAATCTCGGGGAAATGGCGAATAACGCTGACGAGAGAACGAAATGATGGAATGGAATTGATCCCGGGGGTTCAGAAGCTTATTAGAATGAGCGACACGACACTGTAGGTGCGGGCGAGTTGGATAATATGATGAAGCAGCAGTTCAATCAATCACATCTCACTGATGGATAAATTCGGTCGATTTACGGGGTCATGTACCCGGAAGGGCATATTCCTATATCGGGTCGAAGGATGCCCACTGGCGGAGGTCCACGGTAGGCCGTCTTCACGAGGCTGAGATGCCTGTTGAATCCGATTGGGCACTAAGCTAACAATGCCGGCTGTTCACAGGCCGCTACTGCAAGGCTACCTTACCTCATCTTGCTGGACCCTGGCAGCCTGGTGGCTCAGGTACGTACCAGCACCAGGCAGTCGAGACAGGGAGCTTGGACCTCCAACTTTCATTTTTACTGCAGGTGGGCAGCTCGAGGTGCTGAAGCTACAACCCGCTCTCATCCAAGGCGCGTCGCAATAAATAAAACACACAAAGCCGTCCTCATCTGCTGCTTCACATGCCTTTGATGCACAATCAAGTGCGCATTGTCTGCTGATCTTTGCAGCAATGGGAGAGCCACTGTCTGACGAAATCTACCTGCCCCCCTTGGAACCGTGTCTCAAGGGCGAGACGCTCATTCTGTGAGTATACACAGCTGCCCACCCGTGCAACTCTGGACTAGTTGAGGAGGCTGACCTTACGCGCCCTTTTCCAGATCATGGAGTATTGTTGCTTCAGCATTGATGGATCCTTCGGGTCATCGTCAGAGCAGCCAGAACATCCTTGACTTCTTCACCGACCCCCTCGTCCAGTCATTCTTTACCCAACCCGGCTCTGCATTCGAGGCGCCGGGCAAGAAGGACTATCACCATGCCCATGCGACCTTTGTCAAGAAGACTTCTGCTATCCACGTCACCCCGACCACGAACGACAAGTACGACATAAACGTCATTACGGAAGACGCTGGATGGCTGAGCCAGACTGCTGGCATCAGCGAGGTAGCTGCTCTACGAGTCGCCGTGATCGAACATCAGTCTCGACCTAGGAGTCAACTACTTGGACCTATCTCGAACCAGGATATCGCAAATCTACGAGGAGCTGCAGGTGCTGGCAATGCGCAAACATCCAATGTCCTACCTGGACTCACCATATCCGCGACGCTCGATGCCGCCGATATCCAGGCAGAATTCGAGAAAAAAGAGAACAGGCAGCGGCGCATATTCCAGACCTACCTGTCCGAGCGGCGTCACTACGCGGCTACAAATGACTATATCTTTACCTTGTTGTTGCAGGAAGAGCTCCCAACGTCGGCGGCTACAGATGCCTCCAGACTTATTCGGAGGTCATTCCTGGAAGCCTTTGGAATGTCTCCTAAGCAGGCCCAGAAGTCACCCGCCGATACCCCTACCAAAACGTTCCATGCCCTGGCTTCACAATACCTGAGTCTGTTACCAGACTCCATTCAACGTGCCAAGACTCCCCTCGACAGTGTTGTGCAAGACATGACCGAGGAGATCCAGGAGCAGTGGACCCAGACATGTCTGGCCGAGACCCTACATCGGATGATTGTGGCATTTCAGCTTCTGGATTTGTCATGTGACGCTTTCGTATCAGAGGATCTCGCCAAGCAATGGTTCTCGCTTGTCGAAGAATTCAGCTTCTTAGAACAGTTGCAAGGGGTAAGTCACAAACCCAAGTCTACTTACTGTGAGATGTGCCGTTCCTTATACGAGTTCTAGTTCCCGGGTAGCATCTCAGATTTGATGGCTCCGTTGCAATGTCTCGTTTGCGTTATATCTTTGTCAGTTCTCAACCTTCCAAGGATGATGGCCTTTTTCGAAGGAGAGATAGATCTCGATACGGAAACCGAGTTTATCGCAATATCAAGCGTTCTCGAGCGGATACATGACGTACTCGAGGGCGCCGTCACCTTGGGCTCGGCATACTTGGCACCAGTCTTATTTGCATGGGTCCCAGTCGTGCATGCCATGTTCTCATCATATCAAGAGCGGGCTGAAAAACGGGATGCTATTCAGAATGAGAAGGCAGTCGAGAATTACGATTCGAACACGCAGATGATCCCCAGCGCTGGCAGGAGGAATTCTGCTGGGAGTATCACTACCATCGACAAGAGAAGATATGACGACTTTCTCATCAACAGGAATCTGGATCGGGATTTCCAGAGGATGCAGCTGCTCGCAGTGGTTGTGACAGACGAGGCAGATGTCTATGACATTATTGCCACAATGGCATCGTGCCTTGGCCCGACAGATCAGGCTTTTTTCCCTGCTTCGGTGAGCTCCCGAATGAGAGCAGCTTTCTTGGACGTGCTGAAAGCCACCTACCCCTTCGTAGGGTACAAGTCTGAACCTGTCAGCGCCTTGTTATCAGTCCTGTCCGGTGGTCAAGGGTACTGGGACCTTTCGGCCCCTGGCAGTGTTCGGCAGCAAGATGTCCTTGCTCTGGCTCTGAATGACCCAGTGATTGTCGAGGGCTACTTCCAGCAGGCCCTTGACCGCTTCCCATACGAATTTCTCCCCTTTATCAATCTATGTCGCACTCTCTGCTGCTCTCCAGGCTCGCCCGACAGTGCTAACCAGGAACTGATTCTCCGGCTGCTGCAAAAAACCCCGACCCTCACTTTCACTCTACCGGACGATTTCACTGATTATCAGCTCGCCCACGAGGATGAGAACACCAATGCCTTTCAGTTCATGGACGATTTCCCTCTCCTTTCGCATGTTGCCAGTCGCAAAAGACTGACCATGGAGGAGGAGCCATTTGCAATCCCAGCGGGGACGTACGGTCGGTTCATCGTTGACGAGGGGCGAATAGTCCGGGTAGAATATGAACATTCTGCTCTGGCCCTACTCGGCAAACGGTTAGAGGCTAACCTCTCTGCCAACAAGTACCGCCTGGAACTCGGCATGCTTACCTTTGACGAAACGGCAGAAATCATCTCGTTGTTAGCAACCTTGATACGGGTCGAGGTCCTTAAAGCCTCAGAATTAGGCCACAACGCTGCGGAAGCCTCGGAAACTGGGCTGGCCATCATAGCCGAGAGCAGCCGAGTCCTCCCACGTACGAAAGACATAATAACGGTGGTTTGTGACACACTAGACGCTCTCCTGGATGGAGAGCCGGATAGCTCTGGTCTCACGGCCTTGACAGCCTGTCTGCAGTTCTTGCACTCTGTCTTGCCAATATGTCCAGGAAGAGTCTGGTCATACATGGCAAGATGCGCACTCCTTGGCAATCAATCCCAAGGCGGCCGACTAGCTCGACTAGTAGGCAACCTTGACCTCTCCGATGTCCAGTTCGACCTCTTGAAATCCTCTATGCGGCTCTTTTCTAGTCTCACAGACAGTGCTATGGCCAGTTCAGTGCGACGAAAATTCAGTTCGAAGACCACTTCCCGACAACGCTCGACAGAGAACGTCTGGCTCGGCGTTTCAGACAAAATCGTCGCCCAAATATCGCTTGCCATTTCACAAGCGGCTGTGGATGTTATGGAAAGCTCTTCTACTTGGCGATTCCCCTCCGACCTGGACCGCATGATCATCGTCCGTGACGTCGTGCCGCTGATGGACAAGGTGATACACTATTCGTTCAGCATGGACGATATAACTGCAAAGACTGCCTTGATATATGCACTGCAACCAGCTGCTAAATATGTCATCGATAGTTTTCTTGCTCCCTCTGCGGGCAGTCTCCGTGTTCTGCCGCTTCTGGCGACATTAGTCGCGGCAACACAAGAACCTCAATCTACTATTTATGCGAATCGGTCACAAGTATTTCGGACCCAAACACTTGCCGCTCTTGGACTCGCAACAAGTTTGGTGAGAGTGGCGAACTACTTCGATCGGTCTTCGACGACAGTCGAGCATCAACTATTCAAAGCAGCACCATTTGTCGCTCGTATATGCGCCCGCGACGATGCGTTCAAAAGGTCCGCCGTTGAACTGCTGGAATCGCTAGTCATCAGTGCTGGAAAAACCATCGGAGAACCGCCGTCTCTACTTGGATATCTCGGCCCACAGATATCTCGGTCCTTCCTCCAACTCCTGTCCACTTTGGATCGGCCTTTTGACCAGGCTCAGGAGGCCAACACCATATGGCATTTCTTCTCCACTATTGTACGCAACAGACAGCAGTGGATGGCAAACTGCCTTCTCACGGGCAAGACCCCACGCGATGCCCGAAATGGTAACAACAAGGCAGCGGAAGCTTCGTCAAGTTCCGTTCTCGCTTCTGCCCTCGAAAGGCTTGCATCCATAGCAAGCCTTGAGAGCTCGGAAGCTCTCGCCATCCTGGATTTCATCACTTCGGCCCAGAACTACTGGCCTTGGACTATCTTCACCCTGCAGAAGAACACCAAGTTCCTGACCGAGCTTAGAGCCTTTGTCCGAGACCTGCAACCCGCCTCTCTCACATCCAAGTCGAATGTCCTGCAGGCCTGCAATGAGGCTCGGATCGCCGCCTATGTTGCAGAAATATTTGCCATGCAATTCTTCCATCTCCGACAGATCGATCAAGCGGGTCCCTTTGCTAAAGATTTGACTCAGGACTTGGATTACTACCTACGGGACGGTGTCGCAGTTTCGGGTTACAACAGAGGCCTTCATGTCAACTTCGCCCGGAACTTCGGCAATCAGTATCCTGGCTGTTCTCTGGACAATTTCAAGCGGACCTTGTTCGAGCCTCGTTCGCTTGGACTGAGTTTCTATTATGCACTTGGTTCTGCGGACAAGATGCTCAAATTTGACCCAGGCTGGATAGGACCACGTAACAATGGATTCAGAAGCGAGATGGAGAAGGCCAACGCGAACCTGTCCTTGGTCGATGCTCAAGTGGTAAGATACCTATTAAAAACTTCCACCATCACCAAGATATAGCTAACGTGCAAATAGTCTCTATACCACTCTTGGGAATTTCTTCTACTCGAACTCAGCACATGTTTGCCAAAGAATGACACGTTGAAGAAGCAATCCCTACAGGTTGCCCAGCAGTGCCTGGAGGCCAACCAGGAAACCCACTCTCATGACCAAGTTTTCGAGCGGCTTGCAGAATCTCGAGTCAATCTAGCGCTCATGCTGGTACAACGAGTTGTTGACAGCGCTCCGTCTCCGGGCGACGTTGCCCAACTTCTGAACGCCATATGGGCAACAGTGAGCAGCTTTCCGGAACCGTACGCACCTCAGAACATTGCATTGTACCGGACGCTCTTAAAATTGCTCTATGTCACATTACGAGCACAAGTTCGGTCGTATGCTCACATCGACCTCAAAGCTTCTATGCGAGATAATCAGGGAAATAGTATATCGACTGCTACGATCTCACAGACAATCTTTAGCATTCTGGACACCGTCGTTTCAAAGGGGTTCCGAACTGTAGTGTCTTTGATTCACGACTCGGAGTCTTCCATCTCAACGGAGGACGTCGCTATCATAAACGCAATCCTACAAGCTTGCCTCTGCGCGCCCGGGATGGATCAGAGCCAGACCCAGATTCTGAACATCATGGCTACTCATGACGCTGTGCAGGCCGCAGTATCGCTGTACTCGTGGGCAGATAAGCTTGCCGAACAAGGCGATCCCATTTACGGCGAGCTGTCGCTCCTCTTCCTTCTCGAGCTGTCGGCGTTGCCCCTCGTAGCTGAGCAGTTGGCTTGTGATGGTTTGCTGAACCATCTCACCTCGGCTAACTTGGCCGCCTACTTACGTCGGCCCAACGTGTCGCCATTTGCTGACTCGGTTGGGCCACAGCGATGTTACAGCATATGGGCCAGGGGCATCGTGCCTATTCTCCTCAACATCCTATCCGCCTTGGGGGCCACAATCGCCCCGGAAGTAGCGTATGTGCTGAATCAATTCCCGAACCTGATGCAGTCTAGCATGGAACGACTTGAAGCACCCAGTGATAGCCGGCGACGAGGCCGTGACCGGGCCTACGTCACACTCCTCTCCGTGTCCGAGATACACTCGTTGGCTCTCATAACGCGTGTACTCGGCCCCTTGCGCACCAACAATGCCAGGGACGTGCCGGCGGTCGAGTGGGACTCGGCAACACTCCTAGAAAACGTCGAATGGTGGCTTGACCACCGCAACACTCTGAGGGACAGGCTGGTACCTCTGGGGCCAAGGGAAGCGGAGTGGAAGACCATAGCGCCTTCCGATTGGGACAAGAAGCGTGGCTGCGAGAGCAGGCTCGAGGCCAAAGTGGTTGAACAGCTGGACGTGGTCCGGACTGTACTCGGTGAGGGCTTGGAGTAACGCATTCCAGGGACGGGTGATCCTATAGATAGCTTTTGGAGCAGCTGTTGCTTGCTGAGGTCGAACGGGAGTTTGTCATGTATCAGTTCGGAGGGTGCCAGACGGAGCATCGACGCTACGGCGTCCGGGCGTTTTCTCTTGCGGGTTTGGAAAGCAATGGACAAAAGACAGATGCATCTGATCTAAACGTCAGCGTGCGAGAGAAAGTATCAGTGTAATACTAGCATGAACATATGATGACCCTGATAGGGGACAAGTTCATTCAGCGTTCATGGAGAGCTCAGTTATGGTTGAATGGTGATATCCGTAATCAACTATTGTTGGAAGTGTTACAACAAGGCCTGTGGTAGGGTCTCGGTAGATATGTTGTTACAAAAGGCCCCTGGGCCAAGGGCCAAACACCAGCTGATGATGGACCTGAATCGTCCGTCCTATGCTCAGACAACACCGTCGAGGGCCATTTAGAACCTAGACAAGCAAACGTCGCAGCAACCTCTCTACCTCCTCCTTCTGTTCTACCAATCATACACGAGCTCTGGGCCAACACCAACACCAGCACCTCCGAAACCTCTCCACCTATCCTTGTATTGTGCAATCCAATCCAACACTCCCACGCCCCTGATATATAAATGGTCGTCTCGACAACCCCCTGAAGTCGAAGTCGAAGGCGAAGCGGCAGAGAAGGTAGTAGGTAGCATGTTTTTACCGCGGCGGCGGGCCCTGCTGGCTCATCTGGGCGTTGTGCTCCTGGAAGCGCTCGCTCAGGCGCTGCGACAGGGCCATGTGCTTCTGCACGCAGCGGCTGACGCAGCCCGTCTCGCGCGTCGACAGCGACTTGGACGTAAAGTCGTCGACGCACGACATGAAGCAGTGGTCTACTAGGTTGCTGAAGAGCTGTGGTTTTGGAAATGTGTCAGCGCGTGTGGCCCTCGGGATGGGAGAGGTACGGTAGAGATGAGGGATTGTATTGGATGGGATTGGCCATGCTTGGCTATGGGATGCGTCGGCCGGGGCATGGGATGGGATGGGATGCTGGTAGGGACGCTGGACCTGGACGTGTACGTACACCGAGAAACTCCTTGATCTGGCGCTTCTGCATGCGCTGCTCCAGCTCGCGGTTCTCGCTTGCGCTGAGTCTGTCGGTCGTATTGAATTAGCATTGCTCTCTTCCGCAGGTATGGTAGGGTCCCCTTGCATACCCTTCCATAGTTGTGGATGTGTCGGGGTGGTATACGGTTGCGGTGTTGAAGTTCGAATAGCGAATGGCAGAGCGGGTGTGATTGTGATGTGACGGGAGCTTCCAAAGCTGGCTTCCTTTCGATGTTGAAAAGTTGCTTTGGGACCGGTCGGCTGGACCCATCAGAGCTCCCGTCCCCCGTCATGTCCGTCCCGTCCCTGGACCTTCACAATCGATAGCGGCGTCGGGTTTTCCATGAACCGCCGCCAGGGATTGGGTCCGCCCGCGATAAGCAATCAGGCCAATCAGCTCCAACTCTAATATTCTAGCTCGCGGGGCAGCAGCCAGACCGCCCGCCAATCGATTGGAATATTTTCGAGTTGGGACAAAAAAAAGAGTTCATAGTGCGATCCCGATAAACTCGAGATCCGACGAATACTGCCAACACCAGCAAACCTCCGTCGCAGCTCTTCCCCTCGACATCTCTTAGAAGTCTCTCTCTCTTGCAGAGGAAGTTTTCCACCTGCCTATCCGACGAGCCAACAAGATTCGGAAGAGAGCCGCAGGGCAAAATAAAATATCACAATGCCCAAATCAAAACGAGCCAAGGTCGTCCACCTGACGCAGGTGACCAAGAAGACGCGCGAGCACAAGGAGCGCCTGTTCGAGAGCATACGCGAGTGCATCCCGCAGTACCAGCACTGCTTCGTCTTCGGCATCGACAACATGCGCAACACATACCTCAAGACCGTGCGCCAGGAGCTGACCGATAGCCGGTACGTTCGTTGTCTTAAACTCCCCGCCCTCAAGCAGCTAGCTGGTCCCCGTTCTCCAGGCAGAGTGAGCGAGGGCCTGTTACAATGGTGGACTCCTCGTCGCGCAAGCTGCGTACTTTCGTTCCCAGCCCAACTCATAAATCCAATGCGCAAATCTACTCAGCTACCTACTACGAAGAATCCAAGCTAACCCCACCTCCTCCCCAACAGCCTCTTCTTCGGCAAGACCAAGCTCATGTCGAAGGCACTAGGCCACAGCCCCGAAGACAGCTACGCCGACAACATCTACAAGCTGACCCCCTACCTCAAGGGCACAGTCGGCCTAATCTTCACAAACCAGTCACCCCAAGAAATCCAGGCCTACTTCGCAGCGCTATCGCACGTCGACTTCGCGCGCGCCGGCGCCGTCGCGCCCCGCGACTTCGTCATCCCCTACGGCGTCGTGCACAGCACCGCCGGCGGGGTCCCCACCGAGCACGACGTGCCGCTCGGCCACACCGTCGAGCCCGAGCTGCGCCGCCTCGGCGTGCCGACGCGCATGGTGAAAGGGCGAGTCGTGCTGGAGGAGCCGCCCGAGGGCGGCGAGGGGCTGAAGGATGGCGGCATCGTCGTCTGCCGCAAGGGCGACGTGCTCGATTCGCGCCAGACGCGCCTGTTGAAGCTGTTTAGCGTCTGTCTGAGCGAGTTCAGGGTGAAGGTGTTGGCGTACTGGAGCGCGGCGAATGGGGAGGTCACCGAGGTAGACGCGGAGGCTATGGAGGGTGTCGAGGATGCGGTGGTCGCGGACAGCGAGTAAGGAACTGGCAAGCGGGCATGTGAGTTGCTGTTGTCTCGACTGCTTCTCGTAGATAAGTTTGTGTGCATTTTTACGGCGATACCACGGGTTGCTGGGTCTGGCGTTCGGTAGAGGGCAAAAAGAAATGCTGGGCTATGTCTAGGAATGAATGATATTCTACTGTTCCACCACAATAATCCTGGTGGAAATCTCTGCTTCGTTGTTTCTCAAAAGGTTGATGGTAGGAGGGACCTCAGCGCAGTTCAACGGATGATACGCGCGACCTCACGCCCAGAAAACTGGGTTGAGCGCTGGCTGGCTTGGATTCCGCAGCTAGCTAGAATACATCACTTATCCTACAAACCGAGACCATGCAGCGAAGCTTCACCTACGCTTCTCAGCATAGTACACGAGAGCCCAAGGGCCGGGAACCATCGTTTCTGTCCACCTAAACGCCTCGGCATAGGCGTCCCGGTCAGTAGGCTTGTACATCCCTTACCTCTGACCTTACCTGATAGTTTTCACGATGCTTGTATTTCTGCTTGCAAACCTGATGCCATCCCCCTCTACTTCGGGCACACCCTAGGTCATTATTGTAAAGTACATGAGAAAAGCATTACCTGTCCTAATCCTGGCGAGAGTAGTTCTGTGGGCAGTCAAGTTGTGAATGGATGGGTTGTAGGGGGGTTTGGCACGAGGTTCTGAATAGAACGAGTTCCAAGGTGCAAGGGTCCGAAAAGGCAGAGGTCGACCTATGTTCCAGGAAGGTAAGAGGTCGGCCTCGAAAGGTCGTGTGAAGCATCCAGGCGTCTTTACCTTCACTTCCGGTCGTGATTATTGGTGGTACAGTTGATACAGGTCGTGTGCGTATTCTCCGTCGGCAGGCTTGATTCATCTTACCCTTGCTTACCCTTGGTGGCGAAAGGCAGAAGGAAAGTCGGAAAGTAGGTGTGGAATACTGAAGACATGAGATACCCACCAAGACAAATCACCTTTGTCTCGATAAGAGCACACTTAGTAGCGCCGGAGCTTTCGCGGGTCTTCGTAGCCGCCTTCGTATCCACGCTTGCGGCTGTCGTCGTCTCTGGAACGGTCGCTGTCGCGGAAGTCTCGTCCGCCGCGAACTGGTTCATAGTTGGAACCGCCTCGTCGGTCTCGGTCGCCGAATCTGCCACCGTCACGGCCTCCGTCACGAGGTCCGCCAGATCTGTCATCATATGAGCGGCCGCCACGTGAGTCATACCCACCGCCATATCGGTCACGGTCACCGCCTCGGTCATCACCTCGGTCTCCTCCACCACCGCGGTCTCCTCCACCGCGGTCTCCGAAACGGCCGCCGCTACCACCATAACCAGGACCACCGGGGCCAGCTGGAGCGTTGGGAGGGGCACCATAGCCGTTTTGCTGACCAAAGCCACGATCGCGACCTCCGCCAAAGCCTCCACGATCTCCGCCGCCTCGGAAACCCCCACGATCTCCGCCGCGAAAGCCTCCTCCGCGTCCACGGCCTCCTTGGAATCCTCCTCGGAAGCCTTCGCGGCCACCAAACCCATCGCGGCCGCCGAAGCCGCCACCAAATCCGCCCTGACCGGCTGGTCGAGGGGCTGCAGCTTTCGTATAACCTCGGCCACCCAGACCACCACCTAGACGACGAGGCTTCCAGCCCTTAACTGTTCGGCCTCTCTCGACATCTACCTTGATTCGGCGGTCTTTGATGCGGATACCATCGCAACCATCTAGAGCAGCTAGTCACACGTGCGCAGCAACGCGCGTTTGTCAGTAAAGCCTTACCAGGTAATCATACCTTATGTTTACCGATGGGGAGACAGGGGAGAGATAGGCAAGCTTGAGGGCCAAAACCTCATGTGAGACACATGGTATAGCCATTTGGTAGGTTGGTGTGAATGGTCTGGAAAATCAATGGCTGTTTTACCTCTCATGTCTTTCTCACGCTCAAACACAACGAAAGCATATCCGCGGTGCGGCTTCTTCTTCTTATTGGGCCGTTCGTGCGCATGGGTATCAGTGATGATACGGATCTGTTCATGGTCAGCATAGGAACGTGGTGAAGCGGGAGTGAATGTAGCGCGTACGCGTTCGATGGGTCCAAATCGCCCGAACTCCTTCTCGAGGTCATGTTCGTTGACGTCGTAGCTCAGGCGCGCTGCAATCAAAGTCTTGAACGGATCGCCACGGATGTTTTGGTCCTCGGTTGATTTGTCTAAGGGTAGACAGTTAGCGCGCCGTGATCTTTGGGCTACTGGAGAGATGGTGTGGATGGATGACTGACAAGGTTCGGCAAGCAGCTGCTCCTGTTTCGCCTTCTTCTCGAGCTTTTTGCGATCGCGCATTTCAAGCCAACTCTCCGTGGGCACATATACATCCGTTTCCTTGTAAGCCGCGAGCGCCGGGAGGTACTCGCCAAGGCCGGTGATGGCATGCGTCTTGCGTTCCTGAGGAGCGTGGTCGGGCGCAGGCACCCATCGCAAGGGTGGGCGCGGCGCAAAGAGTGCCAGAAGGTTGGGGGGCAGCTTGTCTGTCATGATCCCAAAGCTTGAGGTTTTCAGGAGATGTCAGAAAGATGCAGGCGATGACAGGGATATCCAGGGATGAATTGCTCGCAGAGATGGAACAAAAGGGACTCGAGAAATAACGAGCGAGGTGGCTTGAAAGAGAATGTGAAGGGATGGAGGTTTCGCGTGCGGCGTTGGGGTCAGTGGAAATTGATTCACCATCGCTCTGTCATTTTAGCCGATTATCACCCGCGCCATGCAGACTTGCACGCTAGCCCGTTCTGCACTAGCGCATCAAGCACCTAAGAGCTTGCTATCCTCGCTCCCTGAAATTTCGCGACAGTGACCAAACGGCTTTACGAATGTGATCTCGTCGAATAGCAACTTCACAAAGGCAACGATGACGATCAGGGCATTGGAGAAGGTGTCTGTCGGCCAGGTATGACTCTTACCACCTACAATCGTGTGGCGCTCTAGCGATTGACTTTGAACCAGAATGGCGTTGGCGCCTTCATTCTACAATGCAAGAGAATGGACATTCACTACTGCGACTATTCCGGCAGCTCAAGAGGGATGAAGTAAGCCTCGTCGACCAGTCTACCTTGGGTGTCTTCTCTAACCATGGGTTGCCAGTGCTTTTATTAAATCCCAGCTAGCGAAGTTCGCTTCGACGCATCCTCAGATCGAATTCGCCGTCTCCCCACGTCCGCGCAAACACCCCGTCCTCACCGGCCACTACATCAACGGCAAACACAAGTCCATATGCGTCAAGAACATGGACTCGCTACAAATACTGAAGAAGGCCGAGTTGTTACGGGATGCCAGCGGGGAGAAGATCAGGAAAGTCAACAAGCCCATCACGAGTATTACCGAGAGTGTCAGGGGTGTCTGGAGTCCATACCACGGGAAGGGAATGGCAGTGTAAGAGGGAGGGAGCAAGCAACTTTGCGAAGAGCAAACTGTACCATCATGTGTGGCTGTTACGAAAAACGGCTCGAACTGTACATCATGGGCTGGCGTACTTACATCATATAACGAGTCCCGAGATGCATGCAAGCAGCGTCTACACCCGAATTCGAGGAGACTACAAACGCATCCTCGCTTTGCCATGTTGATCGATTCGTCATTCTGTCACTTTTCACGTTTTGAATGGAGGTTGGGACTACAAAGAGGAGGGTATTTATAGTCATGGTTCGTGCCCAATCTTCCGAGTCCATCCCACACCCATTCCCCCTTTTCCATCATACAGTCATGAGAAAAGTATTTCTAAAGTATCAAGGCCGCTTTACAACTTGCTGTTGATGATGTCCACGACTATGCCACGGTCAGTTTTGCGTAGCGGAGAAATGGGTGGGGGTGGTTTGGGAGATACTCACATGCGGGCTTGAGACTGGCGCCACCGACCAAGAAGCCGTCGATGTCCTTCTCCTTGCTGAGTTCCTTGCAGTTCTTCTCGCTGACACTGCCACCGTACAGGATTCGGGTCTCGTCGGCGACAGACTGGCTGACGTTCTTGCTCAGCCACTCGCGGATGGAAGCGTGCACTTCCTGGGCCTGCTCGGTGGAGGCGACCTTGCCGGTACCAATGGCCCAGATGGGCTCGTAGGCGATGACGATCTTGCTCCAGTCTGAGATCTTGGCCTTGAGGGCAGCGAGCTGGCTGGCAATGACCTCGAGGGTCTTGCCGGCCTCGCGGACCTCCAAGCTCTCACCACAGCACCAGATGACGCTGACGCCGTTTTCGGTAGCGAACTTGGTCTTGGAGGCAACGGTCTCGTCGCTCTCGTTGAGGATGGTTCGTCGCTCGGAGTGACCCAGGATGGCCCAGTCGATGTTACTATCCTTCAGCTGGGATGCGGAGATCTCGCCGGTGAAAGCACCATTAGCCTTGTCGAAGACGTTCTGGGCGGCCACACCGATCTCCTTCTTTACGTGTTCGCGGACGAGGAGCAGGTACAGGGCTGGCGGAGCAATGACGGTCTCTGGTTGTACACAGCTCGTGTCAGTCTTGGAGCTTGTACCGAGAAAGCGGGCAGCACGCTGCAGCTTACCAGTGTTGGGGTCCAAGTCGGCCTTGTTTAGGTTCTGGACAATATCCTTGATGGACGAGATAGTCCCGTTCCTACGAGTACATCAAGATCCAATCAGTCTCCCCTCTGCACTCTGTCTTTCCCGTGGAAAGCTTGTAGGTGGGAGAGAACGTACATCTTGAAGTTGCCTCCGACGAAGAACTTGCGTGCCATCTTGAACAGCTGGTGTGACAAACGACTTGACTAGGGGAGGTTCGGAGGGTTGCTCTCGTATACAATTGTACCGTAAGGTAGGAAGAGGAAGCACAGTTGTTTTGTGGAAGAGTGTGAAGTACACAGAACTGACAGAGTCTGAGGTATAATAAGTGTCCGGGTAGCTCCAACAAGATGTTCGCCAGGAACCGGGCTATTGATTGACGAAATGGCGGGGTCCGTAGGTCACAGGAGGAGGAAGGAGCTGCTGTGAAAGACCCCGCCAAATGAGAGCATCGAGCATCGCCGCCCCGCTGCGCGAAAAAATATCGCCAGGAATTACCTCACACCCTCACACCCTCACACCACTCTGAACTCCCGACAACACTTCACACTCATCACCCGCAGGCTTGGACTTGCTGAATAGGAGTCCCCAGCATCGATACACCAAGCCCCTTTGCGTCATATCATAGGTTGAATTCAAGCTCGTTACAACTTCACCTACTACATAAATGACTACCAGTCCATCTTCCATCCAGCTGCTACCAGTAGACCATTCCAGAGAAATTCGGTCATAACGCCAAACCGTCACAGGTCCTTTCCCCTCCAGACTACAATCAGAACACAAACAGCACTGGTACAGATGTCAATCCTCAGCATCGTTGCGTCTTGAAATGCAAGAAGGACAACCCGCCCGAAAGATAACGCGCCAAGTGGAACTGAGAAAGGACACGACCTCTGTCCGCTAATGATAAGTTACCCTACAGTACGAAGCATGTCCACTACGGGTACGGCCTCCCTCGCCCAACCCGCGGGCTGAACGGATTCCTCTCTCTGCGGGGCAGGGGAACCTCGATATACCGATGAGGTACTTCAAGATCACCGTATCGTCTCACGTACTCGCCGGGTCTCCGTTCGTCTCTGCTGCTGAACGTGTATGACGATGGCGACGGTGGGTCCTTGAGGAACGGGTCCTCATCCAGTAGGGAGCTGTGGCCGTGGTGCCCTCGAAGCACATAATCTCGTGGTCGACGAGCGTCTACATATCGATGCGATATCTCATACTCGTCCTCGTCCTCGTCGTCCAGAGACAAGTGAGAAAACCGGGGTACATCATCGCCAAAGCCTCGTCGAACACCATGACGATAATGGAACTCCTCAGGATCAACCGACACCGGGCGCGCTCTGAGGAGTGGCTGTGGTGACTGTATGATGCGTGGTCTGAGATGTGTCGCACGCACCTCATCCGTCCTCTGGTCGCGTCTTCCTGCGAGGTAGGCGTCCTCCTTGGCTCTCTCGATGTCACTAGCCGGCGCCCTAGGAGGTGGAGGTGGTGGTGGAGGTGGAGACTGCGGTCCTGGCGTCACTGGAGTTTGGAAGACCCGAGGCCCATGGTTAGGGCTACGGTTATCATGGGCTCCATGGTGCCTTGGCGGGTTCACAACATAATATGTGCCCTTGTCTCCTCGCCGTTTGCTTGGGCTTCGAGCGTGGTGGTCCTTATGGTGCGTACGGCCTCGATGCCCATGCCTGTTCGACGACCCCGAAGATTGCAATGTGCTCGGTGTCATGATACCGCTCGACCCGCTCGATGATGAACTGTCCGAGGAGTCAGAGTCACTGTCTGAATCAGTGTGCTTTCCTCCCTTGCCCTTGCCACCCCCCTTGCCCTTTCCTTTACCACCGGCTTGAACCATATGGACAGGAGTAACGCCGCCTACTGGCCGCAGCACGTTGGGCCGGAGTGGTGGAGGCCCAGTTCCTCTACCTCCGCCGGGCAATTGAGGGTTTGGATGCGGGTGGTTGGCTTGGTTTTGGTGCATGAAGAGCGACTTCCTCCTCTTGTTTTCCCAGAGCGCTGGTATGTGCACGTCCGGGCGGGGAACGCGCTTGAAAAAGGCTGTGAGGGAAATTCTCTCGAACACTCGCTTCTTGTGACGGCGACTCCCACCAGAGCTATACCGTTTCCCCTTCGAGGTATGATGTCTTCGAGGCGGCGAGTAGTGACTCGCTCCTGTTATGACATATGGAGGGACGGCCTTGAGTTGATGATCAATTTGGGCAAGGACCCATTGATAGTTCATCAAGTCGGGGTCTCGGGCTGTGAGAAGCTCTAGCGCTTTCTCGATCTGACGCTGCAAAACGGGTTTCAGGGACTTCATCTTGTCTGAGATGGGTGCTTGATTTCTATCCAGTTCTCGAATCTGCCTTAAAATCTGTTGGCGAGACATACTTCGAACCTCGGTTCTGATGGCTTTGTCCCAACTAGGTTCTCGAAGTCGACCTTCGTCGTCATATTGATTTTGCTCTTTCATCTTCTCGAATCGGTATACAACATACTCCGTGAGCTGAGCCCGCATGTCGGCTTCCGAGACGAGGTCCTGGCTCACATCCGATATTTGGACATGCGGTCCCATGCGCAAATCTACCGGAAGAATGTCCCGGGGCGGAGGAGGTGGTCCATGTCCTGGCGGGCCGACAGGTCGACCGTTGGGGGCCGGAGGGGGAGCCGAAGTGCAAGGACCACCCCTTCCATTGATGCGGATGAACGGCGGGTTCATTGTTGCAGTGATGTGCAGACTTGAGGTTTCGTACCCTTCTGGCAAATGAGGTTGAGTCACAGGAGGGTGGATGTCTGCTTTCAGTTCTCGGGCGACTGGAGCTGTGAAGTGGAAATTCCAAATGATCAGGTGGGAGAGCGAGGTTTATGTGAACAACCACCGCCCGATTATCTCACCGCGCAGGCAGAAGAATACGTACTCGAAGGTGAGGCGAGAACAAACCCTCCTTTTCACAAGAGGGTGTGGACGGGGTTGGACCCCCGTACTTATCAAATGAAGTGGGGCTATCAATGTCCAGGAGGCGCGCCGCGTAGCCTCAAGACACAAGGTTGTGTATATCCATGCTCAACGAAGAAGCCTTACACCACACCATAACCCGAAGCCAGAGATGGTTTGCCTCCGTTCCAACGCCCTCGGGTCGGATAGCAGCTGCCGACTGGATGTCACCACTCGGGAGTTAGACTGAAGCTTTGTGGTCAGTCAGGACAGCGCGTCTAGATCGACATGCATCACTCATTATCGGGAGGCGGTCCCATGATGTCTGAGCAGAACGCAGCAAAGCATTCCTCCTTGCGAGGCCCTTGGTGAGTTGCCTTGTTGTCCATCAAGTTGCACAACAGCATACCTCTCTGTTGCCTCGTTTCCTGTGCCGAGTATGGACCCCAGCTGTGCCGAGAGTTGGAGAAGGCTGCGGGCGCTTACTGCAAACCATGGCGAACCACCAAGGCAAACATCTGCCTGCCGAGCCTGACCAAGATCGCCTCATGGAAAGCGCAGAAGTCGTAAGGTCTACTACAGACAGGGCGTAGCCGTGGCTGCTTAGCCCCCTCACTTTCGTCATTATATTGCAGTCTTCATGCAGTCTTGTGCACGAAGGGGCAGTCTCCAATGACAGCAACTGCGAACCCAGGCGTGCTCGATGCAGCACCCAGGCGTGCTCGCTGCAGCACCCAATTGCGTCTGGCATTTCAGCAATATCATGTGTGCAGGGTTCGAATCCATCATACGAATCTGTCGCTCGGTGTAAAGGTCAATCACTTGATCAGGCTCTGGTGCATGTTTGTGAGGAGACTCCATAGGTGCCCTGCGCTTTCCGTTGTGTCGATTTGTACAAAAAGGACACATCGAGGTGTGGAAGCGAAATTCAGCTACGTCACAAAAGCTGAAACTCAGCTGGCCATTTCTTGAAGCGGTACCGAGCTCTCTTCAGCCGGGCGTCGTGTACTGCTGACGGTAACGCATCTCGGTACGCACCAGACCCATGTCAAGCCAGATATCGAGGTAGGAGGTTAACAATGCTGCTCTGAAATGGGGCAAGGTAACCGTCGCAGTCCGGTCACCTCTCACCAGACTGGGGATGGTTTTGTTTCAAATCGTTGATCGGCTGGGTCTCACCGTCCATTCGTGATATATCAAGCCAAATGTTGCGAACCGGTCTTGTTGCCTCACAGTCAACGCTTGTCAATCCGTAATCGGGCATGAGGCCATGCTTTGCCCCTTCCTAGTCTCCAACCCTTTATCTCATATATCATCGGATGATTAATGATTCTGCTTCGAGCATCTGCCGAGGGCTTGTGTACACCTTAAATCAGATCAAGTTTCCTCTGACAGCATTCGCAGTTTCGAGGTCGCCGACCCACGTTGCCTCTCGTTTCCCGGGCGGATGGTCGACATAAGCCGAGAGTGCGCCCACGAGAAGGAGAAGCAAGACATTGGGCAGAGATGCTTGATTGGCATGCATGCCCATACGCGCACGCTGCTTCCTCTCGCTGATACGTACACACCGTTGCAATGTACGCACGGCATAGCAGAGCCGCACGTGGCAAAGCGATGCCAACAAGCCGGGCGATCTGTTGCCCTGTCATTAGTTTGCGATCCTGAATCTCTTCAGACTGACGACCGCGGGAAGTAATCCAAGCATACGCGTGTCTCGACCGGTCCGTTCCACTCTTGTCGCGGCGGGTAATCACTGGTGTGGCTCCTTGCCGTCGTCTGTTCCGGTCGTCTATTGCCGTCTTGCTTGCGGGTTGCCCCTTCTTGGCACTGCCAACTGTTCTTGAGCTCGACTCGTAGAGTCAAGCAAACTTCCTTACAAGCGGCCGTCAGCTCGAACTCCCTGTGGTTTGTCTCTTCTCCTCTTCTCCTCGCCTTTTCATCCGCGGATACTCCTGCGTGGGGGGCGCGGGATGTCCGCCTGAGCCTCGGGGTATGACATTGTTTCACAGAAAGCACTCCACACCGTTGACAGTAAACGGTCTGATGCGGCCGACTACTCCTGCGTCGTGTACTCGGAGAATTTATTAAGACCCTCAGCGATCAGGGGGTCAACTGACCGAACATATGCCAGCACCCGGTCCGCTAACAACAATATACCTGATGAAGCTCCAGCGCCGTGTAGCGATACGCAGCAGCTACCTAATGCGCTGTCGATCGCCCCTTGGTATATGGTCCGGGTATACCTGTCGATCAGGGGATAAACCCCGGAACGGACCATCGTCAACCCGCGTGTGACAAGATCGAGAAACTGCCCGACGGCCTAGCACCTAGCCGCTAGACATTGCCGTGGCAGTGGGTTCGGGAGGCCTTATCTGTCATGGGCAGTTGCTGCCGTTGTGGGTGGCGGCACGAAGATGGGGTGGGAGAGTTACCATGGTCGGTATGCTGCCGCGTCCTGTCACTATCAGAGTCCGACTTCGCTGTACGTCTCTGACCAGTTGCGTATATACTAGGTAAGACTTTCGTCCAACCTTGACACCAACACTCACTGCTCGATCTGGTCAGACATTCGATATCACAGACTACGTATGTCAGCACAGCATCGTCACTAATTTGTGCGGGTATCGACTTAGTAGTACGGTACGGCGTATCACGCAAGAACTCAATCCCGGACTCGTGACCAGAGGAACAGATGCTGGGACCCATCAGCTCCTGCGAATCCTTAAGGGTCTTGCGAGCAAACAGAGTAGCGGTGACGCCCGAGGTGCACAACACGACACGACCGATGGCTACTGACTGAAGTTTTCTGTTTGTTTGCTATCGGTGTCGCGTGCGAAGGAGTCGGCCGATCGGGCCTGCGAACCGGCATCTCTCGCGGTGATGGTTCTCGGTGAGCTCATGTGTCCTGATTCGTGGATCGATCCGTACCGACCGATACCGCCCTTGTGGTACGGGCTGACTGGTGTTTGATGGATGCCATCAGACTGTTCGATAATCAGACTCCTGCTGGCCACTGACGCCTCCTCTTGTGCGAGGCTGCAAGTCAGGCTGGTGCTCGTGTAGCTGGCTGTGAACGATGATGCCGATCTTGGCATCGCACAGGCAAGGATCAGCCGGTAAGAAATAGGTTGCATGCATCCTACTGATGGTACATAGTGCTCGGAGATTTTTATTCAGGACAATTTGCGTGAGACAGCAGTTGCTGCCGTCGCACGTGGCAGCTGACATGCTGCTACCTAAAGTACCTACCTTAGTGTGTGTGTGGTTGTGTCCCTCTCTCCGGAAGGACTACGCATAGCTCCGCAGGAGGCTAGTCAGCCGTATAACACGCCTCGTGGTTAGTGCCAGGAAATGTCCTAATGGTGGAACGTCCAGGGCTGGATTCCGCACGCGATGTCTTATTGTTGGCCACGGTGCTCGCGTTGTGTGTCTACCTACTGAGCGCTAGTTTTCCAACAGTGGGATCCTGAGGGCGATGACACCAAAGCTCGCAGCTGCGAACTGCCGTTACTCGAGTGCCTCCAAAGGTGATATTGAGGGTGTTCTTTGGGTCTTGATGGAGCCACAGCTCCAACCACATGTGCTGGTTTGCTGCCCTGCTGCTGGTGAAAAATGCAGGGAAGTCCCACCAAGCAAACTCGACTGCGGTGAACAGCTTGTAGTCACAAGTAAACCGCCATCAGTCTTTTATGATGATTCATCAAGTCGGGTACCCATCCACTAAGTTACGCAGCTCCCGTCTGACACGTCGTAACTTATAAGCCACGCCTCGAGCAAGTCGCACGAGAATACATAGTCAGATACGCCATCAAGTAAGACAGCAAGCTCCAGGCGCGCCTGTTGCACCTACGTATGCTCTCGATAGTCCGAAGAGGCGCACATTTCATTCTCTCGCTCGCCGAGATCTGGGGAATCATTTAGGTAAGTAGGTATGTTATGTTGAATAGTGGCTGGCAGGCATGGGCATGGGCGTGGTGGACGCGTCATCTTGACCCCTTGGGTTTGCATGCAAGGGTCTTACTGATGCCCCTTTGTAAGTTGTGGTTTGGGTCCTTGACTGTGTCTGTGGATGGACGAATCGGCTCATGCCTCATGCCTGGTATGTATAATGGGAAGTTAGGTACGTCGCTGGGGTTTGTTTGATGGTTGTTGAGTAGTAGTAATTAGTTGTCTTTGAACTGGGGTTCTGTGGAGTTGAACTGGGGTTCTGTGGAGTGGGAAGATGGGAATATGGGAGGATGTTGTGGGCTTGCGTGTTGGTTGTTTCGAACGCGAAATCTTGAGTGTGAAAAGGAGTAGGGGATCAGACCTGTATTACACGAGACAGGCGACGAGGTCTAAGACTGAGCAAGGGTATTGTGGTCAGCTTTTGACGGTGGTAGGGGCGTATCATGGCCAGGTATCAGCCAAGATCTAGATCCAGACCCAGGCCTGAAGCCAAAGTCAACGTCCTCGTTGCAGACCCGAGCTTTCCAATATTGATCTCGTACATTTGCTGAGAACCTCGTCCTGCCAGGATATCCTGGGAGCTTATTACCAGGTTGATCGGCCCGCTCTACGAGTCTCAGGACTTATACCCGGATCTAGAGTGCCCATGACGCCCCCTCCCCCCCGGCGTGATCTAGAACATGAAGAACCAGGCTGTAATTTCTCAAGTGGCTGAGGTAGGTCTATGATGCGAGCAAGCGGTTCTTCCGGGGGATGGTTACAATCGTCTCACGAGCATCCCACGATGGCTTCGGTGCTGACAACCCTTAGTTGTCGATGCCACACTCTTCCGTGTCGACGTAGGCAGCCAAAATGGCTACCTACGTTTCTTACAGACGAACTCTGAGGAAGTTGGTGAGCTCACTCATTATACTCTTGGGATGTAGTTGAAAGGCGCCCTTTTCGGCGGTGTTAGGTTTGGGTTCGAGTCTCGAGCTTAGTACTGAGCTTTTGGTCTTTTTTTCCTTAGGGTCCTCTAAGACCCAAATATAATGAATTTTAAAAATCAAACTAATCTTTCCATATGAAACCCTGAGTTTATATCATCTCTCACAACATCACCATCAAACCGTAAGCAAGTCTCGCGCGTCGCAGACCACACCAATCTCACAAGCCAGCTAACAACAGCAAAACGACCTAGGGAACCGATAACAGCCCAGAAACTCACACCGGACCTCATATGATCTATCTGCCGCGCATGTACGTATGCACGATGCAGATCCAAACCCACTCCTTACGAGAGACCCGGCCCGAGAGCGTGGTAGGAGCGATCTACATAGATTGCAGTACGCATTGTAGCCCACTTCCCGATCGTCGAGGTTAGCGATCCAAAAGTGAACCCCTGTGATGGCATATGGGGGCCCGATGGCGAAGTTGGGGCCGCAGGTCAAGAGCTTGGGGAACTCTTGTCCGTGTTTGCCAGCTTGGCTAGTCTGACTCCCTTGGCAATTTCGTGGTCGTCGGGTGCTCTCGTTATTTTGACGTGTGTTGGAACAGGCTTGAACGATCAATCATAATACTCGAGTATGGGGTCAAGGTCATGATGTTGCTGATGGTTGGATTGGGAGGTCTAGCTGGACCTGAAGGTCTGGCTAAGTGACCTCGCAATCCGGTATCTAATCACTTATCTAATCATACATGTGGGTCCTGGTATAGATGGTTTGCAGGCTGGAATCGCATGGATCCAACAACGTGACTACTTACTCAACAGGTGACAAGTATAGCACGAGATGAGTTCACAAGGAATGTAGGTAGTCTCGTGAAGTATGCTTCATTACTAGTTGCACACATTACAGTTCTTGACCATCCATGTATCTATGATAAGACCTGCCTTTCGGCATACATACAAGAGGATCAGATCATCTATAGTCTCGTCAAGGCACACGAGTGAAATGTGACCATCATCTACGGGATGTTGCAACCAGCTGTCTCTCCGTCGTAACCATCATGAATACATCGTCCATAGCTTATGACTCCAGGCCGTTGTTGGTGAGGAGGTTGACGGTGCCGCTGGGGACACCGGAGATGACGCCCTCGAGAGCAACCAACGCGATATACTCGCACGCACCGGCGGCGGTCGTGGCGCCGAGGCCGAGGAAGTAGGCAGCAAGGCCGGCGACGTGGGGAGAGGCCATCGAGGTACCGGAGATGGTGTTCGTGGAGTCAGTGGGCCAGGTGGACTTGATGTCGGTGCCAGGGGCCAGGATGTCGACGATGGAGCCGAAGTTGGAGTAGTAGGCCAGCGCGTCGTCGATACCGGTAGCACCGACTGTGCAAACGGACGCCTCAGATGCGGGAGAGGAGTCGGAAGCATCGGCAGCATCGTTACCGGCGGCTACGGCCATGAAGTGACCGGCACTGACAATGCTGGCTGCTGCGGCGTTGACTGAGGCGGAGTAACTACCGCCGAGGCTGAGATTAACGACGACGCCATTGGGGCAGTCCCGCGTCTTGGCGTCGGTGACAACGAAATCCATTCCAGCGATGACACCGGCGCTGTGATATGGTCAGTGTTACTGCAAAGCAGGACAAATTGAAGTTGTCACGTACTTGGAGCCCGAACCGCTGGCGTTCAAAACCTTGACGGCGAACAGCGACGTCTTCTTGGCAACGCCGTAAGTGAGGGAGCCAATAGTACCGGCAACGTGGGTGCCGTGGCCGTGACCGTCGGTGTCGTCGGTGTCGACCTCGTTGTCAAGGAACGTAGCACGGCCCTCGAAATCCTAGTGTTGTTAGCACGAGGTAGCTAGTACGGGGCAGTCAATTCAGTATTACCGGGTGGGTGACATCGATACCGGTGTCGACGATGTAGGCGCAAGTGCCCTCGCCAGCGCTCTCGTCATAGGTGTAGGTGGTGCTTCCCGGCTCGGTGTTGGACAGCCGTGCGAGGCCCCAGTCGGCGTCCTCCTGCGTCACGGTGGCCGAGATGCTGACACGGGCATCCTGCTCGATCCACTCTACCTAGGGGCTTGTCAGTATATGGGTGATGGATATCTTGCAAGGTTTGCTCTCAGCTCTCAGCTTACATTGGGGTTGTTCTGCAAAGCCTCGACCTCATCGGCTGTCATGGGAGCGGCATAACCTTGGAAATCGTCGAAGTTGTATGTGTAGTGGGCATCGCTAGCAATAGCCATGATGGATTTCGCGACAGCTTCAGTTTCGGCATCACTCTTCATCTTGACGATGTATCTGCCCTCGACGAGAGTACCACGCGGCTTGATGACGGGCGCGGGAACATCTCGCTTCGAGGGGGCGGCGAGCGCCAAAGGCAGCAAAGCAAGGGCGATTGTAGAACGCATCTTGAGAGGTATGTGATGGATAACGAGAGTAGATCTGAAGCTGAGTTGTCGACGGGAGCGGAAACCTCTCTGACGATGTGCTTCTTGGATGGGGATGGAGAGAGAGAAGGCAAGACGACATTTGACGGGAAAGACACGGCCTTTTTATAACACGTCAAGCTCTGGGATGAAGTCTATGGGATGGCTACCATGGTCAACTGCGAGGCCATAACATCGAATGCAACTCGCCATGGCTGGTCTTACCAGGATCGATAGTTATGCCACGAACGGCGGACTTGCGGGTTTCCCAGTCAGGGTATAAGGCTTCAGACCTGGAGAGATACGGTGTGGCTTGGCAAAGAGCTTCTCGAGAGCCGAGCACTGGAGGAGAAGTCGTCGTGGAGGTGTTTCAGTGGCCGGGCAATCCGATGATAGGGCCTTCCCGCTCTTTGCATCTTTGCATGTAGCGCCACTTCCCGCAACGGGGTTCATGTCGGCAGGATGGAGCTTCCCATTCGCCAGCTAGTGAGCGTGTTCTCGCTTGTCACGGAAGTCGTGAGCCCTGCCCCTTGCACCTTGCACCTTGCACCGTGCCCCAACGGTCCTGCTTCTCTACTGTGCATGTGCAGGCAGCAGGCAGTAGGCAGTACATAGGCAGGGGCCATGGTGTCAGTGTGCCCGGGGTGCAGTAGTGGTGCGGATCGGCAGGCACTCGGATCTAATCAGATGCCCTGAAATGAGCTGCACCGTCTGCAGGACCAATAGCGCAGTCGGACTATAGGGCCAACATTGAAGCTTCGGGTCGACGTGCAGTCGAAGCGTAGAATGGTGGCCGCTTGGCGGTTGCCAAGCTATGATCAACCTCAAGCTGCTCGCGTCCTTCCTCATGCGGTACTGTTCCCCTTGATGTCGAGCATCAGACGCCAGGGCTCACCACCTCCCTCCCACCACCCTCCTCCGACCAAGCTTTACTGATCGGGGGCGTTGATCGCTCATATGCCCGAGATTCGATGGCCTTGAGCCCCGTATGCAGCGATGACAGCGCCGAGGACAGCCCAGTACGCAACGCCAAGCTCTGGGCACGAGGTAATGTGACGGTTCCAATGCATTGCCTGGCATTGCGGCTACCGCACGTATCGGCGAATTGAGCGGTGGTCTATCAAGCCCATGCAATAGAACGCATTGGCATCGATTACCACCAGACTCATAAAGTACAACGGTCAGGCCAAGTGGTGATGACGATGGATGTCGTGGGAGGGGAATGCTGCAGTGGATAGTCATCAGGGGTGGCTTCGGGGTGGCTGCATCTTTTCATCAAGCTTATCTCAGCCCCCACACAACTTTTGAACTTCCCCGGCATCCACACCTTGTGCTCGACCACCTCCATCCCGCTCCATCCCTACCATACATATAATCCCTATGATCTATCATTTGCTGGCCTGTCTCGCCTGTTCGCCTGATCGTCTGCACCCCGGCATTCACGATGCCAAGTACCGGCGCTATTGCCCCTCCGCGACCTGATATAGTCGTGAGCCCCATATTAGATAGGGGGAAATCCTCTGCTTGGCTACAAGCTCGCAAGGTCCCGCCACATTCACGACTTCATATCGCGATATCGCTCCACGACTGTCGAGTGCCAAGAAAGGCTGTCGGCCAGCCATACTCGCAGCAGAAGGACGAACTATCGCAGCCTTGGGGGTCGAGCTTGTACGGCCGTACCCCGGAGAGCGCGGGCCTCTGGCCTTTGTCAACCCGGTCATACCCCAGGTAGTGAGCTGCTGAGATCTGCTTCAAGGGTCACGGCGCCGTAGTCACTGCCCGTCAGCGGCGGCGCCTGTGGCGCTTGGTAAGCGAGATCTATCATATTCCCCATATATGATCTCCAGCTCAATCGAAACTTACCTTCCTTCTACAGAAACCCGGCTTCGTGTCGTACGACCGTCTTCCCGGAGCTGTCCCATGTCGCCTCACTCAATGGCTGATATACAGCATCAGCTCGCGCACCCCGCGACTTTGCCAAGAGGCGCGCAGCTAGGTCGTGGATATTAAGTCCTAATGAAGTAGGACCAACACAACATGTGGACTCTCAGCTGTTGTTCTCCCGCATGGTTCCCGCTTCTTCACATGTCTGCGCCGGGCTGAGGCTCTCGAGTTACGAATGCTACGGTCGTATTCGGCCTTTAGTCCATCAGTAGAAAGTGCTGCCGGGATGGCTAGCCATTTATGCTCCGCTTTGCATCTCTCGCAATTGTGGCATGGTATACCAATTACTGCCATTTTCAGGCATCCTGAGATCGAGTAACGCTTGACCCGACTGTCGATATCTGCGTGCAGACTACATGGGCGGCAGTATGTCGATCAAGGTCTGTTTTCATCATCGGTGCTCATGGCCACTCAACAGGCTCACTTCACTTGAACCGAGCTGTTACCGTTTGGAAGTGTGCAGAATTTCACAACATTCGACGAGGTAGTTATTGGGAGTAGGGAGTACTACTTTAATCTACGATGGAACCCAATAAGATGTGCTTCTGGTTCGATCTTATCTCCCCTCATGCCGGTAGTTATGCCACCAACAAGATGAGTTCAGATCCGTTTGCATTCGTTGCTAACGTTGTGTACCAGGATACATACATTGAGATGCATTAGCATCGAAAGTTCTGACTTCTCTATCCTTGAAGCTCGGTAACGACTCTCTCTCGGTGTCTGCACCATACATGAGCTCATACAATATGCTTGCTACCCACGACCTGGGACTGCATCAAGCTCCCTATGACTCGTTCTAGTTGCTACCTGAGCCGACACAAGTGACAGGAACCATGCTGATGTCCTGATCTCTCACACCCAGAGCTTCGTACTCCGACGACCGATTCGACAATTATCCGCGCGGCTGATGTTGGAGAGGCATAACACCGTCGAGGTTTGCTAGGTACCCCTTGGGATGCCGTGAGGTATCGTTCTTCTTGGTAATGTTAAATTTGACTCTATCCTCCTCTAATGGAATTTCGGAAGGAAATCTTGGTTATGGTTGATGGCTAGCCTTCATAGGGTCACGATGCTGGGCACGGGAGTCCTGCTATTCGAGAGGCGTTGAACCTCACCCGGGCACTCATTTACCCAGGTACTCACTCCTAATGGCAGAGCAGCGCTCGCGAAGACTCCCGGCTGCGACATGTCAAGCATAGACATATACACGATGTCAAGTCCCGAAGGCCCATGGAAATGTCCTGTCAGCCCATGTCTCGGATACTCGAGTGGTATATCCTTCTTCTTCCGTCTCACCCGCTTGAGCAGCCAAGCTCGTTGCTCTACTGATGCTGTTGCCCTTCTCTTGGGCAGCGTGCCATATTCTACACGTAGGCCAGGCTCGCCAGTCCTCGCAGCACCAGACACAACGCCAAACAACTTGTCAGCATTCCCTGCCCAGTGGAGGTGAGCTAGCAACTGCAGAAGAAGTAACCCACGGCCGAAAATATCTATTACCTAGAGCGGTGAAGAGCCTCACAGCGGAACAATCAGCGATCCGGTGCTGTATCTAGCCAGCTGTCCCCGGCAGAAGCGCTTAATCCAAAATGTTCACGTGGAATAACTGTTTCAGCTGATCGCCGACGCCATACAGCGAGAGATCGAACCAGGCGAAGGCCGGAATTCGGTAGAGGGTGATAGAACGAAAAGGGAAAGGTAGGTTAACGGTATGAAGGGCCCAGAACAAGAAGACAAAAAAGAATGTTTCAATCGCTAGAGGAATCGAACCGCTGTGCCTAAGAATACCTTTAAAGAATACTTTGTAAGAATATTTCGCTAGGCCGTACCAACCCGGCTACCAGATTATCCCATTGAACTTGTATATATATCCTGTGCCGTTGTGAGTGCGCACGTAGATAGTATGGGGCTGAGTTGTAAGCTTCGGCGTGTGGCTCTTGGGAAACTTTGCTTATGATTGCCTCTTCCCATGTGAGCTTAGCTTGCAATTCTATGTATGGATGTAGCTGGATAGATAGATGGATAATATAGCAGCGAACTTGCGTTACATCGAGCGCGACCCCAGGCCTAGCGATTGACTATAGGGGCATTGTCTTCGGGAGTACCTCTGGTACGGCAGTGGACGGTTTCTACTGCCAAACACTTCAGGCTGGCAGCGGGCATCTTTCGTGAAAAGGGGGTATGGGAGTGCATTAACTGTAAGGTACTAGGTATAGCCTCCAAGGTCGCAACTCCTACCGAGCTCCGTTTTAGACAGGCGTTGCTGATATTACGTGTCTCCCGGGAATCGCATTTTGACATGGGTTATTATTTGTCTAACCATCTATGTACACGCTTTGAGAGAGTGCAATCCTCCAGGTTAGTTACACGCTTCCAGAGAATCCGGACTTCCACTGTTACCTACCCGCCTCGAGAGACTTCGAACTCTTATCGTGAACAATGTACCTGAATCCCAAGGCCCGAAGTACGCTGGACTGATCAATATGAATCCTGCTATCGCGACTTCGGTTGGAGAATAACAGCTGGCCGGCATAATTGGCCTTGTCGTATATTGACCAACCCGCGAGACACGCCAAACCCTAGGGCTGGGTCCATGTCGCTGGCAAGTTAGTATTTCGTATGTCCGCGCCGAGGTGTAACGTATTTAGTATATCACTGTGCACTTGCTGTTGATTCGAAGGGAGACGTTTCGAATACAGGCTGACCTTCCGTTCCGCAGCGCCGTCGTCCGAATCAGCTCTAGCTGCCGCGCTGTCGCGAGGATGAAACGCGTACGTCCAATCCACGTGGCAGCGTGGAAGGTTGGATGAATGCACTATTTCATGGGCTAGAGCAAGGGGCCGCTGGGGCTACTAAAGCCGCGTTAATTAGCTCGCATAGCGTGATAACTATGAGGCATGCAACCTGGTGGAGGGTGGGGGCCCAAAGAGGCTCAGTGTCTGCGTGTTCTGGAGGCTATGCAGAAATCTGGATTACTCTTAGCAGCAAGTATTGATGATGTCTGCAGCGGGGAAACGCATGCTTGGTTGACACTTCGAATACACCATGGGTCGTCCAAGCGTCCATCTCTTGGTGCCTTCGGTAGATCGCGAAAGAAAGACAGAGCACATGCTAGTTAGTTTATGACTACTGGGTCTGGATGTTAGGTCTGAGCAAGCCTCAAGTACCCAGAAAACCGCAAGCCAGCTTCCCCATCAAGTTGACTGAGAGAATACAGCAGCCCAAACATCCATCGTTTGTACTTGAGCACCGTCCAAAGCATCCACAGCTGCCATGGCTGCATCCCGGGCCGACGCAATCATGAGCCTCATTCTCGCGTTCGGCACAGTGACCTCTAGGTCGCGGAGAAACCTGGGGCTTACAACAGTGCCAACCTCCCAGCTGCCATCGAGCAATCCGACAGCGGGAACCACCGAGTCCTCTTGGGCCGGTGCCCAGCCAGATCGCTTGGCGATGTCCGTAATTGCCCGTGGGCTGAGCGGGGAGCGCACGTTCTCGCTGCTCTCAGCCTTACAGCTTTCGAGGCTCCCCCGAGCCAAGACGGCCAGTGCATGTGGTATTGCCGCCTTTTCGGTTGCGTAGAGCGCATACTCGGCGATGCATACTCTTTTTACTCGTCCTTTCAGGGATTTGAGGATCTGTTCCAGTACCTGCTCTGAAGCGAAGTACCATATGCAGTGCGACAGCACGGCGACGTCCTACGAGCTATCGTCGGGTCGCAATAAACTCAACCGGCGAGGCGCGATGCCAGGAGATCCGACCACCCACGGAACTAGATGACATGTATGCTTGCGCCTGCGCAAGGGTGAATGGTGAACCGTAGTCTGGGGCGCCGGGATCGACGGCATCGATGTGGCCGGACGGGCCAATTGCTTCGGCGAGTACGGCCGTTGTGTTGCCCTGGCCGCAACCCAACTCGAGCACGCGAGCCCCCGGCTCACTTTTTCCATAAGTTGACGAGCCGGATTCGATGTTCGGCCTGAGCCAGCTCTATCTCGGGATGATCTTGGTCTTGTAATGAGTAAGAAGCGATCCTGGGGGCGGATGAAACTCTGATGCTGTGGGAAGGTGATGTCGCCATATTCAATGTGCTGTTTGTGGGATTCAGTGAGGAAGACAGGACTCTGACTCTGATGGTGACAGATTTCGTTGAGTTTCTTCGACTTTAGCAATTCAAGTCAGCACCTCCGTACATTATACCTAACGTGGGTGATAATAATCCGACCCCATCGTCAGTAGCAGCACGGCTCTTGTATCAGCAACAGCACGTGAGTCACAACGTGCTTATCAGCCATAAAGCTTCGGCGGTTAACAGCAGAGGCCACAGTGGGGTGACGAGGTTTTTGCCCTATGGTCTTACAGATCACTCGAGGGTTACAGCCATGTACGCAAATGGATTTGTCCAGCGCTTACAACAGCCTGCATTCATCACCTCGGTGTAGCCATCTCGAAACTTGCTATCACAGTCAGATGCAGATAGTTCATTCGGCTCTTCAGCGGCGTTGGGGAAGTGGCTTCGTGGCTGACGAGCCGAGGCAACTTTGAAGCTGATTTCCGCTTTGTTGTTGAGATCAATGATGAATGATGAAGGTTTTCGTCAGCTGCTGTGGCAGTGACCCCATCACGCCGCCTCATCACATTTTAAAATTAGCACACTGCAAGCCTTCACCAGTCTGCTAGCACCCGCGAACAGCTGCCATCGCCCACTGTTCGTCCAACTGACAGCTGTTCTGCACTGCACCGCCCCCTTGTGGCAAAGCCTTCCTTGGCAGACCAAGGTCCAACAGGCCATTCACTGCCCAATAAGCCACAGGGACTACCCCTAGAGCCCGTCTTGCCAGTGACGACAACCGCTCTCCCACTCTGACCCATCCGGATCCATACAAAGTCCATGGCTGCGCAACACGAACAATGCCAACAATGCCGCCAGCCGCCCTGACACGACCTAATTCGTGCAGTTCGTGCAGTTCGGGCAAACGAGCGCCTCCGAATCAATCTCCCTTCCCACTTCCCAAACTGCTGCGCCCACACGGCCACAGCCCATCACTCTCGTTTTTCTGCTTCTACTTCTGCTTTTCCCAAGATCAAGAAACAATACCCAATCCCGAGTCCATCTCAACGTTCGCTACCTCTCCGATCGCCAGGCAACGAAGCCACCTAGACCACGGGATACAGTGCATGAGTGCTAGGTAACGCCGGCATTACCAAGCATTGTCTCAGCTCTCGTCCACGTCTCTCCCGTATCGTCATCCCGACCCTTGAAACACGTCGAGTGAGACCTCGCATATCGCCCAATTACGAAAGGGAGAGCACTGAGCCGCGAAACAAGACTCTCGTCGACTTTGTTGGCCGCCCCTGCCTCTTGTCGACAAATCATCCATTCCACGCCACGCTGAAGACGAGTACCTGCACCAGCAGAGAGAAAACACCATGGCGGCGAACGACTACTATCACGACTCGTCGCGGCACAACGCTTACGAGCCTTCCATCGCTTCAACAAACCCGCCATCCTACACCACAAACGCACATCCGCAAGGCCACCCGGGCCCCTCTACATCACCTTTCGATACCGTCTTCGACGATCATGTCTACCCGGCCACCTCGCATTCGCGCACCACACCCGACCGGATGGACACCACCCAGCACACTTTCGCTCATGACACGAGATATCATGGGTCAACCGCCGGCGATGTCTCCCCCATAACGAACGACGATATTCCTTTGCAGCCACACAAGAACAACTCGCACGGCTATCTCCAAGATTCGACCGACCATGTCTACGATGCTCCCGAGCAAGGCGCCGCTGACCGTGGTGTCAAAAAGAAATCCCGACTCGGCTTTGGAGAACTGGGTATGCTGGGATCCGAGAGGAGAAGGATACCAATATTCGTTTACCTATTCTCTCTCATCCAAATCGGCGTCTTCATTGGCGAGTTGGTGAAAGCCGGTAAGCTAGCCCCGTCGTATCACCACAAACCGCAACTTGCTGACGAGCACAATAGCCCAGTTGACCGGGTCCCCGATCCAGACCACACCCTCGTTTAATCCCATGATTGGCCCCTCACAATACGTCCTCATCAGCATGGGCTCGAGATATGTCCCGTGTATGAAGAACGTTGATGGAGTGCAGAACTACGTGGCTCCTGCTGGCGTAGACCCCGGGTTTCCCTGGGCCTGCCCGAACTCTACGACAAATTCCGCGACCGACCCGTCTAACCAATGCAGTCTGTCCGAGATATGTGGGTTTAGCGGTGTTCCCAATCCTGAATGGCTAGGAGTGAATGGGCTCGACCAGTCTCCCCAGCCCAACCAGTGGTTCCGCTTCATCGTTCCCATATTCATGCATGCGGGTATCATCCACATAGGATTCAATCTCCTTCTACAACTCACCATGGGAAAGGAGATTGAACGGGCTATTGGATCCATCCGCTTCTTCCTCGTCTACATGAGTTCCGGCATTTTCGGTTTCGTCATGGGAGGCAATTACGCGGCGCCTGGAATCTCTTCTACCGGGGCTTCGGGGGCTCTGTTTGGAATCATTGCCATCACCCTTCTCGACCTTCTCTACTCGTGGAGCGAACGACGCAACCCAGTCCGCGAGCTGATGTTCATTCTCGTCGAGATCGTGATATCATTCGTCCTCGGTCTTCTTCCTGGCCTCGACAACTTTTCTCACATCGGCGGCTTCATCGTAGGTCTCTGCCTAGGTATCAGCGTACTGCATTCTCCCAACTTCCTTCGGCGTAGAATTGGGGAAGACCATTTCTCGCCTTCTTATACTACCGTGGGTGGATCCGGTATCACCAGCGTGGCATTCCCGGCGTTCCACCGGAACCCCGTGGGCTTCTTCAAAGGTCGCAAGGCCCTCTGGTGGGCATGGTGGCTTGTCCGTACCGGGTGTCTCGTCTTGATCATCGTCGTATTCATCGTCCTCCTCAACAACTTCTACTCGAACCAGAACCACTGTTCTTGGTGTAAATATTTGAGTTGCATCGTAAGTCTTGATCGTCTATCTCATATTTTCTCTCATACTGACTGATCAATAGCCTGTCAATGGTTGGTGCGATATCGGAAAGATTAACGTGACATACGTGAATACGCCAAACACCACCGACAGCAACAGCCTTAGCGGAAGAAGCATGCCGTTGTTTGCTCTAGAGGAATTAGCTCGGTTTTATGCCTGAGTGGACATGATCTTACGCCAATCTCAGCGCAAGATTATATGTGCAGCAGAAGTGTATTTATGATACCCTAGTATTTGGTATTTCACGCGGCCTCATCTTTCTCTCATGACTGAGGCAATGTTAAAAGACTCGAACCTGGAAAAGGGGTAGACTAAGGGTGACACGCATCCATTGATGTGAAGGAAAGACCTTCTGGCGTTCCGGTTGCTGGACATAATTGTACATGCATAATCTCAACGACCTGCAGTGGACCTAGCGAAAGGTGCATCTGCGAAACCAGCTTGCAAACAGTATACTATCATATTGCTGTGCGATTGTCGAGTGGGCCTTCCAGCTCTCGCCCGTGACCTCCCAGGTAGCCTATTCCATGTTCATCTATAACCACCGCACCGAGCTGCTGGAGGCGGCTCTTCAGCCGACGCAGACGCTAGAATGCAAATCATGGAGAACAGACACCTACGAGATCGCCGAACTGCTGCTCGAATCGCTGCGGGTTACTGCCGACGACTTGATGTCTGAAGACGGGGGCACGGCAAGAGAGACCTTCAACGCTCACAGTCGCGGGCATGACCGTGGTCCCAAGCCCGGTTCGCCGGGCACAGCTGGGCGGGCCTCGGGCGGTCGGGAACGGAGCGAAGGGAGAGTATGACATGTTTGGGCGTTCAGTGCCGCCACCAGCATGGAGAAGCATGGATGCTCGCTTGCCGGCGATACGACTAGCATGTACAAGATTTGGATAGGAATTGGCTGAATGTTGTTGCGAGAGGGGCCCGGACGGCGGCCGACGTGGCTATTGAGGTGCTGGAGAGAAGGGGAATGTTGATGTCGATTAATCCCTGAGGCACTGCTGGTGAACGATAGTGGCAGTGTAATTTCCGGTGTCATAATGGCTACCTACCCAGATTCTTGTATTCCGCTCGGGACGTGGCGAGAGTACAGTTCTCCCGCCTCTATTTGTGTAGACCTCCTTGATAAATAGGTGGTGATGATTGGCTTAAGAAACTGGACGAAGTGATAATCTCGGCGGCAACTGAGATGAACAACCACCATAGTGCTGCTGATTCCGCTTTGGGTTACTTGCTCGACGGCCTGCCAGTGCTACCCGAGCCGTCACCGTCACCGTATTCCAGTTTAGGGGCTAGCTTGGATGCGATAGCACGCGACCTTGGTGAAAAATCTCTGAGCATGGCTCGTATTTTGACCAGTAGATAACTATTCCGCGAAGCGTCAGATGCTGATATCTCCCCTATCAGACTGTAAGTGAAGAAGTAAAAACCAAATAACCCCTGAGACCGAATGAGTCTCTGCACTCTAAACCAAGGCCTATGAAAGTGTCACTTCAACGCGTGGGAATGGTCGATGAAGTAGCAAAGCTTCCGTTTAATGCTTTACCAGACGTGGCGATGCTCCGACATTTCCGATGAAAGCGGCCATGCCCAGCGTTTCAGTCAATGTGTACTTCATTAAACGACCGGTAGCTTTGGTGACGCCGGCAGGGACCGAGTAGTGTCTGGAGATGACGACGGGCGACTCTTCTGGCTTTGTACCACATATCGCAACTCGTCGACGGAGCCCTTCAGGCCGTGACTGCAGGGCGTGCACTCGCAAGCCTGATGTTTCGTGACTGATAACTGTATCCCTCACAAGTGCCGAAGTCGAAAGGCCTGCCTTCTGCCAATTACCGGCGGCTATACTGGAAGCCGTATGAAGAGTGACCGGATCTCCCTCCGCTTCCGGTTGCAGGGATAGGTAGATCGAAAAGCACCTCTCTGCACTTGGGCGAAGTGCAGATTGCGTCCTGATGGAACTTTTCGAGCTCATCTAGGTGTAGTTTATCGAACAACCTTGCGGGCATTGTCAAAGGGGAGGTCGAGGAGGTCGGGAAGCTCGAGGTTTTCCTAGCTACTCTTCGAGCGGATGTTAAACAGAGCGTGGGGGCATTTGGATGGGTGAAAACGTATATTCTGGTGTAATCCGTGTTCTTGTTGTATCTCTGTGAAAATCCTTCTGTGGGCTAAGTGGCCCAAAAATGCTCTATTGGCCTTGTTGGTGCACTGCCACCTCCGTGAACGCCACGGTGGCTTGCTCGCCATTCAACAGCGGATCCTTGATCGGGTCCTCGACCATGAGTTCGATCGAGTTTTCCCGCAGCGGCGGCGGTGCTCTGGTCCACGTAGACGGCTACCGGGACTCAAGTCAGCCCACTGGTATTGCTCGACTTCTGGATGGGTCTGACTTACTTACTGGCGGCGACGGTCTCTCGTGCCGGAGGGGGACAGCGTCGGCAGTGACCTGGCCTGCGAGCCCACGGCGAGCAAGGGCGAGGAAATGGGCGGCTGCGGTAGACGACTTCATCGTGAATGAGGTATCTGCGGATTGAGTCTGCAGCAGAAGTGTCAAGTGCGATGGTGAAAGCGGTGTTCAACAAAAAGATCCCGAGGGATGGACTGGAACGACAAATACCACTCTATGTAGATCAACATGAAGCTTGCGGACAGAGTCTCCCAGGCATGCATTGAGCTATACAAAGTCGCCGCCGGCTCTGGACCGCATTCCGGGACCATGAAGAGATTGTTATGCGCGTGTTGACAAGGACTCCTGCGGCTCAAACACAATATGAGTGAAGATAGTGTAGATAGTGATAGTTTATCGCCATGTCATTACTGTGCCTGCCATAGTGCGATGGCAAATTACCCACTCACTACTTCAATGAACAGTTGACCGCCGCCCACACGTGGATATCGCCCTCGAACTCAGCGTCTGCTGGTTCTATCGTCGGTCCTGCACCTCTCGCGAAGGAGGAAGAGCCCTTGATTGCCTGCGACCCACGAAGAGTATGGCAGAGCGCTGGTGGCGTTTTGTCCACTTGCAGGGTCAGTAGACGTTGCGGACGTTGTGTTGATAAGAGGATGCAGCTTTCTAGACACGACGTAGTATTCAACAGTATCACAAACAGAATTTACAACAGCTCTCCTTTCATCCAACTCAGGTTCAAGGTTCCCAAGTCGGTACCGGATCCAAGTCGAGATCGATTCCTCCAGGCGTCGGCATCCCATCACCCACCCATGCCTTGGCCCTCCCTACGTTTCATCGTCCTGCGTCTCCTACGACTCCTGCGTTTCCTGCGACTCCTGCGTTTCCTGCGACTCCTGCGTTTCCTGCGACTCCTGCGTCCCCTGCGTCCCCTGCGTCTCCTGCAGCGCCTGACGTTCGGCCTTCCGCCGCAAGGCACGATTCTTATTCTTGTTCTTGTTCTTCTGCTTCTTCTTCGCCTGGGCATCCGCTATTCCATTCACTTCCTGAAGCAGCTTCTTCGCCTGGTCAACATCAGTCGTCGCCAGGAACTCCTAGATCCTGTCGTCGGGGAGGTTGCGAGTCAGCTCATGCATTCTCTCCATAGCTGCCTGCAAGCCCTTACCAGCGAGGTCTGCGCCCTGACCTTGCAGCACGGCGAGCAGACTCTGCATGCTGGCCAACCACTGGTCTGAAGGTCTACTTCTCAGGACGTTCAGCACAGCCTCGGCGTCGCATTGGTTTTGCTGTGGGGTGGCTTCCGGGTCCAGAGCAAGATCTATGGTCAGCATTTCTAGGTCTGCGTCTAGGTTGGGATCGCGAGAGCCCCTCTGATTGTGACGGCTACCTGTGGAAGGACCTGGGCGCGCCGTTGTGCTGTTCTCGTCAAGACCAGTGCTGTGGTCTTCGATCTCTTCTATTTCCTCGACGTCTTCTTCATAGTCCATCAGCTGCCTGACGTGGTCGCGCCCGACAAATCCTTGTGCTCTTGCTACATCTTCCGGTATGGAATATGTCCGAGGTACGACACTCGATAAATCATCAGAAGTCGTTGAGGGACGGCCTCCACGTCTGTTGATTTCAGCGTTTTCGCTCGTCAACTGCATGATGAAGCCAGGGATGCACCGGATGTTGAGATGGTTTCTCTCTAAGAGGTTCCAACCAAACATCCGCTCAGCGAAGGCTAGCTCGTCATGGAGGTCTGTTTGCAGTCTGAGAAGAGTGTCCCAACACCGCCGATGCATCGCGAAATAATCGAAGAGCAGGTGCTCCCACTCTTCGTTTACGACGTTCGTGGCTAGGTCTAGTAGGGGTACGATGAACGACGACTGGGATTCGCGCCTCACTAGAGCGTCGGATGGCCGCTGCTTCTGCCAGTCGACGAGCAATTCGAGGGCGCCGCCGGGCAAGGTTCCGTTGCGAGTTTCGAGTCTGATGGCGTTGTATCTGTCAGCGAGCGTCTGGATGAGTATGCTTGATGGTCGCAACTGGCGGACAGCATTGGCAAACCCACGAGCCGAGACCCAATGCTTGGTGTGACGGCGGTCCGATGACGCCAACCTGGCAGACTGTCCCATGGCAAGTGAAAAGCGACGTTCAAATTCAGTACCTTTTGTAGGAAGACTGCCGTAAAAAAGATGTTCTGCTCCATGCAAGTCGACGATGCAGTCCAGGTCGGGCCAGCTGAACTGTCCGTTGGTCGCGGCCTGGGCCATATTGTATAGGTGTAGTGACGAGAAGATACCACAGAAGACGTTGGTGAACTCGATTCCAGCTCCCCACATGTTGAGTCGAAGCCAGACGATAGAGATACCGCACCATAGTGGGTTCTGACGCATCATCCAGTGAGGCGGCCGGTCCGGTTGCCACTCTGGAAAGTGCTGTTTTGCTAGCCGCCCTATCTTGTCCTCGAAAACAGACTCCTCCAAAGTATGCAACATGCTGCGGAGCATTTCGTCGGCAGCTTTAGGCCAGCCTGGTTCATGCCATTCATTTGACCATCGGAAGTGTCCCTGTAGCTGGCGCTTCACCTCGTAGCTAGATGTTCTCAGCTCTTGAAACCCTCTTCCACACCAGAGCCCAGAAGACGAGTGATGTCTAGGACAACAGCGGTAGACCAGATCAACCACGTTGGCGGCGCCTGTTGCCAATGCTGATTCCTGTTTTTGGAGCGGGTGGGAATCTTGTCATGCACCGCTCGTCTTGCGAATTCTATCATGGCTTTTGTCCACACATCCGTCGCTGGCAATTTTGGAGGACCCGCCCACATCATCTGGAGGAATTCTTTGAACAATAGTAGCACATGGGCGTGGTCCTCCTCGAACCGCTTTCTTGACTAGAGCCCGCAGTCGGGTGCTTCAAGCTGTCGAACACAGACTCGGTGGTGCCTGGCAGAGGGTCCCCTCTTCCGGTTGTGCGGACGGTATTCAATGTGACGAATTCAGGTATGCAAAGCCAATTAGCGAGGTCCTACTTTCTCTCGTCAAAGCCATCTTCGCCCTTGTTGTCAGCAGCTGGCCCGATCTGACGGGCGCCGGCGATGAAGCCGAAGAGAAGATCGCCTATGAAGCTGCTTTCCATGCCATCGTTTCCGTTCTCGCCACGCCAGTATAACCCTATACCCGAGTTCGTTTGCGCTTCTTGCAGGTCTGAAAGCCCCTGCTTTACGGTGATCACCCTTTCCTCGGAGGTTATCTCAGTGTCGAGGAACTCGCGCTCCTTACGTTGAACAACGTCAAAAGCCAGATCCGTGACCACTGCAGCAGTGACTAGCGGTGTTTTGCCGTCGCGATAGTCCTCCCAAGTATTACGAAGGTAAGATCGCACATCGTTGAGGTCCTTGAAGAAGCAAAAGAGCATGAAGTAGAGCTCATGTTGGGAAGTCGACGGTCCAGCTGTTTCGTCGTATTCATAGTCATTGTTCTTACTCTTGGTCTTGCCCTTGCCCTTGCTTTTCCCTTTGCTTTGAGCTCTTATCTTGGCATCACTTGGACTGGGAGTGGTTGCCTGCACCAAATCCTGACTAAAGCCAGGCTCTTCGATGTCCTCAACGTCTAGAACGTCGAAGATGTTGCCTCCGGTCTTGTTCGGTGGCGAGTCATCGGGTTCTGTTGCGTTCGATCGGTCCTCATGGGCACGCAAGGGTTCTAGGCACCACCAAATCTCTTCGAGTAGTGAGATTAAGTACTGGTGCGACTCGTTGCTGCGACTGTGGGCTTCATCGGTACATATTTCCTGCTGGTACATCAGACTAAAGGCTTTCCTGAGACTGATAACGTCCCTCAGTATCGACAACAGCCGTGGCGTGACCTGAATCTTCGGATGCGTGGAGCTGGCTATGATCTGGGCCAGCTCAGCGTATCTTGCCAGTGGCATACGGCGGGTGTTCTTGGAGCCAGGCGTCTGTTCGTCGCCGAGTCGCAGGTTGGGATCGCACAGCCGGGCCGCCGCCACCAGCCATTTGAAGATTCGCTTGATTCCACTCTTGTAGCAGAGGTAGCTGTCGATCTAGAGATCGTGCCACATGTTCGCCTTGGGTACACACCTGATCCGAGGTGTTGCGTTGCAAATGATGTCTTCTCGGACCTAGAGATATCTGTGTTGCGCGGTGAACTGTTACGTTGCGAAGCTTGACCTTGAGATTCGGAAAGCTTGTCCTTGAAATTCGCGAAGCTTGACCTTGAAATTCGCGGTCGGCATAGGTCAACTGAAGATCAGTGCAGCGTACAGTACCTGCGGTGCGGTCGGATAGAGTCCCAAAAGACACAATGTAATACAACGCGATACCACACGCGTTTTACCCATGCCTAAGATAGGAATTCGCATACCAAAAGCTTTGGGTATCCGAGCAACTTGGCAGCGCCACTTTTCTTGAAGCTGCCACTTCTCATTGGCTCTCCCGTCCACGCGGACCATCAGCTCCCGTGACGGACTACCAAGGCCTGGGGGAACCAGTGAAAGGCGGTGACGGCCAGGAATAATGGTTCTGCCAAATTGCCAGAAAACCCAAAGAATTTGGTAGTGGGCTTGCACAATATTGCAAAAAGAAATCTCAAATCATCCTCCAAGTATGACACAAAGCACTGCCCTCACGAATGAGCCGTCTGCCCATGGCTCATGGGTGCCAATCTGTAACTCAGGGCCGCTCAACCCCTAGGTAGGCGTTGATGCGCTACCCATGACACCCATCTGCAGACCCAAAAGGCGGCACATCGCAATCGCAAGAGTCCTCAGGCCTTATGGTACCGGACAACGAAGTCCAGTGTGGATATGAACCAGTCATCGCCATCCCTCTTCCACGTCTGGTGATAGTGGCCCCCGCCACTGCCGTCGCTGATGCCGGGAATCTTGCCATTCGGGCCCGCCATGTACATGATGACAAAGACGACCTTGACCTCGTCGGGGCCGACCTGCTCGAAGTCGCCGCCGTCGACCATGTGGATCGTGTTCAAGGAATCGAATGTCGACTTGAAGAAGTTGAGGAACTCCTCGCGGGACTTGAAGTTGTAGTCGACCGAGCTGTCCTGGCCCGCCAGCGCTGCCCTCACGAAGGAGCCGTCTGGGTTCCGGTAGGCGAAGCTGGCGTCGGGGAATGAGACTGTGTTGAAGAGATCCCATTGCTTGGAGTCCACGGATCGGCAGTACCGGTTCATCTTGGCCCTGATGATATCAGTTACTTCAGGAGAAACGCGAGCCATTGCGGTGAGAGGTGGGTGCCCTGACCCTCCCCTGTGTCTGGGTAGAGAGGGTGCGTTGCTGAAGCGAAACAGTACTCGGCTGGAGAAATGAAGGTTTTGTTTGCTTGACACCAGGCCGACCAGATCCTTGATGTATATGGCAATAGGATCAGGGCCAGGAGGCTGGGTGTTACTAGTCTAGGGGAGTAACATGAATCTCGCAGATCCACGATAAAGTCGCACGTGGTGGCGGTGTGAAGTAAAGTAAGCAGGCACGTGAAGGTGAGGAGGGGGTGGATATTAGGTAAGCACATCCCCTGACTCTTTCCTGGTGCTGGATTCCGAGGTGTCAGGGGTGTCCAAGCACATGCGGCCCGGGGCCGATTGAGTTCGTAACGTCGTCCCGAATGACGCAATGGTCCGACCTGATGAAGTATTTAAACTTATTAAGCCTGAATTCCCAAGGCGAAACGTAAAAATGAGAAACCGGGTATATGACGCTGCTTGTGCCCACATCTCCATTGGTGATGCTGGCCCGTCGGGAGTTTCTGTTACGAAATAGTCGCGAGGCTAAGGTCAGGTGTCATGCACTGAGAGAAACCCCGGCCTTGGGGGCAATTGCGCGTTCCGTCTTTAGATAGACGACATTGTTTTCTTTCTTAGAACGTGCCTTCCGAGACGTAGGTAGATGAGATTGTACCACTTTGGTGTTGATGGTATGACAAGCCCAGCTTCGTCCAAACCGGCGCACATTCCCTCATGCCTTCTCCTTTGCAATGGAACTTCGATATCGATAGGTATCTGAACCCTCTGATACCAAAGCCACCATGGAAGCACGTCCCTTACCCAATCGCCTTTCTCCTCGGGCACCGGAAAGGTAGTCTCAGACCATACGGCAACTTGCTCTTGATCCTATCGGCCTTCATAGGAGTATTCACCAGCATAGTGCTCATCGAAGTCGTAACCCACCACCTCCCAGCTGTCCCAAATCATGGCCCCGTCATAATAGCCAGCTCGGTAAGCCCGTTCCCAGAGATCTAGTGATCATCTCACAGATTCTCACCAACGCCACAGGGTGCAGCTGCGGTCCTGGAGTTCTATGCGATTGAGTCGCCCCTGTCACAGCCGCGGAACTTCTTCATCAGCCAGATCATCGCTTCCGTCATCGGCATCTCGTTTGGCAAACTCTTCCAGCTCAGTCCAGATTTTGAGTCGATTCGCTGGCTCGGGGGTGCTCTCGCATGCGCGTCCACGACGGCCCTGATGGCGTTGACGAACACCGTCCATCCACCAGCGGGAGCTACGGCACTTATAGCCGTCGTCGACCTTGCGGTTGTGGATATGGGCTGGTTCTTGATTCCAGTAGTCATCCTCGACTGTGCCATCATGATGACCGTTGCTCTCATCTTGAACAATGTCTGTCGCAGATTCCCCCTGTATTGGTGGACGGCGGAAGACCTGGGAAGACCCCGGGACGAGCCGAGTCCTAGGCCCTCATCCGGAGATGAGGAAAAAGCAGCAGCCCAGCATGCAGAGCTCATCATTACGCGTGATGTGGTGCTTGTACCGGATCATGTGCGGCTGTCGTCCGAAGAGCAGAGCCTTGTCGAGGGTCTTCGTAGCAGGTTATAGAAGACATCTTGCCATGACTACCGCATTTTAGGCCCTGGAACTGATTGAGCTTCATCTTTAAAATGTTACAGATGAGCAATGCGTTCTGATGATGACCGTACAGTGCTCAGACTTATCTGAGGCGAGGAACACCACACTGTCCGTTCAGCTAAAGTGCAAGTATTGGGGGCGGTGTTCCGAGGCTGTATATGCTATTGGCTACATGACAGCCTCCCACACGGCACCTTGCGTCAGGGCTTATCGTCTCGTCGACAGGAGATTAGGCAGCTTTATCACATTGTGACAGCTTTTCCAATTTTTCACACTTCACTTCAACCGTCACTGTTCAACTAAGCACCATGTCCAGCATTGAACTCGACGAAATATCCGCGGCCGAAGAGCCTTCAACACGCAACTCCGTCCGGGGCAGAAGGCCCCTAGTTGATGGGACTCCAGATGAACAGGTGAGCAGCTCACGAATGAGCTATGATAGTCTGTGGTCACGTTTCATGGCAGGCGGCCAACATATTCGCATGTCGACTCAAAGATCATTTGGTGACCCCGGGAGCTTAATTGCTTCGTGGCGTCGTTCAGCCCAAAACTTCTTCCCTCGTCACTCCAATCGACCACCTCGTCAAGGAAGCCAACCAGAACAGGGCCGCTCATCGGCACGCCAGGCTGATGGCCCAGGCAGTCATGACGATGCGAGCGTCGCGAGCCAGCCAGATAACCCTGATGGCGCACCCCATCCAGCGGCACAGGAAGGGCTGGGAGCAGCACAGAGTAACGCATCAATGGCCACGCAGGTGACGCCGGTACCTCCGCATTTCCTCCGATTCCGCCGAACTGCGTTCGCCGAGACCATCACCGTGCTCTCTTCCATCATCGCTATCATAGTTGGGTTCGGTGCATGGCAGGCAACCAACAAAAGCAACGAAATCGGACTGGCCAGCTATAAGATATCGGCGTGGGCACTCTACAATGACCATGATGTGAGTTTGGCCTTCCTATAATGGATTTTCACCAGTAATAGGCCCTAACGTCAATATCACTCAGAGTATCAAATATACAGCCGAATGCCGGCAGATCCTGGGTGATAGCCTCGACCATCTCGTCCTCGAGGAGAGGCAGCTCCACGGCTCAGTCACGCACTCGAAATCTGTCAGCATTGAGGTTTCTAATCCCCGAGAAGATGAGCCTAGCAAGTTTCTCGTCCTCCTCAACCGCATGGGAGTCATGGTCATAGTGCGACATGCGTTTCTCGTCCTCATCAACTACATGGGAGTCGTGGTCATAACGCGACGTTCCGGACACCCAGTGTCTCCCTTGCTCGCGGCTATCCTATTGCTAGCCAATGCCTTCTTCCTAAGCGCCAACTTGATTGGGACCCTGTTTTTCAATTTCCTCGTGCTTTCTTCGTTTCTCGTTACTTCTAGCCACCTTTTGGTTAATTTCTTCGTCGATTTTTCGCTGCTCGTTTACATCGGGTCATGGTTTATCCCGCCATTAATTACTTCCTGTCAGCTATTTGTCAATGTCCCTGTCTTTTTTTCCCCTCTTATCGCCCGGGCCCTGTATCTTTATTTCTTCGTTGGGCTTCCACTGCTCGTTATTGCTCGGTTTTTGCGATGTCTTACATTCTCACCTGTTTGAGTATTTTATCCTTGGGCTCTCCATAGACAAAGCCCGAGGGCGATTATTATAATGTAACGAGAACATCACTTTGTTCGGTGCTCTTCTGAGTGCTGATACTCGTTGCTTGATGATTGTCGCTGTGAAGCGATATATACCTGGTGCTCGCCACACGCCATCCTATCAGTTGACAGTCGTCGCAGGAGACCGCAACTCCACCGACTCGCATCTATACCTACCGATTTCTTCGGCATCCTTAATCCATACAATCAGGTACAGAGCTAGGTCCCCCTTCATTGAGCTATTGCCATGTAAAGTGCAAGTCTTCAACGACATCACGCATAAGGCTTTGTCTGTTCCTCCGACCAATTCCAAAACTTCTGCGCAATGCCCGTACCGCCTTCGGTTTCAGGCTTTGAGCCCTCAAGAAGATCTTTCCGAATGTCTGTGAACCGACCCCAAGGGGCAACTGTAGACAGTGCTTGTCAGTATCGCGGTGAACCGCCAGGGGACGCTCACCGGCTTCACGGGACGCTTACTCCAATCGCCCGACTTCTCCATGGTGACCTCGTCCGAGACACCGGCGAATAACTCGGTGTAAGCGCCGTATATCGCCGGGTACGTCGTTGCGCGCCTGAAAATCAATTCGATCGTGCTGCAGTTCCGGTCCAATTCCGATTTGAGATTGCCCGGATTGAGCGACTGTCGACATTATCAGGACACTGCAGCGAACCTGTCGTCTTGAGCTGGTCGACTCACCAGGCTAACGATCCCATCGTCGCGATGCCGTCTCGCGTATTCAGTCGAGTGGTAGTAGTTGCCCGCTTTACTGACTCCGTACTTGTAGTAATTCAAGACATCCCTCTTGTAATCAAGATTGTCCATGTCAACGCCGCCCCTGGGACTGAGGTGCTCAGCAGCCGACGAAGACACCCAGACAACGCGCACGCTACCCCTCGGCGCCGTCTTGGCCGTCTCAACCAAAGTCGGCGTCAGGAACTGCGTGAACAGGAAAGGCCCGAGGTTGTTGGTGCCCAGCTGCAGCTCGTATCCTTGCGCCGTCTTGCTGCCCTTGTCTGGGAACATAACGCCTGCATTGTTGAACAGGACGTGCAACTGCCGCTCTTTGGCCACGAAGGTCTCGGCCGATGTCTTGATGGTGCTCAAGTCGCTGAGGTCCAGGTGCAGGAACTCCAGCCTGCCCGTGGAGGAGGGGCACGCTTCTTTGATGGACTCGATGGCATTGGCGCCCTTCTCCTGGTTGCGCGCTGCTACCCAGACGGTGGCGTTCTTCGAGTACAGAATCCGTGCCACTTCCTTGCCGACTCCGGTGTTTGCGCCCGTGACCAAGTAGACCTGCGGACAGTCGGTTGGCGTCAAATTGGAGATCGGGTTTCGGTCTGGTGTGGGCTACGAACCTTGGCTGAGAGGTCAGGTATATTATCCTCGGTGAACTTGGGGTTCCCTGGAAACATCTGACACAAGGCGTCGTAGTACATCGTGACTGATCTGACAGCAAATGTCCTTCGCAAGCCCTTGCTGGTTCCAAGGTCGTGGAGTCGATGATGAAGAAGACGGGAGGGAATGCGGAGCCGGCGGCTCGGGCCTCGGTTCGTGCCATGTGGGGTGATCGTGACTTGAGAAAGTGTCCTAGCCCGAAATAGAAAAGACATCCCCTATAGTGGAACCTTCCTTCTCGACAGCTGCCTTGCGATGAACGCGTGGCCGCTCTCGTCGACGCCAACATGAAATGGCATTGACAGAAGCAGCAGTGAGTCTTCCAGGGTCTTTTGAGCCTCTATAATAGCACAGTGAACGTCCCGGGCCGATGGTCTGCATGCCTAGTGCTTACCCGGGAGTCCGGGACTGAATCAAAACGACCAATCGAGCATCCATATACCACTGGCAGACACCGAGGTATTATAGAGCTGCACTTTACAGAAAGCAATCGATTACATTTATTGCGGGGCCATTAATAGCTATGATGTTCCTGGATCTAAGGTACATGTCAGCGTTACTATTAGATCAAGCCGATTTAATTGATGTAATGGCTCAATTTAACTTGATTTAATTAAATTGAATTTTTTACGATGTTTATAAGCTAAACCGGGTTTTCCCATATTTAATCTTCGTCAAGCAAACACAGCATATTCCTTGGTACCCGTAACGTAACAGTATATAAAAAAATATAAAAAAAAATACGAATTTTAAAGGTCGGATATTCAAGCCCGCGTTCGGCTAGACTTTTGCTCCGAATAGCAAATCTTTTGCTTTAAACAGGGAAATCTTTTATTCCGATAATCTAATAATCCGTGCTCAAGCCTCATCAAGTCAAACTTATGAAAATTTTATCAAGCAAGCTAGCTAGATATGGTTTGCTTGATTTGAGCTTGTTAAGCTTTTCAAATTAGTCGGTTTGCTTGATCTGATGGTGACGCTGGTACATGTACGGCTCTCTTCCACACCTAAAGTAAGACAGATGAGTGAATGCTTGTGAGATTTCAAAGTGTTCTATTAAGGAGAGGAATTCCAGCTACTCTGGAGCGGCCAGAGTGGCCCTATATATCCAAGATACTAAAGGAAAGGATACGTGGCCTTATGTGGCCACGTATGTGACAGAGTCACAGATGGGGATGGTGATCCTGAAGGATGACTATGGATGGGCTAACGTAGCCCAGAATCCAACAATGCTGCGATTTGCAACAAGCTCCTGTTATGTGGGTAATGTTATGAGTAAAAGCCGCATCTTACACTCCAGTGCTTAAGGTCACAATATGATCATATCATTCCAGCAGATTTGCTATGGATGATTGTAAGTATCTATGAGATATTGCCGAAAATCATCGCCAGGCTCGCATAAGTTATCAGCTCGGTTTCACACCCCCACGAGTAGCGGTGGCACCAGCAAGGAAGGCTGCGCTAAAACATCTCGCGTCCCAAATTCCAGTCCCCAGTGAACTTGGCTTGTGCCTCTCAACTTCATGGCCTCCTACAGTCAACTCCCCGAGTTATGGGGAACCTTTTCTTGCCACCCTCTCTCATACGCCCGCTCCCCTTTCTCACTACCCGACTTCCACCATCATTCGTCTAGCGAATGCTGTCAGTTGCCCACTGGTGATTTTAATCTTCTCTGGCGAACTTGTCGGAGTAATATCGGACATCAACCTATAAGTGTCCTTTCCTCGAAGAAAGGCATTCTCTGGGACAGTGTGCTCGCATGTGTTGCTGGTTATGTTATACACACAATTCCGGCAACCCTGCTTTCTGCGCCCTTGGTGTTGACCGAGCAGCATTCGAAAAAAGGCCACATTGCGGCCTTTCCATCGGCCTCGCCCTCTACGAAGCGACGCTCGCAGATTAGACAAGGGCCACGGTTGTAACGGCCGTAAGCCTGAACAGCCAACCCAGCTACTCGGCGACTGTCCGCAACCATTTTGACGAAATAGTCGCCCGTCGGTCCTCCCTGCGATATCTCTACGTAGACTGGGCTCTGGGTAGCCTTGCCCTTCATGCTGATCGTATCGATGAACCCGGGCCGGGCCTGAGCGGCAAGGAAAAATCCAGGCTTCAGATCCCACTGCATGTAGCGGCCCTCTGCATTGCCACCCAGGATGACGATGTCAAAATAACTAAGCATCTGTTTGAGTCAGTAAGCCAATGTGTTGAACAGGGAGGTTGGGATCCTTATCTGGAGGTGTTTCGCAATAAGAGGCGCCCCTTTCACATCCGGACTGATCGTCGTCTCCCAGTAGTCGATCACCTGGTTCGGGCTTTCAAATACCGGCTTTTGGAATGTACTTGGCCGCTGATGCTTGTACGGACCGGGGACGAGCCGATTGACGAGATCATCCAGGCTCCGTTGTCCATGAGCATCATTGTTCGCGGAAGACTCGGACAGATTTGAATCACTCGGGTCTCGATCACTCCGAGGAAAACGCCCCGACTGCCGTTTGGAAGGAGTCGCACCCTCGGTTAGAAAAGGCGAACCGCCCACACCAGGACCGTGAGAGTACCATGACTCAGTTGGCTGGATTTCTCCGCTCACGCTGTCGTCCGTAGGTTCAGTGTCGATCATCATGGCGTCTGAGCCGTCGATCGCACGCATGGGTTGATTGTCACCTGACGGTATGAACGAATCCTCCTGACGCGTTTCGTCGTCAGGGGCAAAATGGGCACTGTGACTAGCTTCAAGTCCGTCGGCTTGTCCTGAGCTGGCAGGGATGAATTCCAAGAAGTGTTTGTTTGTTTGTTTGTTTTGTATTTAACGTGGGGGATTGCTCCTCAGTAGTGCAAACCACGCCTCCCAGAGCCTCTGCATCACAGGGTTGTGGAGGTATCAAGATAATAAGTACAGTCAGTCCCGCTCATAAGCCCATCCCCGTTGTTGCGGCGGTATGACCTTGGGTCATCCATCTGGTCCTTCAAGAACAGCTATCTATCGAGGACAGATTAATGAAAAGAATTTGCTTTTCTCTACGAATTTTGTCTATTCTGTGCTCCTCTCCTCTAAGTATTATAAACAAGCTGTCCTAGGCGAGTACCTAGATAGTAGCCAATTTTTCTCCAGTTTCTTACAAAAGAAAATATATTGTGGTGTTTTTTTCTCACCACAGTTGTAGTGATCATTCGAATCTGTATGCCCAAAGCGTTCGTGGTATCTGGCAAAGTCGCCATGTCCAGATCTGGCCGCTAGAAGTCTGTATAAAATACTCCTCTTAAAAGATATAAAGTCTCTTTTAGTTACTATATGTGAGTATACTTCTTGATATCTAGGTTCTGATTGGTCTTTCTATTATTGATTGAATTCTTTCTTGCCCTTTTTTTTGAGATCTCTCTTGACCCATGAGATTATAGGAAGGTTTGTTGTGTCTGTTTTTAGCATGGCACCCTCTTTTGCTAGTGTGTTGGCAGCTTTGTTGCCATTAATATCTCTGTGTCCAGAAATCTACTTGACGGTCACTCCAGGAGTGTGTGCCGTGGCAAGTTCTTGAAATTATAAAAAAATGTTCTGTGATGTCTCGAGTGGAGTCCCATTGAGCCCATCTACCATTACTGTGTTGTCCAGGCAGACATATAGCTGTTTTCTGTGTCTAATTGCCCTGGCTATTATAAGCCCTTAGAGAACGTCATGGACTTTAATATCTATTACTTCTGCTTAAAGAAGTCTGTCTTTTTCCTGGTATACTTCTTGTGTAGTATTACCTTTCCTGATGGTATAGCCCTATTTAGTGTGGGTTGTGCCTTTATTGTCCAATTATGATCTATTTAAGTAAATAACAAGGTCAGTATTCATATTTCTTTTTTATAACCATTCCTTGAAGAGCTCTGTCTCTTTGTCTTTGTCCTTTCAGATTAGGGATTTTTTTTATGATGATTTGGTGAATATTGATCTCTAGAAGTCAGGGACTAGCTGGAAGCTCCTTTGTAGCCATGTTGGTTCCTTGCGAGCTTGTACTTGGAGCCTGCCAACAAGAGGGTATCTTTGGTCTAAATGTCCGAGTCGTAGGCTGTGACGCTGTCTTATTGCCTCTGTAAGAACTCCTGCTGGAGTTTGTTTGTTTGTTTTGTATTTAACGTGGGGGGTAGCTCCTCAGTAGTGCAAACCACGCCTCCCAGAGCCATTGCATCGCAAGGTTGTAGAGGTGTCAAATTAGATACATTCAGATCCGCGCACGAGCCTATCCTCGCTGTAGCGGTACCAATCTGGAGTGTTCAGATGGTTTTAGTCAATACCCAAGCACGATTCCGTCAGAAAAACCTCCTATCTAGTGACAAAGCGACCCAGTGAACCTCAGTTCTCTGGTGTACATATCGTTCCAGTAGCCGTTCGATATATGTCGCATTGGTGGGTGGAGTAGGTGTTTGTTATCTGCTGGCGAGGGAAACCACAAGGGGGAAAACCTCGCAGGAGTGGGTATTGTGGAGACAAGCTGCTTGGCTATCGGGCTCTGCGATAAAATGGGGCCTCTCCACTGTCGTGTGCTGGTTATCGACTCGCACAAGCCGGGTCAGAAAGGGGGCCATAGCAGGATTCGAACCCACTTGTTCTCGTCGCCCACCGCACAAACGAGAACACAACCAGGCGCATTTGACCATTGCGCCATACGGCCAACTCCTGCTGGAGGAATCTGTGATTTAAAGTATAGGATATGTCCAGAATGTGTTTTCCAGACCGGCAGGATAGCCCTGATCGCTGTTCGTAATACAGCATCTATCGTTCCAAGAAGCCCCTTAATATGACATGCTGATGTCTCACCTGAGCTCCTGATTTTTTTGATTCCTGGGTACCAGGCCTCTAAGCCATATGTAAGAATAGGAATAACACAAGCTTTCACAGCCCTCTTGGTTAATTTTACTGGGAGTCCTTTGACTGTGTTATATAGCCCTCAAAGGTGATTTGTTACCTTATTAGCTTTCTTGGCCATCGCATGGAGTTCTTTGCTATTTTGTTCATTGTCCTGTAGCGGACTGGAGGGTTATTTGAGTTCTTTTTTCTTAAGAAGTGTATAATCTCAGTTTTGTCAGGATTAAATTTAATAGCATTATTATGTCCCTATTAATTAAGCAAATAAAGATTTTCAGAAGCCTCTATAATTATTTCTTTAAGGTTCTTTCTAATACAGAGAGTTGCTAAGTCATCTGTATATCCAAAGCGTCTCTTTTTCATACCAAGTCAGGCACAGATTGGCTCTGTATACAGCATGTAAAGGATTGGAGAGGCTGGTGAGCCTTGTGGTAGCCTACAAGTGAGAGCTTTTATATCGGTCACAATACCTTTAAACTGAACCCTTGCAGACCGCTCAGACATGAATGACTGGACCCATCTTATAAAAAAGCCCAGCCAGCCCTGTTCTCTCATGCGAACCACCAGCCGTCCCATTAGGGCAGTGTTAAAGGCCCCTTTCACATTTGACGTGACTACCGTTGCAACGAGGCCTTGGTTGAGGGCCTGCTCAATATCGTGTATGAGTGCGGCTACCAAGTCGGTGGCAGAGCGTTTTGGTAGAGCTCCGAAATATTGTGGATCTAGAATTCTAAGTTTGACAATAAACCAGATAATTCTTTTTGTAATGAGTCGTTCTAGGCCTTTGCCAAGACATGACAGTAGCGATATTGGTCTGTAGGCCCGGGGATTGGAATAGTCTTTTTTGCCTGGTTTTGGGATCATTACCACTTTAGCTATTTTGAATGGTTTAGGGTGGTGTCCGATCTGTAGACAGGTCTGGAAGAGGGCTCTGATATGTTCCCCAATGACTGGCCAGCAAGCTTTCAGAATCCGTACTGTGAGGGTGTCTACTCCCGGGAAGTTGAATTCCAAGAAGTGATCGCTATATAAACCGGTGTTCGTCATGATTTGGTGCTCCAGTTCGTCCGGGCGTAAGGAAGACTCCGAGTCTTGCCCTCCAGATGTGTCCGTAAGGACATAGGCCTCGTTGGCTTCGTAATCGGCGGCGCTGTTTGCCTGCTGAGCGGTCATTTGTTGGGAAGTCATTGCCGCAGAGGTCTCAAAGCGGCACCGACCATCGGTGCAATCGTAGTGACTACACGGCGATACTGAAGGAGCACGCCGCAGCAAGTCGGAGAATGTTGGCACCGCAGGGAAGGCGGTCCCCAGGGGCGGGTGTGAAGGTTGACCAATGCTCGTGGTTGACGACGGCTCGAACGAGAAGTTAACCGAGGGAAGGAAAAATGAGCCAGGGGCACCCAATGCTGATGAAGGTTGGAAGCTGCTGACCTGTTCAAGGGAGTTCGAAAGTGGTGAGGGTCGAACTACTCTGGGACGTCGTGAAGCATGTTCCTCGTCGAACTTCTTCTTCTTGAAGGGCGAGGGCTGATCAACTCCACCATCGTCGGTATCGATGAGGACTTCATGTTGATCATGAACTCTCTTGGAGCGAAGAAGTTCGCTGAATGATTCCATCATAGCTTACTAAGTTGTAAGGAATCTAGCTGGCCTCTAGGGACTAAGCAGGGGAGGCAACATCAGAAGTATTGAATATAAATCATTAACTAAGGCAACCGCTCTGGAAACTTACCCCACTCAGAGGTAGGTAACCAATCACCGTGATTGCGCAGCAGATTCACGGAGAAGGTACATATGTATAGTACTAATATCACCTTCGTCATTAAGGAATTGGCTTTTAGCAATGGTATACCTAGATAGGTACATAAAGTATGTACTTCCCGTTCGTGTCATCGTCGCGAACGCCACTACTCATAATGGCACATCTAGTAGCTGAGACCTCAGAGGGTGACCCGAATTGCGTCCTCATGTTGACGGTCTACTTTGGCATCGCGACTACTACAAGCCGCACCATGAACGACAATCGCCGTCGAACAAGTGGTATCCCAAGGCACTCATGGCCATTCAAAATATACCATGATTTCGCGCATGAGGCTCGCTTCGTGTATAGATTTGTGCCCATTCGTAAGACGCCGTCTTCCAAGTGGGGTTTTCCAGTCGAAGACTCAAGGCTTAGAGTGTAGCCTTAGGGGTGCTGAAAATTGAGCCTCGAATCCTCAGATGAGGTGAGTAGCTGATGATCGGCTCAATCTGCAGAGACTTTGGGGACGTGTAGCTTATTTGACCTCGAGTCTTCGATTTGAAACTCCTCTTTGAAGACGGTCCCTCTCGAGCGGGCCAAATTTCGTACTTGTTCACGTTCGCCGTCAGAGCGCTGACCTAACTCATTGACGTGCCCCAGGGTTTAACCACCTTTGCGTACGAGCCGAATCCTATGGGCATGTGCGAACGAATAGTACAACAACGCACCGTTGGCCTACCACCTAGGGCGAACGATACCGGATCTCAGAAGAGCGGTCAGCAGGATTCGTCGAGGCGGTGTTGAACTAGGCTACACGAAGCTTACTCAGCGTGTTCCACTTTATGGAGTCCGAGTTCGGCAGATGTGGTCTTGTAACTTGTGCTACTGCCGTTTCGAAGCCCAGTGTCCAGCCCCACATCACTTTTACAGACACACACACACAATTCTGAGCTGGTGCCAGACAACCAAAAAGTACGTTTTACGACGACCACGCTCCCGAACCGACGTCGCATATATCAAGCGTATATTGTTAGATACTAGCACGAATGTGTTGAATGGGAGCCGAAGATAGACACCGGAAGATCTCCAGTGGTGCAGAGACGCACAGGGCTCTGACCCACCAAGAAGACAGATGATCAATCTCTGCACGCAGAGCAGAACAATCAATAGAATCAATCAACATCCGTGTATTCAACATATTTTCTTAAATAGCCCTGGGTCATACCTATCCTAAAAATGTGTTATTAATATATGCAACGTTAGGTTAAAAGCGCTATTATATGATTACGCGGTTAATAACTGCAATAAATGTACATCTTTTAAAGTTATTATTACCGTTATAACGTCGTATATATTAAAATGTATATATATTAGTAGCTTTAAACCGTACCTATTAATATATATACATTTTAATATATACGACGTTAATTTAAAAATGTAGCTGTTAAAAAACGTACTTTTATCATAGTTTGGCACCAGCTCAGAATTGTATGTATGTGTATGTGTAAAAATGCTTAGTCAGGCTAGACACCTTGCTTCGAAATGGTAGTACCTCGCAGTGGTCGCATCTCGAACTCGAACGTAATTAAGGAGACTTTCATTCAAATTGTTACTTGCTCCTGGAATGAGTATCACACAGTGAAATCGTCCTTGGCCAAGTATAAGAGCCTGCGCAAGACTCTATCTTTCCTTTTCGGACGCCTCTCGATCGTTCGGACCATCACCCACGAGCATGGCATCGCACAGGCGAGCCGTAGAAGACTTAGACCTCTCGAAGCTTCGCGAGCTACTTTCTGGAACCCAGGCGCAAGTGCTCACGAGTTTGGACCCGGGGTACGAAGCCTCGATGGAGCGTTGGTCTCGTGCGGCGATCAAGCCTGCAGGAGTCTCGATAGTCCCAACCACATCTGAAGAGGTCGCCGTCGCCATCAAGTATGCCTCCGAGAACAACCTGGACGTCGCGGTCAAAGGCGGCGGGCACTCGACTGCTGGAGCTAGCAGCACGAACGGTGGCCTACTGATTGATCTTGGCGGCATGCGGAAGGTTGACGTTGACGTTGCGAAGCAGCGACTGCATGTGCAAGGCGGCTGTCTGTGGATGGACGTTGATGAAGCCGGATGGAAGCACGGCTTGGCCACCGTGGGCGGCACTGTAGCCGATACGGGCGTGGGTGGTCTGACGCTAGGTGGCGGCTATGGTATGCTCTCGGGCCAGCGTGGACTCGTCATCGACAACACAGTAGCCGCCACCGTCGTCACCTCAAACGGTGAGATCAATCACGCGAGCAAAACCGAAAACCCAGATCTCTTCTGGGCTTTGAACGGCGCAGGCCAGAACTTCGGCGTCACGACCGAGTTCGTCCTACAAGCCTACCCGCAGAAAGACGTCTACATGGGTACCATGATCTTCGCCCCAACACCAGAAAACATCACAAAGCTGGTTACAGCGATCAACGACCTCTACGAAGTCCCCGCTGAAGGCGTCCACACTAAGACTAAAGGCAAGCTGAACTCCCTCCTCGGTCTCGGCCGCCCACCACAAGCAGGCGGCCAAACAGTTCTGCTCTTCATCATCGCCTACGACGGTCAAGAATCCAAATGCAAACAGCTCCTGAAGCCTATCCTCGATATCGGTCCAGTCGTAAACACCTGCCACACGGGTCCCTACCCTGAGGTCAACAGTCAGATACCCACCGTCCCCGGCTTCCGCTCAAGCATGAAAGGCGCCGCCTACGTCCTACCCATCCGCCCAGAATTCGTCACCTCAATGGTCTCCAAGTACAATACCTTCATGGACTCACAACCGGATGCCGCGCAGAGTCTGATGGCTTGGGAGATCTACGACCCTACGGAAGTTGTGAAGAAGGAGGAGAATGGGTGTTTTGCGAATAGAGGGTATCATATGAACAGTTTGATCATGCCTATGTGGTCCAAGCCGGAGAATGATTCTGAGTGTAGGCAGTTTGCGCGGGATGTGAGTTTGGAGTTTAAGAAGGAGCTTGAGGCGCATGGGCAGCGGACTAGTGAGGGGGTCGAGGGTGGTGCTAGTGTGAAGGGGAAGAAGGGGGCTGTGTTGTTGTACGGGAACTATGATGTGAGTGTCTCACATAAACGTGATGTGAGGGTGATGATGAGTGCTGACGTGGCTTGTAGCAATACGATGAGATCTCCAAGGACATCTTCGGCGATAACTATCCTCGTCTGCAGGAGATCAAGGCCAAGTACGACCCGACGAATATGTTCAACAAGCTGTTCCCAATCCAGCCGAAGCCGAGCAGCGCCCGGATTGAGAACACTGCCGCTTAAAGGGACCATGCCCATTTGGACATAGACTAGGATGCCTAGCAGTATGAGTTGGTGTACAGGCCTTGGCCGCGCATGGGTATAGTCTGACCTGATCCTCGAAAGAAGGATCAAAGAAGACGCTTAGGGACGAGCCGTGCGGGCAGTAGTGCGACAGCAATGTGATCAATCAGGAGTAGCTTTAGTGCTCGATTGTCAATGACGGCTTGGACATGGTGATTTGGCAAAGGTTGTTGTCCGTTGCACAACCGTAACTAGTCCGGTCACGCCGCCACCTCATCATCGGGGGTACTCGACGGCCGTGTAAGCCGTGTCACACCGAAAAGTTGGCGACAACTCTAATCTGTTCCACCAAGCGACGTATTCGAGACACGGTCAGATGATGGACCATGTTTCAGACGAGTCAATTGCCATCAACTCTTGAAGGTTCAACCTAAGTAATGCTCTTGACTTTTCCCCTTCGTGACCAGAAAACTGTGCATGGGGAACTCCGGTGCGCCCGCCGGAGACACGGCATGGACCCGCACTGGGGCGGACGGAGCTCCTTCGCTCATAATCCGGACCCGTCAGGGGATCCGCGCGCAAGGCGCACACACACCTCGTGCTGTGTGAATGATTCATACATAAGGAAAGGTCATGTCCCTGGTTGGCCGGCAAAGATGAATTCAGTCAAGGTCAAATAACATCAGTTGAATCCAGTACCAGATCCGTTCACTACACACACAGTTGTCCAGGATGGGTGCCACAAATGGAGACACGAACGGCAGCGCCGGAAACATCTCATTCGATGGTAAGTTGCCTCGCACTGCGAAAGTCGTTTCGGTCGCTGTGATGGAATGGCTAATGTTCACCAGACTACCTCGGTCTGATGACCTGTCTCGTCGAATGGGCCGACAGCTACGACAGCAAGGACTGGGCCAGACTGCGGAAGTGCATCGCACCAACACTGCGTGTAAGTCAAGCCATCCACCCGTCCAGCATCCTTCCTTATCTCTTGTCCTCCACCCCCCATCTCGTCTGCCTGCCCAGTGGCTTCTTCCTACCCAGCTAACACGCCACGCCACAGGTCGACTACCGCTCCTTCCTCGACAAGATCTGGGAAGCCATGCCGGCCGACGAGTTCATCGCCATGATCTCGAACCCGGCCGTGCTCGGCGACCCGCTGCTCAAGACGCAGCACTTCATCGGCGGGTCCAAGTGGGAGCGCGTGTCGGACACCGAGGTCGTCGGCGTGCACCAGCTGCGCGTGCCGCACCAGCGCTACACCGACGCCTCGCGCGCCCACATCGCCGTCAAGGGCCACGCCCACTCCACCAACACCCACTGGTACCGCAAGGTCGACGGCGTGTGGAAGTTTGCCGGGCTCGACCCCGACATCCGCTGGTTCGAGTACGACTTTGACAAGGTCTTTGCCGGCGGCCGCCACGAGTTCGGCGCTGAGGAGCAGCAGGCCGAGGTTGAGGCCGCGAAGGCCGAGGGAATTCCGACGAAGGCTGAGGGCATTCCGTCTGTGGCCGAGGGGCTTACGGCTGAGGCGTAAGGGGCGGGCAGATCTTGGTGTCGTTTCATGAAGCTCAAGATGTGTGCTGGTTTACTTGTCACAACCGGTCGTGTATATCATTACTCAAGCCGAGTTGTCGTGCTCTGCCTTTGATCAAACCATCAGATTTTAGGTGGAGTCACTCGGGTTTGAACTTGGTGACACCCTCAGTCTGAGAGGACATGGTACGGGAGTTACTAGATGATGGGTGGAGTCACTCAAGTTGAGACTTGGGTGATGACCTCAGTCTGAGAGAGCGTGACAGAATACGTGCTCAACGTGCTCAGTGGCGTATGATGAGCAGTCGTATGATGAGCAGTCGTATGATGAGCAGTATGTTGGTTATCCTGTGGGATCACTGAATAGCTGTCAAAGGTCACTTTCCTGGCTATTTGACATCTCGCAGTCGTTGTGCTCTGCCTTTGGTATTACATTATCGTCGAGTTACCTGTCTAAACACCCTCGCCATGATATGAGATTGTCGCTGGGGCTGCGAAGTCATGCAGCGTTGTCCTCACTGTAGGCCCAAATCAAAAGTTACCTCGTCCGCCGTGTCCCTCATTGATTTTGGGGTATAATAAATCAAGTGTAGTTAGTTGCTTGGAAGATAGAGGTAGACACCGTCGTTTGCGGTAGGGTTTATTGATATCATGCTATGATACATCCTGAGCTTCTTCAATCAAATTGCCGAGGTAGCCTTGGCGTTGTCCATCAATCCTCTCAACGTTCTGGCGTGAGGGAGCTAAAACCGTGTCGTGAGCGGCGAAGTGTGGTAAAGGCTCGGCGAGCCTGAAACTTCTGACTTCACCCCGTCGCCCGAGAGTTCCCACGACACCCCATCATCATACCCATGATGATGAAGCTCTTGCGGGTTCTGGGTGCCCTGAACTTCACTCGGAGGCATCGGCAAGATCTGACTCTGAAAGTTCCCGTTCCCAATCTTTAGCTCTTGCGGGTTCTGGATGTCCTGCCAGTAATTCGGAGACATCGTCGCATTGGGACTCTGAAGGTCCATCGGTGCATTCTGACTCTGAAGGTTCCTGTTCCTGCGCAGCAGGCAACCTAAGAGGACCAGCGCAGCCGTCAGCGCCAACCCCAGAGGGATGCCGACGCCTAGACCGATTGCAACCGCTCTGCTGTCGTCGTGAGAGGCCGTGGAGGATGTGGCTGCGGAATCCTGGCCCTCGGGCGCTTCGGTGCCCGTTGTTGAGGCTGATTGCGTGGGCGTGGTGGACGATTCCGTCGATACGGCGTCAGTAGCATGGAAGACGCTGGTGGCAATGGGCAGTGTGATGAGGGACTCCGAGGCGGTCTCGGAGCAGCACGTTGAGTTCTCCCCGCAGCAGTACTCGGCGGAGACGCGTTGGTTCGTGCTACAGAGGGTCAAGACCTGGTACCAGTTGGACGTTTCTATCCCGGATGTCAGTGCATGCAAGCGTAAGGTATCCATCATTGTGTATGACTCACGCCCTTCGTCGGGGCAATATTGCCTGCAGGGAGCCTCCCACGTCTTGGACGAGCAACCCTGGACCGTGAACATGTTATCACCGCCAGCGTCGAGACAGAGCCCGTTGTCGAGACAGTAATCGCTATCGCTGCAGCATACGCTGACATCGGCCGACGGATCGCACGGGGACATAGTAGATTTGAGATTCCCGCTGACGTCGTAGCATTGCGAAGCGCCCCTCGCAACGCCGACAAGAAAAACGAGTGTTGTAAGCCTCAGCATCGTCGACGAACAAGTACGACGGACAAGTACGGGGAGAGGTCGGGGACATCATGGGAATAGTATTCCGTGGGCTCTGGGTGGGATAAGCCTTAGGTATGTATATCTGTTAGATACTGGGCCGGATTCCGATTCTCTGGAGACTGAGAGACTGGCCCCCTGCCACGCAGCCCACGTCGCAGGCACCACTCGGGCTCCTGCATGCAGCATCACAAACTTGATCCTGGATCCTCGACGTACAGTCGCATCCTTCGAACCACCTCAGCGCCAACTCCTTCGTCCCCCTCCTTCGTCCCCCGGGCCCGGACAGCTGAATCGGAAGTCAAGTTTGATCAATGGCCTGTTAATGGCTGTAGGCGTTGGGGCCAGCTAGCCTGCCTGTGCCTGCTGACAGGATTGCGCAGGATCAATCCCCTTCGGTGATTGGTCGCTTGTACGTCCCGATGGATCAATGCCGGAACGTCCAGGGGCCGGGGCTCGGGGCCGTCCAGTGTAAGCAAAGAAGTCCAGTACCTACCAGGCTGCAGGGCTGTCTCTATACCGTATACGATAGCCAACCACACTGTCGTGGCACTCGCGCTATAATTAGGACTTGTGTAACAGGGTCAGCCGGTGAATTCCGTCACCGTCGGCTATAGGTGATACTGTTAGTGCTCCTCCGCCAGGCCGGGGGATGATCATGCTCCTTAAGGGCTCGCCTCGGGTAAACGCTGGCTGCGAAAGCTGGTGAGCATTAAACCCCCTTCGACGGATTTGAGCAATTGCTGATTGTTTTCGACATTCGCAGTCGCCAATCATCTCTGCCGACCTGTCTACGCTAAGGTATATACTAGAGGACCCGCGTGGCGGGGCGGGACCCTCTGAAAGCACTACCTTAGCGAAGAGGGTTCCACCTTGCCACGTGAATCCTCTAATAGGCCGTCGGCGGTGAGAAGCTTATCTCAGTACAGGCCGCTTGAGCTCAGCTAATGGGGTAGTTGTGGCTGGTACCTGGATTTTGGGTCTGGTGGTGCGTCAATCCTGGGGCTTTTGGGCCACCACCCAAATTTAGTAGCTAAATTCAATGGTCACCGTGTGGATCCCAGCCACTGGATCCAGCCACCAGTACCTTATCGGATCTCCTGTCATCCAGGGCATTCTACGATAAGGTTACCTGGGATGGCTGCCCCAGGTGCAACCCACTGTAATTTAGGTATTTAGATACTTCTCGGATGGGATCCCTTCCCATCCGAACGTAACCAAGCACCAACCAGAATACAGATCATCCCAACCAAGACTTGTGATAGATCTCCGTTCTGGTTCCGCTACCACGAAGGCACAACCGCATGACACCTTGATTAACGATGTCTTTTAATTACATTCTATCCCAGCACTCCGTGCCCAGGATACATCTGATGAATTGAGGTAAGGTGGCGCAACTACCACAACCTATGCGAACCTCGATTTCATCATTTCTAATTTGAATGAAGCATCGTATAGTCCTATGAGCTGTAAGTCAGAGACTCCAGGAGTGCCCGGGTTAGAGTCAGGGTGTGGCCAAGTGTCGGCCAATGCTGTCACAGCACCAACTTCACGCCGCGTAATGATGTTGCTATGTAGTATGGCATTATACCAAGCGGGGAGACAGGGCGACGACTTCATAATATACCATCCGATTCTTCTGGAGATGCTTGTAAGTCACAAGCTGCGGGGCTTGAAGTTGCACCGCAGCAGGAGCCTTCACCCCAACCAGGCTGCAGTCAGGTGACTACCAACAAAGCAGCAAACGTGACGACTCCGACGACCTCCCGCATTCCAAGCAAGCCTATTGTCTCCATCCAACGTCCTCACGGCTCCCATCATACAAAGCGCAACAATACATCGAACGACGCCACCATGGCCCGATCCGGCGCCTCAGACGCAGCAACCCCGCCCTCGTGGACTCTCACCTCGCTCCTACAGCGCGTGAAAGGTCAGTCATCGACCAACGTAACTATCAGACCACTATCTAAACCCCCAACAGTCAAAGCCACAAAGATGCGCTCCGTCTTCCTGGGCCCGGAGCAGAAGCGCTTCGCCGAGTCCCAGGCACGCGCCTGGGCCATCATCCGCCGGCACCACGTCGCGATCGGGAAGGCCGCGGAGCGCATGATAGCCATCAACTTCAGTGGCGAGCCCCAGCGCCAGCCCCCGCACGACGTCGGTGCAGCGTCCAAGGAGATGAAAACGGAGATAGTGCAACCACCGCGAAGCCCCCTCAGCCGCCTCGAAAGCCTACCCGAGGAGATCCACATGCAGATCATGCGGCTGCTCGACCACGAGAGCCTGTACCGCCTGAGCCAGACCACGGGCCAGTTCCTGCGGCTGTCGTTCGACAGCGCGTTCGAGGCCGACGCGGGCTGGCGGGCGTTTCGGCACACGGCGGACTGCTTGGGGGATGGGCCCCGGAGGAGGATTGTGGATGGGACGGGACAGGCGCAGGGGACTGCGGCTGAGGTCAAAGGAGCTGATTATTCGGGGCTTGATTCTTGTCCGGAACGATGGAGGCGGAATGAGGATGCGGTAGGATTCGATGGGGAAGGCTCGAAGCCAAAATCTGGCTTGGTCAGGTCGGATGAAGACGGGGATGAAGGGGAGACGATGCTGGAGTTCATGGCGAGGCAGGGCCGGGGCTGAAAAACCGTAGCAAGCGCGTTCGAGGGCTTGACTGCTGAAACTCAAGTTAGTGAATGCAAAGAGATGGTACATAAAAGAGTATGATGCGCTTCGATTGTCTTTCTTGTGACTATTGGAGCAGGATAGTGGTGATAGGGGCCGAATAGGCAGATGGGCCTGTGTCGTTGCCTGTGTCGTTTCCCCTAGAGCACAACCCCGTCAGCAAAGAAGCTTCGCTGGTAACTCAACTTCCCGAGATGCCCAAAATGCCAGAGAACCCACTCCCAGCCATCTGTCCGTTGGCATACAGTACGCCACAAAGCAATGCTCTGGTGCAAGCCCCGGAGCGGAAACGTTGGGGTTGTCCCGTCTTATAGCGGAGTACGGACAATTAAGTCTTCTCTTAACACCTCCAATCCACACCCAAGCGTCCATGGGAGACGACTGGCCAGCCTGCACCGGGAAGACCCAGTACCAACAGTACGCCGAGAGAACAACCTCACCACACAACGCCCAAATCCCATATCTGGAGGGTGAGGGTCGGGCGATCGCCTTGTTTGACCCGAGAAGATGCTTGGGGGGTGCTGCCCCAGCCCAGAGTAGGGAGGTTTAGTGAACCAACTGTCTCTAGCAAGCACACATGCCCCAGCAGAGCCTCTCGGACAAGACTCCCATGATCGGCCCAGTTTCAATGAAATCTCGGCGGCGACAAGGCTGGAGGAGGGGTTCCAAGACGGGGAAAACGAGAACGGGGCAGAGGACTTACGTTGTTCATGGGTTACCCGACGTGGGAAGGGGCAGCATAGAAGGCGGGTTCATATCCCTTGGTATGTCGTCAGTGGGTGCGAAGGAGATGGGTGTGAAGGGACAGAGAAGATGCATACGTTGGTGGTTGATGGCTTCGTGATTGATTTCTTGAGAATGTTCCAAGAATCTTGAAAGTGGTGGTCTTGCAAAAGAGAGGAAGGGAGGGGAAGAAACGTGAAAAGGGTGGCCTTTAAATATAAATTCAGATTGTGGGCCGCAGCAAGGCTGATTGAGCAATCAGCCCCAGAAAATCCCACCAGTCCGGTTTAGGTACTCGGATGGGAAACTACTGTGGTGGGATCATAGGGGCAGAGCCGCATGTTGTCAGCGCAACGTCGCTCTGTGGCAGCCACGTTCCCAGGTACATACTTTTGGGTGCAGCCAACCAGAAAATTGGACTGCTACGGGTCAATGCTCAAGCAGCCCTGGAGATCGCACTGCTCACCCCATTTGTTTTATTGGGCGAGTGAAACGTGATTTGATCTTTGGGCGGGTGGCAGGATTTCTGATCTGAGGGCACCTGGGCAGACAGACAGGCGGCAGGGTCAGTACTAGTTCTGATCTGGCGTGCTCATTCATCAGTCACCTTCTACCTAGCAAGGCTCTTGATCTTGACCACTTCTTAACAGCTAGTCGGGTACATCTACATGTCATATTCCATGTTGGACCGTATCTGCCGCTGCTCATCAGGCCACAGCCGAACATGTTACCACCCAGGTGGCACTCTGCATCGCCTCTCTTCACTCTGCCCTGCTTGTGCCTCAGCTGCAAACGAAAATTGACAGCAGAAAATCCGGCTTCTCCTCCACATGTGATGTTTCATAATTCATGTCCCCTTTCATACGGTGTCCTATCTGTCAACCACTACACACCTATCTTGATCCTATCCGCGCCGCTATCTCCCACCGGGCCCAGCTTACCTACATGCCTGTCCATCGACTTTATTCACTTGCTCACCCTTCTGTCACAGTTTGGCTGCTGGTGACTGTAGAAATGACTTTGTTGATGTACGTGAAGAAGGAAAGAAACTATGAAGATAGCTAGGAGACAGGAGCAAGTATATATAGGGGTTGAACCGTGGGGCTGTGGGGTTGACATATAGTGCCGTGACAACTTCCGTCCCTTCGCACACCTACGGATTTAGAAAGGAGGCTCCCGAATCACATCCCTAGATGGAACCTGAGAGCACAAAACCCGGAAGTCCTAAAAGGAGTGGACACGGAGTCAAGAGATTGCCAGCCCATGAGGTACGATACTGGTATAACCCACTGTGTTTAGCTTAATAGATGTAGTGGATAGTTTACCACGGCCCTATGTATCCTAGGGAGAGCTGATTCCTGCTGCTTTGCAGCAGGCTTCCAGCTGTGAAAGAATACCAATCAATCAATCAATCAAGCACACCTACGGATTCATTTATAATCCATCACTTCTTTTCTTCCTCCTGTCGTTCATCTCTTGTGCCGGCCCGCGTCCATTTATCCGTAACTTGGTCGTCCCGCTGGGGATATTAAATACACGTTGATATTATCGAGTTTTTATTAATTTCTAATTGATATAACGTAGCTGACAAGCGAGTTGGCACTCGTCATGAACTTTCTAACCAACACGATTCAAACCATTATATCTCCACCAACAACAATGGCACCGCGTTATAACAAATCAGACTTACAGGTAGCTGTCCAAGCTAAATGACGTGACCCTCATATTTCTATATTTCAGCTTGCGAAACTCTTTAATATCCCTTATTCCATTTTGAGCAATATAATCAAAGGAATGCCATCACGACGCGACAGCATGCCCAATACTTTGAAACTTACGGTTTCTGAAGAGAATGCCATTCTTTCCTTCATTCTTGACCTGGATGCGCGAGCATTTCCATCCCGGCACAGTTATGTTGAAAATATGGCGAATCAATTGTTGGCGGCACGTGGGGCTGGACGTGTTAGAAAGAACTGGACGTGGAACTTCATTAAACACACACCAGGCCTCTAGACGCGTTTTTATCGGAGGATGGACTACCAGAGGGTCTTGAACGAAGATCCAGACGCGTATCGCGCGTTGTCATAATTCCGTAAATGTATTGGAAGGATACAGGGACCCTTATTGTCTATTAACGTATAACGAACTCTGGTTAAAGGAAAAGAAAGACCTGGAGATGCACCCAAATTGGTGGGCAGCTAGATGTGGGCAGTCGTCCCCCATCAGACCCACCAGGGCATGGATCAACTTATCGTCCGATCAGTCACGTGCTCAGTCACGTGACCCGGGGACCATGAGGACCATCGCTAGACCTGATGAATGGTGGAACCATCACAAGGTGTATATAATGTCAGATGTAGTGGTGGCTCAGGGTGTGTCACCAGGTGGTCTGTGCGCTGTGGGTGGAATGGTTGCCCCACAGCTCCGTTACCACCGCGGATACACGCGCCGCAGTGGTATTTAGGTGTGAATCCGTCTGTGCCAGGTAGACTTAGAACAACCAAAAACGAGCAAGTACGTATGAACCTAATATTCTGCACGACGAATTCTCACATATAATAAATAAAAGGGTTACTAATAATATTAAGTGTCACGTTCCATATAAAGGTTGTTGAGCATAAGGGCTCCAATTACTATATATGTACTAAAATCTCTTAGTAGGAAGAAGGGAAGAGAAGATCAGGTCTCGCACCTAAATTGAGTGGTGAAGTAGATCTGTGCGACCGCTCTGCTACGCCCAACCTTTCGGGATGGGACAACGTGGTTGGCCAGGTTATATGACATAAGGTTACGTGATACCCACTGATGGGGTCTGCACCATCACATTAAGGTTAAAAGAAAAAACGAATAAAGTTTAGCTATAAGTTATTAAGAAAACATTGTTTATTTATTTAAAGTTATAATAAAGCTTAAATTGATTTTATAGTACCAATATTATCTTAATTTACTAGGTTAAAAACACGAAGTTATCTACAACTTGGCTAATAATCTACCTTTGTCTTATAAATTCTTACCACAAGATTTATATTTACTCTTTATTAATTATTAACTTACCTTCTTATAGCCGTTTTTATGCTGTGTAATAATAAATAGCTTATACTATACTTCGGCCAGTCACTTTACGTTATTTCTTTTGCCTAATCTCTCTATCGGTCTGTCACTACTAACATTTCGTTGAAATTCCGCCTGGGTAAATTGGTCCGCTGGGTGCCGTATTGATGCGTGGCAACAGGGGGACCCAACACAGATGTCCTGGTTGATGATATAAGCTAGCTAGATAAGATAAGGGACGGCTGCCACACCTTAAGTGTATGCAGCTCGCTCTCGCTTAGCTTGGGACATCAACCAGCAATACTGTTAGATTTGAGCCAATCGTGAGGTTGAAGTGTATGTGTGTATTCTGTGTCTTTGAAGTGTCTCTGTGCGACCGTGGCAGCTTTTTGCCAGAAGGGGCTAGATCGGGACGGAACAACTAGGTTCAGTTGTCTAACTGTCAAGGTGCCCTCTAGGCGTACCTTTAGTCCAACAGATACACACACAAATGACCCCCCTATACTAATCGTATTACGTATTTACTTAATTTGAGAGGGGATAATCGTGGGTACCGGCGTGGGCTGGCTCATCAAAGCCGCCTACTCCTAGGCAAGGGAATCTACGCTTTGGCAGGATCTACTTGGGGAAGGAAATAGGCAAGCGTTTTTTAACCCTTCTAGGTATTGATATTTAATAATTGGTGGGGCGGCGTGTTGACATCTGTATGATAAGTCACTGTTTCTGAGGGATTTACGACTTCCTTTGGAGGCTTCAAGGTCTTGGTTTGGTGAGATGGTCTTGTGCAGTGCTGTTAAGGTATGGGGAGAGTGCCAGGTGAGATGCGAGATTAAAGTGGAGCCATGCTGACTGTGAGAAAAGGGGTAAAACAGTGGGGCTTGAATGGATTGCTTCAATGTACATAGGCCGGGGGTTGTTTGGTTTATAAAGTATATGCTTAACCTGTATTAATGTTCTTGTTACCGCTGCGTCTCTGACATCTCTTTTTAATTTCTATGCCGTGGTCTGGTCTTTTGGGTGGTGTTGCAAGCTAGTGGTGGTGCCAATGGCGATCGTGTCAGGTGATATACCGCGGAGGGGCTAGAAGGTGCAAGAGACTGCACGGACCTCTGGGCATCATAGGGAGGTCATCATGTGGCTCCTCAACCCATTTTCCAGCCACAATGACGGATGGGTCACGGACCAGGGTACAAGGTACCTTGGAGCCCAACTGGTACCCGTTTGTACCAGATTCGTACCCAACTGGGATGATAGCTACTTCTGGGATGGGGACACCACCCATCCCTTCTTTCAATCAAGCAACTTCCAGAATACAGACCAATAGCCACCATTCGTGACCCTGGTCCTTATTCTGGATACCACTACCACAAGGCACAATCATGTGTCTAAGTCTAGAACAAGGGTACGCATATTTCAATGTATTTGAGTGCATCGATGGTTTCGAGATGTCTAGGCTACATGGGAGGGTAGCTTAGGGGAAGTAAGTCGGAAGGGGGAAAAGAATGCATCTCATGTTGGAGAAACGCTATATAATGGCTGATTGCCAAATGGAATTGAACGTGAGGTATATCAGCTAACAGGACTAGGAAGAGGGTGAGGGGGTTCTTGTTTTGTTTACAATTCGTTTTCTTGAATCAGCGGGCGCCCGTTACTATAGTCTTCCTAAACCACAAGATCAGATGCCCCATTACCAGGTGTCCAAATCTCGAGTAAAACATCATCCGAGCAACAACCGCAATCAGCAGTCAGTCCCCCGCTACCTTAACCCCACCCGGAATCCTGAAATACCGGTGTTTCATTTCTGCAGTGAATGCATCCTCTTCCTTCACCATCCGAACTTCACCACATCACAACCAAGTCCACGTCAACCGCAAAATCCACCATGGGCGATCAAGACCCTCCCGACAAACGTCAGGTATAACTTGCAACTTGCTGATCGCGATACCGGCATGCGGTCCGGTCCAATCTACGTCCCGCTAACTAGAGAATGAAGCAGTTGCGGTTGCCGAACCTCCATGTCCCACGCCAGCCAGTCGCACGAGCTGCCGAGAATGCGGTTGCTGATCTACTGGCGGTCTGTCAACAACTCCGAAACTCCGTGGCCATCCTGGCGGTCGATGCGGTGGCTCGCAAGCAGTGATTCGAAGCCATGGATGTAATCGAATACCTCCAAGAGCGGCGATTGGCTCTTCTTGTTGGCGAAATCAAGCTCCTGGAAGAACGGCAGCTTCATCACAAGTTACTCGAAAACTCGCGACGCAAGACGCACAGGATGCGGCGCATGGCACGGGTTCGATACACCGCGCTGCTCACTATACGACACCTTCGCTGACAATGTTGAGCAGAACACCCTTTACCTGGCGCTCGCCTCGGGTCTTTGGCTGGTGTACAAAATCATGGTTTACAAGGGCGTCCATCCGCGCGAAGTTTCATTGCTCTGCATCTTGGTAGTTGCAGCCGTAAAAGTCTTGCGTGATTACATGGATGTGGAGGAGGGTGAACTTCCACGTGGGTTTGTGCTCATATTCACCGCATTGCCGGTCGCTTGGCCTGCGCTGCTCGCGTTGGAGGTTGCTTTGGGAGATGAGTTAGCTCTCATGATGGATCAGGATACTGTTGCAATGTCGCTGACATAGGCAAGAGGCATGCTCGCTTTCTCCGCGTTGATAGGACGCTGCATTGTGGTACAAATCCCTTCTCTGGCGCTCTCTTGCTTCTGCTCTACATTCCGCTAAATACCAGTGCTAGTAACCTCGACCAGGTTCTTCTCCGCACGTCGGTCGCCTTAGTTCTCCTGATGGTGTACAAACACTTGGCCTCCATGGGCGCCTCGCACATTGCATCCCTAACATTCTTCTTTAGGTTGGGTGCGGCCACGCATGTGGCGCACGGTCACATTGAGGCGACCAAGGGTGCCTTGTCACGTAGAACTGTGCTCATCTCCCTCGCGATGCCGGGCTTCTGGGCTGTGCTGCTGGTGTATGATCTGACCCTGCGTGATAAGGGTACCTCGTCCACTGAGACCTGCTACTAAGGAGGCCAACAAGGTTTTGGGGAATGGGTTGTTTCTCATCATGAATCAGGCTACTGTCACGATGCTGTTGTCACAGGTGGAAGGCGTGCTCGCTTCTTCTGGCCGGTAGATAATGCTACATTGCAATATGAACCCCTTCTCTGACACAATTTTGTGTTTTTGCTCTACACCTCGCCACATGCCCCGTCTGAACATCCGACCACTCCCTTGCCCTCAGTCCATACGCGGTGTACCGGCCTCGGCTCAGTCCCATGAACTCGCTGGCCCAGTGGTCCACATGTCGCGGCCATATAAACACCACACAGCGAGTCAAAGTGGGATCCCCGGGCGCAAATGAGAAGATTGCTGACCTACTGTACCTATATAGTGGTGCCATTTGCGGTACCCAGGGCATTTCTTGGAGGCTGTGTGGGATAGCCTTCCGGTGTTGGATGGCGCACAAGCCACCGTGGCGTTCAGGGGGGTGGCAGTGCACCTAGCAAGGCCAACAGGGACATTCTGGGGGCCACTTGGCCCACAGCAGGATTTTCTCCAGATACACACACATACATGGAATTACCAGAGTGCACGTTTGCACCCAGATGAACCACCTTACACACTGTTTGACATACAACTCTCTCCTTCTGCTGCCACCAACTTGTCCTGGTATGTGGATGGCACCTATGTGCGAAGTGACTATGGAAAGGATCATACAGGGACGGACTGAAGTCTGAGTGGAACTGAACTATTCAATCGAAAGTCGGCAACTTCCCATCCCAGGAATTTTAGACACCAATGGCCAGCATATATCGAGGGTTTCCAAAGGAATAAGCCACCAAGGCCAGAACAACAACAGCAACAATGAATACAACACCGACAGTGGTGAGCAAGCCGAGCTAGTTCTGGTTAGTCAGTATAACAAGTCCATCAAGTATCAAACAACTGGGACTTTCCCGAGCGGACTTCGGCCATGAATGAGCACTTCCTTCTGAAAGGCGGTGGTGGGCATAGTGCGACGTGGATTTGTTTCCCTAAGTCCAGTCAGTAAACGGATCAACTGAGTAAGTCGCACCTGGAGTCCCAGATGGGTAGCCATTGTATGGAGTCTTGAGGCTTCAGTAGTGCCCCGTTAGGCAATGCAATAAGTGTGGAGGCTTTGACACCACTACTCAAGGATATACCTGGTCCACATGCTGAAGAAGAACTCTACAGCACATGGCCCACACCCATTAACGCAATCCACCTACAACCGCCCTCAGGGAGGAAACGGAAGCCGGGCTACTCCCTATGGGGTACTCAATACTCAACTCCAAGATCCAACCCGGTCCAAACAAAGCCCACAGTGGCTTTGAGAGACGAGGATCAGCCGACGTGACGTTACCCACCTCTCGGGCTCATTGGTATCAACTGAAGGGCAGCCACCCCCATCCAAAGTAGGTGAGTTGGTCGGAAGTGACCAGTGGCCGCACATGCCCCAGCACCGATGAGTGATCCGAGAAGGTCCCGATAGGTTCCGATTTCGTCAAGGCCATTTTGCGGGATCTTGGAGATACAGGATAGGCAAGGAAAACAAGTTTGGACGTGGACTTACCGGAAGATGACTGTGCGCAAAGTCGTGTTCGAGTGGCTGTCCATGGATCGAGGAAGGCTGTGCACCTGAAGACGACGTATTGGCTGAGCGGCGTCGCTTCAGGTGGGACGAGTGTAGGTCGGGTGGAAGAAGAGGGTCATGCGGGCTCTAGTTAGCAGAATTGTTAGAATGAAGGCTGACAGTCGAAGGCCCTGGGGAGGAGAGGCGATCTATTCAGAAGACTCACGTATTCGTCTGCATCCTATGCAGCGAGGCCAGCCATCTTTTCCCTATCAGCTAGCAGAATTGTAAAGTTAGCAGGCAGTCGGAAAGGAACAAGATGTGGGCTGATGACTGCTGCGAGCCAGAATGGGGGGGACCTCAGATGGAGGTTGGAGCAACGAAGGAGGGAAGGGTAGATACCTCTTCGCAATGGCTGGCTTTGGTGTTGGTGTTCGCGTGGAGGAGGGGAGGGCAAGCAGAAGAGAAAAGGTGAGGGTGGGTAGGCAAGGCAAGTACTGATATTTATGGTAATCTGAGAGGGCAGCAGAGCATGGCTGATTTGACGGTCTGCAGGTCTGCACGATTGGGTCCAGCTGAAAAGGTTACCTAATATCAAATCTCAGAAATCACCTGAGGCACACATTCCTTGAGCTGCGGGGGACCACGGTCAAGCTGCAATCAATCCGCCACAGGAGGTGGCAACCTGCACAAGGGAACACGGCACGTTCTCAGCCAACTAATGAGGGGCCTTGATACTATCGGATGAGGATGCACAGAACTCATGAATTTCTTGACTGATCGAAACTAAACCGTGATTTGATCTCATCTTGTCTGCTCGTGATACAGGCTTGATGCACATACACCTCCTGAAATCTGCGCAGAATTACTGTGCCCCCTTCACTGATGCATCACCAGCACCACTGACCGAGTAAGCAGCTCAACCAAACAAAAACAACTATTTTTCTTGGCGCCCCGCTGTTAGGGCGCAACCTCGATATCTGTACTAAAGCAGGCACTTCTCTCAGTAACTGACTATCTTTGCTAAGACACAAGAGAATTTTTCTCACAAGCCGGATGGCACCCTTCTACGACGGGCCCCCAAACACGCCTGTGGCCGTCCCAAAGACGACCACCGGCGGCATGCTCAAATCCCCGGCCCCCAGAAAGACATACAGCTCGGCAACTCCGAGCAGGCTCCGCCAGGCGCTGCTTGACGACATCAGCAGCAGCCCGTCACAGGTCTCTGAGGCTGACTTTACCGTTATTTCCCCTCTGAAAAGAAAATCCTGAAATATCAATGATAGCAATATCACTATAATGAAACGACCTTAATTAAACAAAATCTCTACAGATCAAACAATTATATGTGATACAGGGAATAAAGCCTCCTCTTCAGAGTGCCAGGACCAAGTTGCCAAAATACTGACTAAAGACAAGCACCTCTATAAAACCAGGATGACAATATTTCAGGAGTGTGCTGCAATAGTTGATAAGACACTTAAGAAAGCTAGAACCGAATTACACTCTTATGCCAAGGAGTTCAGCGTTTTCTTCTCTAAATGCCTAAACGAGTGGCTGGAAACCCGAGATCCGCCCAAAAGGAAGACCATTCCTGGGGGGATAGGGATGGTGAAGCCCACCATGACCTTTGCCCAAGCTATCTCCTCTAGCCAACGACAGCATCCACGGACAGTCAACACTACCATAAAAAAAACACAGCCTGGCGCCCGCATCACTACTAATCAACTGAAGAAGAAGCAGGATGATCTCCGGGTCTTTATTCGCATGGATAATAGCCACCTAGAGCCTTACGGAATAAAGTCTACACTGAACAAAAGACTTAAGCTCCACCCTCAAGAGCTTAGAGAAGTGACCCGGTGCCCCTCTAGATTTACCTTACACCCAAGGGACAAGCCAACTCAGGCTAAGCTCCTGGCCTTCCAAGAAGAAATCACCGATATTCTCAAGGCAGAAAAGATCGAGACCCACACGGTCTAGCATCACTATAAGGTCAATGGATGCCCAAGAAAGGTCATCAGTGCGGAAGGTGTAACGGCCTGCACAGACCTTTCCACATGACAAGTGGATACTTCTTAATAGGGGAAGGATCTGACCAGAGGATCCCCTTAAAGGGGCAACCTCCCACTGTACCTATCTCTCTCTTTCTTCCTTTCCTCTCTAGTCTTGATATTCTCGTCAATAGAGTAATAGCTGCTTGCTGCCGGCCATGTCCCAGCTCCTCAGTACGCTCGCCGTGACAAAAGGATTGACAATCGACATTACCGACATTGCTGTTGCTGATGAAGTTGAAGCCCAAACAGGTGACAGACCTTTAAGGTGCATACTCTCAAGGAACACAGTTGATTCTGATCTGGAGACCACATTGGTGATCTCTCTGCCCCGTGCAGCAAAGAAACCATTCACGCTTTTTGCTCACTCAATGACCCCAAGGCACATTCAATACTCCCTCAAGGTTCACCAATGTGCGAGCTGCTTCAGATACCATAGTAGGAACTACCGATGTGAAAAGCAAGTATGTGTACGTTGCGCCAGTACAGTACACCAGGGGGAGTGCAAAAAACCAATCCCAAAGTGTGTCAACTGCAAAGGACCTCATGCTGCCAACTTCGACAAATGCCCTGCACGCCCCAAGGTTGTGAAAGGCATTATCCACAAGCACACATGGGAGCAAATCCAGGAAATAAGGCTGGCCGGAGAAAGAGCCAGATCTAAGGCTTTTAATAAAACAGGCAGAAACCAAGCTAGGTCAACACCTAGCAATAATAATGAAGACACCACAATACAAATCAATACAACAGATACAGCTCATCCCAGAGATACTGACACCATTATTGTCAGTCAATGCTAGGTACATCAAATGAAACATATCGACACAGGCATCTAGTCATCCACTCTGTGAATGTAGCAGGAGGACAAAAGAGTGCAGGCCCTACAGAGTTAGCCATCAACCTGGCTGACTATAAAGGAGAACAAGCAGACATCATTCTGATGCAGGCCGTATGGTACAATGGTCAAATGCGCCTGGTTGTGTTCTCGTTTGTGCGGTGGGCGACGAGAATAAGTGGGTTCGAATCCTGCTACGGCCCCCTTTCTGACCCGGCTTGTGCGAGTCGACAACCAGCACACGACAGTGGAGAGGCCCCATTATCGCAAAGCCCGATAGCCAAGCAGCTTGTCTCCATAACACCCACTCCTGCGAGGTTTTTCCCCTTGTGGTTTCCCTTGCCAGCAGATAACAAACACCTACTTCACCCACCAATGTGACATATATCGCACGGCTACTGGAACAATATGTACGCCAGAAGACTGAGGTTCACTGGGTTGCTCTGTCAATGGATAGGAGGTTTTTCTGACGGAATCGTGCTTGCGTATTGATTAAAACTATTTGGACACTTCAGATTGGTACTGCTACAGCGAGGATAGGCTT